CCACTTTGCTCCGAGCTTCCAGCGTCCAGCCTCCCACAATGGGGCCCCGCATTCAGCCGAAGAATCCGCTCCGAGGTCGCCGGGGGAGGGGGAGGGGAAGGCACGCCTGGGGCACGGACTCGGACCCAATCAGAATAGCGGGGTCGGTCGCTGTGGTGCCCCTCTATCTCGCTTGCGCGTGCCCATACTTGTCCACCTCAGAACATTTTGGGGGCGAGGGGGAGGGTCGAAAGAGTGCCCCCCCACCACCCGTCGAGCCACTGGGTCGGGTTCCTGGTGACGACGCAGCTCCTGGACACCGTTACGGTCACGATTTTAAGATGAGTGAAGGTTTGGTGATCAGGTATCGAGTCCCCAGGGGAATTGTTATTTGTTTCCGTCTCTCGTAGTGGTGACCATGAGAATCAGGTGAACACGGGCAGAAGTTTAGGCTTCTTCTCGCTTTGGTACAAACTTTGGAAATGTACCTTGGAATAAAGTTGTGTGTGTACCTCACCACGGCGGCGGCATGTGAAGAAGACACAAAAGAGGCCACGCGCCATGCCCTGCGGTTCATCGGATGTGTACTGACAAAGAATGACAGAGGACAGATAGAGAAAGAGACACTAGATAAGGTAATGCATAAAACACTGCAGAGCTTATCTGCGTCGCGTCCACTTGGCCTCGCGCAGCCTCCCTCATCAACATCACACGAAAGATACCGCTCGTCTCTCTTCCACGCCAAGCCACATCGCACGCTGCTGTATTTCCCTTACCTCATCCTCGCACTACAGTTTTTTATCCCGCACCCTCGCGGCGGCTTCATCCATGCAGACGTGCCCAAAATAATCAAACCTAGACCCGACGACGCGCCGTTACCGTGACCAGAAGTTGCCTGACTTCAAGGAAGTACAGATAGCTCCACCAAAGCTGTGCTCTCCCCCTGGTGGCCTGTCACTCAGAAGCCCCCCCGCCCGTCCGTCCGTCCGTCTGTCTCACCGCCCCTCCCAACAACGGACGACTTAGCTCCACGTTCTTCCTCGTCCTTCCGCCGGCGTCCCGGATAGCTCCTTGGCCCTTGGCCAGCTTTGGACGAACTATTTCACTCCTTATACCCGCCGCACGCTCCGTAACATCTTTTTCCTTCTTCTCCTTCTTTCTCTTCTCTCTTCATCCCATGTACCAGGAAAATATTGAGAATAGTCTCACAAGGATCCCAAGCTTTACAAAAAACCACCACTAAACCAAACAAAACCAACTGTTTGATCGCGCTTACGAGTCGCGGTCACCCCCGTCGTCAAGACGTTTTCTAACCTCCTCAACTCGTAAGCACCACTCACTCACTCACTCACATCTCACCGTCCATGAATATCTCATCACCAACAAAACATGTGCTAACCTCAATGTTCCAGGGTCCATCACCCGTACGCAGGAGCCCGCTGCTCAGCCGCCCCCGGGGCTTCAGCGGACTCGGCCTTTGATCTCTAAAGGCCCCTTTCTCTCATCAACGAGAAAAAGCCCATATACCAACTGAACGCTGAACCAACCCTCTTCAAATCATGGCTCCCCATGCAGAGGCAGACTCGGGCTCCGTGCACGGAGATGGACCGGACCCCAACGGCAACGGCAACGGCGCCGTGACCGCTGCTACTACTAACCTCCACCCCCAGCATCGCGAGCTCTTCACTGTCGACTCCCCCAACGTCGTCTACAACGACGCCGAGATCCTTTCAAAGTACACCTACCGCACCACAAAGGTCACCAAGAACGCCGCAGGCAAGTATGTTGCCAAGCCCACCGAGACGCTCTACGAATTCAAGACGGATCGCAAGGTCCCCAAGGTCGGCATGATGCTCGTCGGCTGGGGTGGCAACAACGGCACCACCGTCACAGCCGGCATTCTCGCCAACCGCCGTGGCCTCGAGTGGGACACCCGCGAGGGCCCCCGCGCCGCCAACTACTACGGCTCCGTCATCATGGGGTCGACCGTCAAGCTGGGCACCGACGCCGAGACCGCAAAGGACGTCAACATCCCTTTCCACGACCTGCTTCCCATGGTCCACCCCAACGACCTGGCCATCGGCGGCTGGGACATTAGCAAGATGAGCCTCGCCGACGCCATGGACCGTGCTCAGGTGCTGGAGCCCACGCTCAAGATGCAGGTTAGGAAGGAGATGGCCGAGATGGTTCCGCTGCCTAGCATCTACTACCCCGACTTCATCGCCGCCAACCAGGAGGACAGGGCCGACAATTTGATTCCGGGAAGCAAGGCCTGCACGGCTCATGTTGAGCAGATCCGCAAGGACATTCGGTATGGTTTCTCTGCAGGCTGAGACGCGGCGTTGTCAATTGTTTTGTGTTGCTGGTGCTGATTGTGAGAATAGAGACTTCAAGGAGGCCAACGGCCTTGACAAGGTTATTGTACAGTGGACCGCGAACACGGAGCGCTACGCCGATATCATTCCGGGCATCAACGACACCGCCGATAACCTGCTCAAGGCCATCGAGGAGGGCCATGAGGAGGTCTCGCCCTCGACCGTCTTTTCCGTCGCCTGCACGCTTGAGGGTGTCCCCTTTATCAACGGCTCCCCGCAAAACACCTTTGTCCCCGGCGCCATCGAACTCGCCGAGAAGCATGGGTCCTTCATCGGCGGCGACGACTTCAAGTCAGGCCAGACCAAGATGAAATCGGCCCTCGTCGACTTCCTCATCAACGCGGGCATCAAGCTAACCTCCATTGCGAGCTACAACCACCTGGGCAACAACGACGGCAAGAATCTCAGCTCGCACAAGCAGTTCCGGTCCAAGGAGATTAGCAAGTCCAACGTGGTGGACGACATGGTCGAGGCCAATACGGTGTTGTACAAGGAAGGCGAGCACCCGGATCACACCGTCGTCATCAAGTACATGCCGGCCGTGGGCGACAACAAGCGCGCGCTCGACGAGTACTACGCCGAGATCTTCATGGGCGGGCACCAGACCATCTCGCTCTTCAACGTATGCGAGGACTCACTGCTGGCGTCGCCGCTCATCATCGACCTCGTGCTTGTGGCCGAGATGATGACGCGCATCCAGTGGAAGGCGTCGTCGTCGGACGGCGTGGCGACCAAAGACTTCAAGGGCTTCCACAGTGTGCTGAGCATCCTGAGCTACATGCTCAAGGCGCCGCTGACACCACCGGGAACCCCCGTCATCAACGCGTTGAGCAAGCAGCGCGCTGCGCTGACCAACATCTTCCGCGCCTGCGTCGGTCTCGAGCCCGAGTCCGAGATGACGCTTGAACACAAGCTATTTTGATGCGTGGATGGACTGAGGGTGAATGTTCCATTCTCTGCCATGCCACGTGGCCCTCTCTGAGTTTTTGCCCTTCCTTTTTTTGCTTTCCAAATCTTGAGGTTGATAACAACACGATTGCCTCGTCCGATCATTAAGAGTTGAGTGGATGTTTTGAGACAGTGCCTACTATTATTACAAAGAATACAGTCAGTCTTTACCGCATGTCGCAAGTGTCTCACATGACAGAGTTTTGGTATCTCGTATCGTGAAGCTATTTGAGGAGCAGCCACGCAAGCCCTCAGAACATGAACCTAAAAGTGCCCTTCTCGAAAGCGAAAGCTTGCTGGAAGCATGGACCTGTCCTGTTGAGAGTCGGGACCAGTTGGCGCGTGAAAGTAGTGTAGGGGGGTGTTGATTGGCCGTGGGCGGAAAAGACATTAGCCGTACGGCAATGAAGCAGATGGGACGACGGCCAATCAGTGCGTTGTAAATGCTCATTACGGCGAATAGCCCAGACGCACAATTGGTCATCTTTGAAGTTTTTGGACGATATCAGCCAGCATCTCAACTGCGCGGGCCTCTTTTGGTGGTAAGCGAGAGAAGACGGCGATGGGGCGGAAAGCTTGTCCTATCGGTATGGTTTTTTTTGGCTGGAGAAGGGAGAAAAAGCTGGAGACTGTGAAGATTCTTGAGAGTTTTTTTAAGCCGGGGGGTTGGAATGACATTCCAATCTGCAGCGAACAATCACCCTGTCTTGTGCTCGATGCGGCGCTACGGCGTCCACAGTCACTTTCTCCGCAGTCAAGGGATGGCGATTGACGAGAAAAGGGGGGAACGACGGAGGGTGTTGGGTCTGTTGGGTGTCGTAAACAGAGGCGCAATTGCAGGCTGTGAAGTGGCTGCGGGGACATCTCCAAAGCTAAAATTCTAGCCCCGAGTAAGATGCAACGGTGCAGGAGCAGGGGTGGACAAAGAATTGAATTGGGGAAGGATACTCCATTCTCTCTGTAAAAGACGTGACCTGATTGGACAAGAGACGGAGGTGGCCTTACTAGCTGCCCCTGGAGGCCTGGGGAGGGACCACTGACGACCACTTGCGACGGCCCCTGTTGATGCTGGTGCCTCCACTGTGCCTGATCTGCCAAATGGTTGCCGGGGTGTTGCTGGTGATGAAATTGCCCAGCTTTAATCAAGCATCAAGTACCAATTGAATTGTCAGTAGGTAGGTGAGACGGCTGCTTTGGGTGGGCAGAGACCTCACTGGGAAATAGACATGGAGAGATAGAGACAGAGAGAGAGAGAGGGAGGGACAAGAGAGGGGAGTGAGGTCGGCGGGAGGGACGTTACTCATCCCTCTGGACGGTACCTTCCTCTCTTACTACCTACATTTAAGGTGCCTTACGGACTACCTTAGTTGCTGTTAGATATGAAGGGACGGACGGATGAGGAAAAAAGGTACATACCTACTTGCCAAGACGGGCCTTTTTGACGCTGGCGCATGTGTCGTCTGCCAAGTACCTTATTTTGCCTTTCAGACAGCCTGCGTCGCCCAAACTAGCAGTTAATCTGCGTTTCCTGATTTCTCCCTCTACCCCTTTGACGACTCTGCTACTTTTCTTGCCTATTTGTCTTTCTTTTCCTCTTCCCTCCTTCCATTCAAGTCATCACGTCGAATCCCGTTCACGACTGTTTTCCCATTGACGACAGGCGCCACGGCCGCCACGACCTCAGACAGACTCGCGACGATGCTATTTTCTACCCTTGGGCGCGTTGCCCTTGCTGCAGGTCAGTGCCCTAGCTGCTTACTTGCGCGCTCCCCCCATAGGCGGCCCAGCCCGGCGACGAGGGTTGGCGTCATCCTTCAGCTTCAAACCAATAGATTCTTTCTTTCAGAGGCGCAGGCAAACATTTTGCTCAGAGACCCTGGACACGCTGTCGGCAACCTCGTCAATCTCGCAGGAACCTCACACTGACATTTGACTGCTTCTCACAGCCGCCTTTGCGACTGGCTCGTTTGCACAGGGTTCCAAGGACGATGATTTCGGCCAATCGACCTTTATCGCCCCGGAAAACAATGTCGCCTTTGGGTTCACCGTCCCCCAAGACAGCGGCGAGGACATCTTCTTCACGATGCGGGCCCCCATCGAGCGTACCTGGGCTGCCATCGGCATTGGCCAGGATCAAATGGCCGGCAGCTTGATCTTCATGATGTACCGCGACCAGACCGGCAACAATGTCACCTTCTCACCTCGCATAGCCTACGGAAACTACGAGCCGACCTACTACAACAACATGCAGTGGGATGTCCTCGCTGGGACTGGTGTCTTTAACGATTCCATGTACTTCAGCGCGCGATGCACCGCCCACTGCAGGAGCTGGGTTGGGGGGTGGATCGACGTCTCAAACGAAAATCAAAAGGCCATTTACGCCGTCGGTCCCAAGGGAAGCTTCTTTTCGAACAAGCAGGACACGTCTGTCAAGTTCCACGAGGAATTTGGTCGATTCACAATCAACATGAAGCGCACAGTTGGCCCCGGCGACGCGCCCATGCTCAAGGTCAACTCCGTCAACGAGGGCACGACGCAGGTCTCTGCCAATGATGGCAGGAGAGATTACAAGTCCATCTTCCACGCGGTCCTGATGGTGGGCTCTTTGGTCTTCCTCATCCCTTTTGGCGCCGTTCTCCTCCGCTTTGGCAACATGGTCAGATGGCACGCCCTCAACCAAGGCGTTGCCCTGGTCATTGTCCTCATTGGGTTCGTGCTCGGTGTTCTGACCAGCTTCTGGTATACACGTGTAAGTCCCGGTAAATTCAATTGGGAATACGTCAATGCTAATGTGGATAACAGTCTCGTGGCTTCAAGTCGGCGCATCAGATTATCGGTTTCATCGTCGTTGGCTTCCTCCTGGCCCAATTTGCAATTGGTTTTCTGCACCACCAAAAGTACAAGAAGACGCAGCGAGACACGCCCTACAAAATTGTCCACCAATGGCTCGGCCGCATCACAATTGCCCTAGGCACCTTCAACGCATTCTTGTACGTCTCCCCACTCTGAACAACACCACCAACGTGCTAACATACGTAGGGGCTTCTCGTTCGCAATGAACCGCCGATTAAACTACTTCCTCGCCGCCGTCATTATTCTACTCCTTCTGGTCTCGCTATTCTTCACCTTCAAAGGCAAGTGGGTCCGCGGTCGGCTGCCCGCCAAGTTCGGCAACCAGGCAACGGGCGGGTACAACCCGGAGCCCTGGAGGCAAGCATCCACGCAAGGCGGGTACGCTTATACCGGCGCTCCGCCCGCCTACCAACCTCCTTCTCACCAGAACCAAAGCGTCGGGTTGACGAGCATGGTTGCGGATCCTACGCAGCCGACGAAAGAGAGGAGCGGTAGTCGCGACTACCGGAACAACGACCTGGGCTCGGCGCACCAACCGCGAGAGATGGTGTAAACCACTCGTCTGGTGCTACTCTAACACAAACGTGAACATTTTCTGCATTCTTGGCGTTGCGCGGGACAAGGAAACGAAAGTGAATGGAAAATGACGGTTGGCTGATGCATGGCTTTCTGCTGTATTGCAAGGATTTACCTGTATATTTAATGTATTTCACATATGCGGCTACAAGCCGGAAGACTTCATGGTTCAATGAATAACTGAGTTTTCGTTCTTAAGACGTTGAAATAACTGAAGAGACATGACACCATGACTAGAGATGCGCTTGCTAGTCGTAGTGCTGAGCGAAATCGGACGGCGTGGTGATTTCGGAACCGAATCGGCAGATTGCGACATTCGTGGTTTGGCCGGCAGTGGGTCGCTTCAAGATGGCCGTCCGCCAAAAGTTTCCATCTGTTGATACGTCGTTCTTCGCTCTTCGATTAAGCCGTGATGGACGCAAATTCCGTAGGGATAGAAGCCAAAGTTTGTTCATCAAAGCTGGCTAGAAGGCGAATTGCCAAGGAGCTCCGCAACGGTAAGTTTGACGCACGTAATCCGGCGCGCCGGTCAACCTAACGGTCGGCCCTGAAAAAAGAAATTGTGGATATCCCGTGCCCCACCGGCGCCGGGATCGGCCTTTTCGGGCTCGGCCAACTTGCAGCTTTTTACCTCTGTGACGTACCCGCGTTAGGCGGTCAGCTTGGTAGCTGCACTCGCTGCGACAAGCGACTTCCCACCGACAAAAGTGTACGAATTGTTGGCGCGGGCCGAATAAGCCAGACTGGGAGCGGTAGCGGCTGACTCTTGTTACATGCTTGCCCTTGTGAGGGTAAGTGGCGGCAACTCGTTTCCGTTTCGTTTTTGCGCTTGCTCGCTTGCCCATTGCCTTGCCGCCCCACGGCTCAATCCCGCCCCGGCCTGGGAAGGATTTTCCCCGATGTCCATCTTATTATTCTGGCTGGACCCCCGGCCTTTCTCAACTTCATCTCTTGAACAACAACCCTCTTGTCAGCATTGCTTCGTCCACTTGTCGTTGGCCGGATGGGATTTCTTCATCTTTTGTCTTCCTCATAAGCATCCATGACCCTATAGAGCACTGAACTTCAGTCACTGTATCTCTTTCGTAGATTGACACTCATTTCTAACGACCAACGAGATACGCCCGTAATTGTTCCCCAATTGGTCGACGTCGGTGTCACTTAAGACTACGACATCACCGGGGCTCCCAACACAATGCCGCCGCGGCTTACGGAGGACGAGCCGGTGCTCCAGCACCACGATGAAGACGCCGACACGGAAAGAGGGGATTACTCAGACTCGGACGACGATGCGGACGAGGACACGCCCATGATGCTGGGCGAGACCGACGGCGCGGTTGAGGCCGCCGATGCGCCGCTCTCAATGGACCCCGGAGCGCACCCCAAGCCGCCACCGCTGCCGCTCGTCAAGAAGCCCGAGAAGCCACCGCCCGTGGCCTGGCGCGACCTGCCAAAGAAGCAGCAGTTGTTGGTGATTACGCTGACGAGGTTAAGTGAGCCTCTCGTTCAGACCTCTCTGCAGGTACGCCTCCCTCTTCTTTCGGTGAACTTCATTTAGCGCAAAGATATGGAACTAGTCATATCCAAAGTGTTCACACGCGAGTTCTCTCATGAAAAGGAGGGTTCTCTTAAGAGAGGATTCTCATTTTTGCTAACCCACCAACTCCAGTCCTACATGTTCTACCAACTCAAATGGTTCGACCCCAGCCTGCCCGACTCAGTCATCTCGAGCCAGGCCGGCATCCTCCACGCCTCTTTCACGGCAGCGCAGTTCATCACAGCCATGGTCTGGGGCCGTCTCGCAGACTCAAAGCGCTTCGGCCGCAAGACGGTCCTCATGATCGGCCTCTTGGGCACCTGTTTTTCCTGCATCGGCTTCGGCTTCTCGCGGTCCTTTGCGCAGGCCTTATTCTTCCGGTGCCTGGGCGGCGCGACCAACGGCAACGTCGGGGTCCTGCGGACAATGATTAGCGAAATCGTCCGTGAAAAGAAGTTTCAAGCGCGTGCCTTTATCCTTTTGCCCATGACCTTCAATATCGGCGTCATCATCGGGCCCATTTTGGGGGGTATCCTCTCCGACTTGGCGGGAAGCTATCCCTCCCTCTTTGGCGACGTCGCCTTCTTTAAAAAGTACCCCTACGCAGCGCCCAACCTCCTCAGCGCAATCTTCCTCTCCTGCGCCGCGCTGTCCGTCTGGCTTTGCCTCGAGGAGACGCACGACGCCCTCCGCGAAGAGGGCCCGGACCTGGGATCCCGCGTCGGAGCAAGAATCGCGTCCCTCATCCGCCGCGTCTTTGCCCGTCGGAGGTGGAGAGCGGGTGCCGGCGCCGGCGCCGGCGTCGATGCGGCGTACACGCCCCTGCACTCCAGCTCCGCCAGCACCACGGACGTCGACGTCGAACTGTCCCCCGAATCCGCGCTGCCGTCTCCAAAACAAAAACCTCGTCCGCGGTACCGTCACCGACTCCCCTTCCGCCGCATCTTCACCCGCAACGTCCTCATGACCTTCTCCGCCCATTTTCTGTTAGCCTTCCACGTCGGCACCTTCAACTCGCTCTGGTTCGTCTTCCTTTCGACCCCGACCTCCGCCACGCCGCCCCACCTCCCCTTCCGCTTCTCGGGCGGCCTCGGCATGGCCCCACAGTCCGTTGGTTTGGCCATGGCGGTCCTCGGCGTCATCGGCATCACCCTCCAGCTCCTCGTCTACCCGCGCCTGTCAGCGCACCTAGGCACCGTCAAAGCCTGGCGTCTGTTCCTCTACTTTTTCCCCGTGGCGTATTTCTTGGTGCCGTACCTCGCCGTCGTGCCCACCACCGACGCCGCGCCGCCGCCGGGCCCGAAAGGCGGCCCCGCCATCTGGTTCGCCATCTTTGGCGTGTTGCTGTTTCAGGTGCTGGGCCGGACGTTTGCGCTGCCGGGGCAGACGATCCTCATCAACAACTGCACACCGCACCCCTCTGTGCTGGGGACGATCCACGGGTTGGGGCAGAGCGTCGGCAGCGCGGCGAGGACGATTGGGCCGGTGCTGTGCGGGTGGCTGTACGGCCGGGGGCTCGAGGGCGGGATTGTTGGTGCCGTGTGGTGGGGTCTGGCGGGCGTGGCGGTGTTGGGCGTGTTGGCGAGCTGGGCTGTTTGGGAGGGGGATGGGCATGAGCTTCGGATTGATGGGGATGAAGTTGCTGCTGAGGAGGAGGGGTCGGAGCAGCAGAGGCGGTGACGCATTGTTAGAGAGGGAGGGAGAGTCAGGGGGCGGTGGAGCGTTGGCATGTGCCGGTTTTTTTTTTCCATCTACATTTATACAACCTGAAGAGTAGAATATAATACCTAGTAAGTAATTGTTCTATCTACTTAACGTATAGTCTTCGTTATAGTTGCTATGGGGCCAGAAGTAAACCCTTGCGCCCGTTATATTTATGTTTTTCAAGTCAGTTGAGATATGGCCCTCTGGTCCTGTCTACTTATTCCTGCTCCAAGTATCTTGGCTGGGTATTCAGAGTCTTGATACTTTCACTGTCGGAGGAGCAAATGGAAAAGAAGCGAGCTTTGACTGCATTACACACATCTCATTTCTTGATTCTGCCTGTCGGCGATGAGTTCCTCGGGCTTCAGCTGCCACATATACACAGCCCCTTCCCGGCCGCGTCTACCAAAGGCCAAAGCTGACCTTTGTGATTTCAAATCATGGGCCACCCTTTCCCTCCCGGTTTGCGAAGCTTGGTTCGAACTTTTTCAGAGCAAGCCGTCATTGACGACGGTAATCACTTTTCGGCGGGTGTCCATGTGTTATACTGGTTGGTACCTGCTGCCGTAAGCTCGAGAGGATTTCGGGCGGTGTTGTGTCGCAAACATGTTCCCTCCCCCTGCTATTTTCGGCTGTTGATCCTGTACGTGTCATTGGGTCTCGGTCGATCAGGAAGAAGCTGAAACGATCTGTGGATGGATGATGTCGAAATGATTATAGGCCTTATACTCTTGACGCGTAGCAGGATCCTCGTCTCACCAGCCTGATCTTGCCAGCCTGATCTTACAAGCTGGCCCGCCTTCGCGCCTCTCCCCCAGAGGACCTCTTCAAATATGTGCATTTCTGGCGTTCCCTCGAGTGAGTTTCAGTCCATGATATCCTTCCTTGCCAATACTTTTCGCTGTCTCCCCCGAGACCCAGTGGGCATCAATGTAATCTCTCCTCACGATGCGCCTCGCCTCTGTTATTCTCCTGTGCCTCCTGTTTTGGGTATGCAGTTCAAGCGTCTTCCGCCGACCACCAGGCGCCGGCCCCACCGGCGACTTCCGGGATAACCCACAGTATGCCGAGGGCGAGTTGGTAGACCTTCAATGGGATTCCACGGATGATTCAGCCATTGATTTAACCATAATTCAAGTGTCCGAGGAGTCAGAGCCAGCTTCTGCCACCTTGTTTTGTAAGTTCCCTTTTTTTTTCTTTCTTTTTTTTTTCCGGCGTACTGTTCGTATAAGTGGTATACACGATGAAAATGTATTCCTCTCTGCTGCATCATCTGAAGATTTTTACTTACCCCCAGACAAACTAGTGGGCCAACAAACGACGAGGTGGACGTGGCGGGTCGGCTTCCACCGCTTTTGGGCCTCTCACGACCGGGATCTGAGCAACGTTTACTACCTTGTGATAACGCCGGCCGGACAGGGAGGGGCTGGTTCGACGTCCCACTACTTCAACATCACCCGCAACGCTGCGTCCTCCGGACCGTCGTCATCGTTGTCATCCGTTTTGTCCCCGGCGGCAACATCTACCGCAACAAACATACCAAAGCCGAGCGATGACGCGGGGCTATCAGGAGGTGCGGTGGCCGGTCTCGCAATCGGAGCGACGTTTGGGACACTCGTTGTTGTGGGTATCGTCGGATTTCTGATCTGGAGGTGCTGGAAGCATGGGGAGAAGAGGAAGAGGGCAGTAGCAGCGGGGGTTACGGCCACGAGTGACACGAGCGAGGTCCATCTTCATAAGCGAGACACGTCTGGGCCGTCGGGTGAGTTATGTGGCGAGAGTACGCAACGCTTCGAGACGGAGGGTTCAGAACCGAGGGACTTGAGGTTTGAGATGTCGGCTGATACGGTCAGACGGGGTGAAAACGTTATTTTGGGTCAAGGTGGAGAGTCTCGCTATTAGGAAGAATTCCAACTTGGAAGAGAAGATGTTGCTAGATTCCACATTCTCTTTCGGCTCGAATTGTACTGCTATCGATGTCAAGGATTTATGGACATTCTGAATTCTTGGTCGACCTTTTGATTGAATAGCATGGCCGTGACGTAGGAATGTTACACTGATACGACTCCTTCGTCGCGGTGTACCTCATCGTCGATAGCATGTGTTCATCCACGTCGTTCACCACCATCTGAGACGGAGGCGCAACGACAAGTAGGCTTATAATAGAGTCCCTACAATGATCAGGACAGGGAAGATATGATTATGGTTAATGGAGAAAAGAGCATCAGCAGGCCCGGAACACGGCCAAGTGCCAGAGCCTACACCAAAGGCTTGGAACTTTACGGAAGTTATGGCACTCTCAGTGCCGAAGCAAAGGCTCGGCCCTCAGTGGTAGACGGGTGAAGTCACGCCTGCTGCATTGCATATCGGCTATGATGCTGAGCCGCAACCGAATTGCCCGAAAGTGAAACGAAACCAACAACAGGTCCCGGCGAAAGATTCACGGCCTTTGTAACCGGGAAACCCGCTCCACATTGCCAATTCTGAGGCCACCCAGATTTGCAATCTCTCGTTAGCCAGTGACAACTTCAATTCAGTCGGACAACTCGCTTGATCTTGGTGGCTGATGCTACAGGGTCATGCGCTCGACTCAGCGGGAAGACGAACTAAAGCCTTCTCTGAAGACCATGTCGTAGACAATACCACATCTTTAACCCAAAGAGGACTACAGCTAGTGGGAAAGGCAGCAGGCAAGTTGTTTTACGATTGGAATGGAAAGGGTTGCGGTTTCTGAACGATATATATCAAACAACATCCGAGACGTGGCGGAAAGGCCCACCTTCACCTTTATATACCATCAACCAGGGCTCCCATTCGCATAAATCGCAGCCGGATCTTATAGCAAACCACCAAACAACGATACATTGTGACGAGATTAAAAACCTGATCATTCCTCAATCCTTCAATCCGGAAACTTCAGTCGTTTGCGCCTGATCAACACCATGTGACCAATTCATCTAGTTAGTACCGGCCTTCCAGCTTGTTTCTACCGCCGTAGTAATACCCATACTTTGAACTTCCAGCTCCTCACACTGACGTTTTACGGTACCGCTATTTCGATGCCGTTTCTGGCTGGTGCAACATCTCGTGAAGGGAAGTCTGATACTACACCAATCTCCAACTGTCCTTTGCCTGGGGGTACTCAATGGACAGTACATGAGACTAGAGAAGGCACTTTGCATGGCGGGTTTCAGAGGTCTTCCACAACGGAACCTTTTTTTTCTTCTAAGAAAGGCTGCTTGAGAATTGCCTGTTACAGAAGAGTCAGTCTAAGTTGCGGAATAGACAAGCTGTCGCAATGATGACAACTGCTTGGGAGAAGGTAGTTACGGCTGGTCGAGTTGTGGGACCTGAATATTTTACTGTCATTGAAGACTTTAGCCTAGCGCCGCCACTAGCAATAGGACTTTTCGTATTGGCAATCATTTCCAAACGGGCCTGTCTATTCTAGGGTTTCCACCGACCTGCACCTCTGAACCTAACATTTCATCAAGATATCGAAACCCTCATGTCATCCATGCAACTTTTACAACTTGCTTAGTCATGTATCAAGGTACGTCTTGGAAATGATGGAACATCCTGCGACAAATTGGGTTGAAAACGACGCTTTGTCTATTCAACTCGAGTTGATCAGCTAGATAGCCCGTGATACGTGACCGGAAGTAACTCGGTACGCGTCACTGCCCATAGCCTTTGAAAGCTCCCATGCATAGATCTCAACAACCCAAAGCGCCAAAACAACCTTCGCCCAAGTCCGCCCAAACTCTCTCTGCCCAACTGTGCGTGATCCATTCAGGTCAGAAAAGAGGCGTTGCCAACACACCACGTGTTGCAACCCTTGACTTGTTGACTTGTCAATTCCACCATCAAGCCACATGTCTGACTCTTTCACCAAAAGTCCCAGTCCTCAAGCCAACGCACCTAGTCAAGTCACCGCAAGTACCTCTTCAACTCCGAATATCCAATTACCGAGCATATGTCACAACCTTGCCTTGATTCCTTCCAGCCCCCACACTTGCCATCTACCGTGCCTAGCCGGTTTCCATACTACGTTGTAGAGCCACTGTACCACATCATCTCAAACATTCTTCCCTTCCTTCCGCATCTTGTCAGCTTCCATTCTTCAATTCTCACATGTCACAAAAGCCACTTACGCCTCTATATCCATAACATCGACATTCTAGAACACTAACCCCGAAGGCGCCACCAAAATAGTCATCCTGGGCTCCCCCGGCCTAAGAGCTCCTTCCACATCGCGCATCCCTTTCCTTCTCCCTTACAAGGACTATCATTACTAGTCTCTTAGGCAACCCCCATCATCCTTCGATTCCTTCCAAAGGAATCCCAATACCAGCCTTGAAGACTTGGCGACTCTTCACGTAAACCATGTTCACGCTTGCCCTCCCCCCCCCCTTCCTCCTTAAACTCAAGGCCAAGCTCTCTCACAAGAACCGAAACTAGTCAGGAAAGAGGGAGGGCGGGAAAAGAAAAACGTTGTCAACTCAGGCACAAAAACCACCACTTCTCAGCCCTATCCAACCCTTAGGATTCAACTACCAAAACGCTAAGCCCTTTGGCCGAAAGCCTCCCTGTTTGCACATCGCATATCCCAAAAGGAGTCGAGGTTTGACAACCCCCTCCATCGCCCTCCATACCACGATAGGCAGGCCCATCCCGAATGCGGTTCCCCAAACAAACGTCTTGGAGCTGTGTCTGAAATTAGGAACCGCGTATCCGTAGATACCCAAACCCTAAAGAATCCAAGACAAAGCTGCGCCGACGAGGGCTCTAACCGGTTCCATTGTAAGATCTTCATCTCTTAATGTCTAGGTCTAGAGATTCCCACAGCCTAGCTTTCCCGCGTTTTCCATTCTATCTAGCTCTTGGGTAACACCCACGTTGCTCATCTTATCCATTTCACATACCTAGGCAGGGTCGTGGGATAGGAAACGGAAACAACTGTCGGGAAAAAGCAAGTATATGCTGACTGCGGCCCCCATCCTGAACCCTACGTCAGAGCCAAAGACCCGTTTTACGTCCCCTTGCCTGGATCCCCCCCCAGTCTTAGCCATGAACCGAACCAAAAAACCCCATCGCTCCCTCCAAGAGACGTGACCTACATACCCGAGCCAAAGCGCAGACTCGCAGCGCCCCAAAGAAAACGAGAAGAAAAAAAAAAAGAATTCTAGACCATCCGTCATTCCATCTCAGCAGGGCTGCTGGCGCTGTTTCTGCCCGCTGCCAGCCAGCCCGCATGACACCCAAGAGAGAGAGAGAGAGAGAGAGTCCAGAACACGGACCCCCAAAAAGCAGGCCAAGCCGGACCGCCGCCCTCCCGCGGGCGCCTCGCACCGGCCCTCTCTCACACAACGTTCTTCCCTACATCCAATGACACTAACTAGGTTTTATCCTCTCTAGTTGCCATTCCTCCGTTATTCCCAAGTATCCCGTGGACCAACTTTCGGCATCCCGATACCTCCCGGACCCCATCCCATCCCCAGGACCAGCAGCTGACCGAACATCCCCTGGAGGAACGCGGCCTCACGCCCCCCCCCTCTTCCCTCGCTCTTCCCTCCCTCCCCGTACGCCGTGACACGGTCACGGCCGTCCCAATCTCCCCCCCGCCCGGTTCCCGGTCCCTGAACCTGCAAGTCTCACACCGAGTTACCATCGGCCGGTCCCCGAGCTCCCTCCCCCGCCCCTCTCCCCTCTTTTTCCCGCCTGCCGGGCAACTCCAGTCTCTTATTCCCCATTCCTGACATCCGTTCGTACTTGTGCGCATCGCATTCGGCACCGCACCGGCTTAGCAACGCAACAAGTAAAAGAAGCAGACGAACCAACAAAAGACGCCAAGAGGGGTGTTCTCTGGAAAACGAGTCTTACACAGTAAATGTCAGCCAATCTAATCCACTCTTCCTACCCCTCCTATCCCCAAATTGCAGGTTTCAAACCAAACATGCCTCCTCTCGCCGTTCCTGATATCAATGGTCTCCAGACTTACACGATGAACCCTTTCCACCAAAAAAAAAAATAATGGACTAGGATATGGAAGCACAGGGCGCAAAAATTAGAATGAAAGCCAACAGTCCATACTCTTTGTGTAGTCTCTATCTAGTCTCTACCGGTACTCTCTGTAACCACCCTTCTCACCAGGGAAAGGGGAAAAAAAAAAAAAAACCCACCCCCTCCCTCACCTCCGCCTACCGTTCTTCCGCAGCGGCGTCTATACCTAAACAGTAAGAAAAAGCAAATATTCAAAGCAAGCCCTCCTTCCCCCCGACTCCACACTCACCCTCTCTCTCTTGAAAGGTCTGAACTCTTCTCCGGTCCACCACAATAACTGCAGCAACATGGAAAGTAAAAGTGAAAAAAAAAAAAAAAAAAATAATACAACCCCCCCCCCCCCCCCCCCCCCCCCCCCCCCCCCCCCACCCCCACCCCACCCCCCCCCGGCCCCCCCCCCCCCCCCCCGCCACAAAAAAAGGAAAAAAAAAAAAAAAGGAATTATACAGACTGCCCTGCCCTCCCCCCCTCCCCTTCCATCCCACAGGGCATACCACAGGGTACCGCAACTCGGTCGAACCAAAGAAAAAACTTCCCGCGAGTCCACCCATTCACTTCACTCCCCCCCCGTCCTCACCAACTTACACCAACTATCCCAAGTTTCCCAAACCAACCAACCACTCATCATTCAACCCTTTTCCACATTCCCTTCAAGCAAGGATGGCCGATCGACGCAACCGTCCTCAGCCCGCATCATCTAGCGTAGCTTCACATGAACAGGAAGCGGAGCACACCCCAGCCGCCTCGCCTTACCTGCCTAGCCCACCACTATTATGGCACCCAGAAACCAAACACCACTCGCCAGCAGCGTTCCCGTTCCCGTTGCTTGCCCTGCCCTGCCCTATCCTGCCCTGCCCTGCCGCCCGCCGGCGGGTGCGGTGTTCGTCGCTTCTGCCGCTGCCGTTCATTGTCCGGGGATCCACTGCCGTCTGTCAGACAAGTTGACGTGTCAGAATTGACCAAAGGAGCACATCAACCGTCCCAAAAAAGCAACAAAAACTCATTAAAACCCCTTCCCAGCCCTTAGAAGAAAAAACAAGCAAAAATAAAAAAAACGAGCCTACGCCTCCTCCCGTTGAATAAGCAAATACCCCACCAATACGGCAAGCAACCCGTGTCCCAACTCCCAAGAACTCCCCCCCCCCGCCCCAGAAGAAAACGAAGAATACATCCGTACTCCGTACATGAAAAATAAATCACTTTCCATAGCCCATCCGAGAGACATGGCAGGGGGCATGTATGGACAAGGCCCCAGAGACCGCCCCCCCAATCTGCCGTCAAACCCCCAGCCCAAGCCCCTTTCAGAACGCGTGATGATGTGAGGTCTAAGAATTCGAAACATCGATCTCGAGAGTATGAGGGTCGTCCTAATATATCGAGCTCTGCCGGATCTGGAAATGTACTCGTACCGCACTGCCCCCAAAAGGGGACCGGGGGAATCTTGGCTAACCTTGTGACACCCCCGTTCCGCCTGGCAAAAAATGTCCATCTGGAATCTGTATCCGCATCTCACACAGATAGAGCTGTGTCGATCTTTGACGAACCAGTCAAGCCAGTGAGAGGACGATTTGCGCAATCGAAACCGAGGGACAGCCCAGCAACGACAACCAACGCGGCCGCACCAGCAGTAGCAATAGTAGCATCTTGTAGATCAAAGCTGGTCCTTGGCTCTCTCTGCCCTTCAACCCTCCCCCCCCAGCCGCTGGCCGGGTTCCGCATCTATCGATGCAGTGATGCGCAAGATCCGATGCGGGACCCTACACCATCTAACCCCCATTCATCCCTCCCTGCCCCCTTCCTCTCGTCAACATGCCCACGAAAGGCCAAGATCCGCGCGCCGCCGACGCCGCCGCCGCCGACCGTGCGGCCCAAAAGTCGCCTCCTCATCCCGGGGACCCGCCACTCTTGCGATTGGGTCACCCGGAAGGAAACCTCCTCCGTTAGGAAACGCAAGAGCGTGCCAACGGATGACCGGTGAAGAAGTGGATCAAAAGAAGGGGGGGGGGGGGGGTGCGGTGCTCAAAAGAAGCTGTCCACCTGGCATACAGGAAGCTATCACCGACATATGCAGCCTAGGGACTCTTCCGAAGAAGCGAGAGAGATAGGTGACCAAACTGCAGAGTAGCGCGCCTCTCGTACAACCTACATGTGTCGTCGACGACGACTCGCGTGCTTCTACAAATCGCGTAATCGAGACGAGAACCGATTCTCTGGGTCCTGGCTTTCGGCTTCGGCTTCAGGTGAGCCGTGATCAACAAAAAATCTACGAGGCCCCCGGCCCCTTTAGACCCCTTCCTCCCGAACCGACCTCCGACCACGTATCAGTGCGGTTGTGGCCTTGGACAAATATCTTGGCCTCGACAATCCGAGCCAGGCCAAACCAGCAGTCCTCTTCGGCGGATTCTTGGCCACTAACCTCCCCATGCTTTGCCACATGCGAAGAGCGCTAGCATCATCGTGGCTAGAGCAGAGGCGCGGTAGTTGCTCGTATAGCAATCAATCTTTTCGCGAAAAAAACCTTCTCTTCGTTGGCCATACCCAACGGGGTCATCCAACAAGTGACTATCGGATTGGGTACGAGATGCCAGTGCCCAATGTCAGGCCATATCGTGACTTTCTTCAGTGTCGTGCCTGAGACGATGTCACCCATCACACCCTGACTAGCAAAACTCACCGCACCTCGGAAGCTGTGACTTGATGAGCATGAGGCGGACGAGATGGGTCGCCAGTGAGCCTTGACAGCCCCGTCAAATGCTACCGTATCAGACAAGGCGCCGTCGAAACATGCCTGTCAATAGATTCTGTCTCGGAGAGGATCCGCCTTGCGCTGGGGCCGATCCGCCGGAAGCCCTCGGGCAGTAAACGCAAAGTCATGAACAACTGCCGTGAATCCTCGTTAATTAGCAGGTCGCCGAGCCTTTCATAGTCGGTGGAGTCTCATCATATCCCCTTAGGAAGGGGAATGGGCCCTAAGCAGACGAATGAGTCAAGGTCTCGGAGGGAAATAAGGTAAGGCCGGGACGACAAAACGGGTTGGGATGCTAGGTATGACGACTGACTTCAACGCTGGCGAGTGGTTGAAACAACTCTTTCGGGGAATCGAGGCAATGCTTGCTCAGTGACCCCGGCAAGAGATCGCCGTCATGAAGAACGCGCCTGAGCACGGCCGCCGTAACTATTGTGTTCAAGACCGCGATCCTGGATCATTGGCATTTCCAATCTGTCTACTAGGCGGAAAAGTGCAAAAGATCGCCGGCCTCACTTACAGCCGGAAGTCGAAAAGCGAAATGCCACAGAGCACGCGTGGATGATGACAAGGAAGAATGAGGTAAAGATAGTAAAGGTGCCCCCAGTCCGAAAGCAAGACAGAAAGAGAGAGAGAGAGACTAACGAGAAAGAGTCTGGTCCATGACAAGGGACTTCGGTCAACGTGGGGGAGGATAAAGTGATGGAGGAAGACAAAGTCAATAGTGTCTCGCAGAATCACCCAAAACCGATTGGTATTCATGCTTTGCAAAGGAACGAAGGCTCCTGATTCGTTTCCTGTTGCCATTCCCACACAGTATGACCATGATGTAAAGTGGAAGGTTCATGACCTGAGTGGTTTGGCTCGCGACCAGGTGATTCAGGTTGAGAGAAAAAGCAATAAAAATGAGGCCTTGCAGGAGACGTGTTCTGACAGGTCATTGGCAGCAGCACCTGGACACCTGCGGATGTCTCACTCCACCCACACAGGGCCGCCGGCAGGGACAAGAAGGAATTTCCCGCAGAGGGCCAGATACGGAAATGCCCTGTTTGGTTCTGCTAGATCTGGCCTCATATGGTGCTTTCGATCTCAAACAATAGCGTACGGCTGGAACGCTATTCGTTCCCCGGTGGCGACGAGAAGAAAGGAAGAACAAAATACCGGGTGAGCGTCAGCGAGATCTCAAAGATATGGCGGAATGGGTTTCGAGAAGCGACAACATCTTGCATCATTTGCAGCGTTCCTCGCATATAACGACCTTGACTCTGCGCCCGCGACAGACTGAATAGAGACAGCCAGTCATCTATGTGCACCGTAAACCTCCCATGAAAGGTTCCAGTTCCCGTGATCATATGACGGCGCACCTCCGTCGATCTAGACGGGCGAGCACCTGAGGAAAAAGCAAGCAAACGGGCGTCCAGATTAGGTCGTTTAGTTTTGCCGACAGGCCCAACGTCGTAAGGCTGAATAGCGGGAGCTAGGCACATTGTCAAACTGGTCCGGTGCTAGACACCTTTTCTTTCTGACCAGTCAAAGAAAATGGTTGTCGGAGTATTAACAGAACCGCTGTACACATGGAATCGGTACTTGTCGTGACGTCTGGCATACATTCTGCCCTGCGATTCAACTGAAGACTCGCTGTACCGGTCAACATGTGTCGCTGCTATACGCGGTCGGCGTCTGGGATCTTAGTGGACATGAGGCGCAGAGAAGGACGGTCTCCATGATTCGGAGCGGGCGCGCGGTATGCAGTACGGTGTTCGCAATTGGTGCAACAGCCATGCCTGATTCGTCCTTGTAACGTTGGCCGTTGGTGCGCAATAAGGAAAAGACAAGGAGGGGGGAGAAAGGAGCGTTATGGCCGTGGTCTGATGTCGAGAGACGCCAACCATTCAAGTGCGACGGGATACTCCAGGCACAATGCCAACCCTCCCGACAAATCGCCGGGGTAGAAGAATTGAAGGTGGTGATCGAAGGGCGGCGGTACGCTGTCGATGCGGCCAGCGGTTTGAAAAATGTAAAGGGTGGCGCTGCCGCGAGGGCCGAGGGGTCAAAAATGAAGCATACCGCCAATGTCGCACTTCGAACCGAGAAACTATCGCTCCTCACTCGTGACTTGTAACTCATTGAGTCCTGCATCGGCATGGCCAGCCGCATTGCCGTAGAGCCGGGACTCTCTCGCCTGCTTGCGTCTGTCGAGTCAGCTTCGTCAGCCACTTTGCCCCCGGACCACGACCTTTGGCCATCATCTCGTCGGATACTAGGCGGCCAGGCTCAGTAGGATCTCACATGTTGTCATTGCCAATCGGTTGGTACTAAACATGATCGATCGAGTGACGAAAGGATGTGATCCTGTGTGCCTATCAAGCAGGTGAGGTGTTGAAACCACTCAAAGCAACGTTGTATTCCACGAATGGGAAATGCCCCAACACAGCGAGCGAGGCGAGAGCGGTCGTAAGATCCAGGGTGCCAAGGTTCCAATCCAGCGCCTGCTGTCGTTCCTCGGCTGAAAGGCTAGGTAAGTACAGTTAGGTCTCTTCTCGAACATGGCCCCTCGCACTGTGAAGGAACTGTCGATTCTCATGTGAAGTGATCCATGGGCCGTCACTTGTTGGAAGTCGCTTGCCAGAGATCCGGCCGTGGGTACGTCCGTAGTCTTGGACTCGCGCAACTTGACGTCGCCTCAATGGCCGGGCATAGCGCCGTTTCTGTACCAGATTTCCGTGGGCTTGCGGCGTGGGGTTGTTTCAACGGGCGAGCAATCGACTCGGGCTCTTTCTGACCTGATCTCGTTGCCGAGACCTGGCAAGAGCATGGGGCTGCCTGTCTCGCCAACCACTCTAATCTCCTTGCCGGGAGGGCCTTGAGTGTGTTAACCACATGGCCGGGAAGCGGGGTTGACGGCCTCTTCGGGCGCTAGACAATTTCTTTTCCAGCTTCTGACACTGCCGACGAGACGCTGGTCGCTGGAGACGCGCCTGAGCCTGCTGATGACTGGAGTTGATATGCCGATACACCGTAGTTGTGCCCCAGGAGTCGGACCATTTTCTGCACCATATGTTTGGCTACCGTCGCCCGAGAGCTGAGGGTATAGATGTTAGTGCCGATGCAGTCACTCTCACCGGTCGGGCTCCCTGGTCCATAGCCCCCTTCGATCCATCATGGATGGGGGGTGAGTGGTATTGTTCGTGACAGGTTATTTGCCAGACTGAAATGCGAGATGATGGTGCGCGTGTGTGTGGATTGCGTGGCAGACCGATCTCCAGATCAGACGATCGCACCATGAGCCAAGCGTAATTGGCATGTCAGAGCCAGATCCTAGGGAATCGCTGACGAGGGCCGGGTGCATCGCATCTAGTGAGCGCTTCAGCCCGAAGGCGCTGCTCCTTACTCGAGATACTCAAGGATCAACGATACGTCGAATTCTGCGTCGACGCGCACCCAGGTTTGCGGTGTTGTGCACAGGCGAGCTTGGGGCGGTGGTTGCAATGAAGAATTTTCTCCCAACCTCGCTGATCCGCCGAGGCTTGTTTTTGTCGTTGTTGTTAAATACGTCTGACCAGTCACTCATAAACACACGGCAGCTCGATAATCATCACGCGCTTTCAACCAGTGTGGGCGGGCAGTAGTTGTTGCGCATCTGTACTGCTCCAGCATTCTGTCGGCGAATTTTGACGGCCATCGCGCAAGGCGCATTCGCTTGGCATAGTGTGGGCATACAGGCAACGATCTTCGCGCCAGTATCTTTTTGGGCTTCAACGTAACCACGCGGCTTATGGTTGCATGAGCAGTCACCGATTGCAGGGACGGCAGATCATCAACTGACCAGTATGGGCATCTTTTGCTGGTGTGAGCGAACGATCGAGTGATGGTAAAATGCGACCCTACCTATCAATGCAACTAGGACGGCATATTGACGGAGTGATGAAGCAAAGAAAGGGTAGGGTCATCCAGATCCTATCGCGGACGGGGCAGCACCGATGGCCTCGCTTCGGGTCAGCCTGTCGTCTGGCCCATGAGCTTGAGCCACATGGTGAGTCGTGAACTAATTAGCTGCCATCGCCTCGGACTCGGGACCTGCCTGACACATCCTTGAGCAGCGCCAAGCAGCGACGCAGACGTGTTTTGTTCTCGAGAAACTAAGGTCGGCCGCACTTTCAAGAGCCTGGTGTGGTCATACCTCGTCGCATGCAGCCCTCGTGTGTGCAATGCGAAAGCAAAGCAATAGATGGAGGGATTGTGGACACCTGGTGAGATAGAAGGGAATGACGGCACATCGACGGCCACAGCAATCCGTCTGTATTGTGGGTGGCTGCATGTGTCAACTGCAATGTGACTTTGGATAGCGGCCCGGCATATCGACCCAAGGTCGGTGAGGCGGCACTGGCTTGCGAGTCGAGCTGCCAGCTACCTGCGCCGGGATTTGAGAATGGGGATCTGTATATGGAGCTGGAAAACAAACATGAGTACAGAGTAAATTGAGCATGATCTGACATATCCGGCGGCAGCAACGTAGCTGGGCCGAGTCGAGATGAAGTCCTGGGGTATTTAGCCGGTGCTAAGGGGCCGATTCATTGATCATCGGTCCGACGCCATTTCAAGCGGCATCTTCTCCGAATGACTGTGGTGCTCATAGATTATTGGGATTAATGTCGTCAACGTGTGGTCTTGATGGGAAATCCTCTGCACTCTGGTGTGAACAAGGTCGGAGGGAATCGAGGAACCCGTACCATGGGAAACTACACAGGTACCGCATCGCGACTTTTGGATACTTGAGGAGTACATCCAAACCCATGTCGAAACAGCGGAAACGACCCAGTGGAATAGTTGAGATGTGATGTTTTGATAGCGATGGCCGGATCTGGCACATGGCCCAATAAAGCGGAGCGAGGCGTATGAAGGTGACAGCTATGATTTGCTCTCGTAATGGAGATGGCTTCCTGAAGAGGCAGTAATCCCGTTTAGATGCTATTGGATCGGTGTGCCTCCATCGAGCGGAAAGTCAATCGAGTAGCGTATAAATGTGGTCGACCGGGGAGTGACGTGGACCAGGGCTGGTGTTTTATATCGGGTGGTGGCAAGCCTGCATGAGATCGTGAGAAACGCGCAAGATCCCGCAAGAGACGCCGAGGTGTCAGCAGGCGATCTCGTCCATGGGTAGGCAGCGGACGCAGCGCTCACCGAAGTGGCCGTGGCCGCGAAACTTGTGCCCAGATGCTAGACGGTCTGGCTCCGCTCCTCGCAGACGAGATGACCAACGGTGACGGCGGCAACAGGGAATGCAAAGAGGGGGGAAAGGGGGGTGTAGGCACATCGCGCGACAAAAAGAGAGCCACTCGTCGAGCCAGGCTGCCGAAAGGAGATGTGCTTGCTGATTTGGGAGAGGCAGTGACCACGGCGGATTGCTAAGAGGATTGCAGGTAGCCTGAGGTAGGGTTGCCTGGATGTGCAACGTCGATCCCATCTTGGTTGGTCGTAGGTACGCGGCAAGACCAGGGCATAGGGAACTTGGCAGGAAGCAAGCGGCATAAATCCTGCAGATGAAGTGAAGATGCGGTAAGGAGATCAGAGAGGCGATAGACTAGGGTGTGGCGTGGATGTGTTGGGGTGCTTGCTGCTCGCCTCTCTACAGAGTATCCCCCCCTCCCTCTCCGGCCATCAGCACCCGGAGATGCAGGCCATACGTCCGTTGCGACGCCAGGGTTGAAGCCATGTCAAGCCGCGACAGGCACTTGTTGCTGGCGCCGGTGCAAGAATCACGGCATCTCGGGTCCTCGAGTGAAACGGGTACACCTCCTGATCTAAAGTGCTTCGAGATCTCAGCCAGAGGTCGCATGCCCGGTAATATCAAAAGGTCGGGGCTCAGGCCGAAAAAAGACCACGACGATACGATAATGGGGAGCAGGCGGAGGAGGATGAGACGAATATGATGGTCCGTGTGAGCTCTACTTCAACTCTGCATGTACGGATATGGATGACAGAGTATCCGAACTCTGTCCAAGACTCGGGGGGCCTCATTGTCCATACGCATAATGCGGTTGATTGTACGGATAATGGCGGAGACGACAGCGGCGGCCGGACATGTGCCTTTTTTCTGCCCGCATGTCAAGGGCGCGTGGATGGAGAGAGAGTCAAAGCTGGAGATGTGGGCCGCTTCATCGGAACCCGCTGGTGAGGTAGGCGCAGACGATGATCGGTTTGAGGTTCCGTGATCCTGGGTAATAGTACCAGCAGGGCAGCATTGAGAAGGAATATCGAAACTTCGATCGTGGAGAGGGGGGTGGTCGGCAGGTTGGGTTGAGCCCTTGCGAGTATCCGTACTGTGTACTGAGTAGTCGGGAGCCACAGTGCGTGAGAGCGTCTGCCTCAGCAGCGAGGACGCCGAGGAGTGAGGAGAGGAGGAGGAGGAGGAGGAGAAGGAGGAGGAGAGGCCACCAACGGGTGCTCGGCCGTTTCAACTCTAAACTCTTTCGAGAAGGAAAGGTGGAGAGGTGAAGGGCAAGCGAGATCCCAAGGGGACGTCGGGAAAACGCCATTTTGGCATCCGCCTCAGCTGTCAAATGACGGGAACACTCCACCGTGCAGGGAACTAGCACAACCACCCGGTGGAAGCGCAAGGTACGAGGGACGTGTGGCGGAAGGGGGGACTCTCGCAGGTACCGGCACCTTCTCAGGCTGCCTTTTGCGCCGTGCCCCTTCCAAGATTTCAACGGTCGAAAGTAGCGATACTTGTAAGCCCCACGTGCAGGTGTACCTATTTCAAAAAGTCAACAGCAGCCCACGCACATCGACCGGGCCAGGGAACCTTGGAAGGAGTGGGCAACTGCCAAAAGGGCAAGAAGGGGCGAGGGGGTAGACTGTAGCGGGCATCAAAGCACAATTCCGTTACCAGCACCAACCTTGCCCGTTCATCTGTCTACACGAGACGAGCGGAAGCCAGTGAACCTTAGTTGATAGATGGTGGATCTGGAGAGGAGGCGGTAAGGCGAGTCCGAATAGCGTCCACTTGTTATAGCATTGAGGAATAGAGTTATGCTACCCAGACTCTGAGGCGGGTGAGGTCCGGTGCTCTGCTCAGGTACTGATACTGTAACCGCAAAGCGTTTTCTGACCTCGGATATTGCTTCTCTGCTGTCGGCGTGATATTCTCCTGGTAACGGCCCCGGTACGAACAGCCCATGCGTGTTTCTTGTCTCTCCACTCAGAGCTCCAAAGGGAACCGAGACATCGTCCATGAGCTCGATTCTGTCAAGATCAATCGACCCGACTAGCGGCTAGCCCCATGATGTGATGATTTCGAAGAGGAAATAGACCAATCCTGGTTGATAGTGATGGTCAGCGACAGGGGACCGGCATAAACAGAAGAAGTGGAGAATACCTTCTCTTTTCCTTCTCACCTGCTTCCATCACTCGAGGCTCGAGCGCGCGAGGCAGCATTTCAAATCTTTTCAGTGGATGCATACGAAATCATACCTACGAAGGTACCACAGAGACGAAATCGGAGGGGACAGGTACCTTCCTGTCTCCCATGCATAAAGACCCTCAGGGACAGGGAGGCATGATTAGCACAGCGCGGGACACGCTGTCCGAGGCCGTGGCGGGTCCAAAATCATGAACTTTCTTAGATTGGGGGGATCCAACCGATGGGGGCAGATGCAATCTGCTGGAACCTGCGCCGACTTTGAAGTGGACCAAAGCCGCCTCGAGAGAAAGACGAGTGTGCCGTAGTCCTGCTTCGACGAGCTGCATCTGTGATACCACGGGTCCATCGGTCTATGGCCGCCAGTGGGAACGACATCTGGACTCTGGCTCCAGCCTCCAGCCCATATTTCCCACAAAGGGGGGACTTGCATCGAAGAGAAGAGCCTCGCTATACTTGGACTGATTGTGACAATCTCAATAAAGCAACGATCCTTCTGACGCCGAACTTCCCTGTTGATGCATTCAACCCCAGTACAAGAAGACCTCCTTGACGGATCAGAGTACCGTGGCTACTCTGTATTCTATGCATGGCTTCCCTAAAGAGGGAGAAGCTTTGTTCGGTGAACCAGGAGCTACTGCTGACGACAAGGTTCGCATTACTTCACTCAATCTTCTGTTCGTCTTTCAGCGGAAGCCACCTGCGTATGAAGATGCGCTTAAATGTCTGGCATAATGCAGACCTTCAACGTCGCCTTATCGCGAAGAGTCGCATCTGCTGTTCGAAATGGAGGCTCTGTGGCTCTGCACCACCGATGACTTTGGAGACTGTGCTACGTCCGATTCGCACAAGATCAGCGAGATATTGCGAGCCACCTGCATTTTTGCTAGGCTCAGGAGTCCCAAAGCTTGAAGCACGTGCAACTTTAATGCCCTCAAAAGTAGCCGAGGTTGACAGAGATCTTTGACAATGTCATGTGAGGTCATCACCCTAAATGTTGTACGCGGACTGGTGCCGGAGTGGATCCTAGAGATTTCAGGGTAAACACCCCCGGAGTGAGATCCGGCATTCTACACCTCTTTACTAGGCGAACCGAAAGTTGTGCTGAGCACCGTTGCGACAAACAACCAGGCTTTGGCCAGGCAAGCGAGCGTTATACATGCCTCCGCACAAGCATTATCGAGTGTGATTGTGTAACCACCGGCGGGGTAGAGTGCTACCTTACGTCGAATGAGGCAACGGGCCGTTTGGTCGTACATCAGGGCGCATATCAACGGAAGCCTTGCCAGCGAGTTAGTTTTGTTCACTAATCACCTTTCTGATGACAGTCATAGGCAAATTTCACCAAGCCTCGCAGGACAATGTACGTTGTCGACCTTTGCTGGGGACCGCAGTCATCTAATGAGGCTGTGATTCGCAATGTCTAGGGCTGCCTCGACGTCTTTGGGCAGCCGCACTCAGCATCAATTGTCACCCGAAAGTGCCCTGCCAGAATCGATCGTCCCGACCTACCTAGGTTAGCCACGTATACCCATGAGGGGCTTTGCCAAGGTGGAAGCTTCAGTGTCACAACTGGCGAGGGAGAGGGGAGCACACAGGCTATAGCGGTCGCATCTCCGTCAATTGAAGATGTTAGCAATAACTGAAGATGTAGTAGGCTTTGCAAGGCCAGGTACTGTACAATTGGAGCCTGTTTCCGACGTCAAGTTTTGCTGGTTCGAGAGAAGCTGCAGTCCTGGTAGTATCTCTGTCTTTTCTCGCGTGGCCGGGCATCTGACCTCGTCCACGGTTCGGAATGGCACCTCGCGTATCCCGGCATCAGACAGCTCCACAAAGCTGCCGGGCTTGCTACGAAACGTACTCTTGATAGGCAAGGCTTTATCGTTTCTGCGAAACATGAACCCTGAGTAAGTCGAAAATCTTCGTCGAGCAGGCGAATTTCATCCGAGAGTTTCACAGGGAGGCTTGCAGACGGAAGCTCGTCTGTGCATATTTGATTCCGTATCTATATCGGACATCTTCTTCGCAGCCTCTGGCGGAGATACTCAGGTGCGGCTGATATTCCGTTGCGCACAGGCGATGATTCCAGACGCGATAATGGGGGGCCTGGAACATGTACGAATATAGGAGACATGGCGCCAGCAATGTGACAGCCATATCCCAGTGCAGCCAGGGTATGTGAAACCTGATATTGACATTCCGTGCCAGAACTAGTTATGTTTGGTCTTCTGTCGACTCGCCGTGGGAGGCATGGTCCCCAACTTGACGGCAGTCCTGCCAAGTCGATCTCTGAGATGATGACCGCATTGACTGGGAATTGGTGGTTGGGGCAACGTCTCGGACGGGAGAGGTTCCTCGTCTGTGGAACAGGAATTGGGCCTCTGCGGTGTAGAAGTGTCAGAGTGCGGAACAGAAGGAAAAAAAAAGAAGGAAAGAAGGCATCGCATGTATCATTACCGGCCTCTGCACGGCGCAGTGTCGTCGATCGCGAGAGGCGGTTCAGAGCGACCATCTATGACGCCGTCGGTGACGCAGGATGGACCACCAAGTTACCTCGTAATCGTTACCAATCTGTTGACGGAAAACCTTGGCCGCCTAAACGGAGGGTAAGGTGTAGTAGTCTTGTATACCACGCCAAACACGTATTGGTCCACCCTGTCAAGACTCCATGACAGTCGAGCCAGTGCAGATTGCCAGCCGAGATGCGGTACTCCGTACTGGAGTCCGTTTGAGACGTAGATCTTTGGCGGTTGCAGATCTGATGAACAAAAAATGACAGGAAATCTGCAGCCCTTTCGTCATTCAGGTTGCGACGCTGTAGTGTATTTCGTTGGGCATCAGTGTTCAAGCACAAGAGTTGGCGCCTTGGTGAATGATTGCCGGGCGCCAACCTGGTCTGGCCCCCAAGGGCACGCCGTAGAAGCGGCCACTTAGACAGCTCTTACTCAAAAGAGGCTTGAGAGGCTTAAGATGAGACCTGTAGATCCTGCAACTCTTTCGTGGGTGCATTTGAGTTTGTGGAGCCGAAACATCAGAAAGTCGGGATTCAGAAGGGTAATGATCGACACCAATACGCGACTGGCTTGCAGGCATGTTGTCCGAAAACTGTGCGCGCAAATTGCGTACCCAGGGGTCGACAATCGCAGTTGTCAGTTCGCAGAGGCTGGGCGGTCGGCGCGACAGAAGTGGATAGGGCAGCAATTTTGCTTTCTACTTTGAACCTCTGTGATGCTTTATTTTTTTCCCCCGGTAAGTTCTGAATCCAGGTTTTGATGATATGCCGACGATAGAGACAAATCACCGACTTTTGAGCCGCACGTATCAAGGAAGCTTAGCGTGTGGCATCTTGGTTGTCAGATGCAGTTAATGTACGCAAGCCAGTGCCAGCTCTGTTAACAGTCTAGCGGACCCAGATGTTGATCCGGCGTGCCTGCAGTCAGCTATTAGCTATTCCTTGGAACGACAACAAATACCTTGGTGTTCGTGGGATACGAATACAAATAGGGAGTGACTGGCCGGGGTGTATGCAAACTTGGGCGGCAGAACGGCAGGGCTGGAGACTCCATGCTCGAGGAAGGCTCGTTGCCATTGGGTGGGAAAGATATGATACGATTCAGCATCCCAATCGGCTGGGAGGAGGGGCCGTAGGTGGAGAGACGATTTTGTTGTTGACTGGCCAAGTTGAATGGCTCTAGCATCCCCTGTTCGTCGCGGATGCACCGAGGCGGGGCCAGGCGAAGCGCTAAGAGCCGTTCAGGAAGGACCCCTGATTTCCATCGACAACGTTGGTGCCAAAAACACAGTACAATTAACGAAGTGGGTTGGTACTTGGCGAAAATCTGGCCGGCGATGAGTACGGAGTCCGTACATTGTGTACGAACAAGCGCACGTTGAACGAGCGGGAGGTAGATGGGGATCTGGGCGCTTGGCCGCCGCCTTGCTACGGGAATACGAGACGTGATGATGCAGCGAGATAACTGAGAGCGATGAGGTATGGTAAGTGATGGTGCCTGGGCATTCATTGGCTTGCGGTGCGAGTTCATCCAGTCGAACCGGAGGCAGTCAGGCTGGCCGATATATTGGCCGCGTGCCGGCGAGCTGCGTCGGGGTTCTAGGACGCGTCTCGCAAGGTAAGAATCCCCGACGGCTGCTTATTTTCGATGCCTTTCAGGGTATGACAGTCGCGGATCAGGCTGGTCCGAAGGGGAAGGCATGTTGGCACTCCCCATCGAACTAGACTTGTTACCATGTGAATGGTAACACAACGTAAACGATGAAGCGGCCCATGTTCTTCGTGGCCGCTGTTGCAGATAATGTACTCGGTACGCCAGTCGAATTTCCTGTACAAGTTCAAGGCGGCTCATTCTGCTGAGGTCGTTACTTTGGTGTGGCCCCTTGATCGGCGCCATCGTGAGTTAGGCATCTGTAGGGTGCGTCGTTTGAGTGTCCAACTCTGATCATTTCTCTTCTTTGTTAGTATATCGTGGAGAAGAGCAAGGGGCCTGCGTTCTGTCGGTCGCCTACTCCGTAAACTCCATGCCTCTGGCCACTCGGGAAGATGGAGTCATGGGAGTGATCAGGGCTGGTAGCCTGGGGCTACTCTGACATCTGTACGAAGTCGAGCGGTTAAACCAGATTGAAGACCAGGATGTAGAGGGTTGCATAGTGAGTGCAGCAGGTCAGCAATAAAGATGCGCAGTGCGACCAGTTGTAGACCAACGTTCCGCTGGTCAATGTGAACTATCACAAGGCGGATTCTATCAACCAGATTTTCGGAGTGAAAATCTGACAGGCCAAGTTGGACTGTGCGAGATGATGGGGTGGGCCGGGGGGATTGCAGCAAAAGGGAGTAACCGTACATATGCAAGAAGACGCTCGGTCAACGACCGCCAGCCATCAAGGCTTGGGTGGGAGTAAGCGAAGCAGAGACATGGGCATGATATGACGTACGGGGTTGGTGGTGGGTACGAGATGTCGATGGTGTGTCTTGATGGACGGGTGACTTGAAGGGTATTGCAATGGACTATGAGGATGGGAACTGGCACTAATATCGGTGACCAGCATGGGTTGGCGAGGCAGAGAGGCAGAGAGAGAAAGAGAGAAAGAGACGCAGACAGGGGAGGGAGGAAAGAGAAAGAAAAAAAGGGGGGCGGCGGGGGGGGGGGGGGGGGGGAGAGGGGAGAAAAGAAAAAGAGAAAAAGAGGGGGAAGAGAAAAAAAAAAAAAAAAAAAAAAGGCAAGTGGACAATGTGGAGAACATCTCACGACGTTTGGTGGGTGCGTATCTGGGAAATGCTCGGATGGATCTGGATTACCTAAGAGAACGGGCCCCATCTTATCCGATTTCCATCTTTTGAAATCGCCCAAGGCCACAAGGCAACAGGGAGGGGGGTGGGTTCGATGGACACCTTAGGAACCTTAGTGAATGAACTGGACGGCGAGTGGAGTCCTCCAGTGAGCCAGGTCACCAGGTGTAGACTTGTAGTGACCCAGTGCTGAAGGAGAGGATGCGACGAGCGAAAGGTAGATATACCTAGAGTTTACTGTGCCATCTCATGTCGCTTTCGGGTTCTAATTAGCGAGCTTCGACTATACATGAACTGGCAGCAATGTCAATCTAGGTAGGTATCTCGTAGGTTCTGATACCTACGGGTACTCGTTACACGATCTCATCTTGGGCTTTTGGCAAGCTCCGAGGCCAGATTGTGTCAGGGAGTTAGCTGACAGCTCCAGGTTTAATTAGGATCCAGTGTCTACGGATACCCGACCTTGCAAGGCTTTCAGGTGGGCTTTGGCACGTGGTCACCGTAGGGAACTTCAGCGCTACCTACGGATTCCCGTGCCCTGCCCAGAACATATCTCAGGGCCTCGATTATTACTGCCCGGGTTCGTGAATCAAAATTGTGAATTGTCCCCAATTTCATCCAAATGCCTCGGACTTTCTTTCCCGCTGTCCCTTCCATCCATGGCCAGTCCGAGGTTTAGGGCAAGTGGGAGAAAGGCGTACCTGTACCTGACTCTACCTTACCTTACAAATTGGTCAGAGCGTATTCCTTCCTTTTGTATTTCCTCTCTCCTTCATTTGAAAATACCCAAGTTCGGGACGGCGACGCACCGGCGCGGTCCATGTTTGGGCCGAGAGATGACAGATTGGAGCCTTGAAGCCTTGGAGCCTTGGAGCCTTAGCCTTTGCCTTAGCCTTGGTGCCTGAGAGGCTACCTATGAAGCCGAAGAAAAACTTATCCCGACGTCAGTCCAGTCGGGTTCGGACCTAGGTCCGGGCCCTCTATCTCATCAACACACTTCACCGTTGCATGCGATTCGCTTGCCTGTTTATTACCCTTTGTTTCATCGCTTGGCAGAGAGATGCCCATCGTCACCTGCCAGCCCCCCCTGGCCTGGCTCAGACTACAGCAGTCCAGTATTTGCACACCTGCCAGTGGCAGCCATTTGGAATATCAGCGTGCTGCAGCTTTGCGAGTAGCTCTGAATCCCTCTGAGCAGCTTCGAAGCTTGGTACGTCTCGCTGATCCCCTCTTCAAATCTCATTGCGAAAGGCGGCACCGGAACCTTGGAAAGTGACATGAGGCACCCAGACGCGTGCATAATACCTGCCATCACCCTTGCGAAGGACCTAACGACGTCCCCTGGTCACGGACATCTGACATCCAAATGTGCCGCCCGGTACCTTGCCAATTCATCAAGCTCATGCCGCTGCCAACCTCACAAGGACAGGGTGCCGTGAGGGATCACACGGGTTACCTTGAGCTTGAGCTCGAGCTTCCGGCGCCAGTTGTCTCCCCCTCTTCCAGTCCTTCCCCGCTCCCTGTTCGTCGGCCTCTTCATGATAGGACCCTTGCCCTGTTCGACTGGATGCTTGCAAATCTTGGGGCCGTGACAGCGAACAAAGTAGCTATCGAGGGACCGTCCGGGGGCTCGAGGAGAGTCACCGCAAGCTTCGTGACATCGCTAAGAGGAGGATGGATCAAGGATGGCTGGAAAGAAATGAGGGCTCCAAGAGTCAAAGGCCCAAAGCACAGTTTTCATCTCACACCACTGCCTGGCATCCAGCCGGCAATCGAGACGTTGCTTCTGTCACGTTCTTCATCGACGAATTCGTGGCGATGGCTTGACCATCACGGCGTTTCTGATGCCCAGTCACTCCCGCATGTTCATTGCCGGTCTTCACGCGAACTGTCACAGCCTGTCCCAGTCACTGTCCACCCTGCCGAGACGAGGCGGAACGCAGCCACTAGACTTTCAATCGAAGCACATCTAAAACCGCCCGCACCATTCATCAACTCGCCGCAGCTGCCACACCACCAGGTCAAACATCGCCAGCATTGTCGCTGCTTACCACAGCACCTAGAGCGACTGGCATTGCCAACGCCGACGCCGACGCTGTCGTTAATTACTGGTGACTGAACAGGATTCCGCTGCAGTCCCACACTCATCATCGATCATGATCCCAGCGAGCCCCCTGCCCAGCCGCGGGACCCCCTCGACAGCCAATCTGCGATCCAGCCGTGACAGCGGGCCAATTATCATGGGGCTTCTCCCCTACGTAGCGGAAAGTCGTACCATTTTCTCTTCGTCGTCAGATATTGGCATACATAATACTCGAGTGGAAGGGCACTTACCCGTAGTCGAGACTACGGGTGGGTGCTGAGAGCCTGGAACTCGGAACTCCAAGGCAGTTCGAGTGTGTGTGCGTCCTAAACTCTGAAATGGCTGGAGCTGGATCCAGGCATGCACTCGTGCCCTGCGAGCCCTTCCTGAACAGTCGTGGTCGCCGCACAGCACCATGAGAACCTACCGTCTCCCGGAGTATTGTCTCCAACGTTTGATGTTGAGCCACCCTGCATCCATCGCAGCCAACTAAGAGCACCACTCGACGGAATGGAGATGCTGCTGCCTCGTACCACGTCCCGTCCCTCGGCAAGGAAACCACAGGACAGTGGCTCGAGTAGCCTAGGCCAACAGAGACCGCACGGAGCGGATCAAATCCCAAGAAGTGAAGCTCCGAATGCAGGCCATCTGCACATCAGTCAATCAATCGAGGTTCTGTCGCCGCCAATCTGGGTGCTAAAACCTGTCGCCTTCGTCTCACCCCGGCCCGTCGACTGGATGGATACCTTGACAATACGATGCGTTACCTGACTCCCCCGGGCCCCTGTCTGCTCTGACCGGTACATGCACACGCATCTCCCTCTGGCCCCAGGCGGTTCAGTCCAACACACCGCACATCTGGTCCCCGGGCATCGATTCCTTGCTCCCCTCCCCTCCCCCCCCCCCACAAACCCAAGAACACTTGGGAAGGAAGCAGGGAAGGGATCTGGTCCAGCAGGAGCAAAGGGAACAAGGACGTTCCGCCGTTGAGGCACTGTACCGAAAGCCTCCGGTGGCCCCCCTGTTGCCGCGCAGGTACCTCTGTACTTAACATACATGCAGTATATGCGAAATATACGTCCACTCAGAAATCACACCTAGCCCTGGGCGTCAGTCCGTCGCTGGTCTCATAATACCTCTGTCATCTCCTCTCATACTTCGCACATTCGTATGCCCTCCCCCTTCTTCCCTTTTTTTCCTGCTTCTCTCTGTCTCCCACACATATCCATCAAAGCTCCCTCTATTCCGACGTTCCAAATTTTTTTTAGAACTACCTTTATCACATCCAGTTAACTCACACCAATTCCTATTCTTCGTGTCAGAATCCAGGCCCAGAATCGGCAGACGCCGGCCGGTGATAAACCCCCGCGCTTAGACAAGCGATCTCTCGCCACATCTCATACGCCGACTCATCTACTTCAACTTTACGGACGGCGAGCGAGGCACAAGCGCCATATGAGCCAGAGCTTCGATTCTACGTACACGCATTCTGTCTCTTCAGCACCTTGTTGAAAGGCGCCCGCTTCCCAAGACACTAGACCGGCACCACAAAGCATCGGCACCGAAAAGAAATTCAGACTTCCCACCGGTCCAGGTTCACGGTATCTTCGCGAGCCCACGCCCCTCCTCGAGTCTCACTCCCAGACCCAGTCGAAATTAGCCCCCTCAGACTGGTCTCGACGAGGGATTCCAACAGTGTGTCTTGGAAGAAATATCCAAAAAGCCGCCACAAAGAGCAGCGTGGTAACTTGACCAACGCTAGGCGGCTTTTCTTTCTCAGCTCCGGACCATTCGACACACCCAACTGGAGCCAGCATCACCCCCGATCTATTGCCCCCTCCTTCCCACCCCTTTTCAACACCCACACCCCCCCACCCCCTACCCCCCTAAGGAAGATACATGCGGTGACCTTCCCGTCCCGCCACCACGCACCACACACGCGCCCGATAGCTTGATCAGATCTTGCCTACCGGGTACCCAGCTGGAGAGAGGTTCGACTAACCTAACCTAACTTCGTCTTCTCGTCCCAGGCCAAGCCACACCACACCACACCACACACTTTGTCTTTGGTTGGTTTGGTTTCGCTCTCCCATCTTTTTACCTACTTGCTCTCTCTCTCTCTCTCACCTCCGCAACCTTTCCTTGCCCGGTTTTTATTCATACATGACTCTGAGCCTCCCACCTTGGACCATCCTCCCTATCATCTCCACCCATCTACACCAAACTTCACCGGACTCCCGTCTTGACACCGACCTCACGGACTAAGGCTCGCTCTCGTCCCCTCACGCCGTTGTCGAGTCAGATGCACAGAGACCTACGTTCGCATCTGGGGTTTTAATCACCACTCATCTATTCTCCCGGCAAACCCGCTATGGAAGCGGGCGGATCTGGTACTAGGCAAAGGTAGGTTCGATTCTCGCCGACGCCCACTCCCCTTTGGTCACCATTTGTTTCCCACATTGTGGCCCTAGACCAAACATTAATCGGACCTTTCTTTAAAACAGCCGTCCACCTTCTGCCAGCAACCCCGAACGCTTTGAGCCTTTTCATCTCCCACCTAGAGAGCCTCTCGATAATAGACACTACCGCGACGGCCCCGCCATGGCGACCGCAGCCCTTATTAGCCCGGCCACCCATTACGGCCATCCCTCGACCTTCTCTTCCGGCTATCAACACCACTCAGGTCCAGGACCAAGCATCGCAGGCATGATTTCGCCGATTGAGCCTCGCCGACCTTCAGATGAGACCGAGACCCCTCACCGACAGTCGCTCCCTTCGCTGTCCGAGGTCATATCTGGTGCGAAGCCCAGTCCTTACCCGCCCTCCCAGGCATCCAGCATGTCGGGCTCTCAAAACTTTCCTTCGCCCTTTGCTCCTGGACCTCCACGATCTTACGCCGAGTCAACGGATAAGAACTCGCCTCGGCCTCCTATCCATGCTTCGACGTTCGCGCCTAGGCAAGATGCTCTCCCAGCCATTTCAGATCCCCCGAGACCTCCTGCCTTCGCAGGCCGACCGCCTGCGCCATTGGGCGGGTTCTCTGCCGCTCAGCCCAGCCCGCCTCTCAAACACGAGCACATGCGCGAGGGCGATGCGCGTGCCGCTGAGAATGCTGGCCCCTATGCGCAACATTCCATTCCACCTCCGCCGACGATATATCCTTATCCGCAGCACCCTGGCCAGCTTCCGCCAGGACAAGTTCCTCTGCCGGCGTATCCAGTTTCCCCGCGTCACGCCGGTCCCCCTCTTCCTTCTCCTTACGAAGCCCAGCGTCCAACAGCTCACGGGGAGGACAATGAGTACGGCCCTGCACGGGTCCGGACACACCTTGACGCGTGGGGATATCAGGATTGCCTTTCTAGAGTGAGTGGCCCCGCTAAAAACTCGTGTCCGTCAAGCTTACCAATAAGTTCTCTCAGATCGGTGGAGCAACAAGAACGATCTATAACTTCGCCGAAGCCTACGGCAAAATTGCTGCGGAACAGCAAGGCGCTCATCCATTGCATGAAAGGCTTCCCACCGAGAGGGAATTGAACGACATGATCGATAACGTAGAGTACATCCGGAACTCGCTAGACTCGGTGCGACAAGTTGTTAAGGAGAGCAACGAACGTGTGCGAGCAGCCGGAAAGCAGAAGGGGTACGACGACGAGGATACACCAATGTATGACGGCATGAACAAGAACAACTATGGCATCACAGAGGTCAAGAAGCGCAGAGGGGTAAGTTTTGTCGATGATGCCAATTTTTTGTTGGAGAAACCAGAGGTTGATCTTGTGGGACAGAGAGCTGCACCTCCTGGAAGATGCCACAGCTGCAATAGAATCGACACCCCGGAATGGCGTCGCGGCCCCGATGGTGCGCGGACACTTTGCAACGCATGTGGACTACACTATGCCAAATTGGAGCGCAAGCGCCAGCTCGAAGCCCGACAAATCCGCCCCAAGCCCTCTGACGAGAGGAGCTAATGCCGCCTTGGTTAATGGGAGAAGCAGAGACACACAGTACATACCCGGGCGGGCTCTGGCTTCGATGGCTGTTCCATAGCCGGTCCGACATGACGGTTCGGCTTGGTTCGCTCCGTTACACGCAAACGTATGCACATATACACACAACAGATACCCCCTTACAGCTTACCAGCAACAACATCCACCCAGCAGCGTCCACACTGCGTTATCTTCAGACACCAGCAACAAACTGGCTACACTTTACTTTACTTTTCCTTTTCAATACCCGGCATCGACTTCATATTTGATTGTATATATCCTGCTCTTCAACATACTCATCGGACAGGCACCAAGGAATTAGGCATTCATCTGGCGGCGTTCACTACATTTGTCATCGACACTTTCCTCATCGTTTTTTTTTTTTTTTTGGTTTACAACTTGCAAAGGAAAGCGGAATATCGGCTTTTTAGACAAAACCTGGCGCCCACACAATTCGGACGCCAAAGATACGCCTTGGAGCGAGCAACCGCAGACCGACAGTCGATCGTTACCAGCGCAAGCAACGACTTTTCCTTCACATTTTCCTTGTCTGTGACTGGCAGGAGAGGATTTCCCGGCGAGGAACAAAAAATGTCGGGAGACGGAAGCATTCGATCAGTCCTATTGGGGAGGAGATGTAGGACGACGATGTCGGAGTCGTACTTCTACAAGAAGCAAGAAGGGGACCTTTTTCTTCCGACTTTGGCGTAAGGTCGTGACACTGGGCATTTCATCACTTGTTATTACACATCTTCTGGGAATCGGATGGGGATTCCCTTTTTCATGCCACGGACCATGCAGGGCACACACAAACACACAGTTTTAGCTGATTTTAATTGTACGAGTAGCCATACATTGGCGATATACCACGGGAGGCGGCGGCGGGCGGCTAGGAGCGGCGGAAAAGGAGGCGAGGAAAGGCGGCTCAGTGTAACCTACCCTTTCAAAGCAGGATTCAAGAAACCTGATGAGTAATCGAGACGTGCAGTTTCCAGACTTGGTTGCCATATTTCTTCACATGATTTGGGTCTGAAAAACGAGTTATGTGTGCGTGGAACTCCTTTTGGAGTGGATGGAGATATGAATCATCCTTTGTACGCGGATCGCCTTGCGTGTGGAACAGGTAGAGTACCACTGCTTCGCTCGTGACAAATTCCCCTGGTGCCCGGTGAGACGAGCAAATATGGACTGAATGACATTTGATGCAAAGAAACCAGGGTGAGCAATGAATGGGTTGGCTTACGTAGGTGATGGTGTGGATGCGAGCTGCTGGGGGAGTTTGTTTCTTGTTTTTTTTTTTTTTTTTTGGTGGTTATGTTCATCGATCTCTGGAGGCGCGGGTAAAGTGAGATGAGCGGGAGCGGGAATCTCGGGGACGTGGAGTGTTTATTTTCCCAACTGTTTAATGTGAGAAGTGACCAAGGAACTTTTTTTTCCCCCTCCCCAACGTCAGGATCCCACGTGGTGTGTGTGTGTGTGTGTGTACATGCCCGAGTAGAGTACCGACCTACCTCAGCTTACCTTTGACTACACGGCGGCAGACGCCACAAACAGATGTCAGTTTCGGTCCTGGCGTCGGTCGAGCCCGCATATGAGAGAGGGAGAGAGACAGGTCTGCGGTCCAGTGTTCTCTTCAACTTTGTTACTGATTGGTATTGTATCCATACCTTCTCCAGCCTTTTCTTCATCACCAGACCGCTTCTCCTTCCTACGGTGAGGACGGAAGGGGGGCTGTTTCGATTCTTGTGGAACATGAGCAGACAGATCAAGACAAAAGGCACCGATATTCTCAAGTGGCCTGCTGGGGGTTGGGGGGGGGGAATGCTTGTCTGGACACGAACGAACGAGGTAACGACAAGAATCGGGACGTAGATGCCGGCTCCGGCTCAACCGTCGCCAAATCGATCAACCTTTTCGCGGAACAAGGAATTCTTTTTTTTTTTTTTGCCTTTTTTTTGCTTTCTCTTTTAATTCTTCTTGTTTTCTTTTTTTATCTGTCCCAATCTGCCTGCCTGCCTGCTGCGCAAACTTTACATTCTATTTGGCAAGTGCCGGGTCGTGTTCAATCCTTCACTTGGCAGGAAGATCCCTGTAAGGCGGGCGTAGGTATACTATGTTTGTAGATTTAGGGGGGGGGGGGGAGAGAAAAGGGAACATGAGCTTATTATGTTTGCAGCTGCTAGGAAGGGATATACCTTGGGGAGCAACAGGCCTCCCCCCCATTCCCAGAGAGGCGAAGTGCCATGGCAGAGAGGTACTGTGTGTGTACAGAGTATGTGTATGGGTGTATTATGGGGGGATGGATGGAGATGGGAAGGGGAGAGAGATCAAAAGTACTCCAAAGATCGAGCGCTTTACAAGGCTTGTCCCTGTAAACTGCCGATGAGCTTTCGAGGAACGGGTGTGTGAGTGAGTGTGTGTGTGTGTGGTTAGACGGACGGGGGGTTTTGCGATGGCGTGCGCTCGTGCGGTTCACGGGGAGATAAGATGCCAAAAACTCTTTTACTCCGAGTATATACTTTTGGTATAACAACTAGCTCTTACTTTACGAGACAGTAATATAAAAAAGATGACGCATGAAGAGATAAGAGAAAGGAAAAGAATATATCACAATAAAAAAAAAAAAAAGACGTCAAGGTCCAGGGGTGATCTCGCAAGCGTGCACCGGCAGAAGGGGAAGAGGGTTTGGATCTCAGAGGTCGAAAAAGGTGTCACTTGTCATGGTTTTCCTGATCTGATCTGATGTACACCCAAGAGTCGGCAACCACATTCAGAGTTGATTGAACATGATGTGATATCTTGTTCCCGCTGCTTGATCCCTTGCCCACCGCCCCTCCCCATTCATCCATGCCCAATGCCTGGGCCCCCCCTCCAATGTTGCACGAAATACGCATGTATACTTGCTCGCCTGGTCGTCAGCAGTCATTAAAGAACGAATCTACGGGCCACCCCTCCCCCCTCCTTCAGTCTGAAAGCGCTTGTCAGGTAATGTAGGGGGTTGGCAGAGATCATATCATGTATACATACTCATTCTGGTCATATTGTGGGCATTTTAATTGGTAGGTCGCAAGGCAGCGAAGCTGGCAAGGCGACCGCATCCTTTCTTCGGGAAGTCGTGTAAATCACCGACGCATCTCAGCTTTCTCTGGTGACACAAAGGTAGATCGGGGAAGGGCGAGGGGGAGGGCGGACAAGGAGGCAGCAGGGTGGGCGTGGCTACCGTGATGTATAACGACGTGGTATCCATATCCAGGGAAGGCAGATATACCGTGTAGTCGCGCGTCGCCGATTCCGCCGCGTGCAACGTTGGCAAGGTATGGAAGGGTACGGTATACCGTATTTACGGGGTGGGTAAAGAGACGGGGACACACACACACGCAGAGAGAGAGAGTCACTTGTTGTTAGGGTGTAACGAGAGCAAAGAAAGGACCTGATACAAAACCGGATACCTAGCGTAAAAGAGGGGGGGTCCTAGATCGCAGAGACGGGTAGTCTGCTTGTTCAAATCGGTGTCTGTGGGACGTCGTACGGGTGGGTGAGGAGGGTAAACTTGCCTCTCGTCCTTCTGTGCCCTCCTCTTGTGCCAAGTTAGATTCCCCGTAATAAGAACCGGTTTGTCGTTCCCGCGCGCCGTTTCTCTTTCTCCCTTGCCGATTCGACGGAACCAGAAACAAAAAAGGTCTGGGGTGTGGGTGTCACCAAGTTGCGCTTCAGCATTACACGAAAACCACCACCAGCAAAGAGGGATGGAAAAATACAACAAAAGTATTATTTAAATAATTTAAAATAAAATAAAAAGATTGCCAACGGCAGGTTTACGCTGCATCGGCCGTAGCTTACATTTCCGGCTCCAGGCCTGCGTGCTTCGCTGTGCTGTGCGTGCCGCCGTGCTGTGCAGTGTGTCGTCGTACAGGCAGCATTACAACATTTGATATGAAGGACGCGAGAGCGAGCAATGCGAGCAACACGATTATGGGTTCAGTTGAGGGGTGGGTGTGCATCTTACCGACGTGCCGCGAGGTCAGGTAAGGTATCTACCTAGGGGAGGGGTGTGCAGCAATAACTGACAGACAAGGCCCCCGTAAACCACCCACTCGACTTTTGGAGGAGTATTTCTCTCAAACACCCCCGGTAGGTACAGCAGGTACGGCCTTCTCTGCCTTGGCTTTGCAGCTACAGAAGTCTCTGGGGGTTTTTTTTTTTGTTTTTCTTTCTTTCATGCCTTTCCCGTCTCTTGCTTTTCCTCCCCTATCCTTTTTTCGGGCTGGGGGCGGTGGCTTATTCGTTCGCGATGCGCGCTGCTGCTGACTTTGTGGTATGTGAGCTGTCGCAACTGGTGATGTGTTCGTTGCGCCCTCTTCTTGTTTTAATTCCCTCTTGTTCGTGCGCCTTGCCGTAAATCGTCCCGATTTGCTTTCCTGTCTCAACCTCTTCCGCTGCCGCCGTTCGCCGCCCCCTCTTTTCATTTTCTCTCTCCCGCCGATAGGGGCGTGTCTTCGTTTCCATGGCTTCTAGCGCACGGGTGGATTGAGGTGAAGGATGATGCCCCCCCCCACCGCCCCCCCCCCCCCCCCCCTCCCACCCTCGCTCCCCCCCGCCACCCCACCACCCCCCCCCCCCCCCCCCCGGCGCCCATCACGCTGGCTCTGCAGGAAAAAAGAAGCTGATTCCCCCTCCCCTGCCGTGGCGGCTTGCCTTGCCTGTCGCAGAGTGGTTATTCGGGTTGGTTCTGAAATCGACCGCCCGCAGAAGAATTGCCAATAACAGGGTCGGTCAGGATGCTGTTTCGCCCAGTCCCCGGAAAGGTCCCCTACGTTCGGCCAGGGGCCCTTGGTATGTGCTAACCAACCACACGGCGGATGTTGGATACTTGACGGGTTCCCACCCATGTTGCCTTGTACAGACGAGGGTTCGACTTCCTTCGGACGATGACGGGGATTTCTGTTGTCGTGGTTCCCTGGCTGGCGGGATAACTGCGATCATGCCGGAGAAAGGTTGAGACCAAAAAACAGGGTGACAAGCGGGGGGAAGACATTGACCTTCCGTTCCGCACATTAGTCAAGTAAACGTTTTCCGCTTCTAATGTCCATGCCTCAATGGAAGGTTTGGGGGGGAAAAAAAGCCTTGTGTCGGGTTTGGCGGCCGTGCCCAGATGCCAAGCTCTGGGCTTCTGTAGAAATTCCAGAGGGCAGTGAAAGGATGGCAAAAGTGTGGGCATTGTTCGAGATGCGGTCCATGTGGCAGAGCGACGGGGCGTAAGAGGGACCAAGAAAAAAGTCTATCTGGAAGGATTCCGTGCGTTGCGTGCCATGAACCGTCACTTGCGGCTAGGCGCGCTGGGCGCAAGAGGAGCTCGTCTTCCTTCTCATCACAGCTCCGGGAATACACTACGTCGCCTCGTGCCTTGTCTTGTCTGGGTCTCGCAGTGGATCCCACAGGAGGGCGATTGGTTCATGGATCTTGTTTCGACGGAAAGGGATTTTCATGGGGAGGCCCGAGAGCGATTTTGGACTTGAATTGCATTTCCATCGAGGCTGGTTTGCGAGTCACATTCCCGGTCTCGATGGAATGATTTTGACTTTGATGGGAGGCAAAGATGTGTTTGGGGCTTGTCGGTAGCTGACGGCGGGACATTCGAAGGAGGCGTCGGAGATATTCTGGGGGATGTCATGAACTTTCGAGGCCCAAAAAAGCATGGGAAGCGTAGGTATCCGTACGAGGTTTCGTAGGAGGCCGGAACGGAAGACATAGTGGTGTGGCAGACCGCATTGCATTCCGCAGCACAAGTTCGTCAGGACGTTGCATATTCTTCTGCTTGCGGCATCGTAACGTGTATCGTTCCGAAAACGAAAGGCCCGCGTGAAGTGGGCTCGTGCATGACATACGGGAGACTCGGTGTGCACCGCATGCACAACGTTGGCAGACATCGGCTCCGGGCCGGCTGGTCTGGCATGGAAGAGGAATGGCGGCGCCCCCCCCCCCCCAGATGGCGCGTCTCTGCGTCTCGGCCATGCGCCCGCGCGGTGCAGACGAACCCTTCCGCCGCACGCCGCACGCCGCACGCCGCAAGTCTCCAGGTACCCTACATGCATTGATAGACGACGCATGGGTGCAAAAGCGAGTCTTCTCGTCGCCATTCAATAGTAGGTATTCCGGCCGAATCCATGCGCTTACCCATATGGGCAGGCAGGCGGTCCTCCGCCCCTAGGCGAACTTGACTAGACCGGCTCATCCTTCTTCAAGAGCCTAGAGCGTAAACATGGCGAAATGTTGGCATAGGTGCTACCAATCGCGCATGGCTGTTGTCACTGTGCGTTGTTTGACAGAGTGTAGGGCTGTACAACGGCATCAGAGTCAAAAGCTGCAAGCAGGCGCATCTACGTCTATTCGAGATCTCTGTTTCGCGCTGTGCGAGCTTCGCGGGAGCATACTGAGGGGGGGCAAGGCGATGGCATCGTGTTGCAAGGCCTCGTGGAGGGTCCAGGCCAGGTCGGCGCCGCCAGCTGGGCATGGGGAATGCTGATCTGAAAGGAGTGCAGTCTTGACCGAAGAGGGGCTGGAAGACAGGTTTGATAACGGGGTTCGTGAGCATGTCTGGGGAGTACTGGTGATGTCGAGTACGACGCAGGTTCGTGAGGATCGGGATGGGTCCAAGTGGGCTTCGACCAGGGTCCAGCTCACCGTGGAAAACCTCGTGGCAGACTGGAGGTCAGTGCCTTGGGAGTATTCGTAGACTCTTCCCTTTGCAGCCTTTGCAGCGGCATTCCAAGAGTGAGACGGCCCGTTTAAGCAAGCAGTGCGGTTTTGACGGGTTAGCGCCCGACGCCCGACTTTCCTATCTTGCTCATTTGGGCTTGGATAACGCGGAGACCACCAACCATCCTGAAGGTTTCAAAACCCGTGGCTGAAAGGCTGGATACGAGTAAATCTCGCTTGGGCAAGGGGGCCTTTTGTCCAGGAAAGAGGTGTGGTCGATGCCAGATATAGATGCCGAAAGGCTAAAACGATCAAGGTGATATTGGCCAAAAGTCTGTAGGCTGGAGTTGAAGTCTGATAGCCGCGACGGGACCACTCACCACCGTCGAAGGGGCGGTAGAGCCACTCCAGCGCATAATAGGGCCGCGTCGCACGGGGATTCTGCGTTGCCAAGGTGGATGCGGATGGGCTCCTCACCTCGGCCGATCTCTGGAGGTGTTGTTGGAATACATTTTGAGTTTGGTGACCCAGGTCTAGGGCGCAGTTGAGGCTGGGCAGAACATCGTGCCATCTTGCATGGAAAGTGGATATGGCGGACGCCAGGGGGCTGACGAGAAAACGCAGGGTTTCCCGTCGTGGAGAAACAAGGCGGTCAACACGGCCTGTGTCATTGTCAATTTGCAGTTGGCGTGGAAGTTTCATTCTGAATGGTCCCACTTGGCGTTGCAGAGCTCAGAAAAGAGAGACAAGGTGGGCGTGGCAGCGAGACGAGACAAAACCGCACCATCGTGTCTCTTCCTGGTGAAGCCCGAACGTGCCTCAGCAGGTTACTCGTGGCTCGGGTCGGATGCCCTTGGGTCAGTGACCACGTTGGAGTCAATGGACACGAAGCGCTGCTTGATGGGAGGACACATTCCATTGCTCCCGAGCACAGCATCTTACAAGATGACGGCCCTTGGATATAGCGTATCCGGGATGTCGATGTGGTGGTTGCGCTGGATCTGAGTCCATCTGCCGGGCTAGAGTGTGCTCAGATGGTGGCCGCTAATTAGACCGAAGTCCCGTCGAAAGAAGAGGAAGGACTTAACAAGACCGGATTGAGTGGTGGCAGCGTGCACATCCCACTTGGCCCGTCGGACGAGACGAGCTGGTTTGCTTTTGCACCAAGTCATGTTACCGAACGTTGCTTTTACTTCGGTACCCGTGCCTGTAGCCGCGGTGATCGCTCATCAGAGACCTCCATGCATACGAGATCTTGTCAGCGACGATCAGGCGCGGGTCGAGTGGTGGCAGGCAGAAAAACTCCCGCTCGCATTTCGTCGCTTGGCTCGGCTCGGCTTCCTTCACTTGTCTGCGACTTGGCTTGATAATTTCATCCCACCCAAGCCGGCGAATAGACTGTTGTCCGTCATCTAGTGGTGATCTGAGATAGCCCGATGAATAAGCCAGCCTCCCTTGCACAATAGTACAGGAGGCGCCGTTGCGGATAACCTTGTGCACCTCGGCTGCATCTGGTGAGAATCAGGGTAACATCCCTGGAAACAGAGACCTTGTCGAATGGCGCCGGCGCCGACCCGAAACCATGGTTGCCCCTGCTGAGCGTGGAAGTGGAAGGAAATGGATAGCAGCCCCGACAATGAATTCCAAGGCGATTATTCGGTGTGGGCAAAACGTGGTTGCGGATGGCTGTGTGGATTTGAATTGCGCTGTTTTTGGAGGGTATCCCGATGGTCTTTGAACTCAACCGAAGGGGGGAGTGCGGTCAAAGAGCTGAAGCGGAGGGCGGGTTTTCGTACAGAGGTGGCTAGTGATGCCGAATGCCAAAGTTTGAGAGAGGGACGGAGGAACTTGAGGAACATGGAGGAACATGGACCCCAAAAATCAGATCAACAGGGTTAGCAGCTCGATCGCGGAAGCTGTTGGAAAATTCCCGGCGCTATTTTGGGTGGGCTAGCTGATTGAGTTTGATGTGACCTTGGACGGGGGGCGTGGGCGACACGGGTGCGGTACGTGGCGGTACGTGACGGTACTTGCCCTCTTGCCCTCATAAGGTCCCTAGTGAGAGAATGGTGGAAAGACTCCGGGCTGGGGCTTCCCTGGACGAGATTACCTAAGTGGGTGAGGTGGGCCCATATCGACCCCCGGCGGCTCCCCGGATGCGATCGCAGATTTGCGTCGATTTGATTGCGATTCACTTCGGGCGGGAAAAACGGGGGTGGATCCTCCCATGGCAGGCATCCCTCCACTCACAGCCCGTCGTCGTCCGTCCCAGTCCATCTCACGCACCGGCCACAAACCATACATCACACACACCACACACAGCAAGAGAAACACGACAGGAGGGAGCGGAGGAAGGGCGACGCTGCAAAATGCCTCAGAACGTCCCTACTTGGTACCTTATTCCTGCCACGGTATCCGAACCCAAAGTGTCTTAATGTCAAGGTTGGGTTGGGATGCCATCCTTCAACAACAGCCCTGGCTGTCTCCAGCTGCCAGACTAAAGGACAGCCGCGAATTGTTCGTCCCATTTCCGCCCCTCACGACTCGCGTGTGGCGTGATTTTTCCAACTCTCGTCGTCGCCAACGTCTTAGCGGGCTTCATCTCTTCCACGCTTTAGTAAGAGCCGGCCTCTTGGCCATGGACCATGGCACCCAAGTTCCGATCGATGCATCGCTATTCATTCGAAGGGGCCTAGAGGGGCCTACCTTACTCGTCACGTCTGCTGTAAGCCCACCTACCTTACTATTTGCCTTTCTGCCGCTTGCCCAAGGTAGCTGACCCATCGCACCTAGTCCATCGTGCTCGGGCATCCCGTGCTGGATCGTGGGGTAAGCTTGGTCGATTTAGATCCGCAAGTCGCACCATTGCTAAGCACCTGCACTGTGAACCTTCTCTCGTCTCTCTCTCTCTCTCTCGCTGTCCCGTCAAGAGTCATCCTTCACCGATACTGCCGCCATGGCAGGGTCTGAAACTCATATCGTTCTGGAACGAAGCCTGACGAGCAATCTGCCTATTGCGGATTGGCCAGCCCCGTCGTGATCTCCAGCCAACCTGTACTAGTGAGCTATTGGATCATTGAACGTCGGGTGCTCTGTGTTATCGCTCACTCGATGGAAGGTCTGCAGACTAAGTAGGCTTGTACCTGTCATGTATCTCTCAACTAAGTTTCCATTCCATGCGAGATCAGGCACTATACTCCACCTCGGTCAGAGCCTTCCCTGGCCAATGAGGTCCACTAACGCGGCCCTTTCCCTGCCGATGAACACGAGGAAGGAGAAACTTGAGCTCCACTCTTGGCCCAAGGCGGAGGTTAAGGTACATTGCCCGTACCTGATCAGGTCACGGGTAGTAAGGTATCATGCTCAGCCTAAGGTACCTACTCCGTAAGGTATCCGTACGAACACTTCCGCGTCGCGCTGTCTCCACTCCCAGTCCAACCCTCTCCCGCCTGCTGACCAACGACCAGCACCAAATTGCATTGGATGTTTCCAAGGCCGTCCCTCTTTTTTTTTTTTTCTGTGCCGACCGCAACTGCAAGATCTGCCCCTCACCTCCTGCGGTGACAGTGGAGCTCCCCATCAAGCGACCGACCCGATCTTTGGGTTCGTATCGTGCATAAAATTGCCTGTCAACCATCTAACCGACTGTTCAGACTCGTTGCCGTCGCTTCATACTCACTTGTCCCCCTCTACCTTTGACGGCAACCCATCGATATACCGGGGTCATTCTCCAATCGCTAGCTTCTTCCGCCGACCCTGTTCTGTCCGCTTATTGTCTGTCTCCGCCCGAGAACTTCGAACACGTCAGAGCGTCCTGTTACACACCCCCAAGGACGGACAGCCAAGGACATGCAAGTCGCTACATGGTCAGATGAGTTGCTGAGGCCGATCTCAATGACGGCAGTTGCTGTGGAGCAGGATGGAAATGAGGAATCTGCGCCAACGACCAGAGCGATATCTCTCTGCGCCTAAATTGCGCACTTCGCATCTGACACCCGAGCATATTGGAAAATCTCTTCGTCGCCCGGCCTGGTCTAGCCCAAGCCATACACCAAGACAACGTCCGTTGCCCGTTGATCTCTGCTATGGTGCAAAAGCTCCGTGCCTTTTCCCCGCCACGTGGGTTCTCTAGCACCGAACGCAGATAAGCTATGCTACTGACATCCTTGGATCTGGGCCGGGCCCGTTTCTCTCCCTGATCCATACCGAGACCCAACCGCAGTACATCTTAGCGGTGCGGCGATGCCGTGCGGCGCAATGTATACAGTACGAGTGTGCAGTACTTCCATCCCCTCTCGCCTCCAGCTGCCAGGCTCAGTTGGCTACGGATTCCCTGCTACTGGCCGCGAATGGCGTTCCTCTCTGCTCGGTATCCGTATAGAGTAGGGATACAACGACTACAACGGGCAGACAATAGAACGGCAGCGTTCCCCCTCCCCCTTCAAACACGCCAACTCGGACCACATGGGACCGGAGAGAGACAGAGAACATGCCATGCTGCAGCCCAGGTCCCTGGCCACCACCAGCTCTGGACCTTGCCTGGCTTGTCTAAACGGGACCACTATTATCCATATTCGACTTGGCGTTCAAACCTTCGCGCTTCCCCGTGGATGACATCGTACGATCCCATATCGCTTCGAGCATTTGCCCTTCGCTTCGCCTATGCTCTGTGGCCAAGATTCCTCGCTCAGTCCACCGATTTGCTACGGTTTCCCACGCTCCATTCCGCAAAGTCACCGGGTTTGGATCTCGTTGGATCTCATCAAACGATCTAACACCCGTGTGTCTGCGCAAGGGTGCGCTTCCATCCGTCTCTGGCCGCGCTACCGTCCAACCGGCTCGCCAATCTCCAAGCTTCAACTTGTCACATCTGACGGCCTGGGCGTGTATCGACCTCGTACCATGCGCCAATAGCCTTGATCGACATCATCGCAGCCGACTTTTGGTGACCCGTCACAAGTCCACAATACCACTCCTACGGCCGTTCGCCATGACTGCCCACTGTCAAACATTCACCGCACATGGCGGTCCAACAGCCAATATCAATAACCAAAGTCAGCTAATGATCGCAATACCGCCTCGCGCTGCTGAACCAGTCCCAAATTGCTCACAATCCCGTGCGCGGGAGACTAGCTCCTGCCTCGTCAATAGCGTGGCCCGTAAAGACTCACATCGCACGTTCAGCCCAGCCTGCTACGTCATGATGGACCAGCAATCGAACCATGGCGCTTCGCATCGATCAAGTCCGCTTGCGTACGCTTGCGGTTGCCACCGCCAGCCCGCCTCAGCCTGCCCACACGGCTCCCACGCGACATGTCAGAGTGGTGGTGGCCTTTCCGAATGCAGCGAGATGCCCATGCCAAAAGCAAGGCCGTCGTACAAGCGCCGCGTTTATCTCCTTACCTCACCAATTGCCGTAGCGGCGACGCTACCGGTGTTGGAACGTCAGGAAATGAAGGATACTTATGTTTTCAAGTTCTGGACTGTATTTCCATGCATGACCGTTCAGCCGTCGTCTCATTCGCTCAAAACGTCCTTGGACCTAGTAAGGGGTCTAGTAAGGGGTCAAGGACGACGGTGGAATCCTTCCAGATTATCTGTGATGCTGGCTTCGATCTTCAGTCCTGAACCCAGACGATGCGGTCCGCTAGTCCTGCCACATCACTCGGCAGAGCTCAAACCGCCAAGCTGAGATGTACAGTTGCACACGACCACTCCGCGAGGGCTCCAAGTAACAGCTCGAGGCTTGGCTTTGGTGTGAAAACCGGTGCCCAAACACCCTCCGATTTTCTTCAGCTTCTTGACGCTGTGCTGGGGTTAGATGCACCGTACCAGCACCCATCGGCCGGTGCTGAGTGTGTTGTCTTACAACACGGGTTTGGCATGGTTCGATCTGGAGAAACGGGCAGCCGAGAGCATATCAAACCATACATAGAAAACTGCTTGCCCCAGCTGCAACGTGGCTGATCGTCTGCGGAGGAATGCCGCCTTGAGATCACCACAAATTTGCCGGCAAGATGGGCGGGCAACAAGGGGACATTGCCCGTTTTCGAACGAGCCGGCTCCATATCGTCAACGCCATAGCGTCCTGTCATTGAATTGACCTCGTTGCATACCACGGCATAACCTCCCCAACCGAATTGGCGGTGCAACTATTCCCGCCACAGGATCGCACTTGTTTGGCGTGCGCCATGGTCGAGATCCAAGACACGGCCTGGCGGTCCAGCAAGCTCATCCGGTCCAACTAGGATGCAGCGCTGGCGCTTTTTTTGAGGAAATAACACACCAGCCCCGTGTCGATTTCAAATTTTACTTTTGGCGTTTGGCTTGCTAACAGGGCGAGCGAGCCATGATACGACACGCCTCTCCACCTCCACACACACCCCTTTAGTTCCAGATTACCGGCTTCCCGGGTTATCCCTTCCCTGGAAACTGGGAACGGAGAACTCCTTCAGCATGCGCCATTCCAATTTCTCCATCATGACTTACGGCCGGTCCCAGCTTTCCGGATCATCGTCATGCGGCATGGAAGCCAAGGCCAGTGGAATTGCCGCGCCGTCTGGAGTCAAGAGGCTGCAGCAAGTGTATTCGTCATGTTAGGTCTGATGACTGTCTCAATTTCGAGACGCCTCGGGAGTGTAAGGACACATTTGCGCAGGCATTTCATTTTCCAAAGGATTGAGAATACTATCGCCAATGGTTCCAGGGTCCTATGACCTACCTAATCCCTGGCTTCCTGCAAGTTCAGCCCTCACCGAGATGGGAGCAAACACGACCCGTTGGAGAAGGATGGGAAGCGCTCCGGGATTCCGCTTTTCTCGACGCTTTGAATTTCGACTCCTTCAATCGAGCTAAGTAGGCACTAAGTCAGCCTGATATGTCTGCGTTGGGGTGGGACTTGTAGCCTGGGGCTCGATCACGCTTGTGCACTCCTCAGATTCACTTCGTCTTGGATGCTCGATGCTCGATGCTGGATGCTGGATCGACGACGCAGGATTAGATCGAGACTTGTTCGCGACCAGCTAAGCATTTCGGCTTCATGAATTACTCCCAAGCCGATATTGACGTTGGCCTTGAGACCACACCTGCGGCGGACGTCGGTAGGGCTCTCTCACCTTCGCGCATAGGATACGCTACGAGTCAACTTGCAATGCTACCTTGATATATGCTTTTGAGTCTATGAGTTCATTACGTGCAGGAGAATCCTTTCCAAGGCGCCGCCGAATGCGACCTTTCATGTGCCTGATGACAATGAGATCCCACCGCCCTCCCCCTTCCCCCCCCTTGCTTCTTTTTTTCTTTTGTGGCCCAGTGACTCGGTTGCGATAATGCCTCCATCTCCGAAGCGGCCAAACACTCTAGGGTCAGTTTAAGCCTGCTCAGAATGTTTCCTCTTCCGAGGCGAAACTTCCGGTTCACCGCAGCCTCGGCGGAAGCTTCCGAGCAGCTTCGGGAGGCCGTGAATGTCCAGCCCGGTGAAGCCCGTGCCAGCCGTCTCCCGCTCGCCAATGGCGATGACGGCCGCGATGATGTCCTTTTGCACGTCCTCGCCCACGACGCTGTCGTGCTTGTAGCCCGGGTGAACGTCGATGAGGTTGCGCAGCCAGCGGGCCGCCGTGTCCAGCTTGCCGCTGGCGCGTTGGCTGATGAGGCGCAGGTACGTGTCCAGCTCGCAGCGGGTCTGGACGTCGACGTTGACGCTGTCGAGGTAGCTCTCCACGAGGGGAATGAGGCCGGGGAATTCGCCGTCTGAGCTGCCGTTGATGATGTCGTTGACTGTCATCTCGGTGTATTCGTCCTCGACGGGGCCGACGGGCGTAGGGGGACGGCTTGGGACTGCTGAGCCGGGCCGCGAGCCGGGTCTCGAGTCGTCGCCGCCCTGGCCCTGGCCCTGGTTGAGGTTGGGGTTGACGCGGACCTGGCGGCTGGGGAAGGGGTTTTTGCGGAAAAAGAAGGATTCTTTCAGGACGGCGTCGACGGTGTGGGCGCGCTCCATGTTCTCGTCGACTTTGGTGATGGGTATGTAAAAGTTGAGGTCAAAGGAGAGGATGGCGCGGGTGACGAGGACCATGAAGACGGAGAAGGCGGCGTTTTCAAAGTCGGTGAGCTGGATCTCCATGGGGCGGAACTCGACGCGCCAGCCGATGCTGTTGTCGGCGGGCGGGGGCTTGAAGCGCATGTGCTGCCAGTTTGTGGACTGGAGGTTCTCAAAGTGGTCCGTCTTGGCGAGGTCGAGCTCCTGGAGGTCCTCTTCGAAGACGACAATGGGGTCGCGGATGAAGAGGTGGGCAAAGTGCGTCGCGAGGCGGTCGTCCATGCCGCCGTCCATGAGCTTGGCTTTGATGTCCTCGTCGATGACGAGGTTCGGGTCGAGGTACTCCTGGCGGAGGCGCGGGTCGGTGGAGATGTAGGTCGAGTTTGAGGCGTAGCGGGATTTGGGAATGCGCCAGCGGTCGTTTTTCAGGGGCTGGTGGTGTCTGTTAGTGTGGATTCATCGGGAGCTATCTTGATTGCAAGGAGGGGACTGTGTGTGTATGTGTGTGTGTGTGTGTGTGATAGAGATAGGGGGAGAGAGGAGGGGGAGAGAAAGGGGGAGAGAGATCAGGTATGACCGAGTGAAGAATTGAGCGTGTGCTTGTCCGTCGTCTCTCACCTTTTCTCCGAGTTCTTCTGGGGTTCTGCAGTCCACGGCTCGGCTGATCTGATTCCATCTCACGTCGGTGTTGGCCAGGAACCCCTTATACACGGGCGTGGCAGCCGTCAAGGCGAGCATGATGGGGCCCAGCGGGCTGAGCTGGTCGTACATCTTGCGGCCCTCGGTGATGTTCTTGGCCTGGAAGGTGATTTGCAGACAGCAGCTGCCCATGCCGAACGCCATCGCGTCCATGTGGATAAAGTTGTCGGGCGCGGCGCCGTTGCGGACGTCGTCGTCCTCGGGCCAGTTGTGCAGGTCGCGGTTGACGGTGGGGTCCCTCCAGGGCTTGGGCGTGTTCACGTCGTGGAAGACGGGGACGTTGACCTGAACTTTGCGGCCGCGGCGCCAGCGGATGTTGGCGGCGAGGGTGGGGAAGCGGATGTGCGGGTTGGCGATCTCGTCGGGGACGAACTGGGAGCGCAGTTTGGGGCCCGAGGGCGGGTAGTAGGGCTCTGTGAAGTCGCCGGGGCAGCCGATGCGGGGGAAGGTTGTGAGGGTGATGGGGTACTCGTTGGAATGCATGTGGTCCTTTGCGATCTTGCGGCGGAGCTTCATGTCGGGCTCGACGTCGAGGAGCTCCTTGAAGCCGATACCCCAGGGTTTCCCGGGGGTGGCCTCGAGCATGAAGCGGCCGAATTCCGGGTGGAAGACGGGAAGGGTGACTGATCTGTTTTGGTACGGTCAGTTAACCGAGGCTTGTTTTCTACGTCTCACCTTCATGAACTGTATGAAGAGTTCATGCGGCGCGACGGCAGTGATGAGAAAGGGGAGGGGGGGAATAGGGGTAAGACGCACGACTGCTCTCTTGCGACTTCCTGGAGCTCTGGCACGCAGCCGCCCTCCTTGGCGAGATCGGGGCTCTCGGCGAGTGCTGTGAGAATCTCGGCTTGTCTGAGAGACAGACGGACCTTTGGCTCATCCTCTGAGTAGGTCACGACCAGATACTCGACCTTGAGTGAATATCGTCAGTTTCCAAATTCTGATGTCTTGCAGTGACTGAGTGGTGCGATGAGGGTATGAGACGCCGGCACTCATGCATGAGGCAAGGAGCAACACATCTCACAACAGCTTTCACATACCTCATCTCCCCAGAGCAAGGCATCACGCTCTTTGCTCTTTGCCTTGTTCCATATCTCCAAGAGTTGCTAATACCACCAAAAGACTCGAGTCAGCAAACTTTTCATGAATCATCGAACCGCCCCTGAGAATTGCCGCCAGCCTCGTGGGTGGTCGTTGATATTGAGAAAGGCGCTCGAACCTTGATACCCCACTCGCGGACCTTTCCAGCACTCTTCTTGGCCTCTGGCCAGTCGAGAGGGGTTCCAAGTGCCCTATGGTGAACATGTTAGAAGATTGCATCATTAATTATTCGTAGTGAAGATGAGAGGATGAGGCAAACTTGCAGGAGACCCATGGTTCCGGTAATGTGCTACAGTTCCTGGTGGTTGTTTGGAGGAGGTGCGGCTACGGCCGGGTTTGCCCGGTGATCGGCGTTTGGGACAATGACGGCGTTATGAGAAAAACGGCCCGAGAAGTGTGAAAATTCCGCCGCAACGTTAATACAGGTGTGATGGGAAAGAAGTCCCCTCCAATAGTAGAAGAGCGGTGTCAGCCGGACAATGGCCAAGAAAGCATCTACAGTGAAGCCTCTCTACGACTCTACGAGTAAGTGTGAGACAAAACGCTGCCTAGTATGGAGGGGTCGGTTCTGATAAGACGTCAGACCTGGCAGCTCACGATGCAAGGGTCCGGGGCGGGCGCAAAACAAGGCGAACTGGTCGAACGGGATGGCGGGTGTTTCGCAGCGCTTTCGCAAAAGGTGGGACGCCGTTTTCTTCAATGGTAGGTAAGGTAGGTAAGGTAGTTTTCTCCTGCGATTGCGCAATGGTGTCGGCAGCCGAAATGGGAAAGCCCTGGTCGTATAGTCCAATTCGTAAGGTGGTGTGGTTGGTGGTCGTAGCCTGTACCTGTAGGTAGGTCAGGGCCTTTTTTTTTCTTTTTTTTCTGGGCCGTTTACTCTTGGTTTGGGTTGCAAAGAGTATCTGTTATTAACGTGGTTGCTTATCCAATCACAGACCCTTTCCTTCAAATCACGTCAATAAGACTGGAAAAAAGAGGAACGTGGGATTTGGGTGGTGGAGGGTGGGAAAGTAAGGAAAAAAGGTTACGGTCTAGATTCTGGGCACGGGAAAAATAAGGTATGGTAAGGGCGCTGCGGAAGGGCGCGAGCATGTTGAACTGCAGCTTTGATGGGTTTGTCATTTTTTTTTTTTTTTTTTTTTTTTATTCTTGTTCCCTTTTTTTTTTTTTTTTGGGGGTTTGGGGTGTGTTGGGGGGGGGGGGGGGGGTGGGGGGTTTTTGTAGTGTGGTTTGTTTGGTTTTTTATTTTTTTTTTTTTTTTTTTTTTTTTTCCCTTCTCCCACTTTGCATATTTTCTAGCGTTTTGAGACTTTTTTGCGTGGTTCCCCGACGATGGAGGGGTAAGAACGGAGGGGTTGATTAGAAATCACATGCGTTGCTTAGTTCGACATTTGGGTTGCCGTGTTTTGATTTTTTTTTGTCCTCCCCCCCAGGCGCCCTTGTTCGGTTCTTCCCTTTCTTTAGGCTTTAGCGGTAGCCCACCAGACGTGGAGTTTGGGGAAATTGTTTCCCGCCGGCCGGACTGACCGAGTCGGAAGCACGGCGGTAGCCGTGATGGCCATTCGACTTGACAAAGTTGACATGGAGAAAGCTCGGTGGTTGTCCGGCGTTCTGGGGAACTGGATACCTCGAATCGCTGCAAATGATAAATTGAGTAGCACTGATTGAACTTTGGCTAACCACCCAAATCGCGTTCCTTGGGCGGCTACTCCGTGTATCCTACTCGTTCTCGTAGGCGCCCAGGACACCGGCCCATCAGGACGGGACTGAATAAGTCCCGTTCGAGGGGTGGGCGGGGTTTCCGAAGATGTGCGGGGAGGAAGCTGCTGAAGAAGCGCAAGAAAGGAAATCCATAGAGACTTCCTGTTGTCAATACCCACACAAAAGTAAAGACTACACACGGGTTGTCTGCCATCCTTTCTGTTGAAAACCTCGAGCTGGAAACAGCAGGGAAGTGAAGTTCTCATATATCCAATTCGTATGAAGTTAGTTGACCCTGAGCTCTCGGTATACCGCCTGAAGGTGGTCGGGTTATTTTAACTTCAGGCTCCGGCCCGGTTCGGAAGACCAAGCCGGGGCGAGTCTTTCCTCAAGCAGACTCTGATATAATGACCTGACTAGCCGTAACATCCACGTACCTCAGCTTCCCACTCATGTAGATTCATCGAATGCGTGTTCTCCAGCAGACTAGTTTCACGTATCGATGACAGGTTCATACTTCAAGGTTTCACCTCAAAAGGTGAAATAGCTTAAGGGTCGCTGATTAATGGCTTGTTTTATCTCCTATCTGGAGTATAGTACAAATTTCCCAAGAAGGTGGTGTTTAAAGGAAAGATGAAAAGTCGCGAGAGCAATAAGCAAAGTCTGCCGAACCCAAGCCGTACCCCATTCCAGTCCTAATGTCTCTCCGTTCCAGAGAAAACGTGAGGCCTTCGTTCCACACATGCAGTTCTGATCACCGCCACCCTCCTACTTCTCTTAGAACCTCGTCAAACTGTCAACCTTGAATGGCCCTCTTTTCGCCGGCCAGACTTGGTGAAGCGATTCGGTCTGCTCTTGTGATGATCGGTGTTGCTTCCGTCCCGGATACCTAAAACCCCTTCTTCGGCCACCCACAAAGTGTCCTAACGCGAGTAAGGATGGAAACCTCGATTGCTGCTCCGTCCGCCGCCGCGGTAGTTAGCGCCGGGTCTGCCCGCGTTCTTGGGCCCGGTAGGAGCGTTGGCAGGCGGGGCATGCGCCGGATCGGGTGATCCCTGATGGGAACCACCGCTGTGAGAGCCACCACGGTGACCGCCTCTGAAGCCTCCCCGGCCGCCCTGATTCGGTTGGGGAACATCGTCGTACATGCCCTCCCAAGATGTCGGAGCGCCGCCGCCGCCGCCCATGGCGTATGCACCAGCCTGGTTGTATTGGTCACGAGGAGCGCCTCCGCCGCCGCTGCTGCCTCCCCGACGCGGTCCCTGTCCGCCGCCGGGTTGCTGTTGCGGCTGGCCTCCCTGAGACGGGTCGAACATCTGCTGCTGGGGGCTGAAGCTGCCGCTAGGCCCAGAAGGGGGACCGCCCTGCTGTCCCATCTGCTGCTGCATCTGCTGTTGCATCTGCTGCATCTGCTGCATCATTTGCGGCGTCATCTGGCCCATCATGCCTTGCTGACCATTGCCGCCTCCACCGCGGCCCATCATCTGGTTCTGCATCTGCTGCATCTGCTGCATTTGCATCATCTGCTGCATCATTGCCGGGTTCATGGGACCCATGCCTCTGCTCATGGCCATTTGTTGCTGCATCATGGCGAAATACTGCTGCATGCGTTGGAAGTACTGTGCCATGACTTGCGGCGTCATACCTCCTGCAGCACCCATCTGGCCGCCTCCCATTCCGCCTTGTCCACCCTGGGCACCGTCTTCGCCCTTCCTGAACTTGCCTCCGCGCCGCGCAGCTTCTTCTTCTTCGCGGAGATTACCGCGCGGTTGAGCCTTCTTGACCTCAATCGGCTTGCCGTGAATCTCCAAACTGGTGCTAAGGCATGCATCGACGCCGGCTTCGCTTTCAAACGTGACGAAACCGAAACCGCGAGGGCGACCGGTGTCCTTGTCCATCATGAGGGTTGCGTCGACCACGCGGCCGAACTGAGCAAAGTAGTCCTTGAACTCTTGATCGGTGGTGTCTTGACTGACACCGCCGACAAAGATCTTGCTTGTCTTTTCCTGCTCATCGCGAGGAATAGCGCGCTTGGGGTCAATCTGGTTTTCTTTACGTTAGCGTCATGCCGGGGTTACGACTGGCTCAGTGAGTTCTTACGATTTTGCCATCCAAGAAATGTTCCTTGACCATAACAATGTTTACTGTCTTGGCGTCTCTGAACGTAAGGAAGCCAAAGCCTCTTGACCGTCCGGTGCTGCTGTCTCTCATAACAGTGCACTCGACAACTTCGCCGAATTGGGAGAAGTAGTCCCTTAGGGATTCTGGCGGCAATTAGAAAACCGCGCGGTGCTGGCAAATACAAGAAAGACTTACGATCTGTCGTCTCCCAATTGAGGCCACCAATAAACATCTTCCTGAAGTCATGAGAATATTAGTCACTGAATCTACTAACAATTCAAAAATCAATGCGTGAATGTGCTCGTGTTCTGGTTTATAGCAAGCAAAATCCGTAGACAGTGACAAGGGCTAACGGCCATTGCGGGTTTCGGCGTATGAATGCAACGGAACAAGCATTCCCGAGACCATGGATTGGTTGCATTGTCTTCCCGACGGCGATAGGCTGACTGCCTAAGGCTTTCCCCCTCTTGGAAACACAGGCAGCCTGGTTTCTAATAGCATGAGATCGCATTTCTTGGCGTTGATATTTTGATCGATGGCCGGCATAACATGCTTCTTGACGGGTACCTCCTCGTGGCCAACTGTAGATTCAGATGGTAATCTGTTGATGAATCATCAAAGTGACGTGCATAGGTTGGTTGCTTCAGCATCGGTGCCTTTGTGAGAGGGCCGAGGACTTCAGAACTCAACCCCAGCCATAGTGGTTGTTGAAGACGAGCAGCACCAGCCAGCCACAGAAACTCTCTCACGTCTGGGGAGAATTGCGGAGCGGATAGCCTGGTCATTGTCGAAAGTTTGGTGTTTTTTGCTATCGTCAAGTCTCTGCTAGCTCTAGCTTCGAGCGCTATCCGCTGCTAATCTCGCTACAGCAGCCAAAGAACGCAGGATATTCTCTCTGCGACTGGGCTATAGAAGGCGCACGAGGGTGCTCCTGATCTGACTGACTGATGACTGACTATCGTCGGCATATCTCGGTGCTCAGGCTGCTTTTCCAGCTGACTTTTTCGCGGTACCTCTTAATGGCTTCTCTTTCTTGCTTTTCTTCAAGCTTCTCATGTCTTCTCTGAATCTTTCCTTGGCCTGCTTGATGGCCCTGAAGAATGTTTCCCAAGATGCGGCTGGCCGACGTCTTGTATCGATGCCCTCTCTTGTCCATCCAAGTCCCCTTGACCTAGCAGGCCCGATGCGAGATACCATGGGCCACCGATGCCCGAGTTCCCTCTGACCACAGCAGAAGAGCTGCAAATTAATCCAGTAGAGACACGCGTCCCAACTATGGGTGCATGGGGTATGGGTTGTGTAGCAAGTGCAAAAATCATGTAGCTGGCAAACAGAACTTACCCATCTTCCTTGGCGCTCGGGTTCTTGGCCGTGCTTGTCGAGTACGTGGGCTCTTCCTGCTTGTTGCCGGCAAACCCATTCGAAGGCGGCGCATAACCGCTACTTCCACCACCGCCACCGCCGCTGCCGCTGCCGCCGCCGCCGCCGCCGCCATCACCACCGAGGTTGAAGTCCACTTCATCATCGTCATCCTCCTCGTCGTATTTCATTTGATCATCGCCACCACCGCCGCCGTACTCCGGTTCAGCCTGGGGAGGCGGTTCAACATGTGTCTCGATGCTCTGTTGAGGATCAGCGACTGGAGCGGGGGCGGCAGGCGCGGGCTGCTGGGCGGCAGCTGGTTTCGCGGGGGTGTCATCGTCGTAGCTGTGGCACATATCAGCAAGTTCTTGACAGTGGCAGGTGACACCTGTAGTCACTCACAGATCGGCGAAGAGGTCTTCTTCGAAGTTCTCGGGCTCGGTCATCCTGGCGGGTGCTCAACAATCGTCGACGAGAGGCTGAAGGGCGTGTCGCTGCAAGCAAAGCATGCAGGGGAAGGAAATGGGAAGTAAAGAACGTGGTGTGTTGTTGCGGAGAAGTTGATGAGACGGTGTCGTCGTGTACAGAGCGCAGCGCTTGTTTGGATATTTCTTAGGCAAGAGCCTGAGTGAAAGAGGAGCAGGGTGGAGCTAAGACGGTGGCGGAGCCAATTGGCGTGCTCAATCCAATCAGAGCTACAATGGCCCGGAGAGACAGGTCCAAGCATCGGCTAAGCTCTGGTTCCGTGCTCTGCCGTCTGCGTTGGGAAGAGCCTCCTCGGTACCTTAGGTTGTCACGTATACTCACGTGACCGACACACCAGACTGGAGTGTTGCGGCATGTAATGAGATTGGGAGAGTTTGGGAAAGTTAGGTGTCTGTTCTCTTAGATCGTTCATGCGAGGGACCGGAATATTTTTAGGCCTTACCTTTGCAATAATTCAAGCCCTCCTTCTCAGTACTCCTTCTCTGACGAAAAGTCCCTTCGCCGTTTGCTTGGATTTTCCTCAGATTCCCCGGCGAGTCATTATAAGGTGGTCTGCAAGAAGCATCTACGCTACCATTTAGACTTGCACCTCGGCCGCCACAACGCGCAGTTGAAACCGCATCCTTCAGCCACAGTGACCTCCTCCCCCCCACTCCACTTAAACTGCTGCTCAAAGCGGCGTGCGGTACACTAATGTGAGGCAAGGGTCCGGCCACTGGTCACTTGTTCGGAGCTCAGGCGACTCGTCTGGCGCATCTCAACACCAAGACACACAATGACACGGTCTCAGTAGAGAAGCATCACCATGTTCTCTTCTTCAGGGAGTGGGAAGAAGCCCTCGCAACAGGTACGCTCCTCCAATCCCCTGCCTGGGGCGGCCATCGCATACTAACTGCCCCGCAGCAGGAAATGGTCCAAGTCGGTGGGTTTCGTCATACCTTTTCAACTCGCGGTGCCCGTTGCTGCATAGCCTCAGCTCTTGAGACTAAGCTCGGAAACCTTTGGCTAACATTGATATCTTGATTGTGGTGCAGACCGCTCAGAGTACGTTGCCTTGGCAGCATCGCCGACGCAGTTCGGAACTGACTTGGTGTAGTTCTGCCTCGCCGTTTTGGAAGCCGCCCCCACGCGAGAACGCACCGAAAAGAACCGGTCGCGACTCTAACTTGGTTGTCGGAGCAGCCTACTCTCATGCCGATATCCTCAAGTTCGATTCACTGTGCGAAACCTCTCACATCTTGTATTCGCGCCAGCCACGCAGCTAACTTGAGCCAGCAATTTGTCCAGCTCCTCCTCCAGACCGAAGACTCCTCCTACCTCACACTCCGCCAAAGGCCGGCCTAGCGATGTCTCTCCTCCCTCACGCCCTCAGTCGGGTCTTTCGTCCCCTCCGATCAAAAGCTACATCAATTTCCTCTCCACCACCAACGATGACTGGAAAGCGGACGAAGACGAGGAAGACATGATGGGATACGAGGACGATGATGGTGACGACTTTGGCTTGCCGAGTTTGTCCAACATGAAGCGTCGAACGCGCAAGAAAGCGGCACAAAACAGGCCAGATCCAAACGGCGGCCTATCGCCCATGAACGACTCTTTCGGTCTGGGGCTACACACACGGAGATACTCGAATAGCGCGGACATTGCCATCGAAAGGCCTGCACCAACCTATCCAATGCCAAAAAAAAGCGAGGGAAAGATCTTGCGCCCACAGTATAAGGAGATTTTGAGGGGTAAGCGCTGTCGCGTGATGTTCGAATGGACCGTGCTGACTGCGACAGATCCGGCGAACGCACTGCACCTAATCGACCACCCTATAATACCCGACGGCGCAACGCCGAAAGAGATTGACGCTGCCAACTCACGAATCACCCGTATCAACAAGTTCAAGAAGATCCTGCAGGCTTCAACAATACCGCTGCAGGAACTTCGGCAACTTGCTTGGTCCGGCGTTCCCCAGGAGGTTCGTGCTATGACATGGCAACTCCTCTTGAGTTACCTGCCGACAAACAGCGAGAGAAGAGTCGCAACTCTAGAGAGAAAACGAAAGGAGTATCTTGATGGAGTTCGTCAGGCTTTCGAACGCGGCAGTAGTGGGGGAAGTGGCACTACCACCGCACCACCCGGGAAAGCGAGAGGGCTGGACGAGGCAATCTGGCACCAGATCAGTATTGACGTGCCAAGAACGAACCCTCACATTGAACTCTACTCGTACGAAGCGACCCAAAGGTCCCTGGAACGTATTCTCTACCTATGGGCCGTGCGACATCCTGCCAGCGGGTATGTACAAGGTATCAATGACTTGGTAACGCCTTTTTGGCAGGTGTTCCTGAGCACGTATGTCGCAGACTCTGATATTGAATCGGGCATGGATCCCGGTCAGCTGCCAAAATCAGTTCTGGACGCTGTCGAGGCAGATTCGTTTTGGTGTTTGACAAAGTTACTGGACGGTATACAAGATCACTATATTGTGGCTCAACCAGGCATCCAGCGGCAAGTTACTGCCCTCCGCGATCTCACCGCAAGGATCGATGCGGGGCTAGCGAAACATCTCGAAAAGGAGCACGTCGAATTCATTCAGTTTAGTTTTCGATGGATGAACTGTCTCTTGATGAGAGAGATAAGTGTAAGGAATACGATTAGGATGTGGGACACTTACTTGGTGAGCATACTCGATCAGCAACTTTTAAGTGGCATCTCTCTAACTACCTACAGGCCGAGGAACAAGGCTTTTCGGAGTTCCACTTGTATGTTTGCGCGGCTTTCTTGGTCAAGTGGTCAGATAAGCTTGTGAAGATGGATTTCCAGGAAATAATGATGTTTTTGCAGAGCTTGCCAACAAAATCTTGGACAGAGAAGGACATTGAACTGTTACTGAGCGAGGCTTTCATCTGGCAGAGCCTTTTCAAAGGCTCGTCGGCGCACTTGAGAGGACAGCCAAGTCGCACACCCTCAGCAAACATGCAGCTATAGGTCTTTCTCCGTCCAGTCGGATTGCGGTTGAAGCCAGAAAACTGCCAATCTTAGGAGGAAATAAGGCACAGGAATGATATTCAAGCGTCAAACAGTTGCCAAGGCAAATATGTAATTGTGGTAGTGGCAGCGACACCCTGCTGGCCTTTCCCATAAATTGATGGGACTAATCCGACATACAGTGTTAGACACAGTGAGCAAGCTTGCGGCGCACCCACGAATTTCATTGGGTTATATTCGTTTGAGCATGCGACCGAAGCTATCCCTGCAGCTTCGTTCCCCAATCAACGCGCTTTTCCCAGAGCTCGCGCGTCACACCACAGACTGACAAAGGCTGCCAATTCTCCTTCCTTCGCTAACTAAATTACCACGTCCATCCTTTTTGCCGTCGTCCCCAAAAATTCCTGCTCTTTCAATCTTCCACTTATCAACAAGCAAACCCATTACGTTCCCCAAGATGGCCGACGCACCCGAACAAGCTACGGCCGCGATCGAGGTACCTGTCGCAGCGGCCCCTGTCGCCGAAACCCCAGCTGTGGAGGCAGTCGCAAATCCAGAGACCAAGCACGATGCGCTTGCTCCGACACAACAAGACACGCCAGCCACCGTCGGCGAAGAGTCCGAGGAGGATATCAATTCAAGGAAGGTTACTCTCGCAGACTTGACTGCCAAGGGAACCGCTCTGTACGCAAAGAAGCAGTATGAAGATGCTACCGACTGTTTCACGAAGGCTGCGGAGCTGCAGGACCAGGTAAACGGCGAGATGCATCCCCAAAACGCTGAAATCCTGTTCCTGTACGGTCGCAGTGTGTTCAAGGTCGGCCAGAGCAAGAGCGACGTCCTGGGAGGCAAGGCCGCCGGTGAGAAGAAGGCTGTGAAGCCCAAGTCCAAGGCCCCCAAGAAGACTGCTGCCGAACCCACGTCGACCGATGCGCCAGCCGAAACCGAGGCGCAGAGAATAACGGAGGAGGGTGTCGCGATTGTCGCAAGTGAGGCGAGTGGAGCGAAAACGGAGGACACTGTCGAGGAGAAGAAGCCACTGTTCCAGTTCACTGGCGACGAAAACTTTGACGATGACTCGGATGACGAAGAGGTAAGCTAGAGCTCCGTGTCTTTGATTCCTACCTGGACAAGCCTTGGCCTTTGCTACCATTGAATTGTTTGGAGACTTGGAATCCAGAGCTGTCGATGAATGTCAACTGGAGCTAACCTTTTTTTTGCCAGGCCGATGGTGATGGCGAAGAAGAAGAGGAAGAGGATGACGATCTCGCTGTTGCATTCGGCGTTCTCGACATGGCCCGCATTCTCTACAGCCGACAGCTAGAAGAATTGGAGAAGGAGGAGCCTAATGGCAAAGCACAAGAGCAAGTCGACAGCGAGAAGCTCAGTATCAAACATGTCAAGGAGCGCCTTGCGGATACCCATGATCTTCTGGCCGAGATTTCTCTAGAGAATGAGAGGTCAGCGCACGTTCCCTCCCGCGGCGGCCTCCAGCGCTAACAGAGGTATAGGTACCCCGACGCCATCGAGGACTCGCGCAAGTCGTTGAAGTACAAGAAGGAGCTGTACAGCGAGGACTCGGAAGTCATTGCCGAGGCGCACTTCAAGCTCTCGCTGGCGCTTGAATTCTCTTCAGTCACAACTACCCAGGAGGAGGGTGAGCAGGGAGAGAGCAAGCCTTTTGACGAGAAGCTTCGCGAGGAGGCCGCAAATGAGCTAGAAGCTGCCATTCACAGCACCAAGCTCAAGCTTCAAAACAAGGAAGTAGAGCTCGCGACCATGGCATCTCCGGAAGACAATGAAGTCACGAGAGCCACGATTACCGACGTCAAGGACATGATTGCGGATATGGAGCAACGCGTAAGTACTCATACTTTGTCCTCGACCATGTCTTTACTGACCCATGCGCAGCTCGTGGATCTCCGCAAGCCGCCAATTGACGTGAACGCCGCTCTCGGTGGTGACGGCTTGGGTGGAATCCTTGGAGCAGCTCTCGGCGAATCTGCCGCCCAGACTCAAGCTCGCGTCGAGGAAGCCAAGAAGACGGCCACGGATCTCACCGGCCTCGTACGAAAGAAGGCCAAGGAGGAGCCCAAACCTGATGAGACTCAGGTCAATAGCGCGGAGTCCAACGGCACAAAGCGCAAGGCCGAAGAGCCCGCGGAGGCAGACGACCCATCGAAAAAGACCAAGGTCGAGGAGGTTACTCAGGCCTGAATCCAGGTAACTAGCGATCATGTAACATTGGGCTTTGGCGAAAATGATCTCGAGGGCGGGGAATAACAGGGTTTGGGGGATCGCTTTTCTCAGGGGTATCCACGGCAGAACTGTACAATAGCTAGTATTCTGGACGGCAGAGGAGAAAATTTGCGCTTCGCGGCTTCGCGACGGTCTACTACATGACTGGGTTTCAACTGAATCTATCGCATGTTGCACCTAACGCATCTAGCGCTCTCCCGGTGGCCGTAAATGGACTGTGTAGCATGGGAGCGCAAGGTATTAAGTTGAGGTACCTCAAGGGAGCAGGCGCGAAAGACCCCTTGCGTTTGACCGCCTCAGCCCCGCCCCCGCCAAAGAACCCCACCACCATCCAGCAACGACAATTTACCACCATCCAAAGTCGCTCCTGAGTCATCTAGAGACAGTCACGCCGACGTAGCTGCAATCCATTCGCAGTCCCCAGGAACGTGTAAGTTTTACTCTTCTGGACCTGCATGTGTGGATTGCCCTTTTAACAAGTTCACTTTCCCGTAGTCCGCCCCGCCTATCTCCCCCTCTACCCCACCAATACTACGATCATGCTCGACCTTCAAGATTTCATCAAGGAGCGCGGCGGTGACCCGGAGAAGATTCGCGACTCCCAGCGTCGCCGCCATGCACCCGTCGAGGTTGTCGACGAGGTCATAGCCCTGTGGGATGGTACGAAACCCCAGTCTACTTCAGCTCCCAAGCCTAGACCTGCATGCACTTTTGGGGGCGAACACAGTGGGCTAATACGAACCTCTCCGGAACCGAACAGACCACCGCAAGACCCAGTACTCCGCGACGCAAATCGGAAGCGAGATTAACGCCGTTCAGAAGGAGATTGGAATGAAGAAGAAGAACAAGGAGAACGCCGACGACCTGCTCAAGAAGAAGGAGGATCTGCAGAAGCAGAAGAAGGACAAGGAGGATGAGGCGACAGCGAAGCTCGCCACGCTCAACGCCAAAGCCAAGAGCATCGGAAACTACGTCCACGAGTCCGTCCCCATCAGCGACAACGAGGACAACAATGTCACGGAGCGCGAGTGGAAGCCCGAGGCGGGGCTTGGTGCCAAGACTGAGCAGACGCTTAGCCATCACCAGATTGTCACCAGACTCGCGGGCTACGACTCTGAGCGCGCTATCAAACTTGTCGGTCACAGAGGTTACTGCTTGACCGGCTACGGACTATTCCTGTACGTTCTGGGTCCAGGAGAGGAGGAAGGATGAAGCTTGTGAGAACGACGGGACAGCTGACTTTGACGAACAGGAACCAGGCGCTCATCAACTACGGTCTCGAGTTCCTCTTCAACAAAGGCTACACCCCCAACCAGCCGCCCTTCTTCATGAACCGTAACCAGATGGCCAAGACCGCCCAGCTTGAGCAATTCGACGAGGAGCTGTAAGGCAGGCCCTGAAACCAGGAGGCAACCCACAAGCATTCTGACAGATTTTCCAGGTACAAGGTTACGGGTGATGGCGAGGAGAAGTACCTTATTGCCACCAGCGAGCAGCCCCTCTCCGCACTCCACAGCGAGGAGTGGATTCAAGGCGGTCAGCTTCCCATCAAGTACGCCGGTTACAGCACATGTTTCCGCAAAGAGGCCGGCAAGCAGTACGTTCACATCCGGCGCGATGGCGACATTATTCCCTTTCTCGGGCTTTGACTGACATTGAACATCGACTAGCGGCAAGGAGGCCTGGGGTCTGTTCCGTGTGCACCAGTTCGAGAAGATCGAGCAGTTTATCTTCTGCAAGCCCGAGGACAGCTGGAAGCACTTTGATGAGATGATTGCCGCTTCCGAGGAATTCTACAAGAGCTTGGGTCTGCCCTACCGGTAGGCTACAACCAAGCCCAAGTTGTGGAATATGAAAGCTGACTGCTAATTATAGGGTTGTTTCCATCGTCTCTGGTGCTCTGTAAGCAAGCCTCGGAGAGCAAATACCGTCATGGAAATACTGACAGATCAAGGAACAACGCCGCCGCCAAGAAGTACGATTTGGAGGCTTGGTTTCCCTTCCAGCAGGAGTACAAGGAACTTGTCTCTTGCTCCAATTGTAAGATCCTTTTGCTCCTCATAATACGGATTGGCATTGATAACACTGATAGGCACGGATTACCAAACCCGCGAGCTCGAGGTTCGTTACGGTGTCAAGAAGGCCAAGGAAGTGAGTCCCAACCAAGATGCTCTTTTTCATTCTCTTAAACCCGAGATTGCTGACGTTTTTCCCCACAAAGGCCCCTGGTGGTGGCCGCAAGGAGTACGTTCACGCTCTCAACGCTGTAAGTCATCCCCCTTCTTATGACACCATTGGCTCCACGTATGTGTGGCTGACTTTGCCGCCCAAAATCAAAGACCCTCTGTGCTACCGAGCGAACCCTCTGCTGTATCATGGAGAACTACCAGACGCCCGACGGTTTCAAGGTTCCCGAGGTGCTGCGCAAGTACATCCCCGGCCAGCCCGAGTTCCTGCCCTACGTGGCTGAGCTCCCCAAGGAGATCACCGTCGTCGCCGGCCAGAAAAAGAAATAGATCACGCCATTTCGTGTGAACGCGGGGGTAAATGGTTGAGAATCAAGAGGGATGATGGGAGGTTTTTGGCGATGGACTGGGATCACCAAGGTGATCTCGAGGGTGATTGGTTGGTGGGCAGAAGAATGAGGCAAAACTTTGATGATACAACCAAACATCTACATCTGTTCTACAAACGATTGCGGTAGAGCGAGACAACATATACAGAGGTGGCCTGACGCCGGCTCTGATGGAAGATAGGCTTTGCAAAAGGCGCTCCAGTTGCCACAGTTTGGTAGTTCGTCGAACGTTTTTGCAAGTGTTCAGACCACGGAGCATGATGAGCCAAGGGGAGGTCCGTAATATCCGCAGCCGACGTCACTTATGCATTCGAAAGCGCGATAGTATGTCTCCGGGCGACACAAGTACTGTCTCTTTTCTCACACACACCGCTCGGGACCAGGGACTCAACCTTTGAAAGCATCAGATTTTCCTACTCATGGCGTCGACAAGCCGGCTGAGGCAGCTGATGCCTCTTGATTCCTCTGACTTGAGATAATTGGTTTGTGGATGCGACAAAGTAGAGAATAGAATCACTCCTCGGGTCACAACAGAAAGTTATCGTTGGCAGTATGATATTCTATCCAAATGCTCCATCAAATCAGTAGCTGGTGCTGGGAATTTAACTACGACTTCGCGGGCTCTAGTTCCCGCGGATTCATCCTTATCCACAAGCGGGCTCCCCTTAATTAATTCTATTCCAGGACTGGAAAAAATAGTCGATTGGACCAGGGAATTATGATCTGCCAAATACGAGAAAACCCCGCCCTCTTCGTGGTGGCCCACAACCGGCTATTTCGGTGGTCGTATTGAAGCGAACCCCTGGGATCGGAGCGAGAACTCTTTAAACCACAGCATAGTCGCACGATGTAGGCTGCCCGGGAGTTGTTGGGCTTTGCAGTCATTCTCGGGCTTTTGTACTAGGAGGGAAGCCGTTCCAGCATCTGACGATGCGTCTCGTTGCCCACTTCGCCGCGGCGGCGGCTTGCTGTTTCGCTGCGGCAATCTCCCAGGCAGTGCCAAAGACATATTTCGTCGAGCTTTCCAAGGACTCTGCAGCCGAAGGGCTGGGCGTCAGTCCTCACGAATTCGTCACCAAAGCAGCTGAAGCATCTATCCCGCTACGGGTGCGATACGAGTACACCGACAAGAGTGTTTTTTATGGCGTATCAGTCTCTCTGGACAGCGACTCGGACAGTGACAAGTTGCGAGCTCTCCCAGGTGTCGAGAATGTCATCCCCGTCCAGAGCCTGGCGCATCCCCATCGCCCAAGCGGCAACCTGAAAAGGTCTCCTTCCAGCGGCAAGGGTAGCGAGCACGCCACGCGCAACTACGACAGCAGCCCTCAATCTTCGTTCTCTCGAAGGGCGGATGTCGACTGGAACAGCCCACACGTCATGACGGGCGTTGATCGCGTTCACGCCAAGGGTGTGCTCGGCGAGGGTGTACGCATTGCCGTGATCGACACTGGAATCGATTATTTGCATTCCGCCTTGGGAGGGTGCTTTGGCAAAGGCTGCAAGGTCGAGTTCGGCTATGATTTCGTCGGCAATGGGTACGGATTCGACAACCTCACCCTGGATCCGGGACCGGACCCGAGACCGAACTGTTATGATGGCTTTCACGGCACCCACGTTGCGGGGATCATTGGTATGGAGGTCCCCTCCAATTCTTCCCTGTTTCCTGGTCTCGTTGGAGTTGCTCCCCGGGCGACGTTGGGCATGTACCGGGTCTTTGGCTGTGATGGAAGCGGCTCGGACGACTCTATCGTCGCTGCCATGCAAAGAGCCGTCGAGGATGGTGCTCATGTTGTGAGCATCTCAATTGGCGAGTTCGGCACCTGGTCAGGCTACCCTGGTTCTCCATACCCTGCGGCGGTTGCCGCTCTGAGAGCAAAGGGTGTAGCCGTCATCTCTGCCGGTGGCAATTCGGGCACGAAAGGCATGTTTTCCATCAACTTGCCGGGTGGTGCGGATGACGGTCTCGGTGTTGCGTCGGTCGAAAACTCGAAGTTTCCAACGTATCCGATTCGGGACTCTAACGGTGCCGAGTTCCGCTACGGAGCATTATATCCCTTCCCGGAAGGAGAGTATCCCCTTGCTTGGGCTGGTAGAAACACGACTACATACAAGTTTGGCTGCTCGGCTTCCGACTATCCGCCCGCCAGCAGTCTCCAGGGACCGATTTCCGACTACATTGTCGCCGTCAAGAGAGGGCCATCATGTTCGCCGACGCAGGTTCAGACATATGCATCTGCGGCCAACTTTACCCGTGTCATTACGTACCCGGATCCCACCATCAACGACATCTTCATTGAAGGCCACGCTGTGCCAACCCCGTCTCTAACTGCGGATGGATATGTCTACCCCATGGGCAGCGTGATTGACAAGACCCTCTCGAATGCAGCTAAGAGCTCTGGACAATACAAGTTGCTCGTTGAATCTCAGACGCCTCTTCTGGTAGATCAACCCGGTGGCGGATCCCCAAACGATTTCAGCAGCATCGGTATGTTGTCTTACTGCTGAAGTCCCGTCGCTTGAAGCGTTAGCTAACAGGTGCTCAGGTCCCAACGCCGACTTTGCCTTCAAGCCCGAAATAGCTGCCCCAGGCGGAATGATCCTGGCTACTTTCCCACTCATGGAGAATAGCGGCGGTTTCGGCATCATCGGCGGCACGTCCATGGCGACACCTTACATATCTGGTGTATACGCCTTGATCAAGTCAAAGCATCCCGAGTTGTCTGTTGGAGAGATCTTCGAGCTGATGCAAACCACTGCTACGCAAGTCAACATGGCAGACTATGAATTGATGGCGCCTGCCGTCCAACAAGGCGCAGGGTTGGTTCAGGCTCACAAAGCCGTCTTTTCGGGAACAGTGATTTCCCCAGGGGAATTCAAACTGGTTGATATCGAAGAGGCTACTTTCACCATCAACAACCCATCTGATACCGACGTGACATACAGCTTCTCCAACGTGCCTGCGGCTGGTGCAGCGCCATTCTCAGAGGGCTCGAGCCGTTCCGCGCAGGTCGGCTTCATCCCTCAGTCTTTCTCAGCCAAGATCGACTTCGCGGGCGGGAGCCAGATTACCGTCCCAGCTGGCGGCTCCCGTAACGTCTCTTGCTCGGTCACTCCTCCGTCAACTCTAGATGCCAGCCTCGTTCCGATCTTTTCCGGCTTTATCAGCATCTCCTCCTCCATCAATGAGACGTTCACTATTCCTTACATGGGACCGGCGTACAACTATAGCAGCACGCCGACAATCGGCTTGAAAAACATAACCGAGGCGCAGCGAATCAACGCTTTAACACCGACGCGCGATCCCCTTTCTGCTCCGCAAGTCTTTGCCAACGGCGACAAGGCCGACATCGGCAACTACCGCTCTTTTACGTTCCAGTATCCCGATTACCCAGTCGCATTGTTCACCTCGCTTCAACCCGTGCGACAGTTCCGCTTCGACGTCGTGCGCGCAAGCACCAACTTCACGCCGACCTGGTACGGCTTCGATCCCAGTGTGAAGTTTGACAACCTCACAGAGACCACGATGAAGGAGAATGGCACGATTGCTGGCGTGCCCATTCTCGGTTCGACCGAGATTGACAACGGATGGCTGCCTCGGACGAGCTACCAGCTTGGCTGGTCCTACAGCATTCTCGATGTTACAGCCTCTCGGGGGTTGGGACTGAAGAAAGGGTCCTACCGCATCATATTAAGATGGCTCAAATTTTTCAAGGATGAAGAGGATCCTGAATCGTGGGACAGCTGGATGAGTGGCGTTATTGATGTTTTGGAGGACGTTTTCGAGCCAACACCTGCGTCGTAGACCTTCAGGTTGGGTGAGAGGAGTGTGCATCCGTCTGTGGATACATCTTAATGTAATACAAAGTTTGCCTGTACTCTGAACTGACATTTGGAAGATAAGTACCTACCAGGCGTGACTTTGAGGCTAAATAAATAAGTATAAATGTAGGGTCGAAGCTCGTTATCAGCTAGTCCTCTATTCACAACATCTCGGCCGAGATTTGGTCACCGGAACTCAGCCCGAACATGACTATCCAATGAGATTTATCAAGATAGAACGGCTACTAAAATCAATAAACTTATCTTTGAGCCCACGGAAACAAAGGCATTCAATCTGAAACTCATATAGGGAAATACTTGACAGAAACACGAGCTCAAAATGCCATGAACTGCCTTACTCAAACTCTTGCCATTGCAGTAACAACTGCCCTATCATCATCCAAGTACCGGCACTATTGGATTGATTCATACCGGCATGCATCTCATTCCGGTACGCAGCGCTCGTCACACCTTCCTGCGTTGCATGCCATCCAAGTTCACTATTCCCATACTCGTGCCCATCCGTTGTGCCAGCCACCACCTTGAGACTCTCGATTCCCTGGTACGTGACGCTCATGAAGCCGGCGTGCATGGCCTGCATCATCTGCATGTCCTGCATCTGGCGAAGCGCGCGGACCTGCAGCACAGTCTGCACCCAGACCCCGTGCCGCACCCTGGAAAACTCGACGAGCGCGTCCGCGTTGCCCTCCTGGCACGCCTCGATCCACTTTTGTCGCATGCGCGGGGAGTACAGGCAGCACATTCTCTCCTCGGCGACGAAGTCGTTGTTGAACTCCATCGTGAAGCCGGGGCCGGGCGAGCTCTCCGCGCAAAAGGTGACGTAGCACTCTGGGCAGATCGTGCAGTCGTCCCAGCCGTACCAGCGACGGTTCCCGACCAGGTTTTCCTTGGCGCAGTGCGGGACACCGGCGAACTTGCGCACAAAGTCCGAGTAGCGAGACCACACGCCAGTCTCGACGGCTTCTGCGTGCCGGTTCATGTGCTCTAACCATCGGGGAGCTGAACGCTCGAAGCTGCAAAGGAAAGCCTCCCCTCCGTCTTTGCTCTGACACTTTTGATAGAACCGAGCCAAGCCGAACGACGTGATGAAAGCGGCATGACAAGCGGAGCAGATGTCGTAACCCTCGTAGTCGCCACCAGCCAATGTGTACCATGTTCCGTTGACAATGCCCTGCTCGGTACACGGTGGGCTTGAGAGAATCGTCTCCAGAGCTTGGTACAGAACATTGATGTCTTGAAAGTCTTTGGCCGCTGTAAGCGAGACAGCCACAGGCAAGCTGTTTGTGCTGCATAGATAGGGGACAGGCTCCGTCGCTCGATGGCCCAGGGCAACGTCCATCCAATCTAACCCGGTGACACTCGGCTCGTGTGGAATAGATTCAAAGTCCTTGCCCAATACGGTCAGCGCCACATGTTGCTCGAAGCACTTTTCGCAGATCGTGAAGTCCGGAAATCGCTGACCACGCAGTCGCATCCACCGCCTCGAGGAGGATGACACAGGCCCCTTATCGCAGTCAGGAAGGGCGATGTGTTTTGCCGTCACCTGCACCCAGTCATTCCAGGCGTCAACCCCTGTTTTGGCAAATTTGACGATCGAACGATTGATAAAGGGAAGGCAGATATCGCAGGCCCAGATGTAATCAGAAGGCTGAGGAGAGTCGTGGGGAACAAAGTTGTGTCGAAACGAGGTTGCAAGTACGACGTCTTCATAGCAAGCCTCACATGATATGAAACCTTCGAGTCTGTCATCGAGCGGCTTGAACCATTTGATTCCTGCAGAGGCATCGGCGCCCGATGGACCCTTGCAGTCCTGAATATCGAGTCGAGCTGTGATGAACTCCCGCAGAGGCGTGACATTTCCACGCTCGAGACACTCGGGTAGCAGAAGTCTGGTAATGCGGGGCACATTGAACCGGCAACGTCCTCGCGGCTCCCTGGTGCGTTTGAAAGATGATTCCAGGGGGGTGTGTGCAAGACACATCTCAAGGCAGTGTGTACACACCAGGAAACTTGGTATATCAGGTAGATGGTACCAGTCAGTTTCATATTCGACCTCTCGTTCTTCTGGGCATTCCCAAGCGACGGTATTGGGCTTGCCATCATCGGTGACTCTGGGAATGGCCCGTTTGTACTCGTGATAGTCTTCATCCCCAGGTCCCAAATGAAGGCTCTGCAAAGGAGGGGCCTCATGGACGCTTACTTTACCCATTTGGGTGGAAATCTCATCCATCACAGTGGTTGGCACTTGTGATTGAGGAGTACTGGCTACACTATCGCGACTCGAAAGTTGAGCCGTTGGGGAGTCGTTGATACCGATTTCCTTCACGGAAGATGAAGAGTGACTCTCAAGGGCTGTACGTCTTTCAGGTTCTTGTGCAACTTGTAATGGTCGAGGCGCCGCTTCCTGGCCATGATAAACATGTAGTTGACTACCAGCTGGTTGCTTCTGCGATGTCACCAACGGTATGCAAGTTGCTGGTGAAACTGCAGATGCACATTGCTGCAAACCGGCGGTCTCGGAGCTCTCGTCCCTATGAGGCGTGGCGTGGGATGATAGTGCGACGAATGGATTGTCTTCCAGGACATACTGTGCTTTAGTGACGTGGTCGTGAGCAGCTGGGTCTTGTTGAGCCTGCTGGCCGTGCTGATCTTGTTGTTGCGTTACTGCATCTGGGCGAGGAGATGAAATGTTTGGGCTAGCCTGTTCCTGGGGTGGAGTGGGGTAATAAGAAGTAGATTGTACCGGTTGGGTTGCCGGAGCTTCTTTCTTATCCTCCCGTTGGTATTGTGGTGGTTGAGAATGGTGATACTGAACACCCGGGGTATGAACGGGTGTAGTTGAAAGAGGCAAAGTAGTAAACTCATGGTTGTAGTTTTGGGCGTATTGGGCCTGGGGAGAGTAACTGGACTGTGACAACGTTACAGTCTGCGAGAGGTATTGAGTGAATTTGGCCTTGGCTTTACTTTTGAAGTCCTGACAAGATTGGACAACCTTTTGGCTGTCTGAAAACAACGAGGTAGCCTGTTGCAAGGCACTCGATAGACTAGGACTCTGGGCTGCGGCTGGCCCTTGGCTGGGGTGCGCATACGTCGCCGGGGGTGAGTATGGCTGGTTCAAGGGAAGTGAGATATTTGAATGTAAGTTGTGAGAAGTTGGTCCAGGACGATTCGTAAGACCTGAAGAATAGTTTTGACTATTTGAAGGACCCTGATGGTATGGATGAGCTCCATATGCGGGCTGGTACATGTGTTGAGAACGGTTTCCGACAGATTGAGAACTCTGTGCAGTGTGAGCAGGTTGGAATGGCCCATGCGAATAGACAGGATAAGGCCCGACTGTTGCCGTGTCCGTTGGCCGTGGTGGAAACGGCGGCGGAATTCCAGGCTGACCTGGCGGTGGTGGGAAATATGGCTGTCTGTTGGGGTCCATATTGGCTCCAGAGGTTGTAATCACGACCGGAGAATAATGCGTGTCCAGTTTGTAGAGTAAGAAGGGTATCGTGGACTTTTTGATCTTCTTGGCGGTCTGGTGAACGAACACGGCTGAATGTCTTGAATGTGTGACCGCATTTTCAGCCGCAGAAGGCTCGGCATGAAGTTGTGCCGCCTGACTGCTGTTGCGTGAAGCTGAAAAGGAACTGCAGCATACTACCCCAATCAAGGGTGTCACACGAAGCTTTACACTACTAGTGCACTTGAAAAACCTGGGATTCGTCCAATCACACATGTAGTGTGTATTACAATACATCCAATAGAATCTTGTATTTAAAGACACGACGTTCCTCTGTCGAAAATCTGCCTTATGCTTGGAGACTTGACTCAAAGCAAAATCCCCAAGGAGGCGTGTGTTGTTTCGCCTCAACGCTCACTTCATATCCAAGTAACAAGTTACCTGGATTGGCCAAACGCTCTTGGTTGTCTACGAAGTCTTGTTGTCCAACGAGACTCATGGAACGGAGTTGTTAAAAAATTGGTATCATCATAATTGTGTACGACAGAATTTTTGCCGTAAACTGCATTACCTTAATTCAGAGTCGAGACATCACTCGAAAGTTCATGACATGTCCGTCGTGCTTATGACATATACAAAGACAAAGATTCAAATGCTTCTCTCCATGGCCAGTCAACAAGGTTGCCCTTGGTAAAGGCATCGAAGTCAGGGCTAGCGATCGCACTTCGCCAAGCGCAAGAAACTCCATTCTAGGAGACCAATACCAGAAACACGAAAAGAGACAAACGAATGGAATAATAACGTAGGCGTGGAAAGCAAACTCTTCTATTGAGCCCATCTTAATCTTACGTCGAATGTAATCAACATTGCGACTTCCCACTGTCACCAATCTAGTTACAGCTTACGAAATAGTCAATAGCGCTTAGTATACGATGGCATAACACTTCGGAAACAATATTTCTTGTGTCGTGGTTCGGAATTACGAACGGAAATGCTCAAGGACATGCTTATCAATCTTATCAATCTTTTGTGGCTGACTGCGGGTACGATTCGGCATTTTCGCTTACGGCCGAGCACGCGTGTAATATGGCCGCTTATGCCCGTCTTCAGACTTCAACTTCACATCAACGCGGTTGAGGCTCATCTGACCCAACGACTGCTTCCTCTCTCGCTCTCAAACTTCCTGCAATATCCGTCGGGCCGGACTATCTGATCTGCTATCACCCCTATGGAGCGACAAACCCGTCGACGTCGGAGACCCGCCCTGTCATGTCTCGAATGCAGGCGTCGCAAAATCAAGTGTGACCGAGAAGAGCCTTGCGGGCATTGCACCACATCGAAACTCAGTTGTACTTATCGAATTCACAGAGGTGATTCGGTGGCTCGGACATTTGTGCGACAAGCTGTTCAACCAACGCAGTCGGCTCACATGATTTCGCCCCTGTCACAGGCTCAGACCATGGTTCCGGCGCAAGAGCATACGAACAACACCAACCTTGCTTCTGAGCCTGGAATGGTGCATTTGAATCTTTACGAGCAGGGTGTTCATGATGATGTTAGCGAAGATGTCGTCGTCTCGGAAAATCTTGCTCAAACTGCCGAGCCCGCTCTCCGAGATCTCTTACACCGTGTACAGAGACTGGAAGAGGCGTCTACAGACCCGACACAACCAAGAAGATCTGAAGCCCGTCAGAATACCATGAGCAAGAATGCAGATTCACGCGTAATGTTAAAGAAAACAAGGGTCTGGAGATGGAGTGATTGGATGGGCGAAGCTTCCGAGGTACGTTCCATCATGGGCTGGAATGGAGCCCTATGTTGACACTCGAAAAGTTTGACAGATTGTTCGACTGCTACACGAGTTACGTCAAGGCTGCTGCGAATGAAGTCGACGTATCATTTCCAGATGCCGAGACTAAGGCTTTGGCCATAGAGGCCGGGACTCTACTCAGAAACTGCAAAGACCTGGCGAGGAGCATCAAAAGTTGGCGGCCCAGTAGAAGTCTTGGCAATACTGGAGTCAACCTTGCTGCTCCGTCTCGCGAGGTAGCTGATATAATGCTAGGCCATTACTTGGATTCGTTCGAATCAACTTACCGTATTTTACACAAACCGACCTTTAGAGTGGAGTATCTGCGGTTTTGGGACGATCCATCCGGAGTCAAGAATGATCTGCGCCTGAAGATACTTCTGGTTATCGCGATTGGATCAAGTCTACATAACCCCGAAGAAGTCGAACCTGGGTTCCAGCGTCTCGTTCGCCAATGGATATACACTGCTCAGGCTTGGCTTTCCGGTCCTCTGGAGAAGGACCGACTGGGTATCAACGGCATCCAGATCCACTGCCTGACTATATTGGCGCGGCAAATCTTTTCGATCGGAGGCGATCTAGTCTGGATTTCCATGGGAACCCTGTTACACACAGCCATGCAAATTGGCTTACACCGTGATCCAATCCATCTATCGCCCATGTCGACATTACAAGCAGAAATCCGAAGGAGACTTTGGACGACGATTTTAGAACTGGTAGTCCAGGCATCCTTAGACACAGCGATGCCTCCTAGGATCTCTTTCGAAGAGTTTGATACTAGGCCTCCTTCGAATGTCAACGATCACGAACTAGAAGAGTCACAAACGGAGCTACAGTCACGTCCAAGGAGCACTTATACGGATATGTCATTACACCTCCAACTGAGAGACTCTCTGCTAAGTCGACTTCGGATTGTTCAACTGCTCAACGGGCTACACCATGAGATGTCATATCACGTCGCACTGGAGTTGAGCTCAGACATTTCCGAAGCCTGCAGGACCAACATTCACTTCATGAGGCAGCACGAGCGGGCCGGAGTCACGGTTTTCCACCGCAATCTGCTCGATTTCCTCGTGCGCCGCTTCATGATTCCTCTTCACTGCCCGTTCGCGAGCCAAGTGCAGACAAATCCTCTCTTCCAGTACTCGAAAAAAATCACTCTGGACGCCACAATAATGATTCTGTCGCCTGAACCGGACGACAAGTTTTCTCGTCTCTTTAGAATCGCCGGGGGCATGTTCCGCGAGGGCTACAGGTACGCCCTTGCTACCATCAGCCACGAGTTCATCGCTCAAGCAGAGGCTCACCGTCTTGACGGAACGCTTCAGCGCAATTTCCAGCAGAGACAATTCCTGAAGAAAGCAATGATGGACTTGATAGATGTGTCTGCAGACAGAGTCAGGCATGGAGGCGAGACAAACATCAAGGGTCACATGTTCCTTGGGATGATTATGGCACAAATCGAAGCCATGGAAATGGGAATCCCAGGAGACCTGGAGATTGCAAAGAGCGCCAAAGACAGTCTAGAATTCTGCCACAGCTTGCTTCAAGAACAGGCAAGCACTGTGACGCCATGCTCGACGGGCGAAGCAGCCTTTGGATCCTCTGGACTTGAGCCCGAACAGGGAGGTTTTGGATTTGACTGGGATTTTGACTTTTTACTCCCTGAAGTAGATTTTTAGAGCTAAAAATCCGAAAAATGTTTGACAACATATTCTCAGAAGAAACTTCCTAGATGTTTTCTCATGTCGGTCTCCAAATTGGAGTCTGCCGCTACCTTGGACTTGACTGACGGATGGATTCCTTGGGTATTTCGCAGTCTCAGCATCATATCATCGTCTAACCCAAAATGGTGCTTACGGTCAGATTGCTGTTATCGTGCAAATGGCGTTCGTAGACTCGTAGTTGTTCGGCCGAAACGGACAATACACGGGCGTAACATGTTTGTACACGGACATAATAGCTCGCCATCTTGCAATACTTAAACGAGATGATACGATCAACCAACGATGCTTTTTTTTTTTAACTCAACTGACATCTCCTGTTAGATATTTGAACTAAGTGTCCCTCTTTCGTCTCACGACATCGACAATCTCCATTTCCAGCGCAACATGTCTCCCTCTTTGAAGATTCTCATCAGCGGTGGCGGAATCGCTGGCGGCTGCCTTGCCTTTTGGCTGGCCAAACTCGGCCATGACGTTACTGTGGTCGAGTGGTTTCCGACCCTTCGCGCTACAGGGCTTCAAATCGATCTCCGAGGACATGGCATTGAAGTCTTGAAGCGAATGGGCCTCGAAGAAGGATTCCGCGCCAAGTCCGTCCCCGAGCAAGGCCTACAGTTTGTCGACAGTTCCGGCCGTATACGAGGCCACTTCCCGACCAACCACTCGGGAAGCGGAGTGCAGGACTTCACTTCCGAGTACGAGATTATGAGAGGAGATCTGTGTCGCCTCTTCCATGATGCCACCAAGGGCCGCGCCAAGTACATATTTGGCACTTCCGTGGAAAATTTCGATCAGAAAAATGGCGGCGTCGATGTTACATTCAAGGATGGGACAACGGATCATTTCGACCTGCTGGTTGGTGCCGACGGCCAAGGATCACGTACCCGCAAGTTGATGTTCAAGTCCAGAGCGTCTGACGGCTTTTACCCACTCAGGGGAATTCACGCCTCTTACTTCACAATCCCGCGACCTATACAGAAGGGCGAAGGCTACTACTCAACGGCTTATTTCGCGACCAAGAGCCGAGTTGTAATGATTCGACGACACAATCCGGAAGCGATCCAGGCGTACACCCTCTTCACATCGCATGATGAGGAGTTCCAGAACGCTCGACGAAGTAACGGAAAAGAAGCGAAGGACGTTGTTGCGAAAGCGTTCAGGGGTGCAGGATGGCAGGTGAATGATTTACTGGATTCGATGTCCGAAGCCAAAGACTTTTACTGCGAGCGAATCGGTCTAGTCAAGATTGATCACTGGTCCGAGGGACATGTTGCCCTTGTCGGCGACGCGGCGTACGGCCCATCCTCCATGACGGGCATGGGTACAACCTCTGCGGTTGTTGGCGCTTATATCTTGGCTGGAGAGATCGGCAAGCACTGCGGATCCGCAAACGGTCAGGATGGCATTGAAACGGCTCTACACGAATACGAAAAAAAGATGCGGCCATTCATGGACCAAGTGCAGGAAGGCATCACCGATGACGCCCTCGTGTATAGGGTGTGGCCAACAGGACCGATCGGGATAGCAATCTTGTACTGGATCATTGGAATTGTCTCTTTCTTCCACATGAACCTCGGAAAGTGGGCTCTGAAAGAAAGTGCGGTAAAGTGGGATTTACCTGATTACAAGGAGCTTTCCCTGGATGAGAGTAGCCCGCAGGTTTAATGGTAAGCGCGGTAGGGTGGATTCTGGCTCCAACTGTACATTATTAGAATAGAAGAAACGCAGCTCTGAATAGACATCCATGACTCTAAAGAAATTATATGCAACCTTTCCAAAAGCAATGAGGGTTCAAGACCCTTATGAAAAATTACAAAATGAACGTTTAATCGGTAGTTCATGTGTACGTATATTGGCAGAGCCATTTGTTGTTGGGTGTGTGAGTGTGAATGCTCCAGGTATTCACCGCCCATCTCCTACAACCAGAGGAGTCGGCCTCACTCAGATTGAGGGTCTGACCGAAAGCGTTTGTCAACGGCGTTGAGCAAAGTTGTTGTGTCATTATACTCTGTGAAGATAATGTCAGCGGAACACTTAGTGAAGAACTACACATCAGACTTGGAGCACACACTGTGGGCAACAACTGTGCCGACTAAAACATCGTCCTGGCACTCGACGGCGGTGCACCAGCCCTCGGCATTTCCAGAGCCTTTGTGCTGTTAGCTTCTATCACCGTACCTATATTATTGTCGTCCAATTCTTTGATTTCACTTCCTAGTAGAGAGAGTCGAAACTACCTTGGAGTTGAGGGAAACGGTTTGGTCATACTTGCCAGTGCGGTCCTTGTCCTTGTCTGAATCAGTATCCTTTAGTCCTCCTTAACGGTTGATAGAATCACAAGATGACATACAGTGCATGGTGAGCTTGTCACTGGTAGACGCTGGGAACTGCGTGCTTCCGAGCTGCTCTCCATGAAGAGTGCTGGCCCAAGTACATCACTGGCCGACACTGGCACCGCAGTTCCTATCATAGCCATCAGCTGATTGCCTTTCATATTGGTAAAATAGGTGATTACTTACGCCTTGGGATCGATGGAGGAGACAGCAAGAGCCTGGACATGGGGACTCGGCACGAGAGGGAGAATAAGAGTGGTGGTCGCTTCGCGGATACATGACTGGGTCGGACCAAGGGAGAACGCCAGTACAAATCCGACCGTATCCTGAGCGCTCATCACATTGGCGGCGGCGAGGAGAACTGTGGCGGCAACGCTACGCATGTTGAAGTTAGCTTGCAGGGAGTGGCCCAACGTAGAAGGATATGCAGCCAAGGAAAGATCCAAAATCCGGGAGAGAGCAACGTAAGGCGGGTATTATTGAGAATCTTGGATATAGAACAGGTTGGACGAAAAAGCCTCTAAGTATTCTTGGCAACAGGCCTGGAGTTTACATGATTGACTACGTGGCATCCTAGACCTCTTCGATCCCATCTCGATTGGTAACCATCTTCGCCCAGCGTTTATATAGGCGGCGAAAGATGGTTTGAAATGTCTCGAACTCACGCATTACGACGCAACTGCCTCTTGGTCTGAAGGCAGTCTCACACAGTTGGTGACGTTTCATCAGGGTATTTGGGGAGTATCGTTCGCTGGTTTCCCTTGCAACGTATCCTGGGACTCCTCTGACACCATTCCGATGCTGCGCTTGAAACGGTGCAGCCACTCAAGGTTGTCTGCCGAGGTCTGATTCCATGGATCGCCGCTGGGAGGAGCAGTTCGTCTTCAGTAGCTCTTCAAGAAGGACAGGGAGAACAGAACTCACTCTTCGTAGACAATAAACCTAGCTTGGTGCTGAATCTCGTGGTCTGACGGAACATGGCTATTCGGATTGTTGGGAGACATGGTTGCCGCGATCCATCGTCGCAGCTCTTGAGCGAGCCATCTGTTGAAATTCGCGTCGTTGAAAAAAGCATAGTTTCGTTTAATTGTTGAAAATTGTGGATGTGCGCTACGGCCATCTGGCCCAGTGCTCCCGGTTCTCTGCCAACCCGGAGTGCTTGGCATCAAGGGGGAGGTTGACGTCGTGTCAGGAACCTGTGAGACATCGCTCGATGATGTGACTTGCTGTGTAAGAGGCCCGTTTCCCAATGGCTGGGGAGTCTCGCTTCCGATTTCTTGCTGCCAGACACGCTGGTCAGGTATTGCTAGATTCCTCCATAACCCTTTATCGAAAGGGATGCCATCAGGTTGTGACTGAAAAGGAAACGGGGGGTCAACATGTTCGTTTTGAGAGCATCTTCCACCCATGGGATCTCCACGTCCTAGTTGAACATTTTTCTCGGCCAGTCTCAGCGATGGTAAAGCATGTGAAGTTTCACATTGGAGAAGGCGTGTTCTCAAGCGAAAAGCGGTAAGCCAGCCACTCGATGAGCTAATGAGGTTGACCAGCCAATTGACAACCAAGTCGGCAGGAGACATTCCCCAACCCTTGCCCAGACGTGTAACTATTTTACAAGCCTCGTTCTGCAGCTCTTGGTTATTCAGGACATTTGGTCCCAGAAGCCTATGTTTGTCGACAAAGGCATCAAGCTGTGACTCGCAGGGACACCCGTCAAAGAGACTGCGCTTGCCTTTGATCTGGAGAATCGACATCATACTTTCAGCTGGCGATCGTATCGGGCCAAATCGAGCCTCCCGAGTGAGATCTTCTGACGAAGTGATCAAGTCTCGAAGCCAGGACTCGGGTCTCGCGCCTTTGTCACTTTCCGGTGACGAGACTTCTGAGGCAAACACGATTCTGCAAGCCTCAAATTGGATCTCTCTGTTGTTGGGTAAGTTGCCGGTTTTGTCGAAGAACAGCCGCAGAAAGTGGTTGAGCTCAAGTGTGAGCAATTCGTATGCGCTCCGGGGTGATTCTGGAGGTGTGCCGCTAGCTTGGTAGGGAAAGGGCGAGAAACGCTCATACTCTATGAGATCTGGCAGTCAAGTTAGCCGGGGCAGTCACGAAACAGCTCAAGTTCTCTTACAAGGTGGAACGGAGTTCTCAACCATTTCAAGGACTGCGTCGTTGAACCCCCAGTCTCCTTTCCAACTTGCCATGTCGGAGCCCATCTTGAAATGATCCGCGAGGTGGTCAGCTCGGGCTCCCCAAGTATCAAGAGACGCGCCACAGAAGCCGCAGCGAGATTGTATGTCCGGGACGGTTATTTTCCAGAGCTTAGCAGACCAGTCAAGGAGCCCAGCGTTGTGGACCAATCGCAAGTGCTGTTTGAGGTGATCCTTTCTGTTAAAGGTACGTTCCTGGCAAGATGATGGATTATGGCTATCAATGTGCGATTGAGCTGGCTCGGTCTCGCCGCAGAAGACACAACACTGTTGACCTGTGTCAGGATTAACAGCCCGAGGCCCTTCAGGCGAGCACACCCATCTTTCAAGGGGCATATGTAGAGACTTCTCGTGCCGTTGCCAGTCGTGCTTGGTCCTGAACGTCTCTGTACAGAATGTGCACTGAAATTGGTTCCGAGGATTTGCAAGGGAAGTTCGCTTCGGGCGCCTGCGCTGTCGCGCGCGACTGCGGACAACAGGACGCGGAAGGCTGACAGAGTCTTTGGAGACGTGGGAAAACGCAGAGGCAAATGAGCCACCGCTGGAGGTACCGGCACTGCTGGCCGATGATGTGTGATAGAGAGATCGTGCTGGCTCGTCGGTGGCGCTGGCTTTGGAGCTCTCATTTGCGGCTGGGAGAGATCAGCTTCAACAAGTCCGATGAGACAAACTTGGTTCAGGTACGATAACAAGACGAAACTTACCTGAGGATCCCGCGTGGGTAGAAGCTACAGCGCGGGCGATGGCAGTGACAGTTGCAGGCTCATGTTCTGGAGGAGAGTCGACCCATCGCTCAAGAGGATTCAAGCTCTGGTAGCGCGGGCTGCTTCTAGGGGCTGGCGTCCCTGGTCTCGCGGGGACGTCGATAGGTTTTGTCCCAGTAGCAGAGTTTCCCGAGTAAGGCGATATGGAGCGATGGCGGCCTTGCACTTTTCCACGTCGACGAGCGTTGATCAGCCAGTTGGTGATTTGAATTTTGCTAAGACCTGTTTGATGCTGCAAAATCTTCTTCTCTTCGTCGTTTGGATACGGATGGTGGCTGTGGGAAGAGAGCCACTGTCTCAATATTCGGGTCGAGTCACGAGAGAATCTGGTGCCGATTTTAGGTGGTGGAGGAGGAGTCGACGTGTTGAACATGTTGAAGGGCTCAAACGAGCCGCTCGATCTCTTCGAAGCTTCTGGTGTTGGAGGCTGCTGAATACCAGTCGAAATATGACAACTATCGTCCACTATGCTCTTGACGTCATTGCTGTGGAGGTCGGATGTGGTATCTAAGAAGCTGCAATCACACCCTACAGACATGCAGGGAATGCAACGACCTTGGGATTGGGGTTGTTGTGGGAGCTGGCACTGGTAGCCCCATGCAGTGCAGTTGGCACAAGGAGTTGATGGTGTGGCCCATTCGCTCTCGAGACTGTCATTGGTGTAGTCTAGTGTTCCGTCAAAGACAAAGGGAGAGCTTTCACCGCTGAATTGTTCAACGGGCGTGAAACTCAGAGCGTCATCATCGACGGCCAGATCCTCGAGGTTGAGGTTGGTCTTGGGTTCCTCAGATAGAGAGATCTCGGCGAGGTTCACGAATGGATTCGCAATCGAAGAATCGCCTTCATCAGGACTGTTCATTCTGTCAAGGCCGAGTTTTAGCACCGCATTCGTAACTGCCCTTGTGCTTCTCCAAGAGATGAGGTTGGTCAAGGGTGTCAAAACCCCTGTCAGAGACTGGGCGGATTGGGCGGATAGGACGTATTCGTATAGACAAGGCGTATCAATATATGAAGGACTAGTATCTAGTGTAGATTGCGTTGCTTCAGGGGAGTCAGACGACTTCGACTTTGTTTTGCTCAAGAGAGGATGAGTCGTCGGAAGTATATCCGCACTTTCATGCGTTGACATGACAAGGGATCCACTAAAGCGCTCTACATGATTGGCCAGACGTCCAATGTGTCAAGTGCGCCTTACACTAGAATCGCGATGGCGGGACCCATCGACTAAAGACTAGCTTGTTGAGCGAGAATGACAGGTCCGAACCTGGATTCAAGGGCATTCGCGCAATAGTAACCCGATAGTAGTCTGGTTTCTGCGATGTGGTGAGTTTCTGAAAGTGTATTGGGTCTCCTTCAACCCATAGGTGCGGTAAAAACGGCTACAAAACGCGGGCTACATTGCCTCTATTCTCTGTTGCTTTATAAGGCAGCTTTGATTTATTAGAGTTTGTATCGGATTGGAAGCCCAATTCGACCTCGAGTCAGCGCTAGCGTAGGGGCCATCTGAGGGTCTCTATATTTGCGTTGAACTGACGGTCTAACCTCTGGTTGGAACCTCTTTTTTCCACTTCATGCAGAGATCAATATACAGTTAATTGACCCTTCGTCACCACGGTTCGACTCGAACAATCACACCTGTGATACGTAAACCAACAGTTTGAGAGCACCATGGGCTTTCTAGCCAAAGAAGTCACCGAAAGTAGTCCAATTGAGAAGTGAAGAAAAAGTCGCCGTAGTGGGTCGTTTAGACCGGCGTACTTCCGGACCCTTCTTCAAAGTATCTGCATTCGCATCTCGTTAGCGCCAATTGCAATTGCGCTCTCCGTTACAAAATTCTTCCCCCTTGTCGAGTGCAGTAAATACCGGCAGACTTTTCTCTACCTAGGTGTTCTGGGAGACATCGCCTCCGCAATGGCCCCGACTATCGCGATATCATCCGTCGGCAAGCTTTATTCGCTGGCGAGGCTTGGAAATGGGGCTACGATGGCTAGAGCCTCTTTGGGCAGGATCACCTTTCCACGAGTCCTCTGTCGGACGTTCACAGCACTGGGTTGGGCTTGGTCAAATCAAGTGATGGGCTTCATAATCCTGGGTCTTATAATAACCGTGAGGATGCTTCTTCTTCTGCCATACCCCAAACTTATCCTGCCAGCCGCGGTCTCGTCCAAGGAGAAATCAGCTGCTCTCAACTTCGACGCCTTACGATCCGGGCCTTTCCCGTCCATCACGCTCGGGTTTTTCATGTGCTAGTTCTCCATCACCGGCGTGGGCGTTCTTGTGCCAATTTTTGCAGTCAAGGCTGGCTTTCCGTCCGCTATGCGGTATACCTTGGTCTCGATCCTAAACGGATCTTCATGCTTAGGCCGTTTATTACCTTGACTTGCGGGAGACTACGTGAGTAATTTCGATGTCATTCTCTTCCTGAAATGCCTCTGGTTGACTTTACTGAAGCCTTATTTGTCCCATTCGGAGGCCAGAACACCGGGGTTCTCTACACATTTGCTGGGTTTTGGCAATTTGGCACCGGCTCTTGCCTCTTACCTTTAATTATCATGGTAGGAAGCCAGAAATCAATACGACAGCTATGATCAACTATTTACTACTCCAGCTTCCATGTTTAAGTCTCAGAGTCTCAAACCAACTATTTGACCTTTCAACTTCAGAGACTGTTCACTTGGATTTGAGAGGCTTGGAAGAGCTGCAGTCGCGTACTTACATTATAGGAGTAGTCATATATACCTGAAACCCCTCCACACCCACCCGCCGCCACGAATATGCCGTTGCGCCTAGACTCATTCTGGCGCCTTTTTATGGCAATACTGCCTTGGGCGGTGTTTTACAGTCGAGTGTATAGTATTTCGTTCTTTACATGATTTATCGTCACAAGCCAGCCGGGCGCAGTAACTTTATTATTACCGACAACATCAATGATGACGAGGACGAAGACGACGAACATGAGGCTAAAGGTGTAGTGGGTAAGCGCAATGGGTTACTGCCAGCGATGGGGACGTGCGGTGGGCAGTAGCTGATTGGCAGTAGCGTCTGGTCACACACGAAACTGAGGTTAACTTACAGGACTGTCTGTGGTTCAGCCAAACTAGAAAACTTCATAATCAGCCGCCCTGAAAGTCTGTCCTCTCTGTACTCTAGAGTAAAATACAAGCTGGTAATGCTGGAACATGCACAGTGGGGATAGCAGGGCTCTTAAAATTTGGAGTCGAGGGTAAGACCAGAAGAAATCATTGCAAGTCTCAGTCGTCATGGACCCAAAGATCCCGAATAACATTAGACGTTACAGTCGCCTGCATTACGCATTATGAAAGTTGTCTTCTCGATTGAAGAGGAAGTAAGAGCTGTGAGTCAAGATTAGAAGCGCATATTAGTAGATGACGTCACCTTGGGCGGGGTTGGCGCACTTCGCGTCTTCGGAAGTCCGCTGGATAACTCCTGCAGCCCGACGTATAGACTTGAGCTTCAATGATGTTCTCGCAAACGCCGTCGGGGAGGGAGTGAAGGCCTCCTGCATCTTCGTTGAAAGGTAATCTGATTTGCTCCGCCAAATAGGAAATTTCTTGGTTATATCTTCGGAGCGTGAAGTGAAAGGCGGCGAACCCTATTCTTTAACTATTTCCATTTAAATTCTAGATATGTATTTGGGCACGATAAACAAAATTTTGTTAACTTTATTTCAACTTTACAGCGTGAAGGGCATGACATGCATGCCTCATCAACGGGTCAATAGCTAGGATCATGCGACAACAAGTACCGTGGCTATGTCCCTTTACAATGTCTTCGAATGGAGGGGCGAAGGGAAATGCGGGGTCGTATTATCAGACCGTTTGAGCTCGTCAAGCCGAGAGTCTGTGAAACATTCCACCTAATGATTTTGCTGAGCCCCGCTTTACCACACAGCTGATTAAAGTTGCCAATCGAAACAGGCCATTCGAAGTCCTAGTCATTCCAAGGTAGACTCGGAGTGCTAGTCTATGATTTTGATGGCGTGATTTTGATGGCGAGGAGGCACTCTAATTGCTCGATCTCTTTAGGAATTAATCGGACCAGATGTTCTTTTTCGAGCGGACTCGGACCCCACGGTTCAAGTGTGACTGGGCTCGAAAAACCCATTCTCTTGCTTCGGCTTTAGGACCGAAGGCAAAAGTCCGTGGAGGTCTATTCATTCCGCTTGGGGTAATGCGGTCGTAAAGATCTCCGTCACCCGTCGCCGGTTATTGACGTTACGTGATGGTGTAGGAAGGTTGTCTGTCTGGAATTGTCAGACGTTGTCTGACCACGGATAATTATGTCAAAAAATATGACCTCGTATCAGCACAGACGAAATCGTCTGCCATTTGCTTTCTCAAATGTCCCTCACTATCACACAGTATATAGACTTGACTTTTTCCTTTGATCACTTTTGGTGGATATAGGCCATTCTCTACCCACTTCATATGCTCAATTACTGTGTGCTCCACCTCGTGACAATATATCTATCTATACATATCCTCCCCATCAGACAGCACGAGCACATGAAGTTTTCATACTCGAGCTAGACTATTAGCCCATAATATTACTCCCACTATCCGCAAAGCCTTTTCTCAGGAAGAAAAGTTTTCATTACGGAGATTATGCCATTCAGCGCAGACGCAACCAATGGAGTGAACGGCATATCCAACCATGGCCATGACTACCTGCGCGCTGTGACGGGTGTCACAGCATCTTCTTTTCCAACAGAGGAGGAGCGAATCAAGGCATTGCAAGCAACCTACGAGGTTATTGCCAAATTGGAAAACCCAAAGGATACCTACATTAGGACTCATTTGAATCAGGTGAGGCCTACGAAACGCCAGCACTAGAGTTTAAGTAGGCTAATCCAATCTTAGTCGGCCATCGTTGCTGGTGTCAAGGTCATCAAAGATTTGAACTTGATGCCGAAGTGGAAAGAACAAGGGTTTGTCCCAATGACGTGTGGTGAACTTGCATGTCTTGGTGGACGCTGTGATCCTCAACTCCTCCGTAAGTGTCGTCGGTACCATGTTTGAATACCTCCTTTGGGGAACTTCTGGATTTGACTGAAAGCTTTCTTGCAGAAAGGTTGCTTCGTAACTTTGCCGCAAATGGTTTACTTGACCGAGTCCCAGTGGGGAAATTCAAGCCGAACCAGTTCTTCATGGAACTTGCAAATCCAGACTTCAACACTCTCACCAATTTTTAGTGGGTACTCCTCAATCAAGTCGAAGCATGTTTAATTTTCTAATCATCGCAGTTACATGATTTGCCATCATGCGTACGGTATCATGCCTGATTATCTGGCAGAACAGGGTCACAAGAACCCTTCTGACCCCATGGACACCATTCTTCGAAAGTCTACGGGGCACAGCGGAGACCTTTGGTCTTATTTGACCGAGAATCCGAAAGTAGGTGAGGTGTTCAACATCGTCCAGAAGACGTCCACGAATACAGAGCCACCATGGATGGATATGTATCCTCACCGGAACCTGGTCGACGGATCAGATCCCAACCTCCCACTTCTCGTGGACGTTGGTGGTGGGATTGGGCACGATCTCTTACGGTTTTACAAAGCCTACCCGAATGAAGGATCAAGATTGTACCTCGAAGATCTTCAGCCGGTCCTTATTGATGCGAAGGCGAATGCACTGGTCCCCGATACGGTGAAGAAGGTGGCATACAGCTTTTTCGAACCACAGCCAGTGAAACGTAAGTCTCACTATCCAGTGTGTGCAAGCTGGGCGTTGACCCCTAATGCAGATGCCCGTGCATATTACTTGCACCATATCCTTCACGATTGGCCCGATCACGAGGCCCTAAAGATTCTAGAGACGCAGAAAAGTGCCATGAAGCCTGGTTACAGCAGGTTACTGATCCACGACCAAGTTCTAGATGACGAGAAGAGCCAGATATCGACTACGTCGTATGACATTGCCATGATGGTGTTCTTAGCTGGAATGGAACGCACTGAGAAGCAGTGGTTGGCTTTGCTTGAAACAGCCGGTCTGAGGGTCATCAAGTTTTGGAAGAAGCCACCCGACCACTTCAGTGTCATTGAGGTTGAGGTTCCAGTAGCCTAGAGTTCTATTGGGTTCTTTCCTCGCAATGTACAAGTGGGCACTTGAAGGTGCTTGCCTCCCTATTGATTTGTACGATCTTTGGGACGGACTATTCTTACTATGGGATATGGGGTTCTTTCCAATCAGATTAGCGGACGTAAACAGTTCGGGCACTCTCTGCGGACTTCGTCACCACGACTCCACTACGATTAGAAGTAGCTGTATTTAATTGACAAATTTAGGAAAAATTACAAAATTCCAAATTGCGATTCATACGTAACGTGTCGTCGGATGCAAATTATCATTCTGAACCAGACCTGGGCTTACAATAATCACCGCGTGAGAACTTCAAATACTCAATTTGAGCGGCAAAATGAGGTAAAAGTTGAGTGTAAAAACATGACAAGTATTTCGATGTCTGTAAATTGAAAATACCAACTTGAACTGACCCCCGCATTGTGTAGTCTCGGCTTAGAGGTTCTTCAGCTCCACAACCTCCTCTCTGTGTACTCGCATGCCATACATGCTCTCAGGTCCACCTATGAACTTGTCTCCAAATGCTTTGAATCCATCATCCCGCCTGCAGTATTTCTCGATAACCGTCTGGATAGGCTTATAAGGAAAAGGAACCATGATGCCCTGCCCATGATCCTTTCCATCCAAGAACATCAACTCCAACTCCTCTTTACCGCTCCACTCGTATTTCTTCCATAATTCTAAATCATCCAACGTCCAATTCACGTCTCCAGAGTAGACATAACTTGCCACCGCCTTGGGGTTAGTCACGCAGTCTTCCCCTCCTAGGACAACAGTGCTGCGCATTCCAGCTTGAACACCGTTGCCGAATATTGAAATTTCTTCAGGGGAGCCAGACGCATAGTAGCCAGCCTCAACATTTCGGAGGCTCGGAGTGAGCATCTCGCGCCACATTAGAGATTCTCGCCAGCAGAGCCTTCGTGCAAGTGTATATGCTGTCCCGGCATCGGTTGCACTTGCCCACCATATCTCCCATTCATTTCCGTGTCCTGTTCTTCCACGGATCGACGGTGTAGGCTCCCTACGAGTGAAGTTGAAAGCGACATCAGGTAGGTGAAGAAGCAATGACACGGGGTCTATCAAGATAGATGCCGCAACCCGCGGAGCGAAATCTGCTCTTTGTAAAAGTTGACCCATCAACAAGGTTCCGTAGCTGTTTCCAATAAGAACAAAGTCGTCCCAAGCTCCTCTTTCGCCGACTCCAGGCGCTGGTTGTGAAGCTCGCTGCTGCGCTACACATTTTGCAACCATTTCGCATAGTTCAGGGGTTGATGGCAGTGGCCATGTGGTAACACGAGAAGAAATCGGCAGCATCTCCACAGCCAGAATTCCGACGTCTTTGGGAATTGTACGAAGCCAGAACATATAGGGAATGAGGCCGATACCCAAGCCATGGATGAAGACGACAGGACGTTTCGTCGCTGACTTGTGAGGTCGATACCAATAAGACATTTTGCTGGCAGCAGACTGCTTGAAGGGGAAAAGGTTGATGAATCGGACCGGGAAGACCTTGAAGAAGGTTGAGAATGATTGTTTATAGAAGCGGTATCCTTGAGTAAGAAGATAGAAGGCCATCAAGTTATCGAGAATGCCAATAGCCTACAGATTGATCGATTTAGTCGGTATTTTATCGCATGGTAAAGGGGCAGCAAAGGATGTCTGTACAAGCGACACATGTGCTGCCGCGAGTGTCAAAGAAAATCAAATTACGGGCAACTCACCACATAGTAGAACAAGCTTCGATGTTGAATGATGACCGGATCGAAGGCGAGTTTTAGGGCTTCCGCATTTCCTCTGCCCGCACGCAGCCTGATTCCAAACTTTTCTTCGGTTTCCTCGACATATCTATCAAGTTCACTTTCGACTTCATTGGTAGGTCGACCAGCCATATTGTCTTGTTCGAACAAAGCCCAGAGTAACCAGTCTTTGAGGTTTTCGCGGCGAATGTCTTCCAAGTGGGCATTGAGCATCCACATCCGAATGAATACCTCGCCATCCGGGATGAGGTTCAATACCTTCGAGAAGAGACGAGCACGCTGTGATCGGCTCATACGAGCAGGCTTGTACGGCTTGTAATTCTGGAGGTATCGTTTGTACGGCAGGAAGAATAGTAAGTAGAATAGAACCTCGATGGCGGTAATGACTTCGACGAAGATGGAGAATGGATGGGCGATAGCAGGGACGCCGCCCAATGCAAACACAACGTAGAAGTAGGTTAGACCTAGTAGGCCCAAGTCCCTCATCATAGTTATAAGCACACGCACCGCAATGTATTGCGGCCATGTTTTTTGGACAATCATTGTTGGAATTCGAAGCTGGGCGCGTGGTCTCGTTGAGTCGTTTTTGGAAATGCCGCGATTGTCGCTAGAATAGTGCCGAGGACTTTTGCATCGGTCGCCTCGAATTGTTCCGGATCCTTTGTAGCTCAAAAAGTAATCAGCACGCTTACCGTAATGCTAAATAGCATCAGTAGAGAGCCAAAATGTGCCGCAGATCTGGGTTATTTGCATCGGCTGTATTGTGTAGTGACGATGACCCGCCGCTATTGAACGGATGCTGCCGAATCCCAGTATTCCCTGCTAACGGTACAGAAAGGAATGCATAATAACTCTCGGACAGACAGACGCTCTGGACCTGCCGAGCGGTTTTGACGTTTACCGGGGAGAGGAATGAGACGCGGCGAAGGCAACCGTGGATACTTGAAAGGAGAGCAAGTCCCCGTATCTGGGAAGAAGACAGCCGAGATAGTCCCCTCAACTTGACATCGATGGGGTAGAGATGATGGGTGACGATGATCTTGGACTGCACCGCATAATAATGCCGGCTGCGGTAGTTTCAAGAGGACTTGGCGCACTATGGACGACCTGTCAGCCAGATACGGTTATTTCTGACATGTGTTGCGCGTCCCGGAAGGCGGCGGGCGATCCAAGCCGTAGTAAATGGACTGCTCTTCCTCTCTAGTTTTCGGCTTTCCAGCCGAATTTAGATCAGTCGACTAAACGGGTAATCGAAGAGCTGCACCCTAGCGGCGATGAACTTTGGCCCAAAACCGACTTTGTCGGACCTTGCCGACTCACCATGGGTCTTCTGAGCCCTGTATGGCCAAGATTCGTGTGTCCTCGGTTGGTTTTCTGCTAATGATTGGCTAGATGCGTCTGATATTGCTCGTGTCCGTGCCATCGTTCATGTACTCCGGCCAAGTCAGATGTGGGATACTTTGTGCTGTCAACGTCATAGCCAACAGAGGCCCGAGAACCGCATTGATACTGGGATCTAGGGGGCAACTGACCGTGTTCGTACAGCGTGTTCGCTTGAAGTTTGTTCAAAAGTTCGCAGCCAGCTTGACTGATGGATATATATCTATGGCTTCTGATCATTTCCCACTGCTGGTATCCGTATCACAGGGACGCTGTACGAATCGTACGGTTCTGGTGGTGACGAAGGTCAATTGATCTGCATTGATTTCAGCGTGAAGAGGAAGAGTTTCCGCCGGCGGGCTGGCTGCACGCCGATCTATTGATATAATCCGCGGAGGTGGCCCTTGCGGTACCCGACTCGTGGGTCGAATTGGACTTCAAATCCGACATATATATTTATTATACAGGTGGTAAATGGACGTCTTGATTAGAAGACTTACAAGAGTTGAACTTTCATTTAGATATTCACTGTGTTATAGTGAGAACTAGGGGTGCATCTACGCCGCCATTACTTGTAGCACAAATCGAGATGCTGCCCCCGGAGAAATCAATATACATCAGCCCAGCGCCCGTAGCGCCGTTGCCAGTGAAATACTTTGGCCCCGAGCTATCATCACCGATCTGGACAATGACCCCATCAGTTGTAGTGTACGAGAAGCCGTAGTTACCTTCCTGGATATCCATGCCCGTCGTCGGAAAGCACGATGTCGTACCAGCAGTAACCATTTCATTCATCTTAAAGACCTCTTTACCAGCCGGCGCCTTGACCGGCTGCAACGGCTTCTCGGTAATAGTGAATACCAGTGGCAATGGGCCGGATCCCGAGTTGGATCCGCAGATCCGCAGTGACGAGGATGATTCGGCGTAGAAAGTGCCGGTCCATGATCCCTTGCTCTGGTGGTATCCTTCCTCGTATCCTTCATCTGTTACTCCAGTTTCGATACTGACGATCAGGTTCGCGTCAACGTCGAAGGAGAAACCGTAAGTTACCCCGCCCACCGCTGAGAAGCTGTCCGTAGGGCTGCACGAGATGGTGCCTGGATCAATTGGTGTATCCAGCGAGTACAGCACCTTGGGAGGAGGCGGCGGCGGCGGCGGCGGCGGGGGGGATATCTTCCCCGGAGATTGGCTCGTCGGAGACGGATTAGGGTACAAAACTGGGACTACAGGGCTAGTTGTAGTTGAGGTAGGCAAGATCGAGGTCGTTGAATTGGTCGTAGTGGAATGCTCCGACATTGACACGAATGCGGTTGGTTCGGGTCCGGGTAGAAGGAGAACATCCATGAAGGTGAACCCAGGGGCGTCCGGTGTTGCCGGTTCCGGCCCAGGGTTCGAACTTGTAGCGTGCGAGCAGAGGCTGACCGAGTAGGACGGGGTCCCGGAGGCCGGGACGCTCGGTGTTACAGAGGGGGTGGGGATATTGTCGTCTTGCTTCTTCTTCTCTTCCAACTCGTACTCCTGGGCACCATTGGCGGCTGTGCTGGCGGTGACAACGGCTGTGGTTCCCGCGGCGATGGGAAGAAGCGCTCCAGAAGGGACGAGTACAAGGCCGCCACCAGCTCCCGCTATGATGATGGCTCCTACGACTGCGGCGACTGTTTCGCCGTTGCTCACGTGAAGGACTTCTGGAGTTGCTGTTGGTGCCAGGCTCTGAGTCGGCGATGGGCGGGGGATTGGCTGGAGCGTAGAAGACGTGGGCCGGGAGGAGGAGGTCTGCCGGGAAGAGGGGGGCGGTTGAGAAGAGGATCTGGGCAGTGGTGAGACTTGAGGCGTAGGCGAAGACCGAAGGTTGGATTTCATCCAGCTACCAGACCTTATTGTATGATTGCCATGCCCGGAGACACTTCCCGAGCCTCTCAGCGGCCGTACTTGATCAATGGGCATTCTCTTTCCCAAACCTCCGATGACACAAGAATTTCCCTCGTTATCCCACTTGCCCCGTTGGGGAAACGCTGCGATATCGAGGGCGAAGAGCGCAAAATTCTGCGCGTTCTTAATCTTGGCTTCGTCGGGAATGGATGTGCAACTAGATACAACATAATTTAGTTAGAGCACCATAATGTCCGATGTTTGTTTGGCAAACGACCCAGAAACTATGTTACCATTTAATATCATAGCATCCATTGCCCTTGCCATAAGTCTTGCTCAACTCGATCTGGTCGTCACAAAACCTTTCATTCCCGGTCGTCAAACTGACGTGCTGCATTTCGTGCACGAGCGTAAGATCCGCTGACAATTGCAGTTCCGGTGATTCTTGCTCCAAAGCCTTGATCACCTGATCTTGCGAAGGAAGGGTGAAGAATCGCGGGCACATGGCCAGAACAGGTCCATTGAAATTGGTTTTGAATCCAGGGTGGTAGCCCGCTGCCATAACGATGGCAATTAATCCTCTCTTACACTGCTGCTCTGAGGCAAGCCAACAGGCGAACGATAGCCCCTTGGGGTCGAGCTTGCGAGGATTGAATGAAAATGTTCCACCGGGGAATCTCAAGTCCATGACCAATGACTCGTAGTTGCTTGTCTTGAGCGCATTTCGAGTTCGTGCATTTGCGTTGGCTGGGATATGTCGACGTATTATTAGTATTCAACGGTATTCATCCTCGCGTTGTTCGTCTCGTTCCCTCTATTCAACTGTGATAGATAACGAACCTTTACCGAACCACTTCAGATATGCGGCTGAGTTCTCGGAACCATCGACGTCCAGGACACCTGCCGCGTTCTGCGCGAGCTCGTTCGCACTTTTTATAATGACCTGAAGATTCTTAAGTTGGTCTACTCCGCAGGGCCATAGTCCACCACGACCTGCTATCGCGACTGATCTTAAAGTTCTCTTCTCCAGTGTGACAAAATCGGAAATAAAGCTATCGCCGATGGTATGACAGTGAGCAAGCGTTATCAGCCACTGCAGGGCAAGTGTAACGCGCATCTTGATGCTTCACGGCACGAACTGATTCGTTTAGAAAAGGAAGTGCGGCGTATTGTTCATTTGGGGTCAAGGGTTTAGGAAGCACCGTAACCCAAGGGTTCGGCAGGCATGGGCTTTTATGATTACTATTCACATTATTATATCGACACAGAGAAGGTCAAGTTCACCAATTCTTCTGCCATGGCTCACACAAACGGGGACAAATTTCAACAGAGTTGATGCTTAATATAATAACATCTGCAAAGTTACTGGTTTGGAGCCAATTATATGTGCTTGAGCTAAACAACACGACGGTGGAAAACTTATAGAAATCACACTGGGTGACTTGCTAAACTCAGCGAACTAGATCGCTTGGTAGCATTTCATTTACTAAATTAGTCTACGCGTGGTGCGAAGTCAATAGATGAGTCCTAATATACACAGACATGGTAAGCAAGATTGGAATGCTAATCTCACCAAGGTTGCCGTCGCCATCCACAGTGCCGTGAGCATAAGCGGAGTATACGTAAGTTATGTTAGAGTTCACTCCGAGACGAGGGCTACGCGTGTCAGATTAAAAAGAGGTTGGTGGATCGGTGGAAGTGACAGCTCATGTTTGTAGCACCGGCACATCGAGACTGCCACGTTTTGAACTGGTTATTCTTTTGCCAAGATGGCGGGAAAGTGGGTAGCAGAGCTCATTGGTCGTGGCCCCTGGTTCATGCACGAGGCAAAGAAAGGTCTGACGACGACGGCATCCTCGGGCAGGTCTAGTCCGGGATTCCACGGCTCCAAAACTTTCTTATTCGGGCGCAGTTCCTCGTATGTCTCATTGTCCACTGCAAGAGTGTTGCCAACTTGCCACCCTTGACCTCAGCAACTCAACAACAGGCTAACAGCCCCTCAAATTCGAATCTCACGCCCATCTGGCATCAAGCTGCACTTGATGCCAGAAATCAACTTGAGCCCTAGCAAGCCCTTGATGATTCCGTCTGGAGAGGGAATTGGGGGGGCAGGAGAAAGGGCAGCAATCACTGCCGATGTTTGCTTGGGAACCAACTTGTCTCCAGCGGTCCAACGATTCAGCGTGGCATAATCCATGTCCCAATGGCGACGTCCAACTAGAGCACCACATGCACCAGCACCGACATGAACACCAACTCGATTGTTTGCCAACAGGATGCATAGGACCCCTGTCATGCAATCATCCGCAGGCACAATGTCCGATTATATTAGTCTCTCACCCGCCGGGAATCTTTCTTTGTCTTCGTCTTGTATCTGCAGAGCACATTTTTGGTACCCAGACCAATATGAATGAAACCTACTTTAGACAGCAAGCCAACTTCCCTACCTCATGTAACACCAGATGCCCCAACACTCGATCTGTTAGGACTTCACTTGCACAATGGTTTCCATCGCATACCACTCGGACCAGAACATCTCCGGCATCTTGACCATTTCACATGGCGTGCTGAGTTTTCTGGCTTCCGCTCTCTTCTTGCTCAGACTATACGCCTCCTGGCGGACACCACATACGATATGGACTGCCGACGTTCACATTTCTTTGATAGCCTTGGTAAGTAGCTACATTGAAACATCCCGGGACATGTAATGAAGTGAGATAAACTGACTCAAAGCCTACAAGCTGGCAAATCACTCTTTGTTTGCTATTGAACTTGCCGGTAAGGCTCTCTCCCCTCACTGAGCAAATTGGTCCCGATTCTTTTTGAGGCAGCAATGCTAAAGCTTCCATTTAGCCGTCCCACTTGGTCTTGGGACAAACATCCAACTGGTGATGGAAAATCAGCCCGGGGGCACAGTCCCTCTCTTCAAGGTAAGCATGGCATCGTTCTCTCAGTCTTTGGAATCTGCATCTATCCGTAGCACGTTATTAACACGGAGGGCCCAGAGCATTCTGGCCATCGACATTATCCACTGCGTAGCGTGCTCGGCCGCCAAGATAGCAGTTCTTGCCATGTACTTTCGCCTTTTCTCAGCTTCAAAGGTGTTGCGGTGCTGGGTATGGGGAACGTCAATTGCAATCCTGCTGTGGCTTATTGCTGTGGTATTGGTCAGTAGTAAGTGAAATTCCAATGGAGACTTCATTCTCCGCCCAATAGAGTATGATCCAACTTGGGCAATGCTCTGAAAACGTTGAAAGAGAGTATACTGATGGTCTCAAATGACGTGCAGCCTTCTCTTGTTTGCCTGTCGAGTATCACTGGGATAAATCCATTCCGGGTACTTGCATGGGAATCAGCAAAGTAGGGATTCTGTTCCCAAACATCATCTTCGACATCATAGCTATGGTCCTCCCCATCAACGAGATATGGAGGTTGCAGATGCCACGGACCAAGAAGGCGGCACTCACCGGCATCTTTCTGATCGGTGGCAGGTATAGAATGCCTTCCGTAAAAACGCTATATCAAAGGCAATATTAACACTCGCCAGCGTCATTGTCATCTCAATCTCCCGGCCACTCCTCTTCTGGGTCTTCCGTCCCGTACCCGGCATAGCGCACAACGTCAGCCAGACCACCATCTTCCCCTACACGGCATCGGCCGCCGAAGTCTGCCTCGACATCATCGGCGCTTGTCTGCCGCCCTGCGCGTCTCTCTTCAGGCGTTTCTTTGGCGGCGTCGTGAATGTTGTCAAATCGGGACATCACTATTCCACCTCGAGGGGCAAATCCAGCGGCCAAGACTCGTCAACCAAGAGGTCCAGTAAAGTGCGTGCACTCACAATTGGAAAGGCTTGCAACCGCAAACGAGCCGCCGCCAACGACACGGTCGATCTCGAGGGGTCTTTTGAACGGCTCGGGGATGGGGTTGGCTGGCAAGGCTCGACGGACGACCTCTATGGAATGGATGACCTCCAGCGCAGCACAGGGGATGTCGACGATTGCAAAGGACGTGATGGAATTCGCGTCAGGCACGATATTCAAATTCAGCATGGGGGAAGAGTCACGGTGGATGATATTAAGAAGTGGCAACGAGGAGATGTCTTTGACGGAGGATCTAGACCCTAGAAGACCCTCTCAGGAAATTTGAAGACTGTGTGCCTCTCAATTCTCGATATTACTCATGTAGAATAGTGTACATTTTGAATCTAGAGCATCTTCCATGTTGTCTGTGCACAAGCCAATACCCGCCGCCAAGACCCCTGCTTCCCATCAACATATATCCTTTCCGCAATATACACCCACAGCGTAGAAGGGACTTCTGCCCAAGTACCTAGCCGCGACTTCTTTACAACTCAACCCAATCCCGAATCTCAGCCTCCTTGTACAATAAGTACTCCTCATCCAAGAAGTCCTTCACCCACTCGTCATCATCAAAGTCGAGGTCTTCCTTCTTGAAATACGCCATGATAACCGTGCAGCCCAAGTTCCCCTGCGCGACACTCATTATTTCGCCGACGACCTCTTGCGGCCACTTTTCCTTTGATGTGACAGAGACGCGGACGTCACCCCTTTGCCAAGCCCTGCTGACGACTCTGCCTTCTGATTCGGTGGTCCAGGCGTGCAGACGAACAGCGCGTCCGGTGCCTGCGGCGTTCTGGCCTGCGGCAACTACTTCGAAGTAGACGAATCTACCATTGATGCAGACGGCCAGGGCCTCTTCCAGCGTGTCAAAATCGGGACTGGGAACTAGTGGGGAGGGTGAGAGATGTCCGTATGGTCCCTCGGTACGAAATGGGTTTTGCTTGGTTCCGGCCGAGGCCCGTGGCGTAGTTTGGTGAGCCATTGTGCCTTTTTTTATTGTGCGGAGATTGTTTACGATGTTTGATCTCACTTCAAATAGGTGAGGAATTGGTCAGTTGTGAGTAGAATGTTCTGTCATGTAGAATGTAGACCATCGATTCGGGGACTCTCCAAAGAAGACCGACGCCTGATTTATGCAGATACGTTTGGCTCTATTTCCGAATATTTTATCCCTCCCTCAAGGTTTTCTTCAAGAAGCGAGTACCAAAGACGCAAATTGAAGAAAAACGCCCCGCTACTGACAGAGAGTACACAACGTGGGAGATCAAGTTCTGAGTTTTCCAATCCCGTGGTAATCGGGAGATGCCATAAATCACATGGTGGAAGAGGCGCAACACAGTGCTGGATTCTGTCTCGAAAATCTCTTCGGCGACATCGGGTCACAACTTTCAGCCCGAAGACATCACCTTTGCCGCGGTCACCTTCTTTCCTTACCGCATTTGACTCGCTTCTTTAGGCCTCAACGGTTCTTGTGAGATCCTTCAGACTACCTTGATGGCCACCTGGGTCCATTCAGGTTCCTCGTTCCCCTATTCAATCACACTGCTTCCCTCTTCTATTACAGAAGATCCTCTCCGTCTTTGGTTTCAGACCTCAAGCTTCTCAAAGCATTCAAGTTTATCCCACTAATTCCTCCGCACATAGTCCACAAGGATTTGTTCCTGGTGCGTGAATTCAAGAGTAGCAAGTGCAAACACTTTTGCCCAGTCAGTAGTCATTAACAACGAGACGCCCATGTCATGAACACGCACAATGTCGGATTGGAAGCCCAATTCGACCTTGAGTCAGCGCCAGCGCAGGGTCTCTATATCAGCGTTCAACCGGCGATCTAACCTCTGGTTTAAACCTCCCTTTTCCTCTATACGCAGAGATTAATATATAGTTAATTAACCCTTCGTCACCCTAGTTCAATCAAATCAATCACACCTGTGATACGTAAACCAACACACAAGGAAACTTCTCCGAACTGCAACGTCCACCAGCCCCCTTCAGAGCAAAGCACTACACAGAGACCGCATCAGCAATGTCCCAAATAGCAAGTTAATGGTTATCAATGTTCAAATGAGTCAATATACCTTGACCTAAACCGCCTTCTCGCCCCCCCACCCCAAAGGATGAACAAGTCCATCCCTGACGGTCATCGAGGATGTCAGCGGCCCGCTTGATGACCTCTGTCTCGTCCACAGAGCAGCTGGCGGCCCTCTAGCTGTTGAGCCGCCGGCTGATGTTCGAGTCATCCTGCTCCATTTTCGCATCTCACTTCTCCCCCTTCTGTCCATGTCCTTGGCGGCTGGCTCTTGGGTAAAGATCCGCAAGCCAAAAGGTGGCGATCTCAAGCAGAGCAGTCATGATCTCGACCTCAAAACAAGACTTTAATGATGAACAATGCTCACGGGAATGTCGAGAATCAACCTAGTCTTTCGGGACGGTGTCGGGTCTGAATGCCTTCACGACAAACGAGTCAGGAATGCGGACGGCATGCTATAGTAACAACTCGTGCATAGTAGATTAGCGAGCCTCACAACCCCCTCTTTGTAGAGTTGGTGTTTCCGAGCCAAGATGGGCAAGCCAAGACTAGTATCGAATTCCCCGCACCGCAAGGCTCAACGCGGCAACGCCTCGTGGCGTAGAATATCAGACCGACGTTAAGACAAGGAACGAGGAGTTTCCGAGTTTCCACACGCCCATCGGTCCCCCGAATTGCTTGTTTTAATTACTGGCTGACTTCCACGTAGACTGGCCTGACCATTTTCCTATTACAGAAACGAGACCCTGAAAAGCCGGCCCTGTACCCAAGAACGACCACACAACGTGGGATAAGGTAGGGGCAAAATGTCCCTCGACTCTGCTACCTATTCGGGCTAAGACAGGAGCCCACAAACTGGCATGCGGGTGTAGCCGCCGCCGACGACGCTATGCTCGGTCTACCTCCTCATCGGAGGGCCCTCACGCAACAGGCCGTCCAAAGGCATCGTTAAGCAGACGAGACAGCAAATTTTGCAAAATAAAAGCGGGATGATCTCCCTCTAGGCCACCAGGAAGTCAAGAATAAAAAAGCTCCGACCCAATACCTCTATCCGATGGTGAGCCTGCGACTAGCTCGTGGGTACGGTGGACGAAGTGGAAATGATCCAGCTGTTCTGGCACAGAGCTGAAAAACCTAAAGTTTAAAAACGCGAAAGTTTGCAAAAGCTAAGGAAGTTGGAAGCTGAAGAGCTGTCCAACTCCACGATGTCTCATAACCCGCCTCTCCTCCTCTCTTTACCACTCCTCGCCACTGCATGCCAAGCCTCCATGAAGGCCACCAGGCCACCCCATAGCGATGTTTGCCACATCAAAGGAAAGGGAAAAGCCACACTCTTGCAGCGCTAAGAGAGCGGCCCGTCGGCCGGGAACCAGGTGGTTGGTTAGTGTTCCCATATTTGGGGTCGGAAGTCTTGGCGTCCGTGAACTCTGGCTTCGTCATGGTGTACATGGCAAACTTGCAGTCTGCATGCCGTTGCAGAAACTGTGCATCATACAAGGCTTGGCACCTTGAACGTACCTATAGCGCGGTCGACAGATACAAGCTAGCTTTCTTAGGATCAAAAGCACCAGGGGACGCAATCATGCAGCGGGGGAGCTCGTCCTAGCATCCCCAGCATATAAACATCGGAGAGGAGTAAGCTTGGCTCATACGTCTCCCGGTCGTGACGTGCTCGCCCAAACGCAAAGCTGTGACAGAGAGTAAGGTCCACCGGGACAGAAAGAGCTTCCAAGCAGCACCAATACGCTCTCTAGCTTTCTCCAGGCGTAGCTGCGTGAGTCCCAAGAGGAGAAGTTGGGGAAGGGAGAGGATAGGGACGATGTGCATATTCAATCCTGCACTCCAGCCGATCGCGAACCTAACCAAGACGAAGATTCCTGCGAATGCAGAAGAGCTGCTGGGTTGAACGTTATCCGACAGCAGAACGGCCGTAGGTCGGTGACCACCCTGAGGCTCGGGCACGCGCGTCCCGGAGAAACGTCCAAAAAGTCAGATGTAGCACGATGGTCCATGCTCAATGTAGAGGTATACCAGAGCCCCGTGTACATAATGCCCGTCGTCCGTCCCCCAAACTTTTCTCGTGGGATGTCGAAGTCATCTTGGGCTTACAGAGGTAACAGTCGAGCTGAAAAGATGCTTACTGTAGCCCAGGTTTGACTGGCTGCCGGATCCCGAGCGATTAAACCTCCCGCCAGGGCCACCGTCAGACGAGCAGGCTTGATCCTCGAGTGTCAGGTCCAGCAAAGGCATAGAGTTTGGGGTCGATGAGAGTTTCCTACCAATGTAACTTTGATGAGGGAGCCTAATAAGGGCCCAGACAGCTGAGAAAGAGGGAAAGACAAGCTCATACCGCGGATGGCTCGGAGGGAGGGGTGTGCCGCGGGTGGTCTTGTCTATGCCAGTCACAGGCTTGACTTCCCCGACGTCGAGGTTGGGAGAAACAAACAGGCCGTGGTGGTTGAGTCGTTGAATGAAACGTGGCTATCGAAATAAGGCCGCGGCGCCTACGTGGGGGCCTTGCAGGCTTCGTTGTCGGTGTCTTTTTGGTCCCCGACGCCTTGTCGGTTGGTGATCGGCCAGGGTGTTGAAACACGCAAAGAGCCGCCGGCCACGTGTGGTGATGGCCGTATGTATTATGATACCACTACCGTGCGCGAAACCGCAACCTCGCATACCAAACATGATGTGGAGGTACCCATCGCGAAGAAAGAGGAGCAGTCGAACTCCGTTTTGGATCTTCTGGCTCCACGGGATATCCTCATTGTGGTATAGGGGGGATGTGCGGGGGATTTTCCCGTTGCCCTGTATCCGCCTTAATTACAATAAAGGCTTGTGTTCCAGGAAGAACCCAGAGACAGAAAGCGTTTACGACTCGAGGAAATTCTGGACCACTGCACTGACCGTTGCCTCCTTTGGCCGATCTTTGGGGTGGCTGTGCGTTCCGCTTCCCGGTTTCGCATTGATTTCAGATCCCGCCGTCTTCCTACATGATGTGCGTCTTCTTCCCCCTGGCACCTTTCTGCTTGCTTTCATCAAAATGGATGTTGGTCGCATATTTTCTCGTCGACGCTGGAGCCGGCTTGTTGAACAACCAGACTCTCGCCACCAACAGACGCACGTAGTCGCTGTAATGCCCGACGTCGAGATGTCCCGAACGGGAACCGTACAACGGCAGGAAGAGAAGGAGGATGACACCGAGTACAGACCACTGAACTGGAAGAAGATCTTCTTGACGCCAAAATATATCCGTATGAATCATCCTGTCGGTTTCGAGAAGAAAGGAGAAACTAACAGGGCGGCGTGCAGCATTCCACCTCTTGGGCATTGCCATTATCGTGGCCACTGTTTTCATCAGTCTTCACCATGACCAGGTCGTGGAGGTACGTGTCGTTCATTCGAATGCAGAAAGTAAAGTCACTGACTTGTGCGATCGTAGAAATTGAGGCCCTTCTCTGAAAAAGTCCGATCGCTCCCAGGAGGATTTTTGATTCCCATCGCCATCTTGGTTTTGATTTCCTTCCCGCCTCTATTTGGCCATGAGATCGTGGCTTTGCTGTGCGGTGTAGTGTATGGCCTGTGGATTGGATTCGCCATTGTTGCAGCCGGCACCTTCATCGGAGAGAGTAAGGCGATCGTTCGTAATCCCCTCGCATGACCAGCTTGCTAACCTAGACCGCAGTCGGAACCTGGTTTGCTTTCAAGTACACCCTGCGACGCAAGGCCCAGAAGCTGGAGAGAACCAACCTCAACTATGGTGCTTTGGCGCGATTGACTCGCGATGGTGGATTTTGGGTATGTTAGCTACATGGGTCGTTGAAAATACGTGCATTGTATGGCTGACGTCTGACAAGATCGTCTTTATTATTCGATTTTCGGTCATCCCGTCCCATTTCTCGACGGCGGTCTTTTCAACCTGCGATGTCAAGTTCTGGCACTTTGCCATTTCGACGTTCTTGACACTGCCGAAGCAAATCATCCTTGTCTACCTCGGTGTTCTCTTGGTTGAGAAGAAGACGAACAACAGCAACAACACCATTAAGAACGTTGTCTTTGGCGCTACTTTTGTTCTGACCATCGCGCTCGCGATATACATCTATGTTAAAATGAGAAGAGTCAAGAAGATGTTGTTGCAGGAGCAAGAGGAGAGAAGAGTGCAGCGAGAGTTGCAACAGGTGCCTCAGAAGGCCGAGGTCGACGCCGTTGAGACCGTGATCGCGCCTCTCCAGCTAGGCGCGGAGACGGCGCGAACAGACAGACCGGGATACCCACACTGGATTTGAGGGCCAGAAGCCACCACAGGGAAAAGAGCCACTTTGGAAGCAGGTGTCCAGGAATTCGGGATACACAGGGATTGGAATTTGGGGATAGGTGCTTTTCCGGAGTTGGCGTTGGCACGCGCAACATAGCGTTGAGGGCAAACATGACCTGATTGATTTCTGTTCCTGACAAGAACCTTTCCTTCAAGTATCCTGGTGATATCTGGCTGTGATGCCGGCACTGATGCTGTAGCGCCACTTTTTCATCAAGGTTTGCTTGCTACCTCTGCTTCAGAGATGCTTCCGTCAAGCGAGGGAACCAGGCGCCAGAGTCTATGGTATCGAGATTGGCGAGTATGTCTCGTGCGAGAAGCCGTTGCAAGATGCGCGACGTACATACTGAGAGGCGCTTGAAACTACCGGTTCTGAATGGCGTGGCATATGCCAAGACAGATGAGACTGCTTAAGAACATCCAGCTGACTGCATCCACCAGTTATTGGATTTTAACTCTACAGACTCGATGGTTCTGTCAAAGAGCAATCCAGATGCTTGTTGCTCAACTGTAAGGTTGTTGGATGTCAGTCAGGCTGGAATCGACGTACACAATAGAAAGTGGCTATTTCGACGAGTTTTTTTCCAGATTGGGATTGGTAAATCCCCATGTCGAGAACAGTCAGCTATATCCTGTCGGAGTCTTGCGAGGTGTATGGAGCAAATCCGTGACGAGGCTGAGTTGGGTGTTGCTAGGATTGACAGGTTGGGGGTCGTCGAGCTGAGTCGTTGAGGTCGGCCGAGTCGCGTCTTGCGAAGGAAGGAAACAAGAAGTGCCTCGCTGTTTCCTTAGTTCTGCGCCCAAGCCAATGTGGGTCCAGCCGAATTGCACCTGGAATCCAGGATCGGGGGGCATTCAAGCGTGCTCACAGCGCATTTCACCCCGCCGCCTCCGGTGCTGAGTCCGCTATGGCCGATACCTTTGTCGCAGTGGAGGCCCGGACCCCGGGGAGGGTTCTGCTCATGATGGCCGCGGTCTGGTCCCTGGACGGGGTCTCTGGCTGGGGCTGAAGGAGTAAAAATAGCATCAATGTCATGAAATTGTCCGCAGCACATACGGAGCAGTGAGTACTGGGGTTACGTTGGTGGCTTTTCTGGTGGCCCTGTTTCGTTCATTCCGCGGAAATGAGCGTGCAAATGAAAATGACTCTAACTCGAGGCAGAGAAGGTGTCTACCTCTGGATACCTCAGTAGAAGGGCCAAGTTGCCAACGGTGCGCGGGGTAAGCAACGGTGATGGTGGGCAAATGTTCACGTTTACGCGGAGAAACCGATAACAGAGTGGCGTCCATTCCTCATCTGGAGGCCTTGAGCCCTGTCGTTTCCTCTCCCATGTCCGGGTCATGACAGGGGTTATGGATCGGTTAATCCGTCTTCAAGGGGAAGAGTGATGATGATCAGAACAATTATCTGACATTCTGCGGTACCTCTCAACTTGTGAAATCTGGCAGTCATGTTTGATGAATCAGGTAAGCAAGCGTCTTCATTCGGTTCATTTTCTTCAAATAAGACTCGTTGAATGAGGCTCAATTACGGCTCAGTTGAGCTCGAGTACCTGGCCATTCCTCAATAAGCACAAACGCCTCGGCCCTCCACCATGACCTCATACGCGGATGAAACAACGCGTTTTCTGAAGAGCCAAGGCCAGCGGCCTCCAACTCATCAGTCGACCGGTGCTGTGGGCAGATCAGCCTTGGGGACGATTCGAGATGCAAGAGTCAGGGGACTCAAGACACGATGTGGAAATCAAGACCCAAGCGTTGAGATCAGGGTCTTCGTTGGGTAGCATCTGCAGAAGCTACCAACGTGGTATCCTAACATGTCTTGGCAAATGAGCAACCGCAAACTTTCCAGTTCCCTGATTCCCAGTTTACCGCCGTCAATCACCAACTCGATTCAGAAATCCGTTGGCGGTGGCGTTCGCATCTTGATTCCCCCCCTTTCCAAATTGGACCCTGCAGTCGCCAACCAACTGCAAGCCGCGCGCAAAAAAAAAAAAAAAAAAAAAAAAAAAACGGCTTGTTACTTGCCGTGCAATACTCTGTAGCGCGGCCACTATCGACGTCGGGGGTGGCCCGGTGGGCGCAATTGGCAGTTGGAGGCTTGGAGAGCAAACTTGCAAGGTTGGAGAAAACCTGAGAAGAAGCTAAGAGGGAGGTGGCCAGGGAGCCAGAGAACCTGCCGCTTCCCGTCCACTTTGGTCCCCAGTTCATTCAGGTGCATCCTCTCCCAGTTCCTTGGTATTCACCATTACGAGTACAATCCTGGCCACTGAGAGCTGCTGCGCCTCCTTGCAGACCACCCATCGTCTAGACAGGTCTTTGCCATTGGAAAATCATTCAATAATTGTTTCTCTTATTTTCCTGCTTCTCCGAACCTCTACATACATAACTGAGCCTGGTTTACCCAGAGTCCCAAATCGCAACGAGGATCGTTTGCGCGCGACCCAAAAGTACCGAACCAACATCGCTCAAACCCACCCAAACTACGACGTCATGGCTGCTGTGCCGTCAGATCCTCCACCTGCGGCCACCACCGCCAATCCTGCCCCAGCGAACGGCGATGCCAAGATCGCATCCGACTCCACGGAGACACCTACGCACGTCGAGGAGCCCGCTAAGACGACGTCAACGACGGAAGAGGAGTTGAAGGCGGCTCCGGAGCTCCAGACTGCAGAGGACCCAAACCGGGTGTCTTCATCGAACGGCCAAGATGCGACGGTGGACGAGCTGAAGCCCAAGCTGCCTCCCAGGCCAGCATCAATAGATGCCAGGGAGGGACTCCAGCCAACTGACCAGTCAGTACAACAACCACCAACACCAAACACCGCAACTACAACAAGCACAAGGTCGCCGAGGACCTCGACGGCCCAATGCGCCTGCGAAGGCACCGATACGACAGCGACCTCGATAGATGTCGACAACACCAAGCCCGCCGACTTTGAAGGCGAAATCCCAACCAACAACGACCTCCCCACGCCCCAGACTCTGAAGAAGATTGAGAATTACGTTGTGCTAGACCGTCATGGAAAGAGCCATACATTCAAGAGCTTGTACAGTGGTCGCAATGTCGCAAGGCGAGTCCTCGTCATCTTCATCCGCCACTTCTTTTGCGGCGTAAGCTTCTCCGTGATCCCCACACGACCCCCGTCTTGTTGCTGACCTTGCGACAGAATTGCCAGGAATTCCTACGGTCCCTCTCCGAGTCGGTGACCCCTGACGCACTGCTGGGCCTGCCCATGAGCACATTCATCACCGTCGTCGGCTGCGGCAACCCTGGCTTGATCGAGATGTACCTCCAGGAGACGGGCTGCCCGTTCCCCGTCTATACTGATCCCACGCGACGTCTGTTCGACATCTTGGGCATGACGCGCACCCTCGCGTTGGGAACCCGACCGGCCTACATGCGCAAGTCCATGCTCAAGTCTGCCGCCGAGAGCGTTTTCCAGGGTTTGAAGCAAGTGAAGAGCGGCTTGGCCACAAAGTCGGGCGACCACAGACAAGTCGGTGGAGAGTTCCTCTTCGAGCCACTCGAACTCGTCACGCCCGTGTCAACACCGTACGCCGAGCGGCAGATTGAGGAGGCCATGACTTCAAAGAAGAATAGCATCGATACCAAGGAGGGCATCGACGGAGAGGGCGGCGACAACTTTGAGCCGGAGGGGAAGAGGGTGACGTGGTGCCACCGCATGCGCTCCACGCGAGACCACGCGGAAATACCAGAGCTGATGGAGATTCTCGGTCTCAACGGTACCGGAAAGCCCCCCGCTCAGGATAACAAGAGATGGTCTAGGGCGTTGGAGACGAGGAAGGGGACTGGGTTGAGCATGGCGAGCCAGATGAGCAAGTTGAACGAGCAGGAGGAGCGAGTATAGGAGCGGCGAGGCTTCTTCTGGGTCGTTGACGGGTCAGTGCGGTCCGTCGTCCGCGACGGCCTTGAGGATTGGGCATGATTTATCGACAGTTAACGGATCGATGCCGTGCTGCGTGGTATGTGGATGACCATGAGCAAGCCCCCGGGTAGTGTTTTCTTTTTGGTTTTGTTCTATTGTGACCGAGATCAGCATAGCCGCTCAATGATACCTGCAGCATATATCACATTTTTCAATCCAATGGCGGCGTAACGGGTGGCCTGAGGGTGCAATAGTAATGTGACTAGGCGATGGACCCTGTGTCATTTCAACGACGACGTTCCGGCGTGGCAAGAAGTGGTGGAATCGACTCGACGAGAGCAGGTGCCTCATCCTATGGACGGGACGAACTGGGCTGCAAGGATTACTTAGCTCCGTTCTTGGTCATCCAAACTCGGTCCCAAGCTTTTCCCGCCATCGCTCGTACCGGTGACAGGCGGAGGACTCGTCGTTTTCAACCTCGCCAACCGTTGTCTCCATCGCTGGAGATCCTACTGATGAGGCTCGGAAGGAAGGCGAGGGAGGATACGAGATTGTCCAAAGTTTGCCCTCTGGGTGGTCAGATGAACGATTGACAGTCTCGCCCGACCACCTCGCATCCTTCCAGGAGCTTTTCCATCCACTCCCTAGAACAAATGTATTTAGCTCAGCATCCTACCGAAAGAAGAGACATTCTTCATCCATCAAGCTCGTATCGACATCGCTCTTTGTCTCGGCCCGCGGGATTTTTGGCCAGGCGAATGCACCTCTCAACTCAAGGCGGAAACGCGGGAACATCGGGGTTCCCTTCTGGACTTCTCGTCATCAGCCCGCTGCTGACGACAAAATATCTTAAAATTCATCGCGAAAAGAAGATCTCAGGCTCGTTTCCATAGCCCCCGTCCATTCAACCGGCCCGAATGATATCGTCGCAAAACTCGGATCCTTCAGGCCAGCTTATAGTTTATGTAAACGTCACGAGGGACTGCTTCGCGCCCCCTGCCACCCCCCCGGGGAGGTTCATCCAATCGGGCATCAACCCTGAGCTTTCCTCGATGGCAGTCCTTTCACGATGTCGGTAAGCCAGCGATGGACAGCACTAGACGTTTGCCTATTTCGAAGAAGGGATGTTCTTATGCAACTTCCCCACTCCCACAGGGCTATGCTTATATTTAGGATGTGCGACTCTGGGGAAAGGTAGGCCAATGACCCAGGTACGACGTATAATCCCCCCTCACGTGTGTGTACTCCCTCAGCGTCTCATATGACCGGAGCAACGCCGTGACTGAGACGGTAAGCTTAGCTCGGGAAGCAAGTTCTTCGAAGTTGCAGCAGATATGACGGTTCTCGTTGTCAGCTTGACCTAGCAGGGCTGAGCAACACCCGTCCAAGCCAACAGGCGTGCTGACGGGCTTGAGACCATCAGCCGCGTTCTCTCATATTTCCCCAAAACGGAGCGAGAAAAAGCTGAGAATCTCTTCCGAGTTGTCTAGGCGGGTTGTACAAGATACATACAGTCTCCCAGAAAGGCTTTCACAGTACGTCTCCACGGGCCCTGTCAGGGAGGCGGAGTCGTGTCTTTTCCCTGGTTTATGTCTTGGGAGAAAGTCGCCTCGTCGCGCCCGCCCGTTGTAGAACCCGAAATCTGAATACCGGGAGGGTTGCGAAAATCTCTTTCCATCAGCTGCGATGTTGTCTCTCATTCCATCTGCCCCGGCTCATGATGGCGGGCGCAGCATCTGAGTGTCATTCTTCGACGCATCGTGATGAAATGGAGAGCCTCTTCAAGACGAAGAGACCGACGATGAGAGCTTTCTATAAATTATGATGCTTTCCTCATCTTCACAACTCCTTCTCATATCCACACCCACATCCACAGTTTCAACCCCAACTCTGACAAGCATCACAAAGTCGCCCTTCTCGAGCCTTTAACTCTATAACATCACCACTCACCACCATTTCACAAAAGAAGAAACATCCAACCATGCAGCTCACAAACATCCTCCTCACCGCTCTCGCCGCGACCGCCTCAGCGCGCTCAACCCCCTCCGCCCGCCGCCAAGCCTCTTCCACCCCAGGCTGCCGCCTCGTCGCACCGACAGACCTAAACTTTGACGTAGCCGATCTCCGCTCCGGCACCGTCGTCACCAAAGTCCTCACCTTCCCCGTCGGCCCCACCACCGCGGGGCCCTGCCAGCTCATCGGGGCCTTTAGCCAGGGATTCCCCGTCGACCAGGGCGGCGACGCCTTTGCGCGCTTGAACGTGCGCGCGCTGGACGGTCCTAGCGCGGGGAGCCTCGTCGGCAGCTTTGGGCCGCTCGAGGTCGAGAACGGTGTCGTTGTGAGGGATACCGAGCAGGTCGTCAACAGTTTTCAGTGCCGTGAGAGCTTGGCGTTTGAGTTTTCTATTGCCAACGACGCGGATGTTGATGTTGATATCAATGTCACCTTTACGGCGTCTGAGCTTGGTGGGTTTTTTATTCAGGTTGGGGACCAGTGTAACTAGGTAAGCAGCAGCAGGAGGTTGTTGTTAACTCAGGGTGATTTTGGTTTCAGAGTAGTGTCTTCTTCTCCATTCCGAAGGGTGGTATTTGATTTCTTGATTTGTGGGGGAATGCGCGTGTTGACTTTCATATGACACAGTGAGCAGGGAATTATGGGCTTGGGAATCTGTTTCTTGAACTTGACTGGTACTTCTACCAACTAAACTATTCTGTCCTTCATTGTCTCTGGTATCCGTGAACCTTCCTCAATCCGTCCGTTCCTCTGACTTCCTCTCAGCCCATCAATATTCCGTTCTTGCCCTTTCCTCCTTATCTGCCATCTTGCTCATTTGCCTCATGACAGCAAGCGACCTGGTGCTGCTAGCAAGTAGTAAGATGGCCGAAGAAACAAGCTCGAACTAGGAATCAGAGAACCGAATGCTGCAGGAGGGGGTAAGAAAACTGTGTGAGCATCAATCATATTGCTGAACACGTATCAAGTCAGTCCTGGTCGGGATCAAGGTGAAGAGAAGTGACCCCATGCGAATGAGATATGGCTGTGGTGCGGTGTACTTACTTACACTTTGTGATTAAGCAGATATTGCTTGTGTCGCTTCTTTCCCTCTGTTTTGACAATAAGGAGATAAAACTGGATGCGTTTGTCTCATCCAGTAGCAATGAAAATTGAGACGACAGATCGAGTCTAACAAGTAGACTACTCGGTATCGCCAATCATTGGAGTCTTGCTCCAGCAGAAAATGTGACCGCAAGACTCGCAGCTAAGAACACCCAGGCCAAAATCAGCAAAACCCAAGAAAAAAAAGACAGCACTTCCACATGACGAAAAAGACGTACCGAATCGCGTCACAGCCATCGATTTTCTCAATGACAATCTTACACTTGGGACACTGCTTGCAGCTCAACTGCTCCATGGTACGGCGACTCTTCCGCTCGAGCTCCTCCTTGAGCACACCCTCGGCCTCCCATCGAGCCCGCATCTCGTCACAGGTCTCGCCTTCGTGGACCTTGTCATGGCATCCCGCACAGGTGCGCTCGCCGCAGTTGCAGACGCCGAGACCGACGCCGCGCTTCTGGCGGTTGCGGACGGGAATGTAGCGGCCGCAGGCGCGGACGTGGCAGTACAGCGCCGCACCGCTCTCGGCCTCATCGGCCTCGGCCACGAGATCGAAGTACTGGATAGTCTCCTTGGAACGGAGCAGCTGGCGAGGCCAGGCGTCGGGGAAGGGATGCATGATTCCGCAGATGCCTGGGCAGGTGGGCCTCGTGAAGGGCTTGTTGCTCAGGCACGAGCGAATGTAGGCCGCGGCGCAGGCGTGGCAGTATGGAGGGCAACCGCAGGGAAAGTCGCGACGACTGGCCTTTCTGCACGTCTTGTCGCAGGCCAGACAGTCTTGGCTGTTGGGGGATTCGTCTTCCGTTTCCTCCATGATGCTGCGAGTTTGGAGGAGTCGAAGTTTTGATGGTGGACTGTTGTGGCAGCTAAGTATGGAGGGAAGATGATGATGAAGTTGGAAAGTGGAAAGTCCTGGAATGGACTCAAGTTTGCCTTGTTCCAGAGGGCCGTGGGACGGGTGAGATCTGCCTCTTTTGAAACCCTAAGTTCAGCCCTTGTTCTCTGCCGGTGAGAAGGTTTGCGTCGAGGAGGACGGCTGATGAATTCTTTCTCCGTTGGCCAGTTCCAAAGACTGTCTTAAGGAGAAGGCCATCGTGAGACTTGCTCACGGATAAGGGGCGTAAGGGGCCAGAGTTATCGGGGGCTTGCATTTCGCCCGCACCTCAAAGGCGGAACTCTCGAGAGCTCAAGATGTAGGCAGCTTGTCATAGAATCTACAGTGAGAATGGCTATTTGTCCACTGATAGTTGTGGAAGTCGAGCTTGCTTCATACCTCTAGTGATCAGAAGCGAAGGACCATCAATTCTCATGGTTCTTACATGGATTTGAGGTATGTGAAAGGCAACTTTGGCATGGGAAACAACTGGTGATGTGATGTGATGTTGTTAACTTGTAATCTACTGTGAAACTGCGGAAAATGACAATGTCTTTGTGTTGTGAGAGTCCATCGAAACGCTCAGTACCATCAAGCATCTTAGACCTCCTGTTTCCAGATCGTTCTTCTTGTGCCCAAGCATCTCTTCACAATTCTTGACTTGGATGCCTTTCATTTTGGAAGAACAGACCGAATCTTGTGAAGAAAGTTCAAGATGGTTCTTGAGGTGTCGAGATATTCAACAAGGTCTATTTGAGCTGAAAACTTTAATCTTCAGATATCCGTGAAAATCCTGAAATCGTAACAGTGTAGCCAAAAATCTGTTCTCGGGCTCGGTCTTGAGAGTATTAGAATCTGATTACCCGCTTTTCTCTCCCAGTTTCTTGTTAACAAAAAGCAAGAAAGTCGGGTCCTTATAATATTGGTAAGTTCATAGCGTGGAACATTTCCTCAGTAAAGTCAAATATGCTTCCCGAAAACTTTATATACTTAGGGTTCTTCCTTTTTAGGAGGGTGTTAGACTTTACCGAGCAAAGGCAGACATACTTGCTCTTGCAAATGAATTTAGACTGATCTCACCCATCACTGTGAACTCCTGCTAAGAATCTGTTAAGGGACTAGGGTGCAGCAAACCCTTGGTTCGATGTTGGACTTCGGAGGGGGCGAGGGAAATCGGGTTTCTAAGATGAGCGCGAAAATTGTAGTCAGTAGAATGTGGGTATAGGTTTTGAGGAAGGGTAGAGTAATGATCAACAAGCACAGATCGTAAATTTACTGTCGTCTTCTTTTTAGACCACCATTTGTGTCGTCTTTTAGTACTTTGGCATATTACATGGCTCTGTACAAGTCCAAAAAGGGTACAAGACAAGTGGATGATACTTTCTTTCCGTAAGATTTAAAAGTCAAAGTACGTAGGAGGACTTTGCACCGTACATTTCCAGAAAAGGAAAACAACAGGCTCGCCATGTATCTAATCAAAACCGCGCGTCGTCATAGTCAGCCAAGCATAGTTACAACAAAAAGGCGCTAACTCGGCTGTACTTGAGAGATCACGTTGTACTGCGTATGCACCACGTGAAATCAGGATATGACTCACGTTACATCAAGATCCTTCTCTAGTTGGGCCGTGATCTTCTGAAGGCATGCCAAGACCTTCACCGACTCAGAGCATTTCAGCTGCAAGTCATGATCAACGGCGCGAGATGTCTATCGTCAGAGCACTTATATTTTTATCCCGCCAGGTTCGTAAATTCGTACTGCTAGTCAGAGTCTCAAAAATATGAAGCATGGCTTGGAATACTTGCTCAAATCGTGAGAAGAAACATCATAGGGTGAGCCATCCATGTATGCAAATGCGCTTCTGTGTTCTTTGAAGTTCACACCAGAGACATACATAAATCTGCGAACAATGACTTTTAGTCGTCACTGGTCGCTCGGATGTCTGCAAGGGTTTATGGTGGACAGACTATCACCAGTATAAGCCCGACTTCCCCCCTTCAAGCGGTCAAGCTCATGTTTGCTTGTTGGCTAATGTAGTAGGTAGCTTCTGCTTATAGTTGCCTTTGGTTAACCGCACCTCTTTCAATGCAACATTAATGCGATGGATTATTGGTTTGGACTGTACCACAGATATCCTACGAAAACCACCAAAGATCCTCCCACTTTAAAGTCGACAACCAGAGAATACACACAGCCGGGTGGTAGCATGAACAGGGAGCAGCAGTACAGTTACCAAGGGATACGCCCCCGTACGTGAAAGACGAGCTGCAGCTCTCTACAAATCAAGTTGCTAGACTCATGCCGTTGACAAGGCAGTCAATCCAGTGTTCCTCTGTGTCCGTCAACCCCGCATCTATTTCACACGATTTTGATCGTATGGTTTTTATCTGAATCAACATGTGGACCACGTTACGCCCCAGCTATGTTGATCTCCCCAAAAAAAGTAAGACGGGCATAATGTTTCTCCCTCGAATCGAAAGTTCGATGGACCGGCCTAAATGTCAAAGACTTGAATCATGAAGTATTATCAAGAAGCTTATAAAAAGCCACGATCAGTCAAGAAAGTAGTTAGCTTGACCAAGAAGCTTGAGTTCAGAGCCATTCAATTACAGCCATTGAACCTTTTGATCCAAAAACGAGTCATCGAAAACTGAAGTAGGATCTAGCCATCAGAGCTTTTTGGTTCAAGTGAAGACCAAGATGACTGACTACCTTTGAGTGTTTCAGATACCCGCTCAAAATGCGCTTCGCTATTACCTTGACAATCATCTCTCTCGCCGTAGCCGCCCAGGCCGGTGTCGCCCATCAAGACGAACCTTACGCCGTAGCCGCGCGGGCTGACACGGACGAGCCCGTGGCCGCACTGGAGAAGAAGGAGGAGGCAGGTTTGGAGAAGAGAGCCTGCAACTACAACGGATGCAAGTGCAACAGCCACAATCAGCAGCTCACTGTCTGTGGCAACTGCGTCTGGAGCGGCAGCAAAGCCTATATCGTGACAAGCAAGAGGATCGCCAATCACATTTACGAGTGCTCGCCCAGCGGCAGATGTTGCGACTACGGTCCTGGCAAGGACTGCGGCTCCCTCTCTGCTCGGTGCATCCTGAACTAAAGGGGGCGGCGGCTACTCCACCTCGTGTCTGAAGGGGACTAAGATGAAGGAGCAGGGTGAGCTGTCATCTCAGGTTGACGGCAAAAGTTGCGTTTGAAAGTGTCGTCTCAAGTCTGTATTTACCTCGAGTCACTCGCTCAAGTCGGTGTAGATCATGGGGGTTTGACGTTGCAGAGGAAACAAGAACCGGTAAAATTATTCAAGGCATGTATGGTTCCATGCAGGAGTGAAGTGCGTAAAGTTGCATGTTCCTGGTCCGAGACACTTACAAGGCAAGACGAGGCGAGTCAAGCCTAAAAATAGAGTAATAAATGACGTTTTGACGTGTAAGAGAAGCAAACTTAGCCGACTTGAACCATGATCTGCCGCCTGTAACCCGCAGTCTAGTCGCAGCCCACGGACAATAGGCGTTTGGGACCTTGTCATTAGCAAGGCTGGAGTTGCAAGAATACGCGCCTCCCTGGGTGAATTTGATGGGGGGTGAACCCCTTGGCAGTAGATTTGGTTTTTCCCCCCCCTCCCCCCTGGGCTTTGCGACTCCATACCTGAGAACAAACGATCGTTTCTGCTTGACCAGGCGAATCAGGTGGCTGCCTTTTACCACCGTACCCGAGTTTTGCGAAGATTTTTTGTCACCGCGCCAGCGACAAGCTCTTCCCAGGTGAAACGGGATTGGACATTGCATCCCTTAAAGGGGGCAGCTCCCCGGTTAACGACTTACGGGGGCTTACCCCGCGCAGTTGCGTTTACCAGGTGGGGTTCAAAATCTGTGTCGCTCCCACCACCAACTTCACCACACACGCGAAATCTAGTATGCCAAGATGGCTGCCCAAGTTCCCACAGAAGCTTTGAAGAAGCTCAACGGTATGGTGCCCTCTCGCTCATGGTCACTGGCCATTCTCTCGCCAAGTCCGACCCCTCAGGCTAATCAATGTTGGTGATTTCCAGTGGGAGAGCCTGCGACGAACGGCAAGGCAGAGAAGCCCGCGGAGGGGAATGGGGTCGACCACGACAGCGACGACTCGGATGAAGAGGGCGAGGACGTGACGGCGCCCGCCGCCGGCGGAGCGGCCAAGAAGAAGAAGAAGAACAAAAAGAAGAAGAAGAAGAAGTCCCCGATCGCCCAGTCCGACCCGCCGCGCGTGCTCATGTCCTCGTTATTCCCCCAAAAGAACTACCCCAAGGGCCAGGAGGAGGAGTACCGCGACGAGAACCTCTACCGCACGACGAACGAGGAGAAGCGCCACCTCGACAACCTCAACAACGACTTCTTGACAGACTATCGCGAGGCCGCCGAGATCCACCGCCAGGTCCGCCAATGGGCGCAGAAGAACATCAAGCCCGGCCAGACCTTGACCGAGATTGCCGAGGGCATCGAGGACGGTGTGCGTGCGCTGACGGGACACCCGGGTCTCGAGGAGGGCGACGCGTACAAGGGCGGTATGGGTTTCCCGTGCGGCCTGTCCCTCAACCACTGCGCGGCGCATTACACCCCCAACGCGGGCAACAAGATGGTGCTTTCCAAGGAGGACGTCATGAAGGTCGACTTTGGCGTGCATGTAAATGGACGCATCGTCGATAGCGCCTTCACCATGGCATTTGAGCCGCAGTACGACAACCTTCTCGCGGCCGTCAAGGACGCGACCAACGCCGGTATCAAGGAGGCCGGCATCGACGTCCGCGTTGGCGACGTCGGCGGTGTCATCCAGGAGGTCATGGAGAGCTACGAGTGCGAGATTGACGGCGTGACGTACCCCGTCAAATCGATTCGCAACCTCAACGGCCACACGATTGAGCGCTGGAGCATCCACGGCACCAAGAGCGTGCCCATCGTCAAGAGCAACGACACGACAAAGATGGAGGAGGGTGATGTTTTCGCCGTAGAAACGTTTGGCAGCACGGGCAATGGATATGTCAGGGAAGATATGGAGGTGTCTCACTACGCCAAGCGTGGAGAGGGCCACGCCGCACTCCGGTTAGATTCGGCCAAGAGGCTGCTGAACGTCATCAACAAGAACTTTGGCACCCTGCCTTTCTGCCGGCGTTATCTGGACCGCCTAGGACAAGACAAGTATCTCCTGGGTGTAAGTCTGCACCTGCACATGTACTGCAGAATATGCGCTGACAAATCGCAGTTGAACAACCTCGTTGCCAGCGGCATCGTTGAGGCCTACCCGCCCTTGTGTGACAAGAAGGGCTCCTACACTGCTCAGTTCGAACACGTACGTAATAACTCACTGGGAGTCTTTTAGAATGACGCTAATTCGAGTCCTCCAGACTATCCTGCTCAGGCCAAACGTGAAGGAAGTAATTAGCCGAGGAGAGGATTATTAGGCGGGGTGAAACCGGCCAAGGGTGGGCACTGTCATGGGTTTTCCTTCCACTTATCGAGACTGTCGTTCAGATACACATCAAAAGTCCAAGCTATCAATCCAAGACCGCCATATCCGGATGTTCGCTGGCAGTGCACGATGCTGAGTCGTTCTCGCGCCGAGTTACAGGACGTTGTGGCCAACCTGGGCACAATCCTGCAATTCACTACGGCGCTTGGCCCTTCTCCTGGAGAATAGGAGCCACCTGTCTTCGGAAACTCGTCGACGATATCCCACACAGATATCTGTCCATCGGCATCATTCACACAAAGCCCACAAATGCCGCTGTCACCCCAAGTATAGAATTGCTCCTTCATGGCTGCTCAAATGAGTGCGGCATTGGATGACTGTTGGTCCCGGCAATAAAACGGCCTGAATCTGAAAATTCTCATACCCGCAATGTTGCCCTGGTCCGCAGTTCGAGTAGCCTTTCATTTCTGCCAGGCACTTCCGGACCCATCACCGGAATGCCGTCCCGTGGCCGGGGAACGTCGTAGTAGAGACCAGCTCCGAAATAATGATCCGGTTTCGGATCGTTCGATGGACAGTATGGCCGTTCTTCACACGAATCGACGGCTTCATCCTCCGCGTGTGACCACCCGCGATGATGTCAGATGCCGTCACTCACGGGCCCGGAATGGAACCGATCGGAGCCCGCAGAAGAACACGGGCGCCGGACAGGCGGATAGGGCCACATGCTGTGTAGAACCCAGCGATTATAGCGACTATCTGATCTTAATAAGCGGCCCCTCGTCCATAAAAGACCCTAAAGCCATTGGTGGCTGAGGCATCCAGTATCAGCATTGCGTCAATCACAAGCATGCTGCGGCATGGTCATAAGCCGATCCAGAAGCGACGACCACCCATTTCCTCCATTCGCCCCCGAGACTGACGGGCGCACCGTTCACTGGTCGGCGACTGACCCACCTGTTCCCCACCGCCAACCTGCGCACCTCAAGTCCCCAGGGTCCGATCTGCGGCGTCCAGAAGCGCGGAGAAAGACTGACAGCTTCATCCGATGCCCACCTCGGATAGCTGTCGGGCCTGTAGCAGAAGTCAAGCATGTTGGCAGACCTGTTTTTGTAGACTCTTCTCTCGCTTTCTCTCAGACTGTGAGAGGCCGACACGGGCTGGGCGAAAAGTATGTGTGCATGCGAGCAAGAGAGAGCTTGGGCTTCCTTTGGGTACCTTGGCGTGCTTAGGTAACGGGGACGGGGCACAGGGAGAAACGGCGTTGGGGAGGTCTCAGAGGACCATCCACGGATCCACCTTTAGGCCAATCACATGCAACCAGCGATTTCACGTCGGCGGCCAGCCCGCGTCGTGGTACTCTGCACGGTGGTAGTAGGTATGGCGGTACGTTGCCCGTGTGGTGCCCCTCCCCTTCCCGATGTTTTCCATCTCCATTGACGCGGTCCATGCGCGCCATACCCGAAACAGGCAGCTAGGCGAGGCAGGAGGCCCCAAGCCGAGCCAGACAGCGCGCTCCCTGCGGTGGAGTTTTCGTGCCCTTTGCTGCCGAGCCTGCGAGCTCGCACGCGCCACTCCGAATTCCCATCTTTTTCCCGGGGCACTGGCTGGCCGCTGGGGGCAAGGAATCCACCACAGATAAATTTCCAGCGTAAAACCTTGTGGGGGCCTGGATGCCTCGAGACGTTTTGCCACGTTCTGGTTGGCCAGTTTGGCTTCCTAAAAAACCCGCACACGACACCTAATCCACCTTCCGGCCTACCGACGCCTCGCTGCTGCTCTCGGTGGTTATTTTTTTTTTCCCTCTCCACCCCGTCCCGTTCCCTCACTAGCAAGGTTCACTACTATTCTTTGCATCCCTTATATCAACAGTCACCTCTTGCTCCCTCCATCTTCCTTCAGAAAAGAGCGTTGACTCATCACTGCTCCTTGACGATAAACAAACAAACAACGAGGTATCAACCAGCTTGACTCGTTCTGATCACGAATTCCCACGATTACCTACACGATATCCCCGACGGAAATCCCCACGAAGATAAGAGGCACAAGAGCAGCAAAGAAAACTTTCCGCCCGCTCCATCACGCGAGCTTCCCTCATTCCTCCGCAAAACCCGACACTCAGAAGCAAACCACAAAACAAAACCACATTCAGAATGAAGGTCTTCTCCAATGCAGTAACCTTCAACTACTCCTGGGAAGAGGTCTCAGCCGCCAACTGGCGCAAGTACTGCCCGTGGAACGACAAGACGACGCACGTAATCGCCGTCGACACCATCGGCCGCAGCGTCGACCCGGCCACGGGGATCCTCCGCACCGAGCGCCTCATCACCTGCAAGCAGACCGCCCCCAAGTGGTTCTCCTCCCTCGTCGGCGGCGGCGGCGCCAACCCGGACGTCTCTCACGTCTTTGAGACCTCCTACGTCGACCCGGCCAACAAGACCGTCACCATGGTCTCCCAGAACCTGACCTTTGCCAATCTCATCTCCGTCCAGGAGTCTGTCGTCTACAAGCCAGTCAGCCCGACCCAGACCCAGTTCGTCCAGGACGCCCAGATCACCGCCCTGTGCGGCGGCTGGCAGCGCATCAAGAACGGCATCGAGGACCAGTGCGTCTCCCAGTTCCGCCACAACGCGCAGAAGGGCAAGGAGGGCTTTGAGATGGTCTTGGCCACGAGCAGACGGGTGTTTGCCGAAGAGCGCGAGCGCGAGATGCGTGTTCGCCAAGGCGCCATGGCAGCGTGAGGCGACTGGTAGAGGGAAGGAAAGAGGAGAGTCATTTCCATGGTGACGTTCCTATCCTTCCTTGTCGACCGCACCAAAGCACTCGCGTTATGCAGCGTTTCGTCGTCATTTTATCTTTTTCTCTCAACAAGCGGGCAGCATCACCATCAAAAGGATTCGGAAAAAGGGTTTTTAGACGGCGTTCAGACATCATTTTTCACGGGCCAGGCCTTGAGACGGGGGGAGACTCTCCACTCAGCTCACTCAGTTTCGAGAGAGGCCAGGCAAACCCCCAACTGTACAAAGAATTTTTGGAGTTTACGGAATATCCCGACATGATAGAGCATCCGGGGTAGTTTCCCTCGCAAGACATTTTCTTCAGTCCCAAGGGACTAGAATTAGAGAGTGTTTTTCTTAGAAATAATAGACCCTCCCACAGATGATCAGCAAATCTTAATTATCGCAACGTGGCAATGCGCTCCCGTTTCACCGTGGCTCATGAAATGTCCCTTCCTTCATGCCTTCTCCAAGCCAAGCAAAATGGTAAGCTGAGGTAAGGAAACCTCGGGGGTTACCTCAAGTCTCCATCCGGCCCCGGCTCTTTGCCTCGTACCGGGCCAGCGTCTCCCTGGTATCCCGATCCAACGCCGCGTCGCTCCCGTCCAGGACCCGCCTCGCAAAGGCCGCGGCCTCCCCGAACCGGCGGAGGAAGTACAGCTCCTCCACGGCGTGCAGCAGCTCCTGCAACACGGGCTTGCTGGCTTTTTCCGTCTTCAGCGGCAGCTCGATCGTCTGCCAGATCTGCACCAGACAACTTCCAGTCAGTCAGGACCACCATAAGGGCCGGGGAGGGGAAGGAGGGGAAGCGGAAGGAAGAGGGGGCTCAACCGAGCGCGGCCCGGGGTCTCCGGGTGAGTGGAGAACCCGGTCCTTTGCTCGGGGGGTCCATATGAGCTTCGAGGGACAGCCCCCCAAAAAATTTGGGAGAGCACGGGAAAGGAGGCCGAAAGCGACCCTCACTCTCCGTCCGGGAGCATAGAACAAGCAAACCCAACCCACAAGTATAATGAAAGTTTTTTTTCTTTTTTCTTCGTACAATAGACAATAATCAAGCAAGGAAAATGTGACTCACATCGCCGTCTTGCACCTTCACCCGGTACGTAGCCCTGAGCTCCTGAAAGTCCTCTTCCGACTGCCAATCTCTGGGCCTGTTGACGCCCTCCTCGTCAGAGTCATCGAGGGCGATGTTGAAGAGGCCGCCGTCTTCGTCAGCCATCTTGTCTTCTCTCTCTGAGCGTACTGTGTGGCCTTGCGCTTGGAGACCAAAAAAAAACGTTTCTGTAGATCGGCTGAAGCCTTTAGAAAGCTTCTTCGGAGTGATTTGTTGCGCGGCTATTGATTGATAGGACCCGACTCAAGAAATTCAATAGCTGGATCAGCCGGCGTTCATAACTTCGAAGAAACGAGTCGACAAAATCCTCAAACTCCAGCCCCGATTGCTCCGCCGTGGTCCAGGGTGGTATCCAGTCCGCCGATTGCTCGTTAATACGCTGCAACTCGGGGGAGAGTGTTAGTTAGCGAGATTATGCAACTATAAGATAGAATGGGCTGCAAATTTTTACAAGCAAGTGCTGCCGAAACGTTCCCCAAAATGACATCAAGCCGCATGGCGGGGTTAGTGGGGCCGTTTTTTCGCATCTAGCGGGCCGAACGCTGAAGCTATTTGCTTGCGGGAAGCTTGACCGCACCCCGCCTCTCCCGTCCTTCATTCCGATGCTCCGTGAACCTTTAATTGACTTCAGCCCGTCGTCCCACTTACGCACGAGAGAAAGAGAGACTTTGAGAGACCTGTGCGCGTGCTCTATCTCCAAGTCCCATTGCGAAAAAGAAAATGGAGCAGCAAGTAGCGAGGCTCGTAGAAAAGGCATGGGACAAGTTCCAAAAGACGCCTAAAGAGAAACGCCTTTGTGAGTCGACGCCCCATACGTCATGTTGTAAAGCTACCAGGCGCGCATCATGAAGCTTCCTTCTCTCAATGAACACCAGTTCCATGATCACTTCGGGACCCATCTCAGACAGCGTATATACAATGCCAGACTAACGCACCAAAGTAATCGGAATATCCGGCATCCCAGGCTCAGGTACACACACCACAGCCCCTCCCACATACCCAATATCTACCTACCTTACTAAACGAGCTCTAATAACTACGTAGGCAAAACAACCCTCTCCCAAATAGTAACAACCCGCCTCAACGCCCGCGCCTTGACCCTGGACCCGTCCAACCCAACCCGCACATCCCACCCGCCCGCAGCCTTCGTCCCAATGGACGGCTACCACCTCACCCGCGCCCAGCTCTCCGCCATGCCCGACCCGGAAACCGCCCACGCCCGCCGCGGCGCGGCCTTCACCTTTGACGGAACCGCCTTCCTCGAGCTTGTCACGTCCCTCCGGGAGCCCCTCAGGGCCGATTCTGCCCCGATATACGCCCCGAGCTTCGACCATGCCGTCAAAGACCCCAAGGAGAACGACATTGCCATCCAGCCGTACCACCGCATCGTCATCTTTGAGGGGAACTATCTTACGCTCGACAAGCCGCCGTGGAGCGACGCCGCGAAGCTCATGGACGAGCTCTGGTTCGTTGACGTAGACTTTGAGGTGGCGAGAAAGCGCTTGATCGTGAGACACGTCAAGGCAGGCATCGCCAAGGATGAGGAGGAAGCTGATAAGAGGGCAAGGGAGAATGACCTGGTGAATGGGAAGGAGATTGTCGACTTCCGCCTCAAGGTCAACGAGGTTGTTTTTAGTAGAGAAGATGACGAATGGATTCACGAATGAAGAATATATGTACACCAAGCCGCGGCATTTGGTTCAGTAAAGGCTGAAGGGGGTCTTGATTGTTCTCTGTTGACCCTATTTCGTGCTGGAGCTATCATGAATTACTGTCCTGTCTCCCCACAATCATGGAATTCATCCTTCTGCTCAGCCAACTCTGCTGGTTATTGATGGAGATTTCTGTCTGTAACGTTTCTTGAGAGCGCATATCCTCTTAGCCTCCGTCCAATACCAAATATCTATGCAATGCCCAGACCTATTTCCCCTCCGTATCCCCAATTCACTCGGGCGTAGCTCCTGTGAAGCTACCGGGGAACTTAGCTGCTGTGTAACCGGTAGCGAACATTGAGTCCCCTAGTCCCCGACGCATGCGAGGTTGGTCGGTAGTTTGCTGGCGGGAGATCTGGCCCTGAATACTGGGCTGGAATGGTTCCGCGCGAGGCGAGAAAATTCCACCAGACTGGGGGGGTTGGCCATTCATGTTGAATCCCTCGCTGGGGTTTGGATGGCTAATGTGGTACGTGACCGTTATTGCGTGGACGACGCCTGTCGCCGGAAACATGCCAGGGATCATGGTGTGAGGATGCATTTGAGGTTGCATCTGGGTTGTGTAGTTCATCTGTGGTGTCATCATCTGCGGCAGAGAAATGCCAGTGGGAATTGCATAGCCGGTCTGGGCAGATTGTCCGTAACCAGGGTCAGGTTGAACTGCGGGAGCGATTGCAGGAGTCTCGAAAGAAGAAGACGCGGGCGCAGGCGTGGGAGCGAATTGGGCGATCATTTCTGGGACGATATCGTCCTCGCGGTCGGCAATGTTGGCATCGAGCTCGGGCTTGACGGAAGTCTCGAACTCAACAGCAGAGTCGTTCGAAGCGGTGGACAGCGCTCCTACATTATCCGAACCAGCCGTCTCCATAGGAATCAGAGACTCCTCTGAAAGAACATTCTCAAGAGCATTCCGAATATGTGCATCCGCAACTACCGGATTGACGGACTCCATGGGGATAACACTAGACTCCAAGGCTTTCTTTCCAGGAACGTGAGTGTTATCAATGGACATCTTCTCGTTGCTGCTTCCGGCCTGGATCTTGGTATCGATGTCAATGTCGATATTATTCTTGGAGACTTCTGTGGCTTCGATCTCGACTGCACTTTCCGCCTTATTCTCAGCCTTGCTGTCGATCTCCTTCTCGAGTCTGCTCTCAGTTGAATCCTTGTTTGGCATTTGAGCTCCGGCTGAGGACTGTGCAGTAGTAGCGACTGCCTTGTGGTAACTGATCGCTTCAGACAAGCCAGGCATGGATATCTTCGAGATACCATCGGTGCTCGTCTGTGTCTTGTTGGTTCCCGAGATCCAATCGACGAGCTTTGCGGTGTCGCGGCTTGGCTGGGGAGCTCGAGACTGCTGGTTCTGTTGCATATGCGGCGGTAGACGGCGGGGCTCAGCAAGGGGTATCTTGACATCCTTGATTCCGTCAGGAACTTCAGCAGCATAGCGTCTCTCGAACAGCTGTTCAGAGCTGTACTGGACCCGAGGCGGACGGTCTGCCTTGTACATGTCGGCCTTCTTAATATTGCTCAGGGACAGCTTCTCGAATGCATTCGTCATCATCTCCTCGTCGTGACTCTTCTTGATAGACACCGCCTCATCTGGCGTGCCAGACTGACGTGCGTTCTTTGGAGCCTCATTTCTCTCGACAGGAGGTGACGTCTGAACGGCGGGAGTGGCCTTGACGACGGGAGTGGCATTGACGGCAGCAGAGTCAACGGTAGTGGTATTTCCCATCTGCATCTCGTCCTGGGGAGCTGCCACCTTGCTGAGGTATCCCATAACCTTCTGCAGCAGAGCCGCACGACGAGTGAACTCAATCGCCGTTTCAGTGTCGTAAAACTTGAGGCTGTATCGCGTCAATGCCCCCGACTCAGAAGCGACGAAACCGATGATGCACAGGTGGTTCTTGTGAAAGTCGAGATTGTATTCGTTCATGCTGTGGGTTTCGGTGAAGACACCAGGACAAGTCATGATAAAGACTGGGTGCCCATTAGCGTGCTCGGCAGACTTGATGATCTTCAGGTCGATGGAAACATCACGATCCTTGCCTTGAGCCAAAGCCTTGCACTGGCCAGTCCAGTAAATCATGATCTCGTTCTTGGAGGAGTTCTGATCCCGCGTCCCAGACTGCTTTGTAGAATCTTTGAGTCCTTGCTTCTCCATTTCCTGGGCTCCGGAGGGAGTACCCGAAGCCGACTTGGGAGCTGTAATGACATTGCTAGGCGTGGCGGTTAAGGCGTTCTGAGTGCTCTTGGCTCTCAAATGTGGAGGCAAGGACAAATTGGCTGCGTTAGAAGGCTCGATTCTAGTAGCTCTAGAACCTGTGGGAGCTTGATTGGCTGCGGACGGAGCTTCTTCGTTCGCAATGTCGGTTCTCGTGGTAGCCGGGCCAGGCTCATCAGCAGCTCTGCCAGAAGGGAATCGGCGAATCTGGGCGCCAGGAGGTATAACGATGCCATTCTGACTGGTCTGCATACCGCGGAAGTTCGCCGGGCTACTATTATTAGTCAAACTTCTACCAGCGGAAAGACAGTACCCACTTGAGACGGCGATTCTCTGGAAGATTTCTGGCTGGACCAGCATCGAGCGTTGGACGATAGACGCTGGGACCACCTAGGTCGTCCAAATCTCTGACAGCCATGGCTTCGGCATCGTTCATACCTGTCTTCGCCAATGCTGGGATCTCGATTAGTCTGGATTCTGTCCTGTCGAAGTAAGGAAAGACCTACTCAAGTATTCTTTGAGAGCCTCAGTGTGCTCTATGATGACAGGAGCACGACGGGCACGCGGCGGGACGACATGGCTTTTATGGGTGTCGTCAAGGGGCAGCTCTTCGATGCGGATAGTACCGAGGTCGGCCTTCTCGATGTCAGTCACCCAGTGTGAGAACGAATCCCAGATGCACGATTGATGGCTTACCATCATTGCACGCCTGACCTGATCATCCCTGCTAGACGACTCCTGTCTTTGAGACGCGGCCAGGAGGCGAAGACTCGGCATTTTGTCGGTCTTCCTGCCAGTGTTGGCTCCCCAGGATCCCATATTAGTACTGTATCAGTCTATTGGGAAATAAGCCTGGAATTTTCGCTTCTACAGATTCCGTATTTCGGTCTCTGGATCTGGATCTGTTAGAAACCAGACTTCAAGATGGCGCTGCCCAAGGTGGCGTTCGAGGCAAGGAGGAACGGCGGTGAAGAATTGCGATACCAATCAAGAAAACAATAAAAATCAGGGCAGCAGAAAAAGCAGCGTAAAAAATAACGAATGGTAGATGGAAATGCCGGCCGATGTTCTGCTTGCTTGGGACTTACCGCTGGATGGTCTTGGACCTAGTCGTTGGGTGACGTTCTGGTTGATGCTGTCCCTAATGCCTGGTATGAGATTGAGATGTCGCAAGACAGGATAAGTGAGCGTTATGACAGTATTGCCCTGATGGGATGTGTGTTGTTGTAGTGATGGTGGCAGAAGAATTCAGAGTGTGGGTGTCTAGGAGGAAGCAGAATAGAAAGGCCAAGTGGGTGGATGACAGCGGCAGGGCAAGCTAGCTGAGGGCAAGAGGGAGGGTCATCTGACGATCGTTCTTTCTACCCAAGGTAATCTGAAAAGGATACCTGCTCAGCTGTGGACGGAACAACTAGACAGGCTAATCACAGATGCGGGAAGAGCTTAGAACTCGGCTTCTTGCTAGGAATGGGTTCTCAGCAAAGCAAGAAGGGGCAGAACTCAGAGATTGCTGGCCGGTGATGAAAGAAATGGGCAGGCTTGGGATACTAAAGTGCGGTACTAGCCAGCCTTGCCCTCCACGATGGTGACATTCTTTCAGTGAGAAGGACATTGCTCAGAATGAGAAAGGGCCACAAGGAAAATTCCTCTTCACAGCCGGTCCAGCCCGCCTTTGGGTCTATTGCCAATCACCCAGAGCCTCAACCTGCTGCAATGCACACCTTTGGAAACGAATCACTAGAACTTTGGTGATATGAAAGATTCTGCACCTCTCCCCTGAATTCTCCAAGCAGAAACGCTATTAAGCTGTAAATAAACAAATACGGCACTACTAGTAATGGTAATAGGAGAGACGAGGTCGAATATGATTTTGAGACCCAAACCGCTAATAGCAGCAGTAGAAGGAAGAGAACGCGCCATTGAGGCCTACACCTAAAGGGCATTATGCTGGAATAAATGACATTGCACCCAGGCTTCACACGTTGGGAGTCACTTGAATCTTGGTACAAGGATGATGGGTGGTTGAAAGTTGACGACAATGATGCAGGAGGAGGGCAATTCTGCTTTTGGTATCTTCTTGAAAAATTTCAGAATTACAGACCAAGCATCGCGTGCCGCCATACGGCCACAAGAAGTTAGCGGTGGCTTGGTGGAAGAAATTAGGCGGGAGGAGTGACCATCCAGAATCCCGGTAGGAGCAGAAAGTAGGTAGCCCAAGCCATGCTGTAGGTACATGGATGTGACTTTGGTTACCAATTGTATGTATGAACAAAGTATAGGATGTACCAAGTTGACATCTACAAAGCAGTTCCATATTTTGACCCAAAAAGTTGGGCATCAATCGGGCAATTCCACACGCACCTTTGCAGGGCCAAGGCTCAGATTAGGTTGATATGAAGCAGATTCCGAGTAAACATTCATTTCTTGTAGTTCAGTTAAACCCGGCCTCAAACACACACTCTGGGCAGGCGTTGTTGGTATAGGCCAATCGTTGCCGTTTTCATTTGCTCATGTCATGCCATGCTCTCTAATTATACAGAGCTCTCCCACACATCCAGTCAACCTTGGTATATCCATCGCATAACTCCCAAAATTCAACGCGCAGCAGCATCCTTGGGGATACCGCTCAAGCCCTCGGTAGCCTGACGACCGACATTGCTCAAGTCCTCGTCAACCTTGGAGGCGGGTCCCCTCAGGCCGGAGGTGGCGCCGGTACCCGTGCCGACGGCGGCCTCGGCGTTACCACCGCTGCCGACGTTGACCTTTGTAGCGTCCGCCGACTGCCAGTCAGAGGCGACGGGGGGCTGGTCCGGAAGGGGGAGGTTGGACTGGACTTCGCTGATCTTGTCGACCTTGGATTGGGTCATTTGGATGGTTTGGAGAAGGTCGGAGGCGATATTATAAAGGTTGGACTAAAGAGGATGCGAGTTAGCGCCTATGGATGCTATTGGTTGGGGGCCGCAGCCACCGGGGTAGGGAATGTAGCTAACAGTAGTTGATTCGTCGGGGATTTTTTTTAAGATTTGGGGAGACGTTTGCTTTGACTCGGTGTGCTTGCCTTACTTCGCAGCTGCTCAATCTGACGAAGAAAAACGATTTCACTGAGCTTCAACAGAGTCCTTTATATGCAAAGCTGGAGGAGGATGAGCTCCAGGTCGGCCATGCTCCAAATTTACGAACACTGACGTCAATTACGTCAAGCAGGTGCAATTGCGACTCTTTGCGCCCTCTTTGCGCGGAATCAGTGGAGAACCACTAACGTTCATCGACGATTGTCGCGGGAAGTGGAGAACATCCAACAACGGGTGGGCGATCAGTGACACAAATTGGTCTGGAGCAAATGCTCCTTAACCTCAGGAGCAGATGCTCCTATAGCTCCAGATGCTTCGATGAGGCAAAGAGCAGAAGGAATTGAGGGTGAAAGTGGTGCCTATGCATGAAAAGAGCGTTTCCTCAATCAGATGCAAGTTTATTGAGGGGTGGTTGGTATTGGATGAGGGGGCCTTTTTCGTAAGCTTGTGTCGTCCGTCCCTGAACGCCTTACTCCCAGCAAAGCCAACCAAAGAGTCGGTCTGTTCCTTTTCCCAATGTGCAAATGTCGCCATGGCCATATCGACGTTTTGATGCACCCCTGGTATCTCCAACCCTGTGCCAACAGCCAATCCTTCCCTTCCGCCACCACCAGCCGCGACTGGCCTAGCCCATTCTCTTGTCCGTTTCAGCTGAGGTCGCCTTGTCGCCGGTGTCGGGGTTCAGATAGTCGGAATCCTCCGCTGCCTCGTATTCTTGAATTAGGTCCGACACGACCTCGCGGGCCTCGTCGAATTCATCCAGATTCTCAGCAAAAGGTGCAGTCTTCTTGTAACCCTCCATAAAGGCATTGCGCTTCCGCATACCGTCGTATTGTCTCAGAATTCTCTTGAAGAGCTGGAGTATCGTCAGCAAACAAGCACGTTCCGGGACTAAGATCGTGTAACTTACAGTTGCAATGCTTGTGTGGTTTGCCAGCATCAACCCACTGACACGGTGGGCCATTGGGATGTAGGGGCTCCGCTTTGTGAGGGCCACTTGAATGCTGGCCGGTCCCCAGGGAATGAATGTCGCCAGTCGTCGTTCTCGGATCCTCAGCAAACTCTTGTGGACGTCTGTCGGATCCACTTCGCCCTGGATGACGTTCAGAATGGAGATGTAGCAGCTCTTCTTTCCCGGTTGGGTCGAAACCATGCGGTTCTTGGGCTGCAGCAGTCTCCGCATGACGTCTAATACTGTCGTCTTCCGTACCGTCTTGGCCTGTTCGACCTGATCACCCGTGAATGGTGTGTATGCCGTCATCAAGAAATGGCAGCGGGGTGTGGGAATTAACGAGGCTAAGATGCTGACCAGATCGTTGTGCATGTAGCCCGGGTATCTGAGAGTTGTCGTGCTTGCTGACATGACGGTCGATACCTGCGTTGTCCAGGTTAGTCTGGGGGCCTTAGCCATGGCAAGATGATTCCTACCAGTTGATTTGTTTGAGCGAACGAGGGCTCCTGAACATGTAGCCTGTCGGCTGCGATGCGTGATAGAGCCCCGTTGTCCAGTACCACAACAGAGTCGGCATTTTGGGTTAACCTTCTCATGGCAAGAACGCTGTTGTAAGGATGAACGACGACATCTCCTGCGTTTGTGGTATCCGGGAAGACGGAGTATGTCTGGATGATCTTCTTGGGGAACCGGTCGTTGAGCCGCTCGAGGAGGAAGGAGCCCAAACCAGAGCCGGTACCGCCCGCGATCGAGTGCAGCATCATGAAGCCCTGGATAGAGTCAGCGAAGCTCGTACGGCCAGTTCAACGTTGCGCGTACTTCTAGAGAATCACTACCATCGGCCTCGCGGTCGATCATCTCCATAATATCTTCGTAGACCACTTCGCCAGTCTGATAACCGTCACCCCAGTTGTTCGCCGCACCAACTCCGTTTTTCCCAACGTAGAAGTTCTCTGGATTGTAAATATTTTTATACGGACCACTTTGGATGCCTTGTATGACCTGTAACTCCTTAGCAAGAGTGCGGTCTTCCGTTGAACTCGTAGACGTACCCTTGGCTCTAGATCGACCAGGATAGCTCGCGGGATGTATCGTGTATCGTCGCTCTGGTAGTAAAAGACGTCTTTGCGATCGCCGCCTTCCGTAGCAAAGTCTTCGAGGTTTCCATCCTGGTTAATGCCATGCTCCTGACAAAGCTGCTGCCAGAATTGGCTTCCAACTGTACGGCATTAGCTCCATTGCTCGCGACTGGTGTTCTGTTTGGTGGGGTAAACTGACTGCTGTTGCCGCATTGTCCGGCCTGAACCGTGATAATTTCCCTGTAACCCAAAGTCAAAACGAAGTCAAAACAGGCTGAAAGGCGTTTGCGAAACTTACCTAGGCATTTTGCAGTATGGCGGTGGCTTTGGCGATGTTGGGCTCCATAAACAGTGACGTTCAATACCTTAAGCCGTGATGTTGGACGCGACGGTGAGAGCTTATCGATAAGAGATACGCGAGACGCGCTCTGAGTGCGTTACGTAAGGCAGGGCAGTGGGGTGGTTGGTGCAGGGTGCCCCAAGGTTGCACTGTTGCAGACGGGGGATTGACAACCTAAGGCGCTTAAGATTCCGCTCCCATTTCATCCATCGAAACCCAAGCCACATCTCGACAGACTCGAATGACAGATCTCCATTCTTTCATTCGCGGTGAAACAGCCCACTGCCTCGTCAGGGCCGATCTGTCGTCTTTGTTCCTTGGCCCTGTCCGTCTGCAATTCGCATCGGCGGCCTCTCTCTATCCGAACCGAATAGCGGACTTTTCCTCGGATCACACCTCCGCACCATGGGTTGAACTGTCAGGGTTGTTGATGAGAATACCCATCTCACGATACGCGGCCCTACAAACACCAGAACACGCACTCGTCATTTGTCAACCTCCCTCGCCTTGCGCAATCCGTACCTAGGTAGGCAACCTGGCAGGTAATTAAGCACCGCTATCCCGACATGGTCCCACGTCTCAGATCTATCCGAACCCCTATTGAACGCCCCCATAACCCGGGCATGTCATATGCTCGCAACAGGCGTATAATAAAAGGTATTGATCCATAATTGTGGGATTTGCGTCGTCTGTAATTGTGGTCATTTCGAGGTCGCGTAGTCGACGAAAGTTTGGCTTAGGACGTAATTTGGCGTGTCTGGGCAGAAACGGGCCCCTGTAGGGCTCATGTAGGAAGGAGCTCAGTCCTCTCCCGTCCGGTTCTGAGCCTTAGCTTCCTCTCAAGCGTCTCGTCTCTGGATTACCCCAGGCGGAAAGATCAGTCACATGGAACCGAAACGGCAGAGACGAGCAGAAAATCAATGTCAATGAAGTTGAACCGCGGATTCGCTGTCAAACGTCATGGAAGCTCCATCTTCCATCTGCTGTAAGCCGGTGACGCGCCCAAATAACAGGGAGCCACTGAAAATTTGGGCGTGACATCGGACTACCTTTAGGTGGCACACCCCGGAGGGAGCCGCTAAGTCACCACCCCTATCCACCCGCCCCTTATTCGCGCCCCTATTGGCGCCCATTGGCTCGGAGTCAAAGAAGCAATTAAGCCTCGTCCTCCACCAACGTTGCAACTTGCTGGGGATTTGCAGGTCGTCACAGGGATTGCCGGTCCTGGTCCCCTCCCTTACCTTTCACTGTACCCCATCGCCCTCCCTGTTCCCCCAAAACTGCGACAGCCCAAGGTTCCCGGTCTCGAGAATCGGAGGTCGTCTGCAGACTGCCTTTACCTAACGTTACCAGGTCCAAAGATTCAAGTGCACGACTGCAACAAACCCGATCTTCCATCAACCCTGCAGGGCTTGCAGAAGCAACCCCAGCCCAACCTTCTTTTAGGGTGCTGCTGCATTTTTGTTTTTGAAAGGTCTGTTCCAGGTTACCTGCCAAAACTGTCAGCCGGGTTTTCGGGCAGCTGCCGGTGATCGACCACGAGCGCCGTTGGTGTCTCGCTTTAGCTTCTCACCCTCACACCTCCCGAAGTCGTCGGGTGTCTGATTGTCTCGACCGCAATTGCAAGACACAATACCCGACCACCCCTCGAGTTGATCTGACAAACACAAGCCCGACCCCTTGTTGGGTTGGTGTCTCTCATTTTTACTGCCTTACGCCGAGCAAGCCATGCTTGAGGCGTTCCCACCCTTCTACGACCTACGCACCTCGATTTCGCGAGCCGATTTCCTGTAAACATCGACCTATCCTAGACTCAGCTCCTGCTTTTGTAACCCCCTCAGATAATCTGTCACGATGCCGGACTCGAAACGAGATGACTCAGTCTCGCCAATGGCAGGAAGCCCTCGCGCAGCATCGCCAGCCATCACGAGCCATCCAGACTCACTCGCTCCTCCAGCTCCTCCACCGAAAGATGGCCCTCCGGCTCCTCCTCCGAAGGACCTTCTGACGCCAAAACATACCCACACCCAGATCGACTCCACGGTGGAAGCACGAGACTACATCAATGGAGGGGCTCCTCACGACAGTGTGTCGCCCGTTCACGACGGCAAGCGGCCGCCACTTCCAACCCTCAACTCCACAGACAGCGTACGCCAGACTCCAGGCGGTCTGCCAGTGATGCCCGAAGACAACACATACTCTCCTGAGCCAGCTTCACCGACCGATCGCCGAAGCGTGCAGTTTGCCAGGACGGACCAGGTTTTGGAGGCCCCAGCCAGCCATTCGCGGCAGCCATCATGGGAGGACGGCGGAAAGTTCATTGGCTCAGCCTTCATTTCCAAACTGAAGCAGCTCACTGGCTCTGGTAGCATGCAGACACTCAAGACGAGCAGCTCGGGCAACCTGAACGACAGCGGCACGCCGCCGTCCATGGGTAGTTCGCCCACTACCGGCCAGTTTAAGTCTAGAATACCTCATACACTGGAGGAAGACGGCGGCAGCGATGCGGACGCAGATGTCGAGGAGACGGCTGACGAGGGAGCCACATCGGATGCTGTCAAACCGAAAAAGAAGAGGAGAATGCGTCGTTCGAAGAAGCAACAGATGTCTGTCCCCAGCACCCCGAATTTACGGCATCTACCCGGCCCAGACTCACCTGTCGGTTATGGTCGGATGGGTTTGCGAAGGCGCTTGAGTATGCCAGATCATTCCGAGCAGCCGCACGGCATGTCGGAAGGTGAAGGACGAGACCAGCTTGTGGGACCCTCATGGATGCGATCTCACAAAGCCAACGGGGACGGCACAGAAAGCCCTGGAGGGAGAAGAATGGGCCACGTCCGTCGCATAACTGTTCTCGGAGGAGGCGGGGTATCAGACGGCGACGCCATCACACCCAAAAGACCGTTCTTTGGTAGCGAACGAGCATCGACTTGGAAATACGTCAAGAACACCTTGAAGCTCCTTAGGCAGAAGAAAGAGGATCGTTTCGATTTCGCAAAGTCAGCCGAGCTTATGGCAGAGCTACGAGCTGGAGCGCCCGCCGTTCTCATGTTGGCTAGCATGATCCAAAGGGACGAGCATGGCAACAAGAGAATCCCGGTCCTCCTGGAACAAGTACGCTTGTGTATCACCGATAGTCAGCCCGAGTCCGACGACGACAGCGAGCGGCACTGGGTTTTCACAATGGACCTCGAATACGGCAGCGGCCCAAGCCGAATGAAATGGACCGTGATCAGGACCCTGAAAGACATTTACAACCTCCACGTGCGGTACAAGCTTGCGATGAGCAACGATAAGTACTTGCATGGGCGCGCCGATGTAGGAGCCCGACCAAAAATGCCCAAATTTCCCTGGGGCGCCTTCCCATATCTTCGCAGGGCCCGCAATAAGGATGACAGCGAGGACGAAGATGATGCAAGTATTCGGGGCGATGATCTGGGAGAGGTCACCGCCGGCGAAGGTACTGCTGCTGAGGTCACCGCCGGAGAGGGAACAGCAAGCGAATGGGAAGGCGGTCGAGCTGGCCCTGGTGTTAAGAAGAAGTCCCGTCTCGGCATGCTCGGGATGCGTAGGAAGTCAACCGGGTTTACTGAGCCCGGAGACTCAGGTGGGGAGAATCAAGCCGACCTGGTCCAGTCTCGAAAACGGTACTTTGAGCGTCAAAGAAGGGTGCTTGAGAAGTATCTCCAGGATATGATTCGGTGGTTGATGTTCCGTGCAGACAGTAACCGTCTTTGCAAGTTCTTGGAGCTGTCTGCGCTGGGAGTGCGTCTGGCTGCTGAAGGCAGCTATCACGGCAAAGAGTGCTACTTGCATATCCAATCCTCCAAAGGCATGGATTTCCGTCGAGTCTTGACACCAAAGAAGGTCATTGCTCGCCACAGTCGCAAGTGGTTCCTTGTGCGTTCTAGCTACATCGTCTGTGTCGAATCACCTGAGAAGATGAGCGTCTACGATGTATACCTTGTGGACTCCAAGTTTCGCATTGTTTCCAAGAAAAGCACATTGAAACAGTTGTCCAAGGGCAAGACCAAGGCCGAGGAGAAGGAGATCGACCTGGCAGAAGAGGCCGATGTCGAGAAGCACCACACATTAACACTTCACACAGCTGAGCGGAAAGTCAAGTTGTTTTCAAGAAACCAACACATCATGAAGCAGTTCGAAGACTCAATAGCGGAGATGCTCAAGCAAACCAAGTGGTATGACATGAACCGTTTCGACAGCTTCGCGCCTGTCCGGAACGGCGTCTTTGCGCAATGGCTAGTGGACGGCAGAGACTACATGTGGAACGTATCTCGTGCGATCAGCATGGCCCGAGACGTGATTTATATTCATGATTGGTGGCTCAGTCCTGAACTTTACATGCGCCGACCTGCAGCTATCAGCCAGAAGTGGCGGTTGGACCGTCTTCTGCAGAGAAAGGCTCGAGAAGGTGTCAAGATCTTCATCATCGTCTACCGCAATGTCGAGGCTGCTATTCCGATCGACTCTGAGTATACCAAGTACTCCCTTTTGAACCTCCATCCGAACATCTTTGTCCAGCGATCTCCCAATCAGTTCAAGAAGAACCAGTTCTTCTTCGCCCATCACGAGAAAGTTTGTATTGTCGACCATGATGTAGCGTTTGTCGGTGGCATCGACTTATGCTTCGGCCGTTGGGACTGCCCACAGCACCCGCTCACAGACGACAAGCCGACAGGCTTCGAGCACAGCGAGCAGCCAAAGGATGCCGAACATTGCCAGCTTTTCCCTGGAAAGGACTACTCGAATCCCCGTGTCCAGGATTTCTTCAAACTCGATGAGCCGTACGAAGAGATGTACGACAGAAGCAAGGTTCCCAGAATGCCGTGGCACGACATTGCTATGCAGGTCGTTGGCCAACCGGCCCGAGATTTGACAAGACATTTCGTTCAACGATGGAACTACGTCAAGAGAGGCAGGAAGACAACTCGTCCTTTGCCATTCTTGCTGCCACCTCCTGACGTGAAAATGCACGAGCTCGACGCCCTGGGGCTGACGGGTACCTGCGAAGTCCAGATTTTAAGGTCTTCCGCCAACTGGTCTCTGGGAATCGAGCACGTGGAGTGCAGTATTCAAAATGCCTACGTCAAGATGATTGAAGAGTCTGATCATTTTGTTTACATTGAGAACCAATTCTTCATCACGAGCACCGAGGCGTTCAACACGAAGATTGTCAATCGTATTGGCGATGCGCTCGTCGAGCGCATTATTCAAGCTCACGAGAATGACGAGGACTGGAAGGCGTGCATCGTCATTCCTCTCATGCCCGGCTTCCAAAACACTGTCGATGAACAGGAAGGTACCAGTGTTCGACTGATTCTGCAATGCCAATACCGCAGCATCTGTCGCGGCGAGGGCTCCATCTTTGAACGCCTTCGTGCTGCTGGCATTGAACCTGAAGAGTATATTCAGTTCTACAGTCTGCGACAGTGGGGCAGGATTGGCCCGAGGAATGCTTTGGTCACCGAGCAGCTTTACATTCATGCCAAATGCATCGTTGTAGATGACCGTGTTGCGCTCATTGGTTCCGCCAACATCAACGAGCGATCCATGCTTGGTAGTCGTGACTCTGAGCTTGCTGCTGTTGTCCGCGACACTGATATGATCTGGTCAACAATGGCTGGCAGACCTTACCAAGTTGGCCGATTCGCGCATACCTTGCGACTCCGCCTGATGAGAGAGCATCTCGGCTTAGATGTGGACGAGATTTTGGAGGAGGAGAGACAGGCCGAAATGGACCGTCAGGCCGAGTACGAGGCGGAGATGGACCAAATCTACGACGAAGAGGCAGATTCCCCTCCTGTGGCAGGGCCGAGTGCACCGCAGTCGGCTAATACACCGTCCAAACCAGCAATGGTAGGACAGGCTGCAAGCTTTAATCATGATGCCGCAGACGCGGAAGCTGCAGCTGACGAGGCGTCGTCAGTGTCCTCCTCAGACAAGGGCAAAGACCGTGACGACCGTGTAACCGGCAACGAAGCACACGACATGGAAGTCGCCGGCTTTGGCAAAGACCATTGGAAGGAAGCAGCCAAACTTGGGCTTGACCGAGGACGAGACTCTGTCATTGTCAATGGCCGTGAGGTTCTTGTCAACAACGTGAACTCTGAAGGAAAAGGCACTTTACAATCGCCGGTGCAGCCTCACGAGCGTAAGCCGCCGGCTGACCACTACACGGAAGAGGAGGGCGGAGTCAGTAACGATGCTCTGCCGCCGATACCAGCTCTCAATAGGCGGACTACGGACCAGCTTGGCTTGCCTCGCACGGCTGGGCTTCCAACACTGCCTGCTGTGGATGATACCGACATTGGCGGACCTCCTGTTCACTTGGACCAGAGCGGCCAGCCGACCAATGGACCGCTGCATCCTCTGGCTGCTGACATTAGGCCCGCGCATATTGACAAGGACTGCATGCGTGACCCGGTCAACTCGACATTCTTTGACGACATCTGGAACAGAGTCGCTGAGAATAACACGAAACTGTACCGCCGCGTATTTAGATGCATGCCCGATTCAGAAGTACTCACCTGGCCCGATTACCGAGAGGCTGTGTCTTACACGGAGAGGTTCAGACAGAGCATGGAAGGCCAGACCAAGGGCGATGATGCAGAAAACAACTTGAACCGCCACCATTCGCCTGTCAGCGGAGGGGGCGTCGGCGTGGGCGCGCCAGGTCCTGGTGCAATTGCGAATGCTGTGGCCGAGAAGACGGAAGAGAAGCTGCACCTCAAAACCAATCACTCGAACCACCCACGAATTGTCATTCCCGCAGATGACGACCATGAACTCACCGAGAAGAGCGAGCATCCGGGCTCGCGGGGTGGGCTCAACCTTAACACAGACGTTGAAAAGGCAGCATCATCGAAACGTCCACAGGATGACCCATCGCCCATTCTTCCTGCTGGAGATGTTCCATTCCCGGCCTTTGAGCCAGCCCCTACCGCCGACGCCAACATGCTGGAACCAGCACGAGAGAAGAGTAGGGAGAGAAGAACGACATTCTCTCCTCTAGAGAAGCCGCCTTCGAGGGACGTGAGCTTTCCAGCCCAACAAGCCCAAGGATCGGTTAGACGCCGCCGACGGGCCACTACTAGGGGCAGCCGGCGCGGCATGCCGCCTGAAGAGGTTCTCGGGCGGGCTGAAGCAGAGGAATTGCTCAGCCTGATTCAGGGACATGTCGTCAACTTCCCATACGATTGGCTTCTGACCGAAGAACTAAATGGCAATTGGGGATTCCAGGTGGACGGTGTCGCGCCACTTCAGATCTAGTAAGTCCCAGCCATCATTTCTGTCCATGGCTAATGCTAACAAATATTGCAGCAACTAGGTGTTACATACTCCAAAACGGTCTCGTTGACCTTCTGGATAAAGCCTCTCCGTATGGCTTAACCATTCCATGACACATTGACGCACAGGACGGAGTCAGGGAGGGGCATCTTGGCATCGCGGGTACTTTCACTGTATTGATTCTATTCGTACGGCTTCGGCCCTTTGTTTTACATGTATTGTACATATTCTTAGATTATAGCCTTTATTATACCTTTTCACTCACCCAAATGGCGCCTCTGCAACCCGCCCGGATCACGCCGGTGAGCAGCCAGTGCGGCTCTGCCTTCTTGGCATCATGCTCGACAGCGTGGTCCAAGTGTTCCAGTTCTTCGTCGCGAATTCGCCGCAGCGTCTTGATGAGTTCGGTAAACTCGGGACTGACCTCGTAGCCTTCGGCTTCCCACTCTGTGACTATCTCGAGCAGGGTTCTGATTTGACTGTTGTAGTGGTCGCCAATTTCCGTCTCGACCGCCTCTGTGCATGCCATAGCCGCCTCTCGCCCCATCACTGCGGTGCTCCAGCCCAGCCCAGTCGACATGAGCTGCCACAGAGGGTACAGTACAGTTGGGCGAACGCGATGCTTGTGGATGAGGGAGTTAAACGTATTGAGGTGGCCCTCTTCTTGATCGTACATGTGTGCCATGAGCGGTCGAAGATGCGGGTGTCGATTGACAATCAGCGGGGTCTGGGCTGCGTAGATCCGGGTGGCGGCCAATTCTCCGGCTTGATTAACTCGTAGCTGGGCAAAGTCAGTATTGGATCCTGCTTGTATACAATTGCACAACCTACTGCTGAAGACAGAAAGTCACGCTGTTCTTGAGTCAGGGGTTTTCGTCGGGGCGGCGTTCCTGCGCTTGATGCTTCGGCATGGGCATTCGAAGATAGCTGTCTGCTCGAGATGCAGACACCCGGCACATGCGCCTTATGCGCCCCAATTCTTGCAATATCGCGGCAGGGCCTCAGTAGCAATCTCACTGAAGCCATTTTGTAATTTTGAAGGTGAACAAGCCCCTAAGGTACTCGGAGCATGAACTCGGCCGAGGGCAAATAGAAGATGTCAATGACATCGAACGACTAGACCCGGTGGATGCCGAAGCTGTTGTGAGCGTTGATTGGTTGATATCAGCTCAGATCGGATGAGCATAGGCCGGTGCTCCGGTGGCCCCACCGTTGTGCATTCGAATGACATAATATAAGCCAATCAGACGCGCGCTCACGACGACAATGGCCCAAGGCTGTGAATAGGAGCCAGACAATCGAGTTCTTATTCCAACTACCAGATCATCGCCAGCGACCGTCCTCGGACCATTCACCTCTCTGCAAGATTGACAATTCAATTTCATATTTTTGCGACTCAAGATAATCGTATTTATTTCTTGCATCGATAACCAATTGCGTAAAACGATCGTCTTAGTCGCGAATTCCTCGATTCGGCCGGTGCAGTTGCCTGGAAAAGCTCTTCCCCTATCCGAGTACCCAACCGTAATTTACCATGGCCGACATAGATGACGAGCTTCTGGCCCTCGCGGGAGGTGGCGAGTCTTCTGACGAGGAGGAGGAGGGAGTGATGTCTGAGGTAGAGAGCAGGGCGCAATCTGCATCACCACCGCCCGAGGCGGCCGCGAAAAAGCCCGCGGCGAAAAAGGTGAAGAAGCGTGCCGGGGGAGGCGAATCAGAAGAGGAAGGAGAAGCGTAAGTTTCTCCCGTTTCGTCATACACCTAGGCGCATTCCTACCTCCACCGTTGGCGATTCTACCAACCTAGAGCTTAACCTTTGACACTTTGGACCTCAAACTCGCACCTCATTCTTCCGTGCGCATCTCTGGCTTCTCACTGCAATCAATCTGCCATTCGCATCACTGACAATGCGATCCAGTTCGTCAGCACCCGGTAGCCCCAACTCGATAGGATCTGCTGCCATGGACGAGTCCGATTCCGAGGCCGAGCCGCACAGGGCCGGCCAAGACGATGACGAGGAGGATAAGTACCCGGTCGATGGCATGTTCAGGAGTCGCGCCGAGAAAGAGCAGGTGATGGCCATGCGCGAAGTCGAGAGAGAATCGCTGCTCGCAGAGCGACAGGCCGAGATTGAGCGCCACAGGCAGAACCGCATGCTGCGCCAGCTCGTCAGCAAGCAGGAGAACGAAGAAAAGAAGCAAAAGTTGAAGAAGCGCAGCGCCGACGCCGCCGACCTCGAGGACGAATCGCGCACAACATCGCGGCCGCGCACCGACGGCAAGACGTCAGCGATAGATACGCTGCGTCGGGCGCGTGCGGAGAAGAGCGACCGCGCCCGTCGTCGCGAGGAGGATCGCGCCAAAGGGATCAGGTCGCCGCGCGATGACTACCAGGATCAGGACAGCGACGAGGGCGGCGATTACGAGGAGAGCCAACGCCGCCGCCATCGCAAGTCACGGTCGCCGGAGGACGAGATTGTCGCGCGCGAGCTGCCGCCTCCGGATATGCGGGATTTTGAGCGTATCCGCGTCGGAAAGAGTCGCTTCGCAGAGCACTGCTTCCACCCGAGTTTCGAGACGACCATGATTGGATGCTATGTTCGCATCAGTATTGGTCCTGACCCCAAGACGGGCCAAGACGAATATCGCATGGCGCGCATTCAATGTAAGTCTGGTCCCGAGGTATTTCCATTGAAGACAAGCTGACATTTTCACAGCCATCACTGTCGGCAAGCCATACGCCATGACAGGTCCTAGTGGTACCTTTGTGACCGATCAGTATGTTCTGGCCGCTCATGGTAAGGCGGAGCGGCCATTCCCATTCATCTTCCTGTCAGATCGGCCATTTACCGAGGTGAGTCTACGCATTATGTGTCAAAGTACGCCAAACTAAGAAAAGCAGCGCGAATACAACCGATACGAAAAGGTCATACAATCAGAGGGTCTGACGCTACCTAAGAAGAAGACCCTCCTCGACAAGATTGATGATATCAACGCGCTCATCGCTTACCATCTCTCAACCACAGAGATTGACGAGCGTATCCAACGCAAGGCCGCCCTCCGCAAGAAGTTCGATCCCAAGCTGCGCGAGCGCCTTGCACAAGACATTGCGGTCGCGCGCGCTCAAGGGAACACCAGAAAGGCGGAGGACCTGCAGGAGCAGCTCGATGATCTTAAGACGAACGTGCTGGCCTTCAAGACGAGCCTCAGCGAGTCCTCGTCCAAGCCCAGCGCGACATCGCAGCAGGATCGGTTAGCCAACATCAACCGTCAGCGCCGACTCGAGAACGCCGAGAACGTTAGGAGGGCGCAGCTCAAGGAGAAGGCCGAGGCGCGCAAGCTGGAAGCGGCGCTCGAGAGGGGCGAGGACATCAAAAACGATTTGTCGCGGCGGCTGCGAACAAAGGCCAAGTTCATCCACGACGCGAATGATACAGGGGCCAAGAAGGCAAAGGATAGCAACGCGAGCACCCCCGCGAACGGCACGCCCAAGATGGGCGCCCAGGAGAAGAACTTTTTGCCCAACTTGATCAAGCTACAGGCGGCGAACCAGGAGAAGAAGGGCATCCCGACGATTCACAAGCCGCTCATGGACGATGACATTATCGGGTCCCTGGATCTCGATATTGACATTGACATTGACTGAAGGGGCACTAGCCGAGAAGGACATTCATGGGTTGGAGACTTTGGTAGGTTGCTATAAAAGTTACTGAAAAAGTTGCTATAAAGGGACACAAGAGAGTCTGCGGAAGCATCATTAGGCTTCTCTTCAGCGCATCGGTTGAGAGTAGAAACAGCGTTTGATAGGGCTCCAGAGACATGAGCGAAGCAATCGACGCGAAAAAGCAGACAAGATTGAAACAAGCTGCACAACCACTCGTCGATATCCAGTGACATTTGGTCGTTCTCTTGCGTTGCCGGCCCATACTGTCCTGGTGACCACATTCTGTCCAAGGTACCTTGCTCCGTATCCTCCCATTAATTTCCACCCATGCGAAGGGGACGGGATAAATGGGACGCTACTGCAGAATTGTGCAGAGTCGCCAACCGCGGGGCCGGACTTAAGATCTGGTCCCGCGCCGGTGACCTGGGTGACTAAAGATGCGTGGTCCTGCGGGGCAAAATGGATGCGCCAGCCCAGCATGCTGCCGCCCGCGGAAGCAGATTCAAATTCCACCCCCGGCTTAAGCTTGGAGCAGCACCGGGCAGCGGCTCCATCGGCCCCGTCGGCGCGCATTTGGCTTCTGCACGTGGGGCGCGACCGGCACCACCGCATTCGAATCACCACCCACCCCCGCCAGCTACGTAAGGTAAGGCGAGGCAGCTAGCTGGACGTTGTCTCACATCCTCTCTGGACCATGTTCGTCGTCACCACCAACACCAGCGCGCGTCCTTTGCAATCAATCCCAATACCGCACGCGGCTTTTACGGGGTTAAGTCGTCGAGCCTCTCCAAAGCTGCCGAGACGTCAGCGCTAGAGTAATTGGTGCGACTCCTACTTGGCCTCCTATAGTCTTTACTTCTCCTTCATCTTCTTCATCTCCTCCCTCTACCGAAAAGAATGCCATCGTTTCGTCGTTGAAATCACGTAGACCTGAAATCTTCTTTCTTCCCTCCAACGCCGGACGTCATAGAAAGGACCATCCGGACGTCGGGCACTCCTAGACGCCGTCTCATTGAACGAGAAGAGTGCAGTTGCTGTTCAATAACCTAGAGTTTGTTAATAGACACCTCTCCCAAAACATCATAGGAATCCAGACGTCCAGCACCGTCAGCAATGACTCCGGAAACGAAGCCCCTCCTCGGGGACGAACCCTCAAGCCCGCCAGGTACACCCTCCTCTGGCCTCCCCGTCCGATTCAATAATCCAACGGCTAACAAAGTCCCACAACCAGCTCACTTCACCTCCGCGCTCCCACTGACCACCACCAACCCCAGCAACACCAAGACCAAACTAACCCGCCTACCGCAAACAATCGCCCACCGCGGCTTCAGAGCACAGTACCCCGAAAACACCCTCCTCGCCTTCCGCGCCGCGCTCGACGAGGCCGGCGCACACGCCCTCGAGACGGACCTCCACCTCTCGCGCGATGGGGTGGTGGTGCTCTCCCACGATGGGAACCTGAAGCGGTGCTTCGGCGTCGAGGACACCAAGATTAGCGACTGCGACTGGTCATACCTCGAGACGCTCGAGACGGTGAGGGAGCCCAGGCAGCGGATGCCGAGGCTTGAGGATTTGCTGGCGCTCCTGACTGAGGTGGGCAGGGAGGGGGTTTGGGTTTTGCTTGATATCAAGGTATGAAAGACGGATTCTTGGGGTTCGCTCCCTTTTTTTTTTCTTTTTCGATTCTGGGTTTACGTATTGGGACGGGGAGAAGTGGAGAGGTGAAGAGGGAGTTGCATGAAGAGGAAATAGATTGGGGGAAGAGAAGGGGGGATACGACGCTTGTAGACGAAGAAGATGAGGAGCTGACGTTCACGGACTGGTTTAGACCGACGACCCCCCAGCCGAACTCCTCGGCCGCGTAGCCGAAGTCCTGGCCTCCACGCCAGGCCCTGTGCCGTGGAACGAGAGGATAGTACTCGGGTGCTGGAACGTAAGTACCTCAACCCCATCCCCCAACACATCCCCTTCATCTTCCCACACCCAGAACAGACCAGGAATAGACCACCTTGGGTCTCTACAGCTTCAGAAAGTAAATGAGACAAAAGAAAGGCTAATGAAGAAAAAAGCAACCCTGCATAAGACAAGCCCGCACCATCCTCCCAAATTACCCAGTCTCCCTCATCTCCTGGTCCCCTCTCTACGCCCGCAGCTTCCTGAGCCCATCGCAGCCGAACCTCTCCTTCAACATGTTTCAAAAGTCGCTGGTCGGGCCCATTGGCAAGCTCTTCATCAGAGAGGTCAAAAAGAATGCGCGACAGCTCCTCGTCTGGACCGTCAATGACGAGGAGTGGATGGAGTGGAGTATCCGCGCCGGGGCGGACGGCGTTATCACGGATGATCCAGAGTTATTTAGGGATGTTTGTCGGCGGTGGGAGGAAGGGGGTTCGTCGTCGTTGTTGTCGTTGTCCGCGTCCACGTCGGCCTCGGCCTCGGCTTCGGCTTCGTCATCGTCGGCGGACCAGCTCGAGATCCAAGACGAGGAAAAGAAGGCGAGGGTGGCTAGAAGGACTGGGAGGGTGCGCGACGGGACGTGGAAGAGGACGGTGAGGCTTTACCTCCAGGTCGTGGGCATCCAGGTCCTCGTGGCGGTTTTGACGCCCATTTTCATGCTCATTGCGCGGTTCGGGGGCGTTGGGCCGGGGCCGAGAGCCGCCAGGCCGTTTAAATTGTAAAAGGAGAGGGCTGCGGGATGTGAGTGTTGGCACGCTGCGATATAACTTGTTTCTAGAAGTGTCTGGAAGATACTCGTATCGCATGATAGAGAGAGTGAGAGAGAAGACCCGTCCAGACGATAATTGCCATGATAGATACTTGAAAGAGTCGCTCTCTAAAGAGCAAGGGAACATAGAAAACCGGCACTGATTTGAACTAAGCGGGTAAGAACTACGATCTCGAGATGATAAGAAGAGCTCAAGAATGTGTATCGCAGGTCTAAATATACCAATAGTTTCCACTAATGAATAATATTTACCATAGAGACGCGGGCATTGTGCCACGTACCGAGAAAGCTCTGAAGTCAAGAAAGGGTTTCCCGGGGTCCCTGGAGGATAGAGAATATATAGCCCCCGGCCCAGGTGGACGTAGATGCAGGCACCTTTACCCAGCTCTAGATGGCCGATGAGTTGAAGCGTATGGCACTTTGCCATGTCGGTTCAAGAAAGGGGCATTGAGACTGCTGAGAATCGGAGTCATGAGAAAATCGTAAATCGAGAAATGTTTATGTGAAGTCAGCCCTCGAGTCCTAGACCGACTACTCCAAAATATAACAATAAATAGATACATCAGTATTCAGATCCAAAAAAGAGCCTGCTAGTACCCATTCCGTTCCCATCTGACCATTCAGACATAAACCCTTTCTCAGAAAGTATAGTATCATTAACCCAGCAAAGCCCTCGCTGTTAAACCTTAAAGTCACGCCGCTGAGAAAACCCGCCCTCAAAGTCCGTAATTCCCATCAAGCTCACCCAAAAACAACCCATCGCTGTTCCCGTTTCCACTACAAGACGCGAGCAGCGCATTCCGATACTCCAAACTGCTGACGCTCAGGTTCAAGTCGCTCGTCGCCAGATCCTCGCCCGAGGATAAGCTCTCCTCGCTGACGCTCAGGACGCTCTGCGGCGGCGCTGGGTTTGTCCCAAAGTCGCCAAGATTGAAGTTGGCCAGGTCCCAACTGTCTGGACTCCAGCTATCCAGTCCTGTCGAAGACGACGCGGGCGTCTCCTCCATGGCTGGGAGGGCACCACCACCGCCGCCGTAGATGGCGTCGTACACATTGTTCAAACCACCGTCCATGGAACCGAGGAGAGCCTCCCATTCAGAGGAGGATACGCCAGAAATCTTTTGCGGTTGTTGCTGCTGCTGCTGTTGTTGTTGTTGCTGTTGCGCGTAGAGACTCTGGTGTGCCGCGGCGAGAATTTGCTGGTGTAAACGGGCTGTGGTTGGCGATGGTGGTGATGAGCCGTTGGGTGTGCTGTTCAGAGACAGATAATCAAGGTTCTGCTTGGAAGACGTGCGGATGCGGCTGGTGATTTGTGACATGGATAGACGCTGGTCTCGCCGCGCAGGCACGTCTTGCTGCTGCTGTTGCAAATTGTCAAAGGACGGCTTTGAGCGGGACCGATAAAGTTCTGGGCGGTTTTGGACGCTGGGTATGGTCATACGACGCAATTTTTCCTGCTGCTGGATGAGGTCACTCTCGCTGGCGGCGGCGCTCGGAAGACGTCCGAGGGTCCGTTGAGGAGACTTCTTCTTAGGTGCTGACGCGGGCGGCGAAGACCTTTGCGGGGCGGGCATGGACGCTTCCGGGCTCTCTTGCGGCGGGGTGGGCAGGTTCTGCTCGTCGAGCCGAATAAGGAGGCCGGCTACGCGCTTGAGATCGAAAGAGCCAGGTGCCTTGGCTTTGGTAAGAATTTGGAGGACGCTGTTGACGAGGCGCTCCACGTCCTTCAGCATCTTGCTGTCCTGTTTGAGCTCGAAGCTCTGGTACATGAGAGTCATGCCGCAGAGGACGAGAGTATCCGTCTTGTTGAGGCAGAAGGAGAAGGTCATACTGCGCTCCTCGAGCAGCTGAATAATCTGAACAATGTGCTTGCTAGACTCGCCTATGGAGATCAACGCAGGCGCGGCCTTGCGACCGAGCGAGGAGCCTACGGCAGGGCGCCAGATGAGAATCTTGGTGTAGTAGTAGGCGAGAGCAAGCAAAGGCGACCGGCTTCCGGTTACGTCGGTCGAAGGCTTATCTTGCTTAAAGGTAAGCTTGAGATGCGTCGGAAGTGACTCGTTCCATTCGTCGATCTCGGCCTCCATGGCAGACATTGACTGCAGCGACAGTTCGTGAGAGGTGGCGGCGGGGTAGTTCTTCTCCATTACCTTGGCCAGGATTCGGCAGCATCGGAAAAGGGCGAGCGCACTCGACAAGCGAGTGTATTCGCCAGGGAGCGTCGGTTGGAAGCCCTTCTCAGTCACATACTCGTCGTCTGTGTCTGACGGATACTCGGTGTGGATCTCATCCTCCTTGAGCAGTTTCGGCAGTCCAAGAATGGCGCCAGAGAAGCTGCAGCCGTTAGTCACGAGTTTCTCACTCTTGAATGAAAGTACTTACCAATCCAACGTGTACAGAGTCCAAAAGACCTTCTTGCGGGTCTCAATAGTGAGCGCGCCAAAAGAGAAGCGCTTCTGACTCTGATGCAGGCCGAGGCGGTGGGAAAGTCCCACAGCAATGCCCTTGTAGTGCTGCAAGCGCTTGTAATCCGCCCTCACGATGCAGTACAATAGAGCCAACTCGAGACATTGCAGGGTGACCATTGTGTTCTCCATCAGGACGGCCTCGACAGCTCGCTGCCATTGCTGCTCACACGCCGCGATTTGCTCGAGATCCGGCTGGTCGCTGCCCAGTGCCGCGATACCGAAGACGAGGTAGAGTTGGGCAATCTTGTGGTTGTTCTTGACCTTTTCTGGGTCTGACACGAATTCCTCATAGATGTGGAGGAATGTCGGCTTGTGCAACACGGGGAACAAGGGAGCCCATTCTTGGAAGTAGACGTTGACGCAGCGGTCTGAAAACAAACGAGGCGGCACCTTGAGCGAATGGTCAGGTGTTTTTGGCGTCAGGGCATGGCAGCCCTGGATATGCAGAAACGCTTCTGGGTTGAAATCTGAGCATGACTTTCCGTTTCCTTGCATCTTGCGCTTGAAAGCCTCTGTACTTCATGTTAGCGAAAGCCCATTTTCTATGTCGCTCGGACCGCTCCTCCGGGAAGCGGGACGGACGGGTAGGCGCAGAGGAAGGCGGTACGAACCGATAAAGGCACGGCCGCTCGAAGGGCCCATAAAGTACGAATCTGAGTTCTCGACGCCGAGCAACAACGGCGACGCCTGCACGCGGAAAGTGTCTTCCTTGACCGGCGTCCCTGCGTCCTTTCCGCCGTCCGACGCCGACGCCGGCGAATGCGCCGATGCCGCAACGGAAGGGCTGCGCAGGGTCGCGTGGCTGTGGTTTCCGTGCATCCTCGATAGCATGTCAATCTTCTCGTCCTTCTCGTCCAACAAGTCCTTTAGCTCCCTGACTTCGGTTTCCAGCTGGCGCACGCGCTCCTCGAGGGACTCTGTGTATCCGCGCGGGAATGCGCGACGGCTCAACTTGTCGCTCGTGCGGCACTCGAAGCCGACGTTAGAGCATTGCGAGCACGTCGGCCTGATGCCGTCGCAGCGGATCTTCTTGCTCCTGCACCGGTCGCATGCCTGAGCTATGCGGCTTTGGGAACTGGTGCCCACTTTGATCACCTTCATGGGTAGTATTCCAGGCATGATAGCGGCTTCCCTCTGTTCTCTTCTTTTGGACGTTGCTTTCTGGTGGGGGTGTCGGCGATTCGCAATTCAAGATAGGTGACTGGCGTCGACTAGGTCAGCCTCGGAGGCTTCGGCGGTGGCTTTTTTAATCTTCTTTGGTTCCGTCGTTCGTGGGCTCGTTCAAGTGTGGTGGGCGGGGGCGCAGCAGGTGGAATATTCGCATATAAGTAAATCACACGTCCTTCTTCAAAGCAGTCACCAGGTTTGTTTCGGAAGAGTCGTCGGAGGAGGAGGAGGTTGTTGCAGGTGGGTGGTATCTTTAGTCACTAAGAAAGCAGGTCCGCGAGAACACCAATCTTCCCAAAAGGGATGGCAAAGATGACAACAGAGACAAGAAAGGAGGGGAGTGGAGATTGTCTGGTCTGCAACTCTCGGAAGCGGCGGGCGAATAGCTAGAATAGGCCGAGTTGCAAGGTGAGGAAGAAGGAGAGTATTGGAGATATTGGGTCGGAGGGGGAGTCGGGGTGTGTGTGAGGGAAAAAGGAAATGAAGAAGTGGAAGGTGGTGGTGGGAGAGAGAGGTGAGACTGTGGAGTCTCTTAGTAGCAAAACGGACACCACGACCGGGACCGCTCGACGCTCGACGCTCGACACCACACCAAAATAATTCGCTGCTAGGTGCGCGGTGGAAGATGAATCGTGGGGAGATGGGGACCAGACTAGGGTACCACCTGCCTAGAAGACCCCGTGGACGATGGGCGGACCGGGGGGTGGGCTGCGAAGCTAGAAATAGCGATTCGTTTGCTCATTGGAATGCAAAAATTGGTGAGGGAGTGCTTGCCTGCCGTCGATTACTGTTGCTGCTTCTGGGTGACGCTGCTAAGGCAAGGTAGGTAATGGTGGGCCCTGGGTCGGCTCTCGCACTGGACAATCTGTAAATCGAGCCAGTAAGCGAAGGGCCTCAGGACGCGCATCCGACTCACTCGCTCGCTTCAGCAGGCTAGGCTTAGGGAGGCGGGGCCCTTGAAGGGAGAAATCTGGGGGAAGAGCACCCCGGGGTCGGACGGCCGTCGCGCGGCGCTGGTGTTGGGAAAAAGTTGGGGTGGGAAAACCACAAATGCACGCTAACAAGAATGAGGGGGAACCAATCACCAGATGGCAATTGTACACACTAAACCAAGAGGTACTTCCCTTCTCAGCTTAACACGCATGTCTACGAAGTACATTTCCTGATATGGTCATGTACTTCACCCCATTTGCGCTACCCTCCCTACCTTACCTTACATAGTAGTCGAGTTGAGGTGGTATACCTAGGTGCCTAGCGAGCACACGCAGACCATTGGCAAGATCTAAACTCCAGAAACAGGAGCCAGCGGCAAGCCAGAAGCAGAACAGAAGCACACCACCACACCACGCACGCCACGATGAACGTGTCCATCGACGCCATGCGATGACATGATGTGAGCCTGTCTGCTGTCTGTATGCTGCCGGACAGCGTCGCCAAAGCACTATACCCTGCGAAAATATGCGTTCGCTTGCCTTACCATCGTACCGTGTCTCTGGGAACGAGAAGCACCAAAGGCTCTCTCTCTCTCTCTCTCTCTCTCCATCTCGCCATCCAGCCCTTCAAAGCAGACGCAGATATGACACCACCTGTGTCCCCGGAAGCAGGGGACCATCTGCCAATGCAGCCCTTCTTTCTCCAGACCATCCGGTCTCTCCAGGCCACACGCAGACCTCGACAGGCGCCGCCGACAACGGAAAGGAGCCCAGCTCTAGACCAGCTTGAGCATGGAGGCCCACCCCCAGTTCTGTTCCGTTGCTAGCCCAGTGTCATGCGCAAGCGTATACTCGTTCCTGCGCCGTGCCGTGCCATGTCCTGGCTTCACCATCACTGCCACCCCTTTAGCTTTTCCCCAGCTTTTTTTCCCTCTCCAGGACAAAGTTCGGGAACAAGGAGAGAAAGAAGAAACAAACTGCGATTTGATGTTCGGCAAAAATAGGAACAGCCCACTGGGACCTGGGGAAAGGGAGAAGCGTTGGGGGCGGCCAAGGGTTCAGTCAGAATGGGGCGCAGGCCACAAGAAGTTGGGGGAGAAATCCGGGGCAAGGCCCCCGGTGCCGTTACACTGGTTCCGGGTCCCGCCATTGTCACCGTGATATGTCGGATCAGACGACGATCGCAGCTTCGTCACTGGTGGCCCCCAATTGTCCGTCGCCTGGAACGGAAGCTGCTTGGCCCACGCAACCTGCACCACTCTTCACATCTGAATGTGGTGCTCTTCAAGACGCCTAGCGTTGGGCCGTGATAATGATCAATATTTACCGGGTATTGGGAGTGAGCAGCCAATAAATATGTGTGAGCCGCGACTACATTGCCAGTTCTGTTGCGATCGACAGGATTCTCGCTGTCTTGGGGCTTGTTGGCACCTATTGACATATCGTTATCATTGAGAGATGACTCCCATTCTTCAACGTTACGACAGCTTACACGGACCAAGAGCAATCACCATCATCAACCCGGCTCGAAGATAAGTATTATCGTGCAGTGGCAACCACAAACAGTCCCCCCAAGCCTTGCTGTTCCGAGCAGCGTCCATCTATATTCCGAGATGGCTGGGTTGCTCCAATGTCCCTCGAAACATGTCCGACGTCTTGACTCAAGTGACGCTTTGGTGATGCAATCAGAGGACCCGGTTTTGTAACTGGCGCCAGCTAGTCGGTATTAAACGTGAGCCTACAAAACCGGAGCCCCAAAACGTGTCGCACCGTCGACGCCGTTGGCGAGAAAACCACGCTACTTTGCGGAACCGCAATTGCAAAACTCTATTCCGAGACCGCATTCCGCGCCGTTCTCACGGGCGCGGGCCTACCCCAGTCCAGGCTTTCAGTTAGCGGTACCTGAAGGCTGTACCTCAACTGGTCTTTCAATATTTCAAAAGTCTCGAATGCTCGCGTGCTCGTTGTTTGACATCACAAGATGCGATATGCCTTCCGATCCGAATATTTGTCGTGCCATCGTTCCCTTTCCACTGGGCTCTTCCCAGCTGCGCCTTCCCAGCATCTTCACAAAGCAATTCGGTCCTGTTCGGAAAGCGGACTTGTCTCGTCAACCCCAAACAATTCCATCCCAGCGAGATGGGTATTTGTGTAAAAAGCCGAACAAGAAAAAAGGCCATTTTACGGATGACTTGATCGGATGAATTAGGGTCTCTTGTCATGTTCAAGAAATTCGCCGAAACATGAGACAAGCGAAGCTGAACAAACCACGCCACTTTATTGCTTCATCTTGACTCTTAATTCTCGAAGAATTCCCGTTTGGGTGTCTTTCTTCACGCAGACCAAGCGTGCCAGGGCAATGGTCGAAGAAGAACGACGCCCTTCCCTCACCCCTTCCCCCAAAATTCGTCGTTTGGCGATTCACAGAAACGCAGGTTGGAAAGCTGACGGCGCGCTGATGCCGCGACTCTCTTATCGGGGGGATATTCGTTGAGCTGCAGTGGCCGGAAACAACAGGAACACCACAACCGTCGTGTTGTATCGGGGATCTCTGTAATCCACACTATGCGCGACCTGCCTGCCGCGCTTCGTCCTGACAGCTCCTTCATGCAAAAGAGCCCCAGGGCGAAACCCAATCGCTGCAAGCTGCATCCCCGCCGACGACACGTCTAGATTCGATTCGGTGGCATGGTCCGGGGGGGGGGTCTCCTCCTATACGGCGCGGATCGCATGCTGCTGCTCGGCGTGGCATCCTTCGTCGCTCGCTCCTTGTCCACACACACACACACACACACACACACATATTATGTTTCTTGCCGCCCTCGCAGGGCTCTGTCTCAATGAAAGCAGGGGGAAATACCACCTTCCTGCCTCGACCAAGATGTCTCTGCGCACCGATCGAGCCATAATTTATTTTCTCAAGGTTCGTTCCGTAGATGGCCCACCAACGTTGATCTCCGTCGCATGTAGGTGCCTTACGACCACGAGGTTTGTCGTCCGCCAACGCCAAGCATGTTCAGGCCTTTGTGAGCCTCGCACCTCTGGACGAGGCGAGGGGCTTCTGAGGCATCCTGTCACCTGTCTACGTCGGTCTCATTCTGGGAATGCAGACAAGGTCGGTTTGTGGCACCGTGGCTTTTCAAGAACTGCGGTCATAAATGTGGCGAGACAAGCGCCAAGCGCGGGGGCATCCGGCTGTTTGTTCGGCACTGCACGCAACTCACATTGGCATGCCCGTATTGCATCCCATCCAGAGAACGAGATTGCAATTTGATGATATTCCAGAGACTGCCATAGGCTCTGTGCGAAAAGACGTCTGGCCCCGGCCAGAAAACAAGACCGACTACATTGCGCCTTGATCTGGGCTCTGCTGCAGGCTTCAGTCGCCATGCTTTCGCAACGGCTTTCTGCCCCAGCTGAGTAAAGACATTATGACTGCGACGAAGTCTCCGCCCGATGCTGAGACTGCCGTATACCTAGATCGACCCGGTCGCATGGCCTCGTCTGTCCCTCCCGCCTCAACTAAAGTCTTCATCCTCATTGGTCATCTCGTCCTGGTCTAGGTCGTTTTGGGCATCTTCCATCGACCCGAGATAAGCCGCCACGTTTTCGTCTGCGAGCAGTTGCGTTTTCTGCAAGGTTGGGGCACGTCGCCCATCCTTGTTAGCCTTGGCGTCACACGCGGGGGAAAGTGAGCAGCCAGTTAGTTCGGGGCTCCGGGGGAAGCGATATAGGTAGGGGGCATCCAGAAGGAGTACAGGAGGAGTTGTGAAGGGCAGAAAGATGGAGGGGTGAAGTGGGCAGAGAATCGTAAGATTTAGCTGCAGCCCTGGCACTGACAGGAACTCGGCGATGAAGAATAATAAACACACTTACCTGGTCTCCCAGAGCCTTCACGGCAGCTTCTAATAAGCTCGTCTCCTGTTCCCTCAGCGTTGCAGCTGCACTGATGCATGTCCCACAAACGAGGCCCCCTTCGTTCAGAGACTCGTCCAGGTCTTCTAAAGACATGCCCGAGGCCAGTCGCTCGAGCTGACTGGCCACCAGATCCTCCACAACGGCAACCACCCGAAGACGAAAGATTTGGGCCAGGGGGTGTCCATCAATGTGTTGCTCGAAAGCCGTTGTCGTCGTGGTTACATCGTCTTCTTGCCAGAATAGTTTTAGCTCCCGTGAACCCCCGGTGTCCTGCAAAACGCGAAAAGACAGGCCGTCTTCCTCATTGAGGCACATGAAGTAGGCAAAGGGGCTCTTCCAGCTGATGGAGCCATTCGTCCGGACAAACTCCACAGTCGGTGCTCCTTCAAAGACGTGCAGCTTTGCCTTGCCGAGCGGGTCGTCCTCCATGGGTATCAAGGGGAGCGTGATTCGGTCGGCGGTTGACGCGGGGTCGATGAACCCATAGCTGAAGAGCATCTCTGCCCCGGATTTGGCGTCCCCATAGGATATCGTCATCTCGTCCCCAGACGAGACCCTGCAGCCGGGTCGCAGCAGCAGTACTACCTCGTCCTTGCCATTTTCTTCGTAATAAGCATTTGCTTCGGATGAGTGGTTTGCCAAGTCCAGCACCGGGACCATGGCTTCCCCTGATCTGGGGAGCTCCAGGCATCGGGACCGAAACCATGCGTCGACCCGAACCCAGTCAATGAGTGATACCTTATCGCTTTCCCAAAACAGCTCGTTCCAAAATGGCAGCGTAGAAGAGATTTCGCGCACCTCGTCGAACTCGTCTGTCAACGCGACAATCTTGGCGGCCGTGGCCGACTAGTTCCTGTTAGAATGCGATCCTTGAGCGGTAGCTGGTCGCTGGCGTCTCTGGGGGTGTCGTTTTGCCCCCATTCAGCCGCAATCCTTGGATATGCAATGGGGAGATCATCATCTGGTGATGATTCCACGAAAGTTGTGAAGCGATGCTGAATGTCTTGGCACTTGCGAGCTCGATGAGCCCTACCTGACCAACGACAGTCCCGGACATTACTTTTCAAGAAAGGCAATGGTCACTATGAAAGAGAGGCAGGGAAAATACTTGCCTCAAGTGATGTGCCATTCAGCATCTCACGCTCTTGCTCGGTCCAGAGTGTCGTAACAGGAACTTGAGGCGGCAGGTATTTGACGTATTCCGTCCATGGAGTCGAGACTCCGCCCTTCAACGACGTCTTTGGCCTATCAGATAGCACCTTTTGCGTGAGAAGAAAGAGGCAAATGTCATGTCGGGTTGACTACATCGAAAAAGAGGACCTCAGCTTTCCAATACTCTAGTAGCAAGGTGGGAAACTGTGCCATTCTCTTACCTTGTGACCGACGGCCTCGAGAAGCTGCCGAAAGTTCTTGTCGACCTTTGCATAATTCTCAACAGCTTCCGCGGATAGAACCAGCTCGCGGGGGATCCTTAAAAGGGCCGGGATGTCAAAAGTCTCTTCCTCTCGACTGAGATCTTTGTTCGAAAGCAGACCCAGCCCGCAGCCGGGGATTTCGCGGGCCTCGACGTCGACAAGGTCTACGTCATTGAACATGGCCCAGGTCGATAGTGTCTCAAGGGGTAGCTGCGAGGACGCCATGATGAGGCTTTCTGCTTGTTATCAACGACTTAATGTTTTTTTTTTTTCGTGAATGAGCGGATTTCAGGTCGTTGCGCTGCAGCCTTTGTTGTCGTTCCGTCGCATGTAGTGAGTTGTGTTGGAGAATGACTGGAACTCGAGTCCGTAGAGCGAAAAGTGAGGTTGCTCAAAGCGCAGGGTGGATCGCAATGCAATGCGCTGCCAGTGAGCAGCGAATGCGTCAGGGACTTGGGGTTTGGTAATGCAGCGCGGTAATATCTCCCAAAAAATTTTTCTCTCTTTTGTAGTACCATATAATCATTTTTTACTTTGAGAAGGCAAGATCTCCTGATGGTCCAGAATTTAGTGGAAGGAACTTCATGCACCGCATATGTGGTCTCAACGCCCGAAGAAGCCTAAAGCAATAGACCCCATCACGAAGGCGAGCGGGCGCTTTGCCTCTTCGTCCAATATACAAGTATCAACTCCTCTTGCGACGACCCGTTTTAAACTTGTTTATACCAAAGGAAATGGGTCTTAAGATTGGACAACTAGAACATGGAATGCGTCGGTCACTGTACTTTTGGGCCCAACAAAGTCGCAGTAAAGTCTTTGTAGGTAGTCTTTCTAGGCAAGCGATTGGTGTATGATCAACGACGGCCAATCGTCATGGCGTAAAGACACGAGGATGTTGCTCCAAATTCGCAAAGACCCAGGAGATATGGTTCCTGCATACCACTCCTGACAAGTCTCAAATTATGCGTGTAGACCTAGCCGGGTTGCGGCGAGATCAAGGTATCATCGGTATGAAATAGTATAAGGAAACGAAAAGCAGCCCATACTCCATGCTGAGCATTCCCTGTTCCGGCCTCGCACTTTCCATGGCTCATAAAGATGAATGGTAACACAGGTTTGCAACCCTTCATCGGCTACCCGATCATACTGATCATACTGATGGCCCTAACTTGTGTCAGACTCAGGCTACCGACCGTTCAATGAGAGATGCTGTGTGAAACCCCCAGCGGCATGACGAGCGGCAGCTTCTCCGTCCCTCTGTATACTCTCTTCGCGCATCTTACGCATCCAGGCCACCGCTCGCATCCACTCTTCGTTCTTACGAACGTAAACTGGCAACTCCTCTTCGGGAACATCACCAAAGTCCATCGGTCTATGATGCGACCATGGCTGTGGCGATTTGTTGAGCCGCCATGGCTCGCCTTGAGAGACGGCCAACCTTTCTTCCACTTCCTGCCGCTCTTCTGCCAATCTCTGCTGTCGCATGCGCTTGGCTGCTTTGCCAAAATTGGCCTTGCGACCACCTCGGGCTTTGATTTCTTCCATTTTCGAATTATACCACTGGCTGCTACGATGATGTGGCCAGTGGATGCGGGGGTCAAGCTTCATGTGGAAGCGGCCATCATCTCCACTAGATGACGAGGCCCTTTTCGAGTTTGCAATCGGGGCAGCCAGGGCGAACACCCCAATAGGAGGTCTCGAGGCGTCGGTTTGACCATATATCATGGCGTCGAATTTGGCGGAATCGAAGTCGTCGCACAACTGGAGTCGACGCTCTTCGCAGGTCAATTTCACAGTCTTACGGGAGACGTAGGATTTTGGGCTCTGCTGGCCGCCTCGCCCTAGTACTGAGCCTTGCTGTAAAGCACCATTCGGCGGAAAGATGTGGCGATGACTCTGCCCGTTGGCCCGGCTTGGTTGCCGCACACTTCCACTTTTCTCCCGTTCATGCTCTTCACTCTCGTCAGACGAGGAGCTTAGCACAATGGGCATGAACACGGCTCCCAGGTGAGCGGTGCCCTCATTATTCAAGGAATATGACCGCGATGCTTTGAAATTGGTGCTAGGTTGTCCCGTAGAAGCCATGGAGTGTGAAGCTTTTGAAGTCGCTGCGGCACCAAGGTACGTGGACGAATGGGGCTGTCCGACGAATAACTTTGCATGCTTTGGAGCTCTATCGTTGTCATCGTCATCGTTCTCATCATCATCATCGTCATCATCATCAGCCTCAGCGGATGATGATTCAGACGTTTTATCGGTACCGGTAGTCCTTCCCCGTTTGCCGCCCGAAGCCGCAAATCTGCTTGTCGAAGCTGATCGTGATGCTGATGGAGCCGACTTCACATGCATTGGCGGCAGACTCTTAGTACTGACGTGAGGCAGCGAATCGAAGCTTTTATTCCCAGATAATGCAGATGCCGACGTTGCAGTGGAATTTCTTCCTCCAGATTGGCTTCTACGGCTTCCAGCATCAGAATGAGCACTCAAATTGCGGGTGATACGCGACACATTGTTAACACTTGGCATAACCGCAGGCTGTTGAGATGCTCGAGAAGTTTGATCGGCTCGCAATCCCCCTGGTGAAGCCCGTGCTGAAATAAAGCCACCCCGCCTCTCCTTTCCGACGCTTCGCTCTACTTCGACTGTTGTGGGCGCCTTCGGTATGCGCTGGGCTGTGTCGGTATTGACGAAGAATCGCTTTGCCTGGTCTTGTGACGGCGAGGGCACTGAATTAAGGGGTGACTGAACAGGATTGAACGTGCCAGGGGGGAGAGCTTCATGACTAGTTGGTGAGCCAGATCCTCGGGTGTAAGTCTGCATAGAGGTTGTCTGGAAGCTTGAATGGCTGCCTTCTTCTGTCCGCTTCCTGGGCGTAGCTTTTGTCCCAGCCGTCTTTCTGGCCGTCATTGCAAGTTTTCCCGCGAGATCTGGCGGCAGATTCGTTCTTCTGACTGTGTCCCGGGCGCCTTGAGGAGCATATACCGGCTCGTTCCGAAGATACTCGCCCCGAAAATGGGGCCGGCGGTTTCTCATTTGCTCATCATCTTCGGCTCGCCCTATGGTCTGCAATGAATTTTGTGTCACGGGGGACCTTTGAGACCCGCGAACAAGTGTACCGGCAGCAAGATTCGAGGCATTGACGTAGGTAGAGCTTCTTTCTGCTTGTCGTCGTTTTCTCCCATGACTGATGCAATAGGTCCCATCAAGAGCCACGGATTTGCACCCGTCTTCGACACATGGGTCTGAAGACAGCTGACCGAAGGACTCCATCTCTTCACGGCCCGGCCCTTCATGAAGATGTTTCGATTCTGTTCAACTTGCTGAGATGGCTCTTTACAGACTCAGGACTGGGGGTCGTTGACCTCCAGGGTTTTGTTGCCTAGCCAGACCTGCTCCGAATACAAGAAAGCTGTTGCCCGAGTGCTGGAGGAAGCAACGAAAAGTTGATAAGATTGTCGGCTTGTGTCCCTCGGAAAACCGTTGGCAGAACCTGAGCTAGGCAGTTTGTTCTACTCCAATCTCAGATAAACGCGTCGAACAAACACTACACAACGATGATGAGTGTCTTTGTCTTCATGGTCTGGAATTTGAAGACTGAGTGGCCAGAGGTGCATGACAGGGGTTCTAGTAAGGTAAAGTTAGCTCAAGGTTCAGCCTGATGTTAGACGGTACCTGGAAGGTCCTGCGACACGAATTGGAGCAAAGTGTCGACAGATGTAGAGAAAGGTAGAGAAAGGATGCGCGCTCAGGTCTTTTCAGTCATTTTGGTCTTCATATTGGGGACCACAGCGGGTTCGAAGTCTCATCTTGAACCGTTTTTCTTGTCTGCCTGAGCCTTTGGTCCTACTCCGTTGAGGCAACTAGTAGAAGAACTCCGAAATGAGGCAGTGGTCATGTCGTTTCTCGATAGTGGGGTGGTATACTGCATTATTTGAGCAGCTCCGTTTGTCGCGCATGCTTTCCCTTTGATGAAGGCCTTGCGAGGAGACGAGGACGTGGCTCATCCATAAAGAACGGCCATTTGATGGAAACAAGATGAGACAACAAACCCAGAAGGATCCTTTTCGATCGGACCTTTTACCAGTAGTCATCACTGCGCGTAAGAGAAGGACGTTTTTTTTTGGATCTGAGGAAAATATCGAATGCTGAGAAAGTATTGAAGCAAAATCGCACTTACCTGATGGAGACCAGCCAGCTTCCTCAGAGTCGCGCCTTCGACCGCCAGCGCACGACACTTTGGCATGAGTTAAGAAAAAGAATGGCTTCGGGGCCGGGTTGAGTGTAAGTGAGTATTCTTGTTGCGGGCGCAGAGTCGCGATGAATGTTGCCTTTTGTAGCGGCGCAAACGTTTGGAGGAAGCCGAAGATTTGTCGAGTCGCAAAGCTGGTCAAGTTGCTGAGGCCTTCGCCTCGCGTTGCGTTCAGTGGAGGTGGATGAAGGTCGCTTGCTTGAGTTCACTAGAGGACCTCGGGGTAATCCTTGCCTAGGCAGCTTCGCTAACAAACGGGGGACCGTCGATTCGCATCCGGGCCCACCCAAAACATCGGCGAACGGATCATTTGTCACCCGTATCACCCCTCCATCCAAAGAAGCCTAGCGCGGGGATCTTCAGGCAGGAGCTACTGTCCATGGTCCCCTGTTCCAGTGTTAACGGTCCACTGTCTTGTCGCCAAGTTGCCCGAAGCTCCCTGCCCAGTACCAGCAGCGCGTGTGTTGCCCTTCCACCAAACCTACAATTTCAAGACCACCAGTTCCCGATAGAACAAATCTTAGCTTCCTGCATACTCGCCCGGATTCTGCAGGGCCAGATGAATTTTCTCAAGTCTGCAGTGGCCTCTGCCATTGCTCAAGGACCACCATTCCCTTATAGCTTCGGCGACAAGGTGGACATTGACGAGTCCATCTGGACGTTGAATAACGGCACCAAGCGAGTATGTCTACCTAGCTATCCAACAAGACAAACGACACCCCTAATTCTAATGCCCCTTGACAGGAAGACGGTTCCAACTGTAGTATCTTTTCCTTCGATGTTGCTGCCAACAAATCCCGATTGCCTCTGGCGAAGAACGCGCTGCGCAAGCTGAGGACCCTACGCCACCCAGGCGTTATCAAGGTGTTAGATACTGTAGAGGTATGGGTGGCCCATCACTGTATGATGCTTTGTCTCACAAGTCTATACAGACCGATACATACATTTACATTGCGACCGAGCGAGTGGTGCCTTTACGATGGCACGTGAAAAGAAAGAGTCTTACACCGGAAACGATAAAATGGGGGTTGAGCAGTGTGGCGGTATGTAGGAACGTGAACTCGAACATTGTTGCGCAGGGAGACTGATTGTTTACCAGCGAACCATCAAGTTTATCAACGATGAGGCTTCATCAATACACGGCAACCTAAAGGTTGGCTCTGTGTACACCTCCGAGAGTGGAGAGTGGAAAATGAGTGGCTTTGAAGTTCTGAGCAACGTCAAAGACGACGAAGCAGTGATTTACGTGGGTTATACCCGCTCATTTGTAGCGAACATCGTCACTAACGTTGAGATGCAGACGTACGGTAGCTTGGTGCCAGATTCAGGGCGATATGCGCCGCCTGAACTTGCTCGCGGTGGATGGGATGCTATCAAGAAGAGCCCGCATTCCGCCGTGGACTCTTTTGGCTTTGGATGTATGATATTCGAAGTCTTCAACGGCGACTTCATGGGCTCTGATCAAGCCGGCCAGACGAAGAGCATTCCTCCGACAATGCAACAAAGTTACAAGCGTCTCGTCAACCCCAACCCAAAGGCGCGTGTCAGCGTTGGCCACTTTTTAGAACAAGGGCAGAGGAGCGGATCGTTCTTCGACAGCCCCTTAATCAAATTGACGGAGGGAATCGAGAATCTTGGTGTCAAGACTGAGACTGAGAGGGAGGCATTCCTTGAGTAAGTATCTTCGCGTCGAGTTTTGAGACCATGAAACTGACCCGGGCAGCGATCTCGATCAACTGACGGATGATTTTCCTGAAGACTTCTTCAAGATGAAGATTCTCCCGGAGCTCATCAAATCGGTTGAGTTCGGAGGGGGTGGGCCGAAAGCCTTCAGTGTTGTAATGAAAATTGCAGCCAAGCTTTCAAACGAGGATTTCGACTCCAAGATCACACCCGTAGTCATCCGGCTATTCGCAAATCCCGATCGAGCGATTCGCGTCTGCCTTCTCGATAGCTTGCCTTTGATGATCGATCGTTTGACGCAAAAAGTAGTCAACGACAAGATCTTCCCACAGCTAGTCACTGGTTTCACCGACGTTGCACCAGTTGTTCGAGAGCAGACTCTGAAGTCAGTTTTGGTCATTATTTCGAAGTTGTCTGATCGCACCATCAACGGAGAGCTGCTCAAGTATCTCGCCAAGGCGGCAAACGACGAGCAGCCAGGCATCCGAACAAACACCACAATTTGCTTGGGAAAGATTGCCAAGAACCTTGGAACGTCTTCGAGAAGCAAGGTGCTTATTGCCGCGTTTACCAGGTCTCTGCGAGATCCATTTGTGCATGCCCGAAATGCCTCACTGATGGCCCTGGGCGTCACAGGGGATTGCTTCTCCGACGAGGACGTGGCCTTGAGGATAATGCCCGCGGTCTGCCCCTTACTGGTTGACAAGGAGAAGGTTATCCGTGACCAGGCGAGCAAGACGATGGACGTTTATCTGAAGCAAGTCAGGAAGGCGGCGTCCAACATGCCCGATTCCGCTCTGCCCCCCCAGGCCGCAGAAGGCGCCGGCGGGCCTCGGATGAGCACTCCTCAACCCAACGAGGCCTCAGCATCATCATGGGCCGGTTGGGCCATCTCCTCTTTCACCAACAAGCTTTCAACGGCCAATGGCGAGATGCAGACCTCTAACGGCTCAGGATTTGCATCTCCGAAGCCGACACCGTCACCAGGCCCAGACGCGAAGAGGCCAACGACATCATCGGCCTCTGCTCTGCACCGCCAGGCGATCAAGTCCCCTCCGCCGATGTCGCGGACGCCATCGTCAGTCGTGGCAGATGCATTCAACCCAGAACCTGCCGATGAGGGCGGAGACGCTTGGGGCGATCTGGGAGACGACGACGGTTGGGGAGAGCCAACTGGCAACAGCAACTCGTCAGCTAAAAAGGCAACGACCGCCAGCGCAACACCATTCGACGACGGTGCTGAGCCTGATTTTGCCGGCTGGCTGGCCGCGCAGTCGCAGAAGAAGACTGGATCGAGCAAGCCGCTGCCAAAAGGCCTCACAAAGTCGTCGACGGCAGCAGCGAAGAAGCCTCTGGTATCGAAGCCGGCGGCTAAGCCCGTGGTAGCAAAGAAGATCGACATGAAGCCGAAGGACGACGATGACGACGAAGGCTGGGGAGACGGGTGGTAGGTAAGGTACACAGCAGCGGAGACAGACAAAGTTTGCAGCATTTACGGCGTTAAGGGCGCGGGATACCATTATTGTGCAAGTAATGTTCGTGCAGCAGTAAAGCCTGCCAATTGAGAATTTGTAATGCAGATGGCCTCAGCCTCATCTGCGAATGCGATACAAAGGACTATCCCAGACGCCCCGCCAACCCAATCCCCGAAAGTCATAATGAAGAAAAGTTACAAGCCATGATTGAAAGCCTTTTGTAGACCAATGAACCAACCAACCGCAGACATGCCCCTCCCCTAATGAGAACCCCAAAATCGTTATCTAGCAGACTCTGAGTAGTCGTTGAGGGCGACACAGACCGCGCCTCTGTGGTGGCCATTGTACTGGCGGATGATCTGCTGGCTGTGAAGCTCCCAGAGCCGGGCGTAGTGGTCGGAACAAGCCGTCACCAAATAGGCAGAATCGGCGCTGAACGCGCAGTCCCAGACCCAGCGCTGGTGGCCCGTGAGGGTAGCCTCGAGCGGGAAGGGCTTCGGCTCCTGGTCGGGGGCGGGTTCGAGGTCCTTGACCTCCCAGATGCGGGCGGTGTGGTCGGCGCTGCAGGTCGCGAGCTTCTTGACGTCGGGCGAGAGGAGGATGCGCGTAATGTACTCCTTGTGCGCGTTGAAGTGAGTCACTGGAACGAGCTGGGTTCGGTCGTAGGCCTGCAGTAGCTGCCACACGAATACGTTGCCCTATTGTCTGTCAGTTTTGGTGCCGCTTGTCATGTGTCTTTGGCAAATCGGGAGGAGGCCTTACGCCATTATTCGCAGCGCAAAGTAGGGAGCCGTCGCTGGCGACCGTGACGCTCGAGACGGAGACGTCCTCCTCGGGAATCAGCTGGTGGGAGCAGTTGTTCTCCGCGAGGTCCCAGACGCGGACGCTGCCCTGGCGATCGCAACTGATGATCTCGCCCTGGTTGGGATGGATCACGACATCATTGGCGGGGCAGCCATGGTTGTAGCTGCGCTGGACCTGGCCGCTGCGCGTCTCCCAGATCTTGACGGTGCCGTCCTCGGAGCTGGTCACCATCCACTTGCCCTCGCAGTGGAACGCGACGCCGGTGATGTTGCCCGTGTGGCCCTCGAAGGTGAGCAGCGGGTTCGGATTCGTTGACTTGATGTCGTAGAGTTTGACGGTATGGTGGCCGGCGGCGGCGAGGAAGCGCTTATCGGGGGAGATACAGAGGCGATTGACCTGAGAGTCTGGGTGCTGGATCGTACGGGAACAAATGCCCGAGAGGGCCTCCCAGAATCTGAATTCGGAGGGAGAAGAGCGTTAGCCAAGGTCGCCTGATTATTCAGCGATCGGTCGAGTATTCAATCGTTTGCGTACCTGATTGTGTGGTCGTAACCCGCTGGGACAACGTAAGCGAATGGTCTCAATGCAAAGAGAAAAAGAGACGAATGCCCTCCAGAAGCTCAATGGCACTCACCTGTGCAAAGAATCACAGACATGGTTACTGTGGTGAAGTCTTTGGCCTCAATTATCGCATGTTATGATGTATGTGTGTAAAGTAGATATTTGGGGGGTTGAGGAAGGCGCATCCAAATTTCGGAGGTGTATTGCGCGCGTAGGATCATCAGCGGAAGGATGCAGCCCCTCCACGATGTAAGGTCGGTGGTCGGCTGGATTGGACTCTTGACTAAGACCTACCCCCCTACGACGGATCACCCTGTTACGACCCAACACGCATTGCTAGACCAGGGCCCTGCCCCACAGGACCTGCGGCGGCTACCACACCATATATGCAGCAGTGAGAACTCAGACGGCCTCCCTCAGGACGAAAGAACTATAAATAAATTATATAACCACGATCGTATGATAAGATAAAGAACGGACGCCCGTAAATAAATAAAACGGGCGATTATAAAAATATAAAATAAACGATTATTTAATAAACGATTAAATAATAATAAATAAGATATTATAAAGGATATATTTACGATTAGGATTTATATATTAAATAGCCCGAGCTAGGCTTAAGGATAGATTTTTATAACTTTTTTAATAATTAATTTTATATTAAATTTTACGATTACTTTTAATTATTTTTATTAAAAACTTATTTAATAAAATTACGATTAATTATTAAAACTTTATTTATTTTATAATTTATAAATAATAGTTTTATTAAAAACTATTTTTATAACGATTATTATTTATAAATATCATAGCCCCGACTTTTATTAATATAAACCTTATTATAATTAATTAGCCGTAATACTTTAATTACTTTTATTTAATAAGTCGACTTTACGAAAACTTACTAAATAATATGAACGATATTTATTAAATCTTTTTTTAATAAAAGTAAAAAGCCTTAGGTTTTAAACGCTGAGCTAGCCTAAGCTAAAAAAGATATAAAAATAGTTAATATTAAATATAATTTTAATAAAGACGCGGTTTTTAATAAGATAATATATATTTAAATACGCCGCGTCGTTAATTAAAATATTTAATATAATAAAGAACTAACGGACCTCTTTAATATTATTATTATTTAATTAATAGAAGTTTAAATTAAAAACGACCGTAATATTATTAAAATATAAAGAATATTTAATACTATATTCAAAAAACTTAAAAATAAATATTAAAAAGCTTTAAACTTCGCCAACTAAGTAAATATATTTTAAAATATTATTAATATCGTTATTACCCTTTTTAATAAAGGATAATAAAAATTTAAATTTAATATATTTATTATTTTTGATAGGACTTTTAGAACTTTAAAAGGATTCTTAATTTAAATTAAGAACTTTTAAAACTTTTACTAAAAAGATTTTAATAACGAAATTAAAAAAGTCATATATACCGTTAGCTTTTTTAGAAAATAAGCTTTTAAATAGTTCGAACTTTTTTAAAAAAAAGTATTTTAAAAAAGAGACCTTTAATAAATACTTTACCGAAGTATAAAATATTTATTATAACTTTAATAAGTTTAAAAAAGTTTTTAAATTACTTTTTTAAAATTTAAATAAGAAACGATAAGCTGAGTACGATATATTATAACTCTAATAAACTAAATTAATAAAAGACTACTTAGCTAAGTTTAAACGTTTTAATATTTAATTTAATCTTATTAACGATATTAAGATTTTTATATTTTATTAAGGATTAAAAGATAAAGTTAAGGACGAACTTATTAAAATCGATAAACTAAATAATTTTTTTTAATATATTAAATTCGTAATTAAAATCGATAACTACTTTTATAAAAGAAAAAAGGAAAAAAAAATAATAATAAAAACCTAATTTAGGATATAAATATTAATAGTAACTTTAACGTAATTTTAATTAAAAACACTATTATAATAAAAATAATAACTTTTAATAAATTACTATTTATAAATAATATAACGGACCTATAAACCTTAATATAGCGAAACGAAACTAATCCTATTAAAAAAAAGAATTTAAATATTATAATTATAATAAGTTAAGATATATAGCTAAAGATTATAAATAGCTTAAACGAATTTAATAACGACCTATTTTTAAAAAATAAATTAATATTATTTTTAAAAAAAAATACTTTATAAATTACTTTTTTAAACTATATATTACGACGATAACTACTTTATTTACCGAAATAATAAGGAATAATTAAGATAGTACCTTAAGAAACCTTTTAATAGAACCCTTATTATAATAAATAAATAAAAAGTAATTTAACGCCCTAAGACTATTAAAAACTATAATAAAAAGTATATTTAAATATTATTAATAGTATACGAAATAATTAAAATATAATTTATTAATTTTCTTAATTAAACGTAAACCCTTACGATAATAAAAAGTAAATTAAAAAAAAAATAATTAAAAACAAAAACGACCTATTTTAACTAGAAAACAAAATCTTAACTTGTAAAATACGGATTTTAAATAAATCTATTTATATAATACGATAAATATTTAATAAAATAATTTAATATTACGAATAGCGCTTTTTAATAATAAAAGATTATAATAAAAACTATATTCGTATCTTAGCTAATTATTATAAAATCGGCTAATTATTAAAGAAAAAGCGACTAGACGTAAAAGTAATGCTTACCCTATTTTAATAACGATTTTAAAAATAATTAAAAACTAAAATAAAAAAAAACCTTTTCTAATTAAAATACGAAATCGATAAAAAAATAAATATTATATACTTAATTATTACGGCCAGCTAGTCGTAGTAAGGTTTGTGTTAATAAAAGTCGGGGCTACGATACTCATAATAATAATCGTCGTTAGAATAGCTTTAAAGAAGCTATTATCTATAAGTCGTAAGGTAAGAAAGCTTCGGTAATTAATCGTAATCTTATTAATAAGATTTTTAATAAAGATAACTAAAAGCGATCGTTAGATTTAATATAAGAAGTTAATTATTAAAGAAGCTATAGAAGTCTATCCTCAAGCCCAGCTCGGGCCATCCTATATATAAATCCTAATTATAAATATATCTTTTATAATATTTTATTTATTATTATCCGACAGTTTACTAAAAGGTCGTCTATCTTATATTTTTATAATTATTCGTCCTATTTATTCGCAGGCGTCTATTCTTTATCTTATTATACGATCATAGTTACATAACTTATCTATAGTTCTTCCGTCCCAAAGGGAGCCGTCTATGTTCTTATTATTATATATATAGTATAGTAGCCGCCGCAGGTCTTATAGGGCAGTGCCTTAGTTTAGTAATACGTATTAGGTCGTAACATCAGCTCCTCCCCTCGAAGGTCTAGTCCCTAGGCCTATAAATAAGTTATTTATTCCCAAGTTAAGGAATCGTTAAATATTTTTATCAAAATATACTAACGCTATATTAAATCGAATTAAAAAATCGAAATCGTAAATAACTACGTTTCGTCGCTATTTATTACGTATTATTCGTTTTTTTAATAAAAATATAAAAATAATACCGTACTCGAATTATCGTTCTCAGGGTATTCATTACTTAGTTTTTTTTAATTCCGATATTTACAGAATATATTATTATCTAGGTATTTTGTACGATACTTTTATTAATATTATCTATACTTATAAGTTTCCGAGGACTATCTTTTACAGGTCCCGACTAATAAATATAATAAATTATTTAGTAATAAAGTCTAATCGTTTTAATTATAAAGAATAAGCAGAAGAGTCGCGGTTTCAAAAGAGAGCTACAGAGCTATAAAAAAAAACTAAGGCCTATTAAAAGGCTTAGGCTAAATTAAATAAGTTATTATTTAAATTAAAACGCTTTTATTCTTAAAAACGAATAATATTTAAAAAAAAGTCGTATCGTATTAAAGGAATTTTTTAAGGATATTAAGAGCGTTTTTTTAATAGCTCGGGAGGTATAAGTTAATAATACTTTTAGCATTATCAATTAAGACGCCGTAATAGCTAAGAGTACTAGGTTTAAATTTAATTTTAATACTCTTCGAGAAGCTATTAAAAGTTTTAAAAGTTCGTAACGGGTTCTTATATATTGTCTTCGTATCTATAATCTTTTTATTTAATAAAGTATTCTTCTCGTCCTTTTTTAATTCGGTAATTAATAACTTATTCAACTTTATATTTTAGTTTATTAAGTTCAATAATAATACGATCTCCGGTATATAATCCCTTAAGTACTAATTTTAAAAATAAGATATAAAAAACTAAGTAGTATCGCATCGTATCTAAGAGTTTTAATTTAAAATTAACTAATAAAGCCTTCTCAATAATTTCAAAAAATCTAAATTTTTTATAATTTAGTTTATTACTTAGTCGCTTCGTTTTAATATTACGGCGAAGGAGATATATATTATTTCTTTTTTCTAAAGTTAGTTTACTAATCCTTAATTTATTAGCGTATTTCTTTATATACTATTATATAAACTTAAAATCTAGGGAGGCTTCCCTTTAGATCTTCTTAAGTTTATTTACGTCTACTACGGCTTTCATAGCTTGTGGTCTTTTACGTACTTCTTTATATATAGTTAATTAAAATCCGTAGTTAAGGTAAAAGGGGGATTCCTTCGTACTTTCGTTAACTACGCTATTATATATAAACTAGGCTATTAGTAATAATATTACCTAATTATTTTAATCGTAATTTATATAGCAACGGAGGTATATTTTAAGAATCTAATTAATTCTTTCTATTTATCTATCGGTTTACGGGTAGAAAGAGGTCGATAGTTTATAGTCTATACCGAGTTATAAAATTAAAAATCTCTAAAACTTAACGATAAATAACTTATCTCTATCGGAAACTATTTCTTTAAATAAACCGTAGTTAGCGATAATTATTTTAAAAAAGGTATATGCTAATTCCTTAGTATTATTTACTTCTTTATATAATATAAAATAAGTAAACTTAGTAAGTCGATCGACGATAACTAAAATACTATCGTACTATATATTCGTTAATAACTTTTTAAACTTTAATAGCTTAACGATAAAGTCCTAAGAGATTAAATGTTATACCTCTAGGGGCATTAGTAGTAGTTATAGTTCTCTATAAAGCTTATAAGGGCTATTTTTACTTTTTTTATAAATATCGTAGTCCTTAATAGCCTTAGCAACTTCTACTCTTATAGCGGTTTTATTATAATATTAACGAATCCGTTTCTATATCTTCGTAACACCTTAGTAGCCGTATGCTCGAGCATTATAAATTTTTATAATAAGCTTAGGAGTTATTTTTTTAGACGGGCTAGCGTTAGCTTTTCTAGCTATTATAAAGAGTTTTATAATAAGTATAAAATCACCGTTATTATTATACTTAAAGATTACTTATATTTCCTTAGGGACCGTAACTTCGTAATCAGGTCGTCTGCTAAGAGCGTCTACTCTACCATTCTTTAAGCCTTTCCAATAGATAATTCGGAAATTAAATTTAAATAGGAATTCACTCTATCTAATTTATTATTTATTTAGGTTTTTATTTATCGTGAAGTTTATAAAGTTCTTATAGTTTATATAAATAATAACTTTATATTTAGTTCTTAAGAGCTATAATCTCTATTTTTTAAAAGCTTCGATTATAGCTATTAATTCTTTATCGTAAATTTGCTAATTCAATTCTGCTCTATAAAATACTTTAAAGTAGAATATATAAGGGTGAAGTATTCCTTATTAGTCTCGTTGTCCTAAGACAGCTCCTATAGCGAAGTCCGAGGCGTCGGTCTCGATTTCAAATAGTTTCTTTAGGTCCGGGATTATAGTTACTGGTTCCGAAGTAACTAAGTCCTTAACTTTATTAAAGGCATTATTATATTTTTTATTTTAAATAAAAGTTATATTTTTCCTTATTAGATTATTAAAAGGTTTGACAATATTAGCATAGTTTTTAAAAAATCGTCGATAAAAGTTAACGAATTTTAAAAATAACTATACGTTTTTAATATTAATAGGTATAGGCTAGTCTTTAATTACTATTACTTTAAATACCTATATATAAATTTATTTTAGCGTTATTGTATAGCTAAGGAAATCTATTTTTTATATATAAAATTCGCATTTATTAAGCTTAGCGAAGAGCTTCGCGTCTTAAAATTTTTAAAATATTATATAGACGTATCTTTTATACGTCTTAAGATTAAGGGAGAAGATAAGGATATTATTAAAATAGACGACTATAAAGATATCGACGTATTCTTTAAATATATAATTAACTATTATTTAAAATATAGCGGGTGCGTTAATAAATCCGAAAAGTATAACTAAGTATTCATAAAGTCCTTTACGGGTTTAAAATACCGTTTTCTATTCGTTTCCTTTTTTAATTCTAATTTAATTAAATACTCTTTTAAGATCTATTACAATAAACTATTAGGCTCTATATAATATTTCTCTAAGTTTTAAGATAAGGGGCAATAAGTAGTAATTCTTTTTAGTAATTTTGTTAAATCCTTTATAGTTAATAATAAGTTTAAGCTTTTTCTTACCTTTCTTAAGTACAAAGAAGATTAGTGCTCCTATTAAAGAGGATAATAATCTAATATAACCCTTTTTAAATTTATCGTCGATATACTCGTTAAGTTCGTCGCGTTCGAATTAATTTATAAAGTATAATAAATAAAACTTAGGTTATATCCTTTTTTTTAGTTCGATCTTTATATCTTAATTGCTATGTTTTAGTAATCCTATTTTTTTCTCTAAGACGAATAGTTTTATATAAATCCGGTATTCCTTAAGTATAGTCTAAAATAGGTCCGATCCTCGATCGTCCGTACTAAATACGAACATCTTAATAGGTTCTATCGTTTTAATAAAAGCGATATATTTAATTTATTTTCGTTCGTTAAATATTACATAAGACTCGTTTAAACCCTTTTCCTTAAGTCGTTTAGTAACTAAGTTTATCCAATAAAATTAACCGGTTTTCTAATTTATCTATAAATTATACTTTCATAACTACGAGATTCTTAAAATAACGTCGGTATCTCCGATCTCTATAATATTATACTTTAATTATTTTAATTAATTATTAATATATATCGTGAGGTATATAATCTCCCGGTTAATATATCTATCATTATAATTAACTTATTTTCTTTTTACCGTTCGTAAGGTATACGGGTTCGTTTTCTATATTTATAATAATTTATATTTATTTACCGTTCTAAATAAAATAAAAATTCCTTAAGCGCCGCTATTAATAATAGCGCTTATATCGTATCCGTTTATCTAAAGTTTAAATTATAAATATTTCTTATCGGGGAGTATTATAAAATATAAAAACTTATCTATTTTAACCGCTTTTCGTTATTCCTTCGCGATTAATATACTTAATTTTTTAACGTCTTAAGGGCTAATGCCCGTCTTTCTTTTATAAGCTGTTCGTAATTAGCTATTAAATCGAGGCGTTTTTATCCCTCGGTAAGTAAGTATAGTACGTCGATAATATTATAAATATCGTTTATTTCTTTACTAATAGGTACTCTCCTTCTAAAAAACAATTTATAGTTTCTAAGTATTTTAATATTAGATTATATATTTAGAATATATCGGTTATGTGGGTAGTTTTTTAGGTCCTTAATAAGCTAATTTAGTTCTCCTTAGAAGTTTATAAATTCTTACTATTTTAATTACTTATCCAAATCGGCTTCCTTTTTAATAATAAAATCGTTAATATCGGGCGATATCTTATAATCGATTTCTAATTAAATACGTCGTCAGGCGACGTCGCGAGGTTCGTCCGAGTTATAGGGCGATTATTAGCCTATTAACTATTCGTAATCTAATATATTAATATTATTTAAAAAGGGGTCGTAATCTAGTCCTTTAGTACTAGATTTCGTAAATATATCGTTAATAATTCTTTCACTTAAATCGTCCGGTTTAATGCTTTTTTTAAGCGCAGGGAAGTTTTATTTTAAATAGAGTATATCGTCCTTTATTATTATTTTAAATTATTTATATATTTATTATTTTAGGATAGTAAGGACTATTTTTATAATCGGATATTAAGGAATATAAGCATTTACTGTATAATAAGCTTCGCTTAGTTTTTTAATACGTTATTAATGACGTTTTTCTAACATTTAAAATCCGTAAACTAGATTTATTTCTTTATCGATTTCGTCTTTTAGCCGGAAGAGGTCTTTTTTTATCTTAGCCTCTAGTCGTTTTTAAAATCGTTACTAAAATAGGGCGAGCATTACTTTTATATTTAGTCGTTTCTTTTTTAATAATCGGCTAGCTTTATAATAACTAGCTAAAATACGGATATAGTCTTTATTATAATCTTTTATCATTAAAAAGCGATATTTATAATATTAGATTATTTTATTAGGTATTTGTTATATTATATAAATAGATTTATTTAAAATCCGTACTTCACGAGTTAAGATCTCGTTTTTTAATTAAAATAGGTCGTCTTTAGTTTTAACTATTATTTTTTTTTTTAATTTACTTTTTACTTTCATAAGGGTTTACGCTCGTTAGGGAAAGCTAATAGGTTATACCTTAACTATTTTATATACGATTAAGAGTATTTAGATATACTCTTTATTATAGTTTTCGATAGTTTTAAGGCGTTTTTATTTATTTGTTATAATAAAGGTCCTATTAGAGGGTTTCTTAAGGTACTATCCTAATTATTCCTTACTATCTCGGTAAGTAAAGTAGTTATTGTTATAATATACGGTCTAAAAGAGTAATTTATAAAGTACTTCCTTAAAAGCGATATTAACTTATTTTTTAGGGATAGGTCGTTATTAAATTCGCTTAGGCTACTTATAATCTTTAGCTATATATCCTAACTTATTATAATTATAATATTTAAATTTTTTTTTTTAATAGGGTTAATCTCGCTTTACTATACTAAGATTTATAAGTCCGCTATATTATTTATAAATAATAGTTTATTAAAGATTATTATTATAGCGGTGTCTCTGGTTAAAGTTGCGTTAGGGTTATTATTAATATTTACGTCCTAAGTTAAGTTCTTATTGTCGGTCCTTTTTCTTTTTTTTTTGTTTATAAAAACGGTTATCGATTTTAATTACGAGTTTAATATATTAAAAGAAATTATTTAGCTTATTGAGTTTAATAATTTCGTCCTTAACTTCGTCTTTTAGTTTTTAGTAAAATATAAAAATTTTAGTGTCGTTAGTAAGATTAAGCTAAGCGCTAAGGCGTTTAAACTCGGCTAAATAGTTTTTTACCGACTTAATCTATCGGAGTTACGAAATATTGCGCTTAGCTTATCGTTTCTTATTTAGATTTTAAAAAAATAATTTAAAAGCTTCTTCGAACCCTTTAAAATTATAATAAATATTTCGTACTTCGGTAAAGCATTCGTCGAGGGTTTCTTTATTAAAGTATTCTTCTTAAAAAGGCTCGAACTACTTAAAAGCTCGTCCTTTAAAGAAACTAGCGGTATATATAACTCTCTTAATTTCGTTATTAAAGTCCTTTTAGTAGAAGTTTTAAAAGTTTTTGATTTAGATTAAAAATCCTTTTAAGGTTCTAAAGGTCCCGTCAAAAATAATAAGTGCGTTAAGTTTAAGCTTCTATCGTCCTCCGGTAAAAAGGGTAATAATAATATTAACAGTACCTTAAAACGTATTTATTTATTCGGTGAGTTCTAAAGTCCTTTTACGTTTAGCGTCGAGTCTTTCGAACGTAGTGTTAAATAATCTTTATATATAGGCGATGTTATTATCCGTTTTAGCTTATACTTCCATTAATTCTTTATTACGTTAGGTAGCTTAGTTAACGACTTTATATATTTAAGCATAAGCTGCTTTATTAAGGACCGCGTCCTTATTAAAGTTATATTTAATATTAAGTATTTCTACGTCTCTTTCGGCTTAAGTAAGTTCGGCATTTAGAGCCTAAGGCTGTTTACCTTTATTAAAAGAAGATTTAGTAGATATTATTTATATTATTTAATAAGTTTTTATAAAGTCGACTTACTAAATAAGAGTAATTAAAATATTATAGCTAGCTAGTCGTAGTAAGGTTTATATTAATAAAAGTCGGGGCTATAATACTTATAATAATAATCGTCGTTAGAATAGCTTTAAAGAAATTATTATTTATAAGTCGTAAAGTAAAAAAGCTTTGGTAATTAATCGTAGTTTTATTAATAAAATTCTTAATAAAAATAGTTAAAAGCGATCGTTAGATTTAGTATAAAAAATTAATTATTAAAGAAGCTATAGAAGTCTATCCTTAAGCCTAGCTCGGGCTATTTTATATATAAATCCTAATTATAAATATATTTTTTATAATATTTTATTTATTATTATCTAACGGTTTACCGAAAAGTCGTCTGTCCTATATTTCTACGATTATCCGTCTTATTTATTTATAAGTATCCGTTCTTTATTTTATTATACGATCGTAGTTACGTAACTTATTTATAGTTCTTCCGTCCTAAGGGGAGCCGTCTGTGTTTTTATTATTATATATATAGTGTAGTAGCCGCCGTAGGTCTTGTGGGGCAGTGCCCTGGTCTGGCAATACGTGTTAGGTCGTAACATTAATATACGGACCTTAAATATTAAAAAAACGTTATTATTAACATATTAAAAAACTAAACGAGGCTTATTATATAATAAACGTTTATATTCTTTAATATTTAATTACAAAAATAGTCCTTATTATTTTATAATAGCGATTATATAAATAATTTAAAATAATAATAAAAGATAATATACTCTACTTAAAATAAAACTTTCCTATATTTAAAAAAAATACTAAGTTAAATAATTTAAATAAAAAAACTACCGATAATATATTTATAGAATTTAATACCGAGGGACTAGACTATAACCCCTTTTTAAATAATATTAATATATCGAACTATAAATAGCTAATAAATTAATAATCGCCTTATGACTCGGACGAGCCTCGTAACGTTGTTTAACGACGTATTTAATTAAAAATCGATTATAAGATGTTACCCGATATTAATAATTTTATTATTAAAGAAGAAACCAATTTAGATAAATAACTAAAATAATAAAAATCTTTAAGCTTTTAAAAAAAATTAAATTAGTTTATTAAGGATTTAAAAAACTACTTATATAACCGATATATTTTAAATATATAATTTAATATTAAAATATTTAAAAATTATAAATTAATTTTTAGGGGGAGAGAACCTATTAATAAAGAAATAAATAATATTTATAATATTATTAACGTATTATATTCCCTTATTAAAAGATAAAAGCGTCTTAATTTAATAGTTAATTACGAACGGCTTATAAAAAAAAACGGGTACTAGCCTTTAAAATATTAAAAAACTAAGCATATTAATTATAAAAGAATAATAAAAAGTAATTAAAATAAATAAATTTTTATATTTTATAATATTCCTTAATAAGAAATATTTATAACTTAAATTTTAAATAAATAGATATAATATAAACGTTATTATTAATAGTAGCGCTTAAAGAATTTTTATTTTATTAAAAACGGTAAATAAATATAAACTATTATAAGTATAGACAACGAACTTATATATTTTACGAACGGTAGAAAAAGAATAAGTTAATTATAATAATAAATATATTAATTAAGAGACTATATACTTTACGATATATATTAATAATTAACTAAAATAATTAAAATACAATATTATAAAGATTAAAAATACCGACGTTATTTTAAGAATCTTATAATTACGAAAATATAATTTATAGATAAATTAGAGAACCGGCTAATTTTATTAAATAAATTTAATTATTAAACGACTTAAAAAAAAGGGTTTAAATAAATCTTATATAATATTTAATAAACGAAAATAAATTAAATATATTGTTTTTATTAAAACAATAGAATTTATTAAAATATTCGTACTTAGTATAAACGATTAAAAATCGGACCTATTTTAAACTATACCTAAAGAGTATTAAATTTATATAAAACTATTCGTTTTAAAAAAAGAAATAGGATTATTAAAACATAATAGTTAAAATATAAAAATCGAATTAAAAAAAGGGATATAGTTTAAGTTTTATTTATTATATTTTATAAATTAATTTAAATATAATAAATTTAATAAATATATCGATAATAAATTTAAAAAAGATTATATAAAACTATTATCCTCTCTAATAAGAGTATTAATCTTTTTTATATTTAAAAAAAGTAAAAAAAAGCTTAAACTTATAATTAATTATAAAGGATTTAATAAAATTATTAAAAAGAATTATTATTTATTACCTTTTATTATAAAACTTAAGGAAATATTATATAGAGCTTAATAATTTATTATAATAGATCTTAAGGGAGTATTTAACTAAATTAAAATTAAAAAAAAAATAAATAAAAAACGGTATTTTAAATATATAAAAGATTTTATAAATACTTAGTTATACTTTTTGGACTTATTAATATACCTATTATATTTTAAATAATAATTAATTATATATTTAAAGAATACGTCGATATTTTCGTAATCGTTTATTTTAATAATATCCTTATTTTCTTTTTTAATTTTAAAACGTATAAAAAACACGTTTATATAATATTTTAAAAATTTTAAAATATAAAGCTTTTTATTAAGCTTAATAAATACGAATTTTATATATAAAAAGTAGATTTTTTTAGTTATATAATTATATTAAAATAAATTTATATATAAATATTTAAAATAGCGATAATTAAGGACTAGCCTATATTTATTAATATTAAAAATATATAATTATTTTTAAAATTTATTAACTTTTATTAACGATTTTTTAAAGATTACGCTAATATTATTAGACCTTTTAATAACTTAATAAGGAAAAATATAACCTTTATTTAAAATAAAAAATATAAAGAAGCCTTTAATAAAATTAAAAACTTAATTACTTTAGAATTAATAATTATAATTCCAGACTTAAAGAAACCGTTTAAAGTCGAGACCGACGCTTTAGACTTCGCTATAAAAACTATTTTAAAATAACGAAATTAATAAAGAATATTTTACTTTTATATATTCTATTCTAAAGCGTTTTATAAAACTAAATTAAATTAATAAATTTATAATAAAGAATTAATAATTATAATCGAAGCTTTTAAAAAATAAAGATTATAGCTTTTAAAAACTAAATACGAAGTTATTATTTATATAGATTATAAAAACTTTACGAACTTTACGATAAATAAAAATCTAAATAAATAATAAATTAAATAAAACGAATTCTTATTAAAATTTAATTTTTAAATTATTTATTAAAAAGGTTTAGAGAACGGTAAAATAAACGCTTTTAATAAACGATTTAATTATAAAATTACGGTCTTTAAAAAAATATAAGTAATTTTTAAATATAACGATAATAGTAATTTTATATTTATTATAAAATTTTTTATAATAGCTAAAAGAGTTAATATTAGCCTGTTTAGAAAAATAACTTTTAAGCTTATTATAAAAGTTTATAATGCTCGAGTATATAGTCACTAAGGTATTATAAAAATATAAAAACGAATTTACTAATATTATAATAAAACTATTATAAAAATAGAAGTCGTTAAGGCTATTAAAAACTATAATATTTATAAAAAAAGTAAAAATAGCCCTTATAAACTTTATAAAGAGCTATAATTATTATTAGTATCGCTAAAGGTATAATATTTAATCTCTTAGAACTTTATTATTAAATTATTAAAGTCTAAAAAGCTATTAATAAATATATAATACGATAGTATTTTAGTTATTATCGACCGACTTATTAAGTTTATTTATTTTATATTATATAAAAAAGTAAGTAATATTAAGGAATTAGTATATATTTTTTTTAAAATAATTATTATTAACTACGGCTTATTTAAAGAAGTAATATTTAATAAAAATAAGCTATTTATTATTAAGTTTTAAAGATCTTTAATTTTATAGCTCGGTATAGATTATAAATTATTAACTTCTTTTTATTTATAAACCGATAGATAAACGGAAAAAATTAATTAGATTTTCGAGACCTACCTTTACTATTATATAAATTACGACTAAAATAATTAAATAATATTACTATTAATAGCCTAGTTTATATATAATAGCGTAGTTAACGAAAGTATAAAAGAATCCCCTTTTTATTTTAATTACGGATTTTAATTAATTATATATAGAGAAGTACGCTAAGGATTATAAGTTATAAAAACCGTAATAAACGTAAATAAACTTAAAAAGATTTAAAAAGAAGCCTTTTTAGATTTTAAGTTTATGCGGTAGCGTATAAAAAAATATATTAATAGATTAAAGATTAGTAAATTAATTTTAAAAAAGGGAGATAGCGTATATTTCTTTTATTATAATATTAAAATAAAATAATTAAGTAATAAATTAAATTATAAAAAACTTAGACCCTTCGAAATTATTAAAAAAGTTTTATTAGTTAATTTTAAATTAAAACTCTTAGATACGATACGATATTATTTAACTTTTTATATTTTATTTTTAAAATTAATATTTAAAAGTTTATATATTAAAAATCGTATTATTATCGAATTTAATAAATTAAAATATAAAATTAAACGAGTTATCGATTACCGAATTAAGGAAAAATATAAAAAATACTTTATTAAATAAAAAAATTATAAATACGAAAATAATATATAAGAATTTATTACGAACTTTTAAAACTCTTAATAGCTTTTTGAAGAGTATTAAAATTAAATTTAAATTTAAAACTTTTAATTATTACGGCGTCTTAATTAATAACGCTAAAAATATTATTAATTTACGCCTCCCGGGTTATTAAAGAAATACTTTTAATATCTTTAAGAAATTCTTTTAATACGATACGACTTTTTTTAAATACTATTCGTTTTTAAAAATAAAAGCGTTTTAATTTAAATAACGACTTATTTAATTTAATTTAAACTTTTTAATAAGCCTTAGCTTTTTTTTATAGTTTTATAGCTCTTTTTTAAAACCGTAACTTTTTTATTTATTTTTTATAATTAAAATAATCGGACTTTATTATTAAACGATTTACTATATTTATTAATTAAGACCTATAAGAAATAGTCCTTAAAAAACTTATAAATATAGATAATATTAATAAAAGTATCGTATAAAATACCTAAATAATAATATATTCCGTAAATATTAGAATTAAAAAAAACTAAATAACGAATACCCCGAAAATAATAATTTAAATTTAATATTATTTTTATATTTTTATTAAAAAAATAAATAATATATAATAAACGGCGACGAGATATAATTATTTACGATTTTAATTTTTTAATTTAATTTAATATAGCGTTAATATATTTTAATAAAAATATTTAATAATTCTTTAATTTAAGAATGAATAACTTATTTATAAGCCTAAGGACTAGATTTTTAAAAAGAGGAGTTAATATTACGATTTAATATGTATTATTAAACTAAGGCCTTATTTTATAAGACCTACGGCGGCTACTATATTATATATATAATAATAAGAATTTAAACGGCCTCCCTTAGGACGGAAGAATTATAGATAAGTTATATAATTATAATTATATAATAAAATAAAAAACGGACGCTTATAAATAAATAAAACGGGCGATTATAGAAATATAAAACGGACGACCGCTTAATAAACGATCGGATAATAATAAATAAGATATTATAAAAAATATATTTACAATTAAAATTTATATATAAAATAGCTTAAGCTAGGCTTAAGGATAGACTTTTATAGCTTTTTTAATAATTAATTTCGTATTAAATCTTACGATTATTTTTAACTATTTTTATTAAGAATTTATTTAATAAAATTATAATTAATTACCGAAGCCTTATTTATTTTACGATTTATAAATAATAGCTTTATTAAAAGCTATTTTTATAACGATTATTATTTATAAATATCGTAGCCCTGACTTTTATTAATACAAACCTTATTACGACTAACTAGCCGTAATATACCCTTAACGACAGATTATATTTTCCTATATAAAATCTACTTTTATATATATATATAACTATTAACTTTAATAATAATAAAAATATATAAAAATTATTTTTAATATTTTAGTTTTTTAAATACCTATAATATTAAAATTTAAAAATAAAATAATTACTAATTATTTAATAAAATATTATTTAAAATTCACATATTAAATTTTTTTTAATAATTACTAATAAAATATAGTTTTTTAAGATTTCATAATTTTATTATATTTATTTTAACTTTAAAACTGATTTTTCTATTTTATTATATTTATAATTTATTTATATATATAATATTTTATTAGTTTAATTAAAGAATATTAGATTTTATTGAAAAAAGGTAATATAACTTATAAATAAAAAAGTGATTAAATTATAATAAGATTAATTAAAATTTATATTATATTAGATATTTTTTATAGATTTTTAATATAAAACCCTAAAGTTTTAAATAAAATATTAAAATTGTTAAGATTTATATAGAAATTCCTTTACGTTCTTAACAATTTATATATTATAATATATTATTAAATAAAGAATTAAAAATAATAACTTAAACTTTTTATATATAAATTCATAAGCTATTATTAAATTGTAATAATTTTTATTAATTTTTATTTTTAATTAAATACTGAGTATTAATAGGTAAAATATCGTGAATTTGTATGGGAAACTGTGATCCGTCGTTAGGGGTGATCCGTCGTAGGGGGGTAGGTCTTAGAGCTTCGGCTCACATTCCTAACAATGCGGCCCCACTACAGGTCCGGGGGACACCTGGGGTCTCACCGAGGTGTGGCTGGCATCGGGATAACTTCGGAATCAGGTCCTCAGGGTGCCTCTCACCACCCAGAGTACATCTCTGCCCAACTTACATGATTTCGAGGTTGATAAGAGGTGCAGACAGTAACTTATGGTTTGACTTTCAGCAATTTCGGGCTAGTTCTGCGGTCTGAAGTCATGGCATATGTACTTCAATTGAAAAATGAACATTTCCAGGCTGAATTTGTTTGTCTATTGTGCGATTTTCCCGGCCCGCTAACTTCTCTGTACCGGTAATTGAAGTCTCTATACCGACTTTTCTCATCATCTGAAGTGTGACTCGGTCTCGATCGCATGCTTTCCTGAAAAAGTCACTCTTGTTCCACACATCCACCGGGTCTCCATACGCCTGAATTCTGCCCTGGTCAAGGACAAGCACGCGATCGAACAACACAGCAATCTCCATGCGATGCATAACGGCCACCATTGTGTTTCCCCTCAATGCCCTTTTTACCATCTTCGTGACCTCAATATCCATTTGGACGCTCAAACCCCAAGTGATCCATCCAGTACGCATACCCGCGGTTTCTGGAGGGTGATGGACGCCAAGGCAAGCAGTTGTGCTCTCCCAGTCCCTGGGGCCACCTGCTCGTCAGCGAGTTCGTCAAGCACGAGAGGCGCCTGATTATGTAGCCCAGCCAACCTGTCCAAATCCGAGAGTACACGAAAGATCTCGTCACGAGAATGATTACCTTGAGGATTAGTCACTTCGCGGACAGTGCTTTTGGGGAACGACGCGGCGTCGTGAGGGACTGCTACACGATGGGATCGGAGGACATGTAGCGGAACGTCGACCATCGGTACGCCATCCAAGGTGACAGTACCCATAGTGGGATCAAGCAGACGGAGGAGAAAAGAGACGAGCGTCGATTTGCCTCCGCCTGTGGGGTCCACGACCGCCACATGCGTACCGCCTGGAATGGTGAACGGCATTTGTTGCAAAGCTGTGGGTGTATCCTGGCCGCCGCGCTCTTGACGGTGAGAAACACTCCCATTTCGAAGCACTGTCTCCCCAGCATTCGGCCACGATTGATCCAGAGGAAAGGGGTACCTTGAGGCACCCTCCATCTCGCACTCACGAGGGAGACTAGTGACATTCGATGTGAGGCGATCAAATGCGACCATTGACTGAAGGGCGCTCGTAGGGAACCTCTCGCCTTGTCACAGGAATGCCGGCAGTACCAAGGCCTGACTCATTATCAGGCCAATGTTGGAAGGCAATAGCCAAGCAGAAGACGCTACCACGACCGACCGCGTGAGCCCGATGGGACTGGCCACAATAGCGTCAAGTCTCACTTCAAGCCAGCGTAGGTTGGCGGCAGCAAGTAGACAGGTGTTAACCTTGGCCGCCGGCACTGATCACCGTGAGATCCTGACGGGGTATTCGTTCGACATCGCTCAGGAGGGCCGCAGCGCCAAGGACTTTCCAACATCTGACCTCATCAAACTTCTGATTGAAGATGAGGTTGCTGCGGATGGTCCCTTTACTCAACCACGGTGACTGGCTGGCCCAGGCCATCTTTGGCCCGATGCCTTGTTCCAAACTGCTTGTCTCTAGGCACATTTGGCCTGCGACAGCATATAGCAGAGACATTTTCCTAACCCAGGTGTGCCACAGACAGCCACAACATTACCCTTTATAAACTGAACCTGGGTATCAAAGGCCAGTACGAAATCTTCATCTTCGGATGTGACTGGCCAACAGACAACCGTGTCCTGGGCTATATCAACTACCCAGTCGGGAGAATTTGCCATCGCCTCACCTGGCTCTTCCGTCTGCAACCATTGTTCAACAAGAACAGAGCGGATCACGAAAACGCCTTTTCCGGGTCAGCTAGACCCTCGTGGAGCATGTTGCAGAGGACGGGACACGTCATCGAGGCCAGTGTCGGCAAGAGAGAGCGCGCGGCTTCAAGCACGGCAGACAGAGCTGCCAGAATTGTGGAGTTGGCAAAGTCACGTTTGGGGGACACGCTTGCCGTACTTGTCCGCAGGAATGTTCTCAGATCTGACCTTGTTAATGACACTCTTAATTGCGTCCCAATCACGGCACATGTGCATTTTGTGGCGACCGACCAACTTTGGTACAAAATTATCGTGGCCCGGGCAGTGGATGAACTCAATTCGTTCCATGTTCATGTTTCCAGCATACGTAGTAGCCTGAAGACAACTCGTCAGCATCGAGGTTCCTATTCGTATCTCGTTCGGGCTGTTCTGAGGTAATTCACAGTCTTGCCTTACGAAGACTTATCAAGAAATGCTCAAGAGATGGCGCGTGCAGCCACCGTCCAAGTCCAATGCCAGCCTCATGTAAGTGGTGCGGAAGCAGACTTGGTCACAGGCTAGTTAATCACGTTTTTCAACCAAGATTCTCCAGATAAAGAAGGATTCGATCGATGAAACGGTGATCATGGAACGTGGTGGAAGGAGCCACGACCGGGGAGGCTAATAGTCCGGTAAACGGAAGCATGGCAGGAATTGGCTGGCCACGTGTGAGGCAACACCTTGTTGAGGGGGATCACTTTGAAATGATGGTTCCTATAGTGAATGGGTACTAAGCACTGGTCATTACCAAGGCGATAAAATGGTTGTGTGATCATAAAGTAGGATATGGACAGAGAGGACGCATACCTATTCAGCTCGACCATAATGGGGTCTATAAACGGTGGTTTGCATTCATCTCAGGGACGAGCTGTGTTTTCATTTTTAGTTCCCTTGAGAAACAATTATGTTCCGTACTGTTGTTTCCGGTTCCTTTTTCGCAAGAGGCACGGGGCTTCAATTTGAATAGCTTCTACCGCGAATGTGTGTGTGTAAGACAGACAGACAGACAGACAGAAAGAGAGAGAGAGCAGAGGACTAGAGGAGCAGGGGTGTGGGTTATCTTCCACTTGCTATAATGGAAAAAATCCCCGGAAGCCCCTATACATGAACGCTGGTTCACGTATAAAGACTTACAGGTGAAAAGCAAAACCTCAGTTGAAATGGAGGTCCATTAAGGTATCAAAGGATCAAAGAATGAAAAACAGGAGTCAATACTCGGAAGACTCAAATTCGTCGAAAATGGAATTGCTGGAAAGACCTCGTCTTATCGACTCTGTCATACAAAGGCGAGAACACGCCCTATGCGGCTGCTGTTGCTCAGGCTGCCGCGGACGGCAACGGAATGTAAGTCTTCCGTCTAGCATGTTCATCCCATATCCATTCGCGCTCAACTTCCCAACTCTATTCATGCGGCCCTACTGAACTTCAAAACCCGCAGCACTGAACAGCGCGCTCTTGAGCAGCTCGACTTCAAAGTCTTTTTTCCTTCCAGTCCATGTGGCCCAACTGAAGAGAGACGATCCCCGTTCTGGACGGAAACCATCGAAGCAAAACACTACGGCCGCTGCCAGAAAGGAGGATCGTCTTTCCGGGGCCCAAGAACGTCTGGGTCCCGCTGTGCGAGTTTCTGGGCTTGCCGGTGCCGGAAAAGCCCTACCCGTGGACGAACTCGGGAGCAGACTTTTTTGAAAAGCGAGGCCAGCGAGCGGGCGAAAAGTTGTTGCTGCGCAAGCTGGCTGAGAGAGTGGCGGTCGAGGCAGCAGTTGGGCTGGATGTATATTGGTTCCTGCAACGCTCATAGATCCAAACGAATAGATGACGATTGCTTTCCCCTTCTCAATCGCCCCAATTATCCGACCTTTTCGATTCGTATTTTCTCGCCTCATAATTTACTCTCAACATCCGATCCAGGCTCCCGTCTTGGCCCCCTTTATGACACGCCGTAGACTTGCGACTGGATGACCTCGGGGCTTTCGATATCCCGAGGATACTTTCACTCAGTTTCTTTGCAGACAATATGATTCAATCCCTTTGAATGGTGAAACAGTCGTACCTACTCAATGAGCCATGTGGTAGTGTGTCATTCGCGACAAGATTACGTCCATCATGGTCATCTACATCCGCGGCATGGCTATTTCGATTCCGAGGTAAACATCTGGCCGAAGTCTCGGGCCTCCGAAATAGCATTACAATTGCAGCTGGCTCTTCAGATCCCGTCGGCATATCAGACGAAACCAAAGAAGCGGTACAACATGCATCACCGCCAATCAGTCGCGAGAACAACCAACTTGTACGACTCAGTGGCGACTATTTCCCCTTCGGCTCCATTCGGCCGAAGCTAACCTCCTTGTCTGTGATCATCAGCCCGCCTATGCCCATGCCCGGTTGGGCTATGGCTCTCATTCGGCTATACTATCACAACTATTGGTCGCCTTGGCACTGCTTCCCTAGTTCCAGGGTGGTTTGCCGGCTCAGGTCTCGAGGTGGGCACATTACTGAGATTCTACGTTTTGCCACCTGTTAAACCTGACACCAGGCTTACAAGTTATGGCCGCGAAGGAGACGATAGGTATCGTCTCCTACTCCGATGTAGGAGATGGCTCGCGACAAGTCTCAAAGTTACACAAACTTAGTTCCCGTCTGCCTAGGCACAACTATGGCATACGAAAAGAAAGACGAGAATGTACTAGAGACAGATGAGACAACAAAGCTATACCGGACTTGTTCGCTCGTGGCGCACAGAAGCGATGCAAGAAGGGAAAGAGCATGAGGATGAGATTCTTCCATGGGGCGATTTTGGAAATTACCATGCACTGCCGGCGTTCCGGTGCATTTTGACAACCGGAAAGTGGGAGGGACCATACATAGTTTGAGCTGGAGAGTGAATCCATAAAAGGTAGTTTCTGCTCCGCCGTCTGGTCGATCCGATCCTCCTGCGTCTTTACATCCCGTGAACTAGACTGAATCATCATGCGAATACATTGAAAGCGCGCATGCGCATAGCGGGAAAAAGTCGTTGGTTGTCTCATTCGCAGTGAGACAGTGTCGGGTTGTTCGGGGAAAAGGGACATTTTCTATGCTTTTCCGTCTTCTCGATTTGCAAGATCTGCAGGAGGCATTTGCAATGAGATCCTAATTTAGAGCCTGGTTGGACGGACTTAGACAATGTCTTTGTTTTCATTTGCCATCTTGGTCTTCCGCTATCTCTCTCTATCTCTCTCTCCTCAATGTGTGGGGGCCAAGAACCAAAAGGACCTTTCGGTAACTGTGGTCCCGTTGGTTTTCTTACTCACCGAGATGAGATGTTTGCCTGCAGTGAGCGACGCCACCACGGGTAAGGACCGAGGATCAGATACGGGACTCTGGAAGGAGGCCTACGAGAAAACATCGTGAGTGAGGGGGGTTGCCTCGAAACGGCCCCGGGGAGGGAAGAGGGCAGGGAGGAAACTTTGGATAGGGCGGCAGGGCAATCACGCGGTATGAATGATATGTGCGTGGTGATGTCCATCTGTCATCCAGGCCCTCCAGATAGAAGAGCGTTAAAGAAGACATGCGGGGTGATCATGCCGGAAAGATGCGCCCTGCGATGTAACAAGAAGAGAAGAGGAGTCAACAACATGCAGGTTTCCCGTAGCGGACTGAAACGACACCGTGTCGACGGACGTCTCTCACGATAATTCTCGTTGGTTACGTGGCTGCCCCTCGGCATTCGAGTCTTGGACGAGCCGGCACAGAGAGTACAGAGAGGTCAGATGACACTTTTTCGCGATCTTGTCGAGTGCTGCTGGTCGAGGGGAAATGATGGGTGACACTAACGGGGGAAATCGGCCGATGATAAGAACGGATGAGTCGAAAACACCGGACCCGAAAGAGAGGCGTCGCGGTTATGCTGTAGTTTCTCTATGTTTGTGTTTCTCGATGATCGCTGTCGACATGTAGAGGTGTCCGTTCCAAGTACTTTTGCGCAGTGTGCAGCGCTGCTTCTGATGGCGAGTGTCTCGACGACGACTTCATGCTTGTTCACCATGCAGCGATTGGAGCACCATGCGTGAGGGTGAAGCACCCCAAAGCCAGAGTGATTCGATTGTGACAACCCATCATCGTGAGTCTAGGCCCGATGTTGCGTGTCGGCCTATAGCATGCGCAGCACACCGTCCTGAAGAATTCGTGTTACACAGACTTAAGCTCGGGTATGAAGGAAGGAAGCGAGAGCGGAATGTTGCGTGTGATGCGTGCCTGGCATGTGGTGCCCGCCCTTGATTTTGGCAAGCGTGGGCCATGCCGGAGGTGTCGCTTGACGATGCCGCAAGACAAGTGGCAAGAGAAGGTAGAAGCAGATGCGGTGATTTGGAAGGACCCGCGAAGAACCTGAGTCTTTCTTTGGTGTGACAATGAAGCCGTCATTTGGTCGCACTTTCAGGGGCGAGAAGAGAAGACTTGGGAAGCACAGGGAGAGAAGATGGCATTTCCTCAAACGCATCGTAGCCCGCGTGGCGTGGACAGTCTCATCCATCACCGCCTTATTCTCCTCCCCCTTTTCGAACCTCTGATGGAACCTTTTGCACGATACTTGGTGCCGGTGTAAGTCTATGTGGGAGGATCGGCATGAGTGATGCGGGTAGCTGCAGCGTCGGTCGAGGTCGCATGGTGAGTTTGCTGGAACAGCTGGCAGCCGCCGAGGACCCCGGGTCAGAATCCGAGGCAGGTGAAGCCGAATAGAGAAAGAGACGCGCCCATTGTTCTCGAGGAACAATGATTCGGGCATTATCTCAAAATGACGATTTGGAGATCTTACCTAGCTGGACAGCAGAGAGGGTAGAGATCGTTGGTTGGAAGCAAACCCAGCCAAACGTTTTGACTTGTTGCGCCACGCCGCCGAGGAGCACATAAGACGGTTCATACCACAGCATGGCGAGGGTGATATCTGCAAGAATAAGCCTTGTGTCTCTGTGCGGCTGACGTCAATATCAGAACCAAACTTTTTTGCCGAGAGAAAGTCGCCCAAAGGACGGCTCGAAGAAAAGAGACGTCGGCCAACTTACCCAAATGGGACAAGCAGGAACAAGGCGACATATGAAGTATCACCCACCATTGTGTCCCTATTCGTTAGTTCGCGGTATGAAACGAGGCAACTTTGAAGGAACCAGCCGGGGGCGGATGGGTGGAATGGGTCCCAAGACTTGGCCAGCTGTCTTATCTGGTTATGTCTTCAACGGCGTTGGAACCATTTTTGCCCAGGCCCGGCTGCCGGTCGAAGGCGGTGAGGCAAAACGATATACGAGAAGGAGCTTATGTTCGAGGATATTCTTGAGTGCGATGGACACTAGGGATGTTGCTGTGCAGTTGGTCCTCCAGATGTCGCGATGGGGGGAAAAGTATAAAAGCGAGGCAACTCCCCCCGTCATCAGGATCTCCTTTCCTCTTTGTCTCTCAGCTTCCTTGGGACGCATCATCTTCTCTCACAATCTTCATTGAAATTCAACTGCCGGTCAAATTGCAAAAAAGACAGCTATAAAATATATCCATCAGCAACGTCATCAACTTCTGTGGAAACATGAACTCATCGTCCGCCCTGGAAGTTGAAGTCTGCGGCTGCATCGATGACGGATACTCTGGCAAATGGGACTTGAGAACTTGCACTCATTGTGGCGGAAATGAAAGGTGAGCAATTCCCTAGTCCAGGAGCATTCAGAACACACGTTGATGTGTGCTACGCAGAACTCCTTGCAAATTCTGTGAATCTCGAGGCGCAGTCAGAGTCCCTTGCCCTCATGGGGCTGCTGGCGAAGCCCAAGCCTTGAGCTCTCGGCCTCGGGCCGGAGGTCAGGCAAAAAAACCGGCAGCCAAGGGACCGACGGGACCGACGGGCTCTGATCAAGGTGTTGCCGGCGCCGGCTGCCACTAACCACAGCACCTGACGCCATCACCTCCTAGCTTCTTAAAGGGGATCCTGAAGGAATCAATATAAATCTTACTTTACCACTGGAAGTTATATGAAGTTAGAAGGCAGGGTGGTCGTAAAGGACCAAGCTAGTGGGTTGTCCGGCGGGTGAGCGCGGTTGAATTTCTTCGTAGGTTTGGCTCAGGTTTGGTAGGGCGTTGGGTTTTGGTAGACGGCTCATCCCAGTTCCACGACGTTGAACACCACGTTCGTCGGGAGTTGAGGGACAATTAGCATACCAGTGCTGTAAACGTCTGGAATCATTGTGTTTTAGATTGGATCGAGGGCTTGAAAGGAAGTACAATACATATATTGTTGCTGGATATTTCCGTGTCAGGTGCTGGACGTGTCTTTGACAGGTTAACCTCATCGAGTCTGCGTGTTGCCAAAGTTGGGGGCGATACAGACCAGACAGTTTGTTCCGAGGCGGGCCTGCGTTGGCAACAAGGGTTACCGAACTCTTTCCTGCCGGTGTGTTCCCTTCGCTTATCCAGAGGAACGGAACCAGTCAAGTACGTCGCTCGTGATGCAAGACGACAATGAACACAGAGGGTTCCCGCTCAACCCTACGAGGTAGCGTGGCATCAGCCGGTCGTGTACCGCCGGGGAGGCTATCCGGTCATTGCTACTGGATCGATATCGAAGGATTGTGATCACGTAGAGGGAGCGTCTTGACACGATATCATCCGGTCATCGGTAACAGAGGGTTAAGCGCCTTGGTTGGAAATCGCACCCTTCCCCTCCAGGAGCACTGAATATCTTTCTGCAGGTCGGACAGACTTGTTGCAGAATTTGAAGCCTTGTTTTGTATATCCGCGAAAGAAGCGAGCACGTGTAAGTACCTTGGGTACCAACGATGAGTTGCATAACAGCAATACTTGACCTGATACGAAGCAGACGCCTTCGGGGTAGACCCAGAATTAAGAAGGCTTGTTAGCAGCCGACTCTGGTGACCTTCCTCAGTCATGCCCCTTGACGGAGCTAAAATTTTGATGTGAAGCCTTCATGAATGAGTGAACAAATAAGATTTTTGATTAGTTTTGGTTTTGCTTTCCAGATTGCAAGCCAGCATTTTGTGTCCAAGTCCAGTCTTCATGGCCAGTTCCACGGGCTCACGCTATGAGTCTCACGAGCCCATGGGTAAGAGCACCCATAATGATCTTAGCTGTAGATTCTCAATCCTTTGGTCCTTTGAACATGTAATCTACTAGATACAACGGCTCACAGAAGACATTCATGTCCCCAGTTTGACTCTCAATAGATGTATTTACGACACATGGTCACTTGCTGAACCTGTACAGGTCGAGTATCAAGATGAGTTTTGTGAAGAGATCGGAATCACCAAGAAAAACATTTGGTTTCTCATTTTGCTCCCTAATAAGATGAGAAATACGCTCCACGATCTTCTCAAGTCCTTGAGCACCCACGAGCAAAGACGGCAACCGCTAACTAAACTTGTGGCACTTCGATCACCGCACACATATGCATGTGTTCAAATAGGCACATACTTGAATGAGCTATTCATGGTAACTGAAATAAATTAACCGGAAAAGCTGGACAGAGTTCCATGGTGAGGATTGGGGGCATATCGTCTATCTGCATATGTAGGTGGCAGGTACTCGATGATGCTTTTACTCTGTTCTCAACCTCACCGACCCCCCAATGTACCTTGGAGGAAAGAAGGAAAGACTGTTTGTATTGGTTACATATAATCATGCGACACACTCGTGCGGCTTGCCGTTTTTTTGAATGCACCGGCTTCCCAGTCGATCAGTGGCAATCGGTTTCTCCATTCCCAAGGTGGAATTGGTTGTTTTCACCTCATGAATGCAAATCAAATAGTTGATCAAGGAAGTAGATGGGAAGTTGAGGGCCATCATATTCCGGAGATGAGGCAAAGTGCAAGATGGGCTGGCATCCCGATATCATCTCAAGACGAACTTGTACGAGTTCAACGTTATATCAAAATGTAGAGAAGTCCAAGCTACGTGATCATACGGCGTACTTGAATAAAACAACGTCCATTACCTAAATAAAGCCTGCCACTGACTGAAATGATAACTGTGATAGGAAAGAGCCATGATAAAGAGAGAAAAGCGGATCGTTGGCGGCCTACGTATATCATAAACCTCCCTATAGAAAGACCTGTCCCGCCATTCCTGGTCAAGTTGTCTGCTTTCGGCCCTCGAAGCTGAAGCGGAGTGTGTCGAGTCATCAAATGTGAAATCATCCCATCCCACCACTTTCTTACCCCCCATTCCTGACCCCTGAAGCTCGCAATGACGTGACATATAGCCAGTCTTGAGTCGACTCAAAAGCTCGAGCCATTCGTGAACCACTTGCCCATAAAGAAATCAAACCAAGCCATATGAGAAAGTTTAAAGATCATCCACCTCCCAGTCATCAAAGAGCAGGGGCTGTTGCAGCAAGTGCTGTTACGAGGCCTGCCGCAGTCAAAACGCCACCGCCAAAGAAGTACCCAGCCTTGCTCAAGAAGCTGCGCAGGCGCTTCGGAGGAGGAAGTACTGTTCCTTGAATGGACTCTGTGGCAACTGGTACCGTGATAGATTGATTCGCATTTGTTTGCACACTGATCGCGGCGTTGTTCATGGCCGCCTCGACCGTTTCCTCATGCGGCGTAAGAGTTGAAATCTCATTTGCTTTGCGCTTCGGAGATGTCAGGTTTAGCGATGCTTTCTCAGGTTCGGTAGCGGCGGTCAGAGAGGCGTCTGCAGTCTGCGGTGTTAAAAATCCCAGCTTACTTTGCTGGAATTGATAAGCGCTTGTCATGTCGAGCTCAGGAGTATCCTTTGCATGTGCCGTGGTGAAATCTTGGGGGCTATTCAGGAACTTCTCTCCAGATGTAGACCAGACCGTTTCGGTGATATTGACCGATCTTGGGGTTTGTTTCGCCGGCTCCGCTGCGGTTGCTTGATTGCAAATGCTCTCGTGCGGCAATTCAGAAGTCGATGGCTCGCTAGAACACGCAGGCGTTTCGGGAACCTGGGTCCGAGGTTGGGCCGGACTTTCATCATGGTCTTGCTCGTGGCGGCGGTTGATTGCCTTGTTGTGCTCTCTCGCCGCGAAATATTCGGTCTTGCCACTGGCTTGTCCAAGGGCTTCAGCCGATGGCCCTTCATTCTGAGCCATCCCCAGGGATTGCGTTGCAGCGTCACCCTTCGTAGTAATCTTCAGGGCTTGTTCCCATGAAGAACGAGGCGCCGCCGCCCCTTCTCTTTGGAGGAGATAATCCGCCGGTGCAGACGCATGCAGTTGCTGAGCATTTATGTTGACCGAGGGAAGATTTTCCACATGAGAATCAAGAGGATTCAAGATTGATGGGAGTCTGAAGTCGTTCTGGCGTCCTTGTTCTTCCAGTTCCTCGTAAGGTATGATAGAAGGGAGGGATGGCATCTGCATAGGGAAGAACTGACGACCAGTATCAGGCGGGGGGTAGTAGTTCGTCTGGGGAGTACTGAGCACTAGTTGAGGTTGCGGGTACTGAGCTTCCCAGGCAGCTGCCATATCCCTGTCGGTTTGAGAGTCGTAGTTGTCATCGTTCATTTGGCTGTCTTCATGCTCGTCGTAGCTTGGAATTTCCAACTGCCCATGCTCGATCTCACTCTCGCTCTCGCTCTCGCTGTTGGAGGCGCTCTCATCCTCCGCATCCATATCATCTTCAACGTCACTGTGATCTTCCATTTCGGAATCACTGAGGCAGATATCATCGTCGTAAGTATCAGGCATTTGATCTTGACTCGAAGATTCTTCATCGGGATAGCTCGCGGACTCATCGTCGTAGGAGTCATCGTAAGAGTCATCCGATTCAGAATCCGAAGCGAAGACGAGAGGAAGCTTCGAGTCGATCCTATGACTGGAGGGCAGATCCTCGTCTTCTTCGTCTTCATCATGGGGAGCATCCAGCTCAAGCGTCACCTCCTGATCTTGCGTGTCAATGGGAGGGCGTTCGGAAAGTTCATTATTGTGATGTTTGATAGTCTCGTCGATAACAATAGGAGTTCCAGAGCGTGCACCTCCATTGACTTCGTGGACGGGAGAATCTGCGGTAAGGTCAATGGACGTAGGAGGCAGGACACTAGGAAAAGATCCGCCAAAGCCTACGGTCGACCTAGGCATCTCGATCTTGCGAATCTTCTCGACAGTGGCGCGGATGTCGTCCGAGGTGGACATATCCTCATCACTGCTTTCCGAGTCGGAGTCATAGGGCACGGAGAACGAAGGGCGACCGTTGAGTTGGCCAGAGAGTTTGGCTTTGGCCAAATGATCGAATTCCCAGTCCACCACGATAGTGCAAGGCGGAAAAAGGTCGTTTGATCGCTGAATATCGATGCCAAACTTGAGAACATCACCTGGTGTCAACTCTTTGGCACCGTGCTGAGGCAGCTTCAGAGAGTTGTGATAGGTTCCGTGAAGTGAGCCAACATCTTTGATAAAGAGTTTCTGGTCACCGGGTTAGCGGCTGGGGTTGTGATTGATACCTGAGATAAAATAGACAACGCACCTTGTGATACCAATCGACAGTGATTTTGGCATGTTCACGGCTCATTACAGGGCTGTCAAAATAGCAGTTGTCGCCCTTCGCCTCTAGGTAGCTGAAGCGTTTGCTAGTGCGGCCGATTTGCACGACGCTTGGGATCTTCTGCTCGAGTATGACCCGTCGTTCAGGGTATTGGAAATCGGGACTAGGATGCTGAACCGAAACAGTGACGAGCACTAAAAGATGAATTTGTTAGAGACTGAGCATGGAGATGGGAAAGAGAGGCAGGAGTGCTGAGCGTACCATCCTGTGCTTGGGGTTTCGCACCCGTCGCCATCTTGATTCCCGGCTGTATCGCGGACTGGTGAGAATTGCTGGAAAAGAAAAACGAAAGGGACGAGGCTCTCGGACTGACTGTCTAGTCAAGTCAGCGTGCGGGCGGAGGTTCTTCTCGATATCAGCTTCTGCCGTCTGAATACGACCGAGCTCACGGGAGGCGGTCGAGGTTGGGACGAGGGGTCTTGTAGGTGTCGAAGATGCGAATCTGTCTTCGGCGCCCAAGGTCTTGTGGTGGAAAGGGGGAAATCGGTTGAATGCGGCGTTGGCGAAGACTGTGCTTGTTCACCGCGGCTTGACTGATGGTTGAACAGAACGGGAGGCGGTAGGAAGGCAGCAAGGTATGGCCGGCGTGGTAAGTGCAATACAGTGTAAGTTGGATGTCGAGGTCGCCGAGATGGATAGTGTGGGGCAGGGATCCGGAGCTGGCACCGTGCTGATACTGTTCGGTATCAGGCAGTCGCGGCCGTGCAGGCAACGATAACGCCTTATCGCAGCTACCTTGGTGCGCGGAAGGGGTAGGTTGCAGGGGGATATTGGGCAGGTGCAGTGGAGAAAGGTACCTTAGTGGGTTGGTGGGGTTATCAGCAGCTGGTCGTGACGTCCGAACACTCCCGTCAATGTGCAGATAAGGTAAGGTAGCGGTACCTAGGTAAGGTAGGAAGGTCTAGTGCCGGAGCTGATAAGGACGTAAGTAAGGTAAGGTAATAGAGGGAGCAAAGCTGGTACCTAGGTTGAGAAGGTCGGCGTATAGTGAGACCGTGACTTGTAAGCTCGAGTTGTTCGAATGAAAGAAGGCGAAGACCTGAAGGAGCCGAACATGCCCGGGCAGCTTAACACCGAAAGTGCATTGCTTGCTTGCTTGCTTGCTCGCCTCGAATGGTCCGCCAAAGGTGCACACACAGTGCGTGTCTGAGATCAGGCTTGAGGCGTTTGGTTATGACGGGATTAGGAAAGAGGGGCACACCTTAAGACCTCACCATGTGGCACCTGACATCAGGAAAGTGAATGGGAGGCCAGCGGGGTTGGCAGCTACCCTGCTCGTGCTTGCCTACCTTACTAAGCTAAAGAAAGTTCGAGCTGTCTGAAATGAAGAGGAGTGGAAAGAAATCAAAGTCGAAGAAGTTGTATTTCACCTTTACGTTCTTCAAGGCGGAAGAAACCCAAAGTGTCACAGTAGGACCGTCACCACAGGTGGTATCGAGGTGAGAGGCCGGATGGACCGTTCCTCAATGTCACTGAAGGTTGTAAAATGGCGACTCCATGTTGAGGAAGGCCCACTCTGTTAAGGTGTTCAAGCCTGTGACTTCGACGGTAAATGGCGTCCGGTCCTGCCTGCTTCCTCAACGACCCTGACACTTGGCTCGTAGAGGCAACCTAAGATTGCCCAAAGAAACGGGGGTATGTATATTGAGAAGTCTGGCGGGCCAGCTGCCACAGTCCACGCTACCAGGCCTAATTTGCGCCAGTGCGCACTCCTTCCTTATGCTTTGCTGAAATCCCTCTCTCCACAGTTCCCGGCGATGCATCCTTGTATCTCTTTTTGGCCTCGCAAAGCACCTGACAGACCGAGACCTAAAGTTGCCTTGCGGGTCTACACAGCATTCGTCTTTCCCTTTCTGTTGCCTGAGGCTTTAGCCATGTATTCCGAAATTCCGAATGCATGACAAGCTGTTTGTCCTGCCTTGTCGACCAAAAGTCTGACCGTAGGATCAGATTGGGCTGCGTCTGCTCATTTGTCACCGGGTGCCCCGAGTTGCCGCAAACTGTCACTGGCGCTGTTCATGCTCATCTCTAACAAAAACCACAGGGACGAGCTGAGGATGATGGGAACCCGGGGACGGACGATCACTAGCGCCGGTCAAGAATGTCTAGACCCAGAGAAGACTTTCAGGGTCAGATGATGCAGATACGCAGACTGTATTCACCTCGCCCGCGTCTGTTTCCCATTCATCAGTGCGGCCATAAGCTCGGGATCCTGAGTGGGACAATGTTTCCTGGTACCTCCTTACCTCAGGCAGAGCACATTTCTATCCCCATTCCCCCTCGGATGCGGTGCGGTTTGGCGAGCAGAAGTGAAGTAGTCCTCTAACGAGGATCACACCCAACCACCCAACCAAGGACGGGGGATGATCTGCCTACAGGGGTACCTCCCAGGGATGCGCGAGCGGACAGACCATGTCCACCTCGCCCCACAGGAGGACCTCATTTTGGAGTCCTTGACCTCGGGCGTGTGGAGTGACGAAAGTTGACTGAGATGAAATGGAGGGGCAAATGCGCCTGTTGCTGGATTTTGTTTGCCGGATGTTTTGCTGCTGGTGCTGCCGCTACCGTTCCTGCTCCTGCTTTGTCCCCGAGTTCAACCTTGCAGCAGCTGCGTGTCTCGCCCTACCCACGATTGAAAAGTCTCTTTCGTCATTCGTCATCCACCGGCTCGCTCTTTGGCATCCCTGTGCGACGCGCATCCTTGGTGAATCAAGGGTTCCCTCTGAAATGTGAATGCCACCCTCTTCTTCGATCGCTGCCACCCACCACCCATCCTCTTCCGACCCTCCACAACTTTTTTTTTTCTCCCACGGCTGCCCTAAATTAAATACCCAAAACGCCTCCTTACCTCCGAACAGACGGTCTAGTAATCTCACGAAGCCCGTCTTTACAGTTTCCGCGGGTTTGGGATATTTCCAAACCCTCTCAAATCCTCTCTATCTGCTGCGCCGCCGGGAGCCAATACTTCACACGATTCTCGGCATACCTACGTAATTTTTGCCTGCGACCTATATATAGAGACGCCGAATACCCATGGATTGTTGGAGAAATACGCAAAACACAACTAGAAGCAACACCATCTTCAAAGAAACGCCACCCCGCTACGAGGACAGAAGGTCCTAGTCAGGGATTCTCACAACTCAGTCAGCTCTTCATATACTGGTACTCACTCTTCTTGAGAAGCGCCACGCAACAAGTCTCAACACAACACTCGAAGACACAGTCTATCTTCCGCCGTTGCCACCATGCACGACTTACGATTGAAAGTCCTCCGCGAAAGCGGCAAGACCGTCTCCAAGAAGGCGAAATCGCGCCCCGAGTCCGCCCGCGCCTCGATGAGAAACTCACCCAACGTCTCGCCTGGCCACTCCCAGATCAACTCCCCAGCGCACTCGCACGCTGGGAGCCGCTATGCCTCAGAAGACGAAGGCAGCGACGACGAGTACGACGATGGCATGACCATGAGCACCCTATCAAACAACTCAGACACCGCGCTGGACGAGGCAACGGAGGCATCCTGGGCACAACTGCTCCAGGACCGTATCGTCGAGCTGCAAGACCGCAAGCGGACAAACACCAAGACACGCGAGACTACGCTCATGTCCTACCTGCACCTGGTCAAACACCACTACGGCGGCCGCCAAGTCAGCAACTCCCTGAGCGAGATCGTCACGGCGTTGATGAAGAATACCAGGTCCGGAGGCAGCTCCCTCGAGCGTCTTATGTCCCTGAAGTCACTATCAGCCACCCTTCTCACCACGCCTTCAGACGCCCTGTTCGATGACATTTATCCGCAGCTCGAGAAGACCCTCGAAGACGATGACGATAACGACGTCAAGGCGGCCGCTATCTGGGCCATGGCCATCACAACAATGTACGGCGGCGGTGGCGAAGACTCAGCAAGCGAGCTCCTCGAATATCTGGTAACCATTGTGGAAAGCGACGGAGAGGCCATTGGGGCAGCAGACAGTGGCGACGTCGTCACCTCTGCTCTCGAGGCGTGGGCTTTCGTCGCCAGCCAAGTGGACGACATCAGCGAGAACGTCTACTCGGCCATTGACGCGTTCGTGGAGCAACTCGAAAGTACGGACGTCGAGGTGCAAGCGAGCGCGGGCTTCAACATCGCCTTCATCTTCGAGGCGGCACGCGATCAAGAGGAGGAGACTGGCGAGCCGATGAACCTCCAGTACGATCCCAAGAAGCTCATCGCCCGCATGGCCGAGGCGTCCAAGCCCTCAGTGAAGCAAACAGCGCGCAGGGACAGAAGACACTTGAGGAAGCAGTTCGCCAGCATCGTCTCGTCCCTCGAACATGGAAAGGGGCCGGGATATTCGAGCGCGAGTCGTCCGGCGTTCAATCCGCACACTGGCGGCACCAGAGCTGATCCTGGCGCGGGTCGCAGGGGAGACGACGACGAGGAGAACCGCGCGTTCGGCTACCGCGAGAAGCTTCGGCTGGGTTCGTCGGTCGTCCTCATCGACTCGTGGTCTCTCATGGCGCGGGTTGAGGCGGCGAGGACCATCCTGGGAGGCGGATTGCCCACGCACTTCAATGACAACCCGACTGTCGCGGAACTGTTGGATAACGCCGAGACGGAAGAGGCAGCAGGGCAGCCGTACGCGGGGCGTCCCAACAGAAATGCAAAGAATATGAGGAGGTAGACGGTCGTTTGCGTCTGAGCAAAGATGCGGAAGTAGGGGAAATGGATGGATTGCTTCCGAGCAGAACGAAGGAGAGAAATGAATGCATTGAGTGCTTTTCCTTATCTCAGGTCACGATAGAGCATCACGGTCAAAAGAATACGAACGCATTGGTTACGAGGCATAACTTATGCGAACGAGGCAGAAGATACCACAGAGCGGAGGATCCTCGTAGCAAAATACACTTGGTCCAAATCTTTGGAATTCACGATTCATAACCAAGCAACCTTTTGAATGAGACCTGTAATTTTTTTCCCCCATAACCCACAATATATTTTGATTTTCTTAAAGGTGGTGACGCCTCCGGCGCACAACGGCTGCAGTAACCCGCCGCGGCGTCCACATGTAGCACAGCAGCCGATCTCTGTTGGCCTCGGATGTGGTGTCAGGTGGTTGGGTACGAGCGAGACGGAGGCAGAGAGAGAGGGGGGGGCACGGCAGGCGAAGATATCAATACCGAATCAAGAAGCTGAATTCATGAAGGGTGGTTGTGCCGGAGGTGGCATTCTTTTCAACGTGGACGGTGAGGCTGCGACAAACGGAATATGTCGTGCCATTTTGGGGCCGCCGCCGGAAGTGTAAGTCAGTCAAGGCAAGCCAAGATACATGTACGACTGGATTGCACTGGTGATGTTCCCGTCCACTTCACTTGCAGGACTGTTGCAGAGGCCAGAGATGGAGCAGTGATGCAGTGTGGTTTTGCAGTAGGTAGTCAAGTTCATCAAGAGACCCCCAAGAGATGCTGTGGTCGAAGCTTGCCGACCTTGACTTCATACCACACAGACGGGTGAGTGTTGGGGGGAAGAGACGGGTGGACCGGCATGAGCCGCCGACCCCAGACGGAGAGGAAGAGGTTTACCGAGTGTGGGACTCTGGCGCTTTTGCCACCTCGGGTATCCGTACTTACGTGGACAAATCGGGCTATTTTTGTTTGTTCGGGTGGTTTTAACTAGGCGAACCTGTCCCCGTTGCTTGGTGGAAGCAAGGAGGGCGGGAGCCGAGGTGGGCGGATTTGGTTTCGCTGAAGTCTCAGTGGCGATTATCCATATCATGTTTCGACTTTTGCTTCTCCCTCTCTTTTGCTCTTCCTCTTTTTCCTTTCCGTGTTGCGGAGATGAATCGGATAGCTGACAGATCGTGTTCCCAGCGTCCGTGTGTTGCTGGGGACCGCGGCTGTTAAATTTTTAAATTTTTTTTTTTTGGTGAGATGACGTACGAAAGTCGTTCGAAGTTGGAAGGTGCAAAAGCTCGAGCTTGAAGTGAAAAGGTCCAGCGCGAGCTTGGAGGTGAGCCCGGCGGCAAAGTCTCACCCGGTTCGCAAAGCGGCGCGCCGCCCGCGACAGACTGGACGGACGGGTAACCATGCGGGTTTCAGACGTCAACATCGAATTCATCAATACCTACCTAGGTGCTTTGGTGCTTCAACCGAATACACTTGTTCGTCAGGGAAGCCAAGTTCTAGGTGTCAAAAGGTTGTCACTCCGTCCGGCAAGGTTCCCCGTGTCAATTTTATTTCGCGGCGCCGACGACCCTTGTCTAGTGGATGATCGGTATCCTCCCGTCGCCCAGCCAAATAAAAAAAAAAGACGATCCACTACGGAGTCCTAGGAAACATCACTCTTGGAGGCGCCCGAGCCAACGCACGGAAGGTCCGCCTCTATTTTTTGAGCTGTGGGGGCCCGGTTTCCAGGGGATCCTGCCTGTTTGAGCAAAAGTGGGCGGCAGAGTGGGAAAAGCCCGTCCGATGGCGTCTATCCGTGCGAATAGATTCATTTCTAAATGATGGGAAGGGGATGGGGGAGTGGCTGGGAGAGAAATGCCTGTCATCTTGCCCACAAGGAAGGGATAGAGAAGGAGTGAAAGTTGGCTTACAGCTCTTTGTGACCAAGGAAGATTGTGTGATTATCTATCTATATCAGTCGAGGGGTTGGGGAATGACTGGGGGATGGGAGTGTTTCGGAGCGATGAACAAGGCTATGGGAAGGCCATCGAGATATCGAAGCAACCCTGGCAAGACATGAGCAGTTCTCAACCTTCAGACTGACACTCACTGCAAGCCAGAACAAACGTCTGCAGGAATACTGACAAAGACGAGAGCCAGAGTAAAACCGTTTCAGGCGCCCCAGGTCAAGGGCTCCAACGTTGAGCAAACGGCTGCGCGGGACGACAGACGGACGGCGGTGAGGAATCGGACCTCTGACAGGAGAGCATCCGATCGAGCTCAAACGACTAGATAGTAGACGTGACGGGGGGGCCAAAGATGTGTGGTGCCATCTATCCCGCTGAGTGGTTCCAGGCCCGGAACAAGAACTACCTTAATAAGGACTGCACATGAGATGAGGGCAGTGGTGACGGACAGACTGCTTACTACATACACCGTATGCGAGGTAGCGAGTATGGATACGGATAGGTAGGAGTGGCATGTAAGGCACACCTTGGGTTACGTCGAACACATGAGAAAGCGTGCTGCAGGTCTGCAGGCCCCCGATTTCCCACACGCCCCAGGCCTGCGGCGGCAATTGGCCCGTCACCCAATGCCTCCCAAGCTCTTTTCGGGAAGCGAGCGAGGGACAACTCATCAACCATCTCCACCCCGTCACGGCATCACGCTGGTGCAGTGATCAGTGGACCAATCTCGGTCGTCTTTTCAATCTGATGCCTTTTCCCGCAGTTCTCGACTTTCACATCAACGCCCAGAGGCCCGTGGGCGGATGTGGCAGTTGAGACGAGGGGGAGGGATTGGACAGAGGACTGCCTACCGTGCCAGGTATATGAGATTCCGGAGCGGGTTGCTCGTCGCACCGATTGTCTGGCGACCTTGGGTGCTGCGCTTGCCTCCAATAGATGGTGTTGGCTGTTGCTGCGGCTGCGGCTGCTGCTCCATCCCTTGTCGGCAGCCCAAAGACCCAAAACCCGGCCCAGCCCAGCCGCTCCCGCGCTCATGTTGCCGTCATCCTCAGAATTTAATTACTAGTGTACCTTGCCGTGCCGCACAGGACTGCGGCAACCCACTTGTACCCAGTAAACAATAAAAAAAGGGTGCAGTGCAGGTCAGCTTGGACGGAAAGGGCATCCCAGGCACATCCCAAGTCCAAACCAGAGCCCGACGAAGCGTTCCCCCTCTCGACCGCGCTTCCCTGTCCGTTTGGGCTGGCCTGTGTGCCTGTGTGCCTGCCTGTGTGTGTGTGCTTTCCAGGTTGTCTGCCTGCATCATCCAAGATTGTCGCCTGTCGCCTCTATCTGCTTACCCCCCCTTCCCCGGCTTGCCTCTTTCTTACCTGCCCTTACCTTGCCTTTCATCAGCCATTATCGTCCCGCCGTTTGCTGTACCTTACCTACTCGACGTCGCTTCCAATATTTGTTCTTTCGCTGCACTCGATATCACTCGTCCCTTGCCTCAAACCAACACCCTTTGTTTCGTTCCGTTTCGCCGGGAATTGTCTCCTTGCCACGACAAGGCGTTGGTTGGACTTGGTGAAAGGCGTACAACGGCGGTAGAAATAAAGGCCGCCAAAGACAAGTCGGTCGACCCCCTGGAGCTTACCTGACTCTCTTGTTCAGCTTCCAAGAAAGATCCGCGGACTGGGGCAAAAACATCGCCGGGGAAGAAAACAACACCCAAGCAACGGCCTGCTCCCCCAGCCACCCCAGTTTGCAAACCTCACCCCTCTCACCACTTGGCTTTCCCTCCTTGCGCCATCGAAACCTGAGCTCGCTTTCTCACGCGGCTTTTTTCTCGCCTTGAACCCAAAATTTCCAACTAACATCGTTGCTTTTTTGCCATTTGCGCGCTGTGTGTGTGTGGCATAAGCGGCCACGGGTTTCTCGGTTTTTTCCTTCCTTCTTTGGGACCTTCCGTTCGCTGCCTTTCGCAAACATCGCCGAACCGCAACGGCTCTCTGTCTCAGTCTCGCAGCCAGGTGGGAGCTCGCTCAGCTTGTCGCTTGTCGTCCTACCCGCCCAGTTTTTTTTCTCTCCCGCAGCAACGAACAGCTCCTCATGTCTTGAAGGCGACTGCACCCACAACAAATCCTTGCCCACCTTGGACGGCAGCCAGCAATTCCACCCACACACACCTCTCTCCTCACCTCTTCTCCTCCTTCTTTCCTCGATCGAGGGAAAGGACGAGATTCAAAAACAGAGGTGTGAGTCGCTAATCGAGGCACTCGCCATTCGCGCCCGCGCATCCACAGCCTCTTCGTCGCCGAGGCCTTCGAGCATCGCACCACAATGGGTGTTGACTCGAACAAGCCTCCTCCACTCCCTGCCCCGACCGAGACCGACTCCATCACCCCCACCGAGCTGGCGACCAATGTGTCCAGGCCAAACGACGAAGCTTCCCATTACTCTCTGCCCGACGACGGCACTCCCGTCACCATCAAGACCCGCGGTCACAGTGCCAACCGTTCCCAAACGTCGCTCCTGATTGAGTATTTCGAGGGTGGCAAGCCCGGCCCTGAGGGAACGGTCGAACGCAAGCCCAGTGTCCGCGTGCGCCTGACCCCGTCCAAGAAGCACCGCGGCGACCACATCCAGATCACCGAGACCAAGAGCAACACCCGCAAGACCTCGCTCACCCGCCGTGTGCCTCTGCCGTCCACCACAGCAGCCTCCTCGCATCTCGACGTTGAAGCTCTCGAGGGCGAGGACGCCGACAGCATGCGGTCCTACGCCTCCGCAACGGAGGAGTCCAATGTGTCGAGGAACCCAATCGACATTGAAATTGACCGCGGCGGACGGCGTCGTCGGCCGGCGAGTCCTCTGATTCCCGATGCCGATGCTCAGTCCTCTTACCTCGCTCCCAACATGTCCGACATATCGGCAATTCCCCAAGACAGCTTTCTCGACGGCTCTGGATCCACTGTATTAACAAAGAATTCCGAAAGGCGCAGTAAGAGCACGTCGCGGGGTACTGAGTTGGCGGCCGGTGTCACTGGCGCATTGGCTGGCGCCGCGATAGCTGATCATGCAAAGAGCAGTAGGAGCAAAAGACACAGCGGCGAAAGAAAAGTATCAGGTGAAAGATCCTCAAGAGACAAAGATCGCAAGCACCGTTCGAGCAAGAGTCGGACAAGTAGTATCAGCGAGAAGCAATCGGAAGGAACGCGATCACCCCGGCGACGCTCAAGTCGGGGCCATGTTGATTCTGTTTTGTCTGGAGCAGATTCCAGTCTTTTATCATCCAGCATTTCTCCCAGCCACCGCTCCTATGACCAAAGCTCGGTTCGTTCTGGGGCTTCCAAGTCTTCCATCAATAACCCAAAATTACTAGAAACCGTCGAGGATGCCATTCGTCGACTTATCCTGCCGGAATTGAGCGCATTGAAGAGAGAACAGAGTAAGCGCGAAAGCCGCCGCAGCTCCCTCACATCAACCGGAACGGGGACGTCCTTATCTCGAGAAGATCTGGGGGTAGACCGACGCAAGTCCGCCGATAAGCGCAGCGACGCCGGTCGCGACAGCCGGCATCGGGATCGCAGAGACCGGGAGGCTCGCCACGACTATGTTGACTCTCCGCGAAGCGTCGCCGGCGAATCAGTCGAAGAATCTTCCATCGTCTCCGTCGACGACACACCGCGGCGAAGCGATGGCGCACTCAAGGCTGCTGTTGGAGGTGCAGCAGCAGCTGGGCTTGCTGCTGCTGCCATGAACGCAGCATCGCCGTCTTCGGAAGATAGAAGGCAGCGTAGACGCCGGCGTGCTGATGGCTCGGCTCGAAGCAGAAGCGTAGGCCGTGAGAAGTACGACGAGGAGTTCCACGAGGAAGAGGTCCCAACCCCGCCAATGCCGTTGATGAGCGAGGTCAACCCCTCCGAAATGACCCGGACCTCGATTCTTTCGGCCGACACCGATCGGCCTCATTCCGCCATGGAAGAGAGAGCCTCCGTTCATGAGGTTGCCCGGGGCAACGCCTCAGTCGACTCCTCACCTACGCCAACTCAAGCAGCACCAATCACCAATTTGCAACAGACCTTGGGCACGAAGCACGCCAACATTTCTCACGGCGACTTGAGAGAACTCTCTCGCTCACGAACGGGAGATTTCTTGGAGCAGAGCGAGGTAGAGGAGTTCAGCCAAAGTCCTTCTTCGCAAGTTCACGAAGAATATGACGATTACGACGATCGAAGCCGCGTTACGGGGAGTGAAGGCGATTACGCTGAATCTGGCCATGAGTATGACTACTACAACACCCAGGATGTGCCGCCTCCGCTGAAATATGTCCCGTACCAACCTGAGAGGAGGGGGCTGAGCCCAATTTACAGCGTGTCCGGCTACACTGAGGCTGGTAGCGAGACGGCTGCGCAGCGTGACTCTAGGATGTCGCATGGGACCGCTTCGCCAACCAGGTCCCAAGCGTCTCACACTGATTTGAGAGCCTTCTCGCCAGCTTCGGCGCCAAGCAATGTGCTGAGCCGGGGCTTCGACGAGCAGTCTGTGGATGACCGCAGCGTCAGAAGCGGGCAAGACTACCGCAACAGTCAATACACCGAGGGCAGTGAGATCGGAACTTCTACTGGTCAGGCTGTTCGTGGTATCGCTGCGAATCCCAACATCATTCATGTGCCCAACGGTGTCGAGTCCAACGTAGCCTCCCTCATCGACGGCTCTATGCTTGGGTCTCAACTCACAACAGGCTCCGGATACGACTACAGAGACTCTCAAGCATCGTACGGCAATGAGTCCAATGTTTCGTACGGACCAGAATCCTATGTGTCGTACGCTAAAGACTCAAATGTCTCCTACGATGACCAATCCAATCTTCAGCCCCGTTCGCGGGATGTCAGTCCGGAAAAGCGCTCCGTAGCCGACCAGCGCGAGTTCTTTGAGCAACGCGAGCGCGAGAGTAGCCGCACGCCTACATCAAGCCGCCAGAGCCACCGATCAAGAGATTTTGCTGGAGAGTACGACCTTGACGAGTATGGCAGAAAGGTTGCTCCTGCTAGGTACAGGAACTCCCCTTCTACGTCTACGCGGCACTCTCCCACTGCCTCCGAAAAAGCGATTGCCGCAGGAGCTGTTGGCGCGGCTGCTGCTGCGCTCAAGGCCGCCAAGGACAAGACGAAGCAGCCGACCGTGGAGGAGGTCGACGAGGAGCATGCTGAAGAGTGGGTCCCTGAAGGTGTCACCAGAAACAAGTCCTTCAAACAGCGAGCGATGGAAGGCCGCGAGCCTGCAAACACCCCGACGCATAGTATTGACCGTCTTGACCTTGAGGATAAGCCCAAGATGGGTGCTAGTGCCATGCCCACCTTTGACGACCCGATGCCCGAGGTCGGATACGTGGACGACGATGATGCCTTGACAAACCCGTCGCTGGTCCGCGAGCCGCTTGGTGGCAGCGACCACAACGATGGGGACCACTGGCCGGGCGACATCACCCCCCGCCAAGGTACACCTCGCCAAAGCGACTTCGACAATTCCTACGAGGAATACAACTCGGAAAAGCACAGCCCACGCGGCCACGGTAATCTGGGGATGGCCGCTGCCGATGCCGCTATGGGAGCTGCCGCCGGCGCAGCCACGGCTCACCACCGACAAGCCAGTGGAGAGCACGAGGACGAGTGGCGACGCACGTCGGCTGAGCGAAAGCGGGACACTGTCATCACGAACCCCTATGATGGCGCGAGCCCCGTTGATCACCCCGACCTGCTCGGTGGCAGAGGATTCGAAGACTATGCTGCCACGTACCACGCTGACAGTCCGGCTGGACACAAGAATTTGGACGAGGGCTACATCTCACAAGGTCCCATTCATTCGCCAAACATGCAGCCTACCAGTAAGGCCATGATGCCCTTTGGCGATATGACTCCCGAAGATCCCTTCTTCGTGCCTCAGCACTCACGGCATATGAGTGGTCTATCCCAGGGCATGAACTCGCCTCTGTATGATGCAGCCACTGGTAACGCCATTGACAGAATTGAATCCAAGGATATCATTGCTTTGATGCAACATGTGAGTAATTTAATATGAAATTGATGAGAAGGAAATGGCTAACTTGCTATCAGCTCATGGTCCGCGATGCTCAAAGGAGCGCTCGTGACACGGAGATCCTAGTCACGCTCGTCCGCTCTGCGGCTGAAATGCGCAACTCCTTTGATGACCTCAAGAAACTTCTTGCCAACACCGAGGACGTCATCATCAAAGAGGTCCAGGAGAACACTGACGAAACGGTCAAGAACGCCGTCAGCAGCTCCCGTGCCTATCCTGGCAGTCTTCCGCGCTCCATCAAAGGCTACAGCGCTGCGTCCCAGAACAGCACCCTCGACGAGACTGCCAAGAAGAGTAATTTCTTCCGCAAGGCGCTCAAGGGTCTCAGCAACAAGGGCGCCAACGATCTAAGCAGGATTGAGGACATGCTCATGCAGCTGCTGGGTGAGGTCGACGCACTCAAGGCGCAGACTATGAGACCCGGCATGGTCAGCGGCCGGCCATCTTACGAGAACCTCACCCCAGAGATGCAGTACGAGCAAGATCGGGGCTATGAGCCCGAAGGCCAGGCTGGCACCTCCACTACTAGCCAGGGTAGTCACTCAGCGATGTCGTCATTTGCCCAATCCCGAGGCCCATCCAAGTTGGCGTACGAACTCAACCGCATCAGCACCGTCCACGAAGACAATGAGGAAGACTACAACTCCCAACACAACTACGCCGATCAAAAGGGGGTGCTGACGCCCAACCAGGAATTCCAGCGTGGCGGTTCCGTGCCCTTGGGCACACCTCCTCAACCCATTACTGCTCAGAACGCATCGTTGAGCAATGACAATACTCCCAAGACGGATAAAGGCAAGAAGCACAAGAGAGGATCTTCGAGCTGGTTTCCCAAGATCTCTCGATGGTCTGAATCGACGGCCACAAGCGTGAGCAAAGCCTTCCGCGGCAGCGGCTCTAGCAAGAAGGAACATGACGACGAGTTCCTGCAACACCCTCCGTCCCGATCTGGATCCGATCTCCGATATGATGACCCATACCAGAACGACTTCGGCAGCGACCAGCTGCACTCTGGTTTCTCACAGCAGGATCTCGCAGCTCCTCAACCCCCGCACCTAGAGCCTCCTGCCACCTACATGACCCCAGAGGACCCCAAGTACAAGGCGCACCGCAACTCGGTCAACCTTCAACACCCCCAGCCTCGTCAAGGACAGACTGAGAGGTTCAAGGCTGCCCTCGAAAGCCAAGCATACGAGTACGACACGCCAATGTCTCCCAGATCTGCAGACTGGGCCGGCTCGGCCACTAGCTTGCACCGGTTCCCCCAAAACGCCAATCGCTACAGCAATGGCTCCCCGGCGACGGGCGGTGACTACTACAACTCTTCCCCCGCTGGCCCACCCAGGCCGCCTAAAGAGCCCATGGATGAGATGACCCATACGCCTGCCAAGAAGCGCATCTCCAACTTGGCCTTGAAGACCAGTCCACTCCCTTATAACAGTGTCGAGAGTGGCTATGGCACCGGCCCTGGCACCCACGCCGCCAGTACGAGTAATTACACCGGGAGCCCAAAGCCGGAGAACCGTAACCTTAGCGGTGCCCGCGGCATGCCTGCTCGTCGACCCTCTGGGCCACGGGCTATGACCCCCAAGAGTGCGGAGGAAGAAGCCGCCAGGGAAGAGCGACGTCGCAAGAGAGGTAAGCACATTCCGCCTATAGTAGTTCGAGTCGTAAACTGACTGTCTAGACACCTTCGGCACTGTCGCTAGCAATGAGACCGACACTTTTTAGACAAAAGATTTCTCGCCGCAGAGAACCGTTTGCGTACAACAAACAAATAAGCACTACTACATGAGTTGATGCTACTGGATAGCTTGAAGCACATGATCAGCTATAATCATTGAACATAATGAATGCAGATTTTGTGATCTGCTATAGAAATGCAGCGGCAACGAACCAAGAACCGGGGAAAAGTTGTATAGCCGCAGGGAGGAAGCAGAAGGGGATGGCGAGGTGGATTTGGTTCGCTACTCAGCCTAACGACGACATGACACGCAATTGATGGCTTTTGCGTTTTAGCGATGTTTTCGACGTGGGGGAGGGAAACAACAACAGCAAGACCTCTCAGTCGGGCATGTGAAGAGGCCGATGGAAGAAGGCATGGAATAGGTTTGGAACGCGCGACTAGTTGGTTGATACCACATTCTCGATATTGGGCTGCTGTGTTTTATTTTTCTAGAGCAGCCATGACGCACGGCAGATACCACGGGGGTTTTGACTGTAATAGTAGTCGTGGATAATGGAACCTCTACTTCGCCCTGACGATTTGTTTGGTCGAGATGATGAATTGCATTCCCAGATGAAGGGGACAGTGAAATTGAACATCGTTATGTGGCTCCGTATTCGACATTGCGTCGTCAGGGCACTTGTTGAGATGAGACACACCTGGTGCCGAACCCTCAAGTACAGGTGAAGGTGAGAGGGCTCCAATTTCCTGGATTTAGACAAGGTAGATCTGACAACGCCCAATTAAGGGTAAAAGCCTCGGCATATTTCACGATTTATCAGCCACCACTGCACGCAGCCCCGTTATCTTGGATGTGTGGATTTGTAAAGCACGCGCGGGCGAGATGCAGGTAGGCTGGCATGCGTCTAAGAAGCACGCACTTTGCGGAAGCCTAGATGAAGAAGTAGGAGAGGGGGAAGAGGGGGGAAAAGAAACGGTATGTTTGGTAATACAGTAATGCAGGAGATGGAGGGAAATGACCGAGTCCTACTAGGTATTTTTCACTTGTCCGTCCGGGTCGGTGGAAGAAGGGCTGTCTGTCGGTGTGTGGTTTCGGTGAGGTTCGTAAGCACGTTAGGTACCTTAGTGCAGGGGTGGGATTGGTCGGCAGCGAGTCCTATCCCGCGTGCTGATTATCAATCTTACCCTGCCTTGGATAGGATATGTCCTTTTTGGGATTCTCGAATGAGGAGGCGTTGCTCGTGCGTGGTGGAAGCGTGTCGTCCTACAATGACCCTACAATGACATGAAAGAGGGGGAAGGGGGGTTTGAGAGGAGGAGCATATAAGAACGGGGGGAAACGAATGGTTTCGAAGAAGGGGAGCATGAGATTCAGGCCTCGAATTACCTTGACAACACATGCGACTGCCCCTTCTCTATTGCTGAGAAAAAAAAAATCCTGAACTAGAATTTCCACAAAAGAGAAATTCAAAGACCAGAAGGGAGGGGGAAAAAAACAAGGAAAAAGAAACATGTCCAAACCAGTCCTCCTCATCCTCGGCGCAGGCCGCAACATCGCCGCCGGCGTGGCATCCCGCTTCGGCGCGGCAGGCTACGCCGTCGCCCTCGTCTCCCGAAGCTTCCCCCAGGGCCCCGCAACACCCGACCCGGAAACGGGCCACCTCCGCATCCGCGCCGACCTCGCCGACCCGTCGCAGGTGACATTTGCCTTTACCGAAACGAGGCGCCATTTCGGCGGCACGGCGCCGCGCGTGGTCGTCTACAATGCCGCCTCCATGTCCCGGCCGCCCGATGCGGACAACATTTTCAGCCTGCCGCTGGCGCAGATCGAGCGGGACGTCAACATCATGAGCTCGTCGGCGTGGATCGCTGCGGGCGAGGCGGTCCGGGGTTGGAGCGAGGCGGGCACGGAGGAGGCGAGGAAGGGCCGGTTCATTTACACGGGGAATCTCTTGAATCAGACCGTCTGGCCGGTGCCTGCGCTGGTTACGTCGGGGATCGGGAAGAATGCGGCTTGGTATTGGGTCAATGCTGCGGATGCGCTTTATAAGGAGACCAAGGGCTGGAGGTGAGTTTTTTGCGATGGTCTCGACTTTTTTTTCTATCCATCCCCCCCCCACAAGCCCCCTCTCTCCTCTCCCTCTCCATTGCTGTCTTTTTGAGGAGGGAAAAAGAACGCATTGCTAACAAGACATTGTTGGGGCGTAAACAGGTTCTTCTACGCTGACGAAAGAAAGGAGGACGGTACTTTTGTCGGTAGCACGCCCGGGGCCGAGTCCAACGGGAAGTTTTACCTGGAGCTTGCCGAGGGTGCGCAGGACTTGCCGTCTACGGTTACCTTTGTTGATGGCAAGTACAAGAAGTTTTAGCGGCGGCTGTTGTGTGAAAAAGGGACCCTGCGTTTACGCAGAAAAGAGGAATAGGGAGAGAGAGAGAGAGATTGATTGCCGTAATGGACGCTGTGGAGATGATGAGAATGCATCCGGTGTAATTGAGGGCCTTGACCACATAGTGGCTTGGCCAAATGAGTTTGTAGCGATCAAACGAATCTTGTAAACTTGACTAAGTTACACCGTAAGTGCTGCCCAACTATAGCAAATTGCAACTTTCCAACAAATGTTTTTAAAGAATCTTTTTAAATGTGATCTTTGACTAGGTTGCCAGGTACCTGTAGCTGGCTGGGTCGGTGACCATGCTAGAGAGGAGCCCATCTCTAGAGGCACGTTGGCCTGTAAGTTGGAGCCTTGGCTAAAGTCATTCTCCTAGACGCGAGGCACCGCCAAGATTACTAATTTGATATTTCACCAAACAAAAAAGAACTTTCAACGGCATCGCAGCACGCACTTGGTCGTTTGTTACCCATCGGTAATTTCAGCTCTAGTAGAGTATGGAGTCGATACTCATTCATTGGCTGTTAAGCACTCTTGTGGTGTTAAACGTAGTACTTTTCAGAAGGAGAATAGCTGAGAGTTAAGTTTATGTGTAAGGTAGCCTCCTTGAATAGCATACTGCATCTTTCACCAACTCTTCAGTATGTCCATGATTTCTGACGAAATGGCCTTGGTCGATGTCGGTTTAACGCCTACGTCATTTCCGCTCGATAAGATTTATCGCCGACCTTCGGAACTGCCCCTCATTGCATTAGCGGGGTTTCGGCGATAAAGATAAGAATGCGCGCGCCCTTTCGCAAACTTATTACCCCTCGAACGACTTTTGAGCCCACCGCGAGACCGCGAGGACAAGCACAATCATCTTGCAGACGAGACTCGCCGGCCCCTTTCCCCCCGTCTCCCCCCTCCCTACCTTGCGTACCGACACGATGCCTCGAGATCCACTCATTGGTCTGGTCGGCAAGCCGTCGGCCGGCAAGAGCACGACGCTCAACAGTCTCACAGACGCCTCGTCAAAAGTTGGTCCGTAACCTCCAAATCCATTCGACCGAAAGAAAGAGAGAGAGAGAAAACCGACGCCCACCGACCTGGTCGCTGATGGACGTATCGTGAAACAGGAAACTTCCCGTACGCTCTCATTCTTCTCCCTTTTGCGGCCGCCTTCGTCCCATAATCGAGTTCGCGAAACCTGTTCCTAGCACAGTACACTAACATCCAGCTCTCTTCTCCGCGCCGCTTCACAGATTCACCACAATCGATCCCCAGAGAGCAATCGGCTACCTCCAAATAGAATGCGCCTGCGCGCGCCACGGCGTCTCGGACCGCTGCAGGCCCAACTACGGCGCCTGCATTGACGGCCGCCGCTCGGTGCCTATCGAGCTCCTCGACGTCGCCGGCCTCGTGCCGGGAGCGCACCAGGGCAAAGGGCTGGGCAACAAGTTCCTCGACGACCTGCGGCACGCCGACGCGCTGATACACGTGGTGGACGCCTCGGGCACCGTCGACGCCGAGGGAAAAGAGACGCGCGGCTACGATCCTTCGGTCGACATTGCCTGGCTGCGCGGCGAGATTGTGGCCTGGATCCGGGGCAACTTGATGGAGAAGTGGGGGTCGATCCGGCGGCGGCACATGGCCATCAAGGCGACGGCCGTCGAGACGCTACAGGGCCAGTTTTCGGGTTACGGCAGCACGTCCAACGTCGTCGCGCGGGCGCTGGATAGGCTGGGTATCAAGGAGCCGCTCGAGGACTGGGACGCCGAGACGATTGACCGCGTTGTCAACGCCTTTACGGACGAAAAGTTCCCGACCGTCATCGCGCTCAACAAGATTGATCACCCGGACGCCGATAAGAACATTGCCAAGATTGCAAAGATGCAGGACCCCAACTCGATCGTGCTGTGCTCGGCCATTTCAGAGATTTTCCTGCGCAAGATGGCCAAGCAGGGATACATCAAGTACACAGAGGGCAGCGAGTTCGTCGACACGAGGGAGGACCTGATAGAGCAGGGGGACCCGACTGGGGGCAACCTCAAAGAGCTGGACGAGAAGAACCGCAACCGGATAGAGAACCTTAAGGACATGGTGCTCTACCGCTTCGGGTCGACGGGCGTCGTGCAGGTGCTCTCCAAGGCGGCCGAGATCCTGGGCCTCGTCCCGGTATTCCCGGTGCGCAACACCACCTCCTTCACCTCCGGCGCTGCCGAGTCCAAGTTTGTCTTCCGGGACTGCGTGCTGGTCAAGAAGGGCACCACGGTGGGCGAGGCGGCGCGCAAGGTCATGGGCGACGCACCCATTGCGTATATCGAGGGTGCGGGCGGCCAGAGGGTCGCGGAAGACCATCTCGTCACGGTTGGGAAGAACGATGTAAGTATACTCACTCCCCTTCCCTTTTTTTTTTTTTTTTTTTTGATACCACTCACCTCTCCTCGGGCAGCGGTTGGGCTAATGCATGTTCACACACAGATCTTATCATTCAAGGTCGGAAGAGCTTGATGCTGCGTGACCGCTATCTCTGTGCCATTCTGGCAGATGTGCCTCGCTTTACCGCAGTTGCGTAGATTGGGAAAGACCCAGTGACTTTGTGATTCCCCGTGATCTCCCCCTCTCGAGAAACGAAGGGGGTTCATCGCAAATCGCTAGAAAGGCTCCATATAGAGTTGGGAGGCGGGTACTCCGGAACAACCGCCCCCCTCGCCCAGCAAGGCGGGAGCGATCACCAGGGCCAAGGGACCATCCAGAGTGGGCCTCAAAAAAGAATTAAATAAAGAAATTTCAACCCTGATGACTGCTATCCATCTAAGCCGTGAAGTACTTTTTCAGACTCGGCCATTACGGGAGTCATCACGGCGTGGATCGTCGTGCCTCTCGAAGTTCGGTATTCTTTTACCCCTTCATTTTTCGCATTCGCGCTTCGCGGCCCACAAGACACCCGCGCGATCTCGTTTTCTCTTTTTTTATCGATACAACAACAACCTTGTCCTCCCACCGTAGCAACGACGAACTGGGTTGCGGCGATGGTCTGCGCCTACCAGGTGCAATTAAACTAAGGTAGTCGGACAGGGATACAGGCCTCATCCCAAAAGCCCACCCACCCTCCGGCGCTTGCCGCCAGCCAGCCACAATGGAAGGTGGATCCACACTTGGCTTTTCCAAATCCCAAGCCACCGTCCCCCCGAGCACGGATGCTTTTTGCTTCGCGCCCGTTCCCTAATGCTAGACGTACCCCCAATGCCGAGCTGCTTCGCGACTTTGCGTGCGCGTCCCTCGGCACCCGTTTCGCTGTTGGATTTCCCAGAATAGACATGTCTACCCGTAAGGCAGACCGCAAACGACAGGGCAGATGAGCGGTAAGTGAGGCGCAGTAATTTGGGGGCCATTTATCGGCGCTCAGTTTGACGGCAGAAACAAGGTTATTTTCACTCACAAACTCATCTGAGCGCAGTCATCGCATGGAGAAATAAGCTCCAAAATAGCGTCTCAAAGTCGGATGTTTCTGGCGTTGATCTAGATTCTCTATGGGCGCAAATTATAGCGTTTCAATGCAACCAACATGACATCACATGGATCAGCGCCAATGCCTGGTACAGTGGGGCTCTCCAACCCGCGTATTGAGCACATCTGACTGTGCTCTGTATCATGGTTGGGGTCAGATATGCTCATTTCACGTATAGGTGCACTCATGAATACAGTCAGGACTTTTTGGTAAAGTAGTTGAAGAGATTGATATGTCGGGTATCGAATTAAGCATGCTACACACAGCGCGAATCCCTCGTCCACCTCCTGGTCTTGAATGCCTGCCCAAAACAAATCGTTTCGAAAAGTCGCATTCCGCAAGGTAAGACGTAATGTGACAAAAGTCTGTGAAAAGGAACCGCCAGGAGTTATGAAAAAAAGGCCGTTGCTGTGTCGTTGACGTAAAAGCAGGTGAGGTAGGGGGTAAAAGGCTAACCCTGCACAGCAGCAAGCATCCTTGCAGCTGGCACAGGAGGATCCCCCAGTGTTGTCGGATGAGACGGAAAGCCAAGGCCGCTGAAAAGCTCGGCCACCGCCTACTGCGTCACTCTCTTCGAGAAGGCATGTTCACACACCATTGAGAGTAGATGTCATGTTGCTCCCACTGCTGGACATTGTCAAGTCCTCTCGTGTAGGCGGTTGCAATCGGGAATTTGGCAGCGACGAATCGCTTAGTACTTCAGAATGATGTACAGAGCGTGGATGATACCGGGGAGGTAACCTGCTGCTGTTAGCTAAAGTTTTTTTGGTGTCTGAGAGATAGTAATGCTTACCGAGGATGGTCAACAGAATGTTGATGAAGAAGTCGGCACCGCAGCCACGCTCGAGGAAGACACCAACGGGCGGGAGAATGATGGCAAGAATGATCTTGCAGATATCGGAAGCGGTGAAAGGCATGATGGTTGATGTTTGTGAGTGCAGCTAAAGCGGGTTTGTTTGTGTGTAGTTCGCGACGGGATCCTGAAGATCTGATGTGTGATGTCGAGCGTAAATTGGTTGGTTGAGTATGGGAGGGGAACTGAGTAGCAAGTGGGCTGGGGAAGAGATGGTTATATAGCAGGAATGAGCAATGCCAACTGGGAAGCCACTACCCAACGCAGAAAAAAGGCAAGGACGAGCTCACAGTGATGTGATGTGGACTCGCATGGGCCACCCCTTCGCGCTCTACATTACCAACCTGACCTTACGTCTGACAAGGGACAAGCCAGTCGCTGGTGGCAGGCCAGTGAGGCCAAGCAGACATGCCCTCCCCCCCCAAAGCACCAAAGCGCAGCCTCCCAAGAGCGTCTGGTCGTGCCGGGAAAGGCTTGGGGGTGTGGTACCGGTATGAAAGAGGACTTGCGTCATCGACTCATTCCCGGTTTGCTGCGGCAAGGAAAATAAGGCACAAGCGGCAGCACCAGCACACGAACTGCAAGCTCCGGGCCTCTGGCTAGGCCTTTGCGCCTTGGTAGACGGGGGAGAAGATACGGGATGGCGCTTGCCGTGCGTTGCGGACAAGCCACACCTCCGCCCACTTTAGCAATGACCTTGTCTCTTTTTTTCACCTCTCCTTCCTGCAGAAACAAGCACCCGAGCGGAGCAGCTGTGAGTCCCTTACAAGTCACGACGTATCACCGTATTCTCTCTGTACAGGGACAAGGCATCTGGGACTTCCTGCTGCCTGTCACGTAATGCCTTTGTCCTTGCACCGGACCTCTCAGCGTAAACTGCCAGGTTTCTCGCATCCTACTGACGAGGATTGGATGCTTGCCTGGCCTCCAAAACTCGCTTCCATAGCAAGCACGCCTGCTACGTCGTCGTTCCCTCTATGCGCTTTCGCGCTGTTCAAGCTCAGGTTCTTTTACCATGGTACCTCGGTTTCCGATCTATCCTTCCTTCATCGAAACCCACTATGCGGCCTTCCATTCCCCCTCTTCCAGGCTTTCCCGCCGTCATTGGGGGCTCTGTGCGGTTAGTCCGGCGACCTTGGAGCAGCGCGCACAGTGATTCTTGCTTAATTCCATGCTTGCTTCCTCCTGTACCTCAGCACCTTACCTGAGCTGCGCGAACTCTTTTCGGTGGACGCGATAAAGGTGGGTACTACGTCATCAACCGAGCCCTTGCTAGCGCCGTGCTGGTGAGGTCCGCTCTTCTTATTCTCGCTCCTTTTGCTCCTGGCTCCACCCATCGTCATCCAGTGAAAACAGCTCCCAGCAGTCAGGGGACCTCCCATGCATCTGTCAAGCCTCAAGGTGCGTGTCATGAGCCACAACGCCACGCCCCGAGAGCTGATCTATGGGGCAAGAGTGACGACTCAGCCACATATGCACTTTGGGGATTGCCTGTCTCGCTCATCCTTGCCTAGGCCTCGGAGTCAGGGTTGATGCTATTATCTCTCCAGCGAATATCGGTCCGTCCGCACTCGCTGCGGAGAAGGACGCAACGCACTGGTGATCCACCTGAAGATTTTCTATTCCCTTTTCTTCTTTCGTCCGAATTCTTTTTCTCCCTTCTACGACACAGAAAACCTGTCAGTCATGTCTCACCAATGAAACCCAAGGCCCTCGTGACTTGTGACGCAAGGGGCCCGGTCAGGCCCGGCGGCAAGAGGAGCCAAGCCGGTTCGGCAGCTGGCAGGGCTAAGGAGGAGGCGCGGCCTATCCCCGCTCTATAACGGGGAACAGAGACGGCGAAAGACGTCAAATCCTCAAATGTCGCCTTCGTCGTTGACTCGTAGGGCTAGGCGTCACCAGCAACTTGCGACAGCCCTGGCTGTGGCTGGTAATTGTGAGGTGTGCCATGACGGCTGATGTGTGCCTTGGATTTTTGCGGTTTCCATTGCGACGCCACACTTGCGCACGTCTTGAGGCTCAAGGGGCGAATGATGTATTGTCACACTTCACGTTTCCGTTGAATTCCCAGATCCGAGGCTATTATTGACACGTTTATTTCTTGTTTCGGCCGGGCCAAGTTACAGCATTGGCAATCGACTCTAACTAACTATTGTACATCAGCTTCCCCGCGGAAGCCTGGTTTGACCAACACTGGACTAGCTCTAAAGGGGGTTTCTAGACTACCTAGGCATGCATGGTTGAAGCTACTGTCTCCCCAGTCTTGGTTGAGTATGTATTGTACATGACACAGCTGACATCAGAGTGTCGACCATGGCCGCGGGGTCCACGCTCTCGCCGGACAGCTGTTGGCACAGACTGTGCCGTACTTCCGCAAGCCTATTCCGACTACGGACTGTGATATAATATTTCGCAATTGGCTTTGACTTGAAGCGCCATAGGAGTTTATTCGTCGTCGTTCGCGGAGCTAGCCATTTTCCTGCCAAACGCCAGCGTGCCGCCAATCGTCTTGCCCAAGATGTACCCGGCGTAGAGGCCGCAGACAATCGTGACGGGCCACTTCTGCCACTCGCGATCCCAGTCCAGCGGAATTGGCACCGCGCCGAGCCACGCGCCCAACAGCCCTCCCACAAGACCGCCGTATGCCTCGTCTAACGGTGCCGCCGCGCTGGCGAGAGCTGCCCAGGTGCTCGCTTCGACTCCGTGGACGTAGAAGAGCGGGAAGAGTGCAAGAATGGCGACGTTGGCGGAGCAGAGCAGGGTATGCGGTACGTGCGTCAAAAAGGGGGCGCCGAAGAGGACGAGGACGATGTGGATGGCTGGCGTGACGAGGACAGCGAGGAGTAGGGAAAGGAATATAGCCTGGGAATCAATCGTTCGTTAGCTATGCCTCGTGATTAGACCGCGCCTGTGACTTACAATGAAGGGGTTGGGCCCCGTGCTCTCAACCTTCTTCTTCTCGCCCGGCCGAGGCTTCCTCAATGGCTTCGCGCTTTGCGATCCAGCCGCCGGCAGACTGGCAAAGGCATAGACGACCTGGATCGCGGCGACGATCGGGAGCGAGTTCTGAAGGGTTCGCACGGGGTCGATGACCAAGGAGCTGAACTGCGCGAGGAAGAGGCCAGAGATGAGCACCGGCTGGACGTGTCGGACAACCTGCGCAGCAGGGCTCGCCAGGGCGTGGACAGGATGCAGTCCGCCGTCTCTCGGCTTGCCCGCGTCGGAGGCAGCCTTTGATGATGATGGCGCTGACATCGTCACGGAATCGACCAGTGGCATGGTGTGGGAAGTATGTGAGTCGATCGATATCGGTCGGGTTCGGAACCCAGACTCGTCGGTCTTTCGGTCGATCGAAGACTAGGTACGGGTTTATTTCGTGAACGGGTACCCGGAAGGCCACGGCTCAGGAAAAATACCGGAACGGCGCGTCGAGCACCGTGCTGTCGGACCCGCCCGGGTCACATGGTGATAAATCGCGAAGTGTTTGATAACGAACCCCCGGTCCATGAATCCGTTTGCTTACCTAAGACACACATTTCTCGGGCGGGTGAAGCGCTGTAAGAACCTCTGCTAAGGTAATCGGCGACACCTTTGGGGTCATAGATGAGGTGCCGAGGTACCTATGGATACTGTCTCACAAATTACCTTCTTTGGATCAAGAGCGTGCATCTCAAAGTTGTCATCGTCTCCTTTTCGGGTTCTGAAGGACACAAACCTGTCAACTCGGAAGCAAGGCAGCTGCCAATCTTTCCCCGGATTCACCCTCGTCAGTGCACCCAGCCGGTCGGGGCCTGTGGTTCGATAGCTGAAGGAAATGGCGATCATATCATTGGCATAGGATTCTTTGCCCCGCTTCTACCCAATCAGAGCTCGTACTCGGTGTCTCCCGTCAGACCACATCACCCCATTAATGTTGGCAGTCGTCGGGAAACCGTCCGAAAACGCCTGATCACTCAACATCTGTTTTTTTTTTTTTTGTGCCAACGGCTGGAATCCAAACGGGTCTCCAACTCGGGCTTTGCGAACCACCATACAGTTCCAGCGCTGCGGTTGCCCCCCTTCGCGGCTGCGCCTATTGGGTGAGACATAGTTGTCGTTCATGATTCACACCCTTTTGCTGCAGAAAACCAAACCCTTGGCCCTGGCTTTGAAGGATCCGTTTGGAAGATGGGATGGCATGATCTTTGACCCGGCCCAGATTGGAAGCCTCGCTCGTTCCCGCCCAGGCACGGCAATCTTACGGGCAAAGCTGCCCGTCCATCTGCCCACAATAGGCGTTTGCCGTTGGAAATCCCGGAATCCTTTGTCAAGATTCACAGATCTCGTGAGTATGCGGGTTGAAGGCACAATACTTTCCATGGTATAAGATCCGAAGTAGCTTCCCGTCTATCGTGTTCCCATTCCCGTTCTCATCATCATCACACATCAACAACACCAAACAGAGTCTCAACTCAACCACCAAACAAACTCTCCACTACATCTTTTGTACGAGTGTATTACATTCCATCTCATTCCTCTCAATCAAATCAGAAGTCTCTTGACTTATCACCAACAAAAACCCACTCCCCCAACCATCACTCAAAATGTCTCCCGCCTTTGCCGCCCGCAACGCTGCTCGCTTTGCTGTCCAGCGCAGACAATTCTCTCTCCTCCACAACATGCGCAATGTCGCCCGCTCCTTCGAGCCCCATCCCTTCCAGAGAATGTCCCAGACTGGTGTTCACGCCAAGCCCTACTACGGTGCCATGATCAAGAAGCGTGCCGTTACCGCAGTAATGTAAGCAGCCATCACAGGCTTTGTTACAAGAGAGACAATAGTGGCTAACATGGAATTGAACAGGTTCTTCCCTCTCGCGTTCGGCATCCTCGGCTGGCCCTACGCTAGCATGCTGCTTGTGGACGGCCGCATGTGAGCAGCCTCTGTAACAATTCATCCCTGAATATGGGATGACTGGCAAAAACGAAACAGGAGTTGGAAGTTACATTTGGAAATTTGGGACATTTTCGAGATACCAGTACATATCTGAAGCATGTCAAGGCGTTCGGGGGGCTTCTTGGATACCTACAGCATCGGTAGAAGTCCATACGGACCATGCATAATTTACTTTGTTCAAACAATAAACTGCCAAACTTTGCATGCATCGTGAAATAATTTATTTTTGTAGATAACCATTGAACATTGAACTTGTGTAGATTAATTGAACATGTGCGCTCGAAGTCTTGATATGTCCTTCACCTCAAGTAATCGTCACCTAAGTGCGACTCTCGTCCCAGGTTCCTATTCACTTACAATAGACCCCGGGAGGTCCGTGCACGGAAGCTCCAAATCGCGCTACTCCACTTATGTCCTAGTCCCTCATTCGCGCCCATGCAGCTCCCCGGATTGTTACCGCGTCGTGTTGAAGCTGCCACTTTTGACCATTTTGACAACACTACCGCATCCCCAAGCGAGCAACTACGACCACGATCCTGCGACGAAACCTGGGAATCGGGCGCCACTGACCTGATAACTATCCCGAGGACGGCTTGCTGTTGACTGCCAACAAGCCATCTAGGCAGCATCGAGCCGCCCCCACTTGGAGTCACCGCCCGACCAACAAACAAAGGGGTTCCGCCGCCAAAACGAAACGAAACGACCAGCGCCAGGAACGACAAGCGGTCCCAGAAGTTGGAGGAGTAAACAGCTGAGACCCTGTTGTTTTTATTTTCGGATGCATCTCGCAAGATGACGGATTCGCTGCACAACGCGCCCATTGTCCTGGACAATGGTTCCGGTACGATCCGCGCCGGTTTCGCAGGCGACGACCTCCCCAAATGCTACTTCCCCTCGTTCGTTGGCCGGCCAAAGCACTTGAGAGTGCTCGCCGGCGCGCTCGAGGGCGAGGTGTTTATCGGTCAGAAGGCGGCGACTGAGCTTAGAGGCCTGCTCAAGATCAGGTACCCGCTGGAGCACGGCATCGTCACGGACTGGGACGACATGGAGAAGATTTGGGAGTACGTCTACGGCGAAGGCCTCAAGACGCTCAGTGAAGAGGTTCGTTTGGAACAGATGACGGGCCCCTTCGATTTGCGAGACGCACCGCATCCGCTCTTGATGCTAACCTTACCTAAAGCATCCCGTCCTCCTGACCGAACCACCCCTCAATCCTCGCAGCAACCGTGACACGGCGGCCCAAATCCTCTTCGAGACCTTTAACGTCCCGGCGCTGTACACATCAATTCAGGCCGTTCTTTCATTATACGCCAGCGGCCGGACGACTGGTATTGTTCTCGACTCGGGCGACGGAGTGTCACACGCGGTGCCGGTGTACGAGGGTTTCGCCATGCCGAGCAGCATCAGGCGGATAGACGTGGCCGGACGCGACGTGACCGAGTACATGCAAATGTTGCTGAGGAAGAGCGGCTACGTCTTCCACACCAGCGCCGAGAAGGAGGTTGTGCGGCTCATCAAGGAGTCCGTCACTTATGTCGCCCACGACCCCAGGAAAGAGGAGAAGGAGTGGGCAAACAGGACGGATCCGGCCAAGGGCGTCGAATATGTCCTCCCGGATGGCCACAAGCTCAAGGTCAGTCTCTCGTGATTGACACGGGCAAGAATGGGTAAGCTAACTACGCCTACAGATCGGTGCGGAACGATTCAGGGCGCCAGAAATCCTCTTCGACCCCGAAATCATTGGCCTCGAGTACCCTGGCGTACACCAGATTGTTGTCGACGCCATCAACCGGACGGATCTCGACCTGCGCAAGTCGCTCTACAGCAACATCGTGCTCTCCGGCGGCAGCACGCTGACCAGGGGCTTCGGTGACCGTTTGCTGACGGAGCTGCAACGACTGGCTGTCAAGGACATGAGAATAAAGATTTTTGCACCGCCAGAACGCAAGTACTCGACATGGATCGGTGGAAGTATTTTGGCTGGTCTCAGCACTTTCCGGAAGGCAAGTTGCATTCTGCTCGCGTGTTGTCGTGGACTCAACGCACTACGGAATCAAGAGGCTAACAACTATTGACAGATGTGGGTGAGCATCGACGATTGGCACGAAAACCCGGAAATCATTCACACCAAGCTTACGTGAGACGGCTCTTGTTTTTGAATTATATCGATGAAGCGGTCTCCAGACGGCGTTCCTGGCCCCCCTCCCGTCGACGTTTATAGATCTAGAGCTGTGTTCGCCATCCATTTGGACCCAGTGATAGACACAAGGGGCAATCGGATGAGTAGATGGAGTTTAGATGTCATGAAGCTGAGAGGGAGAGAGAAATGAGAGAGTGAGAGGGAGAGAGGGATACGATTAGCTGGATTTGAGATTTACCCACTCTCAAAAAGATGACGGCCTTCGCAGAGCCGGTGTTGTAGGCAATGGCAGCATATGAGGTAATGGTCAGCTAGAAAGTTGAGAATGATACCCGAACCTGTTGTCTCTTTGATCAGCATGCAGTTCGTGCTTTGCTTTTGACCACACAATGCCGTACCTAATGGATGAAAGCAGCTAGCCGTATAAAATGAATAGCAGTCGGGTTGGTAAGTGTGCTTGACATGTGTCTGATAGGAACCAGGGGGGTGTGCGTTGGGATCGAAATATTTCTTTTTTCTTTGGACTGTAGTAGTTTAGTCTACCCGCAACCTTACCTCCGTGTCTCGCCAAAATAGCGTCAATGGTCTTCTTTTCTTCTGTCTAATCTATGAAAACTTCTCTTTCCCCACCGAGCACCTGTCCCTCCCTTGTCTGGTCGCATGCTTCTCTCAGACGTCAGGAAATGTGGTGTTGGGCATACGAGGGATAGATACGTAAGGGTGGTTCGGCCGATATCAGTGAGTCACCGCAACGGTCTATCTGGGTTCACTCCTGGAGCTGGGGTCTAGAACTTGCAAAGTTTGACAGTACGTACCGTATGGTCATATTCATACTCGTAATGTTTTTCAATGAGAGGTGCGATGAATGATGTTGGTTTCTTGGAGTTGTTTGTGTGAGAAGGTGAGTTTTGTGGATGTGAAATTGGGGATCGCCCCGGTGGGCGGCAAGGCAAGGCTGGCACGACCTGCGAGGTGTAGGACATGTAGGGGGTAATGTGAAAGCCTACCCAAGATCTTTACTGGTCGGTACTTAATGGGAGAGAAGATTAGTGAAAAGTCTTCTTTAACAAGGCACCCGGAGTCACCAGAACTACATGATATTCAAAGTCCGGGTGTCTCAATTCAATCCATGAGAATGAGCCCAATAGAAGCATTAATCGGCAGACGAACATCACCTTATTCATGAGTATTGCAATCATTGAAGTATAAAATAATTGATATTCAGGAGGAGACCAATCGATGGCCCCTCCAAGTACTACTTGCTGAACAACCAGATAGACATCTGGGGGTATTGTGTCCGCCGCGCTCGCTCTCATGTCATTCACCAGAAACAAACGCCGTTTTCCCGCTATGCTCCCTGTTTTCTCCCCGCTGCAATACATCTTTTGCAGAAGATAGAAAAGCAGCCTCTGGAAAGATCAACCAGCCAGAGGTTTGCGAAACCGCTGTCATGCCTCTCGCCCGCTGCCTCTTGTGTCCGTGGTAATTTAATCCGTGTTTGCTTTTTTTGTATTTGGGTTTCCCGTAAAACGCCGACCCGTTGTGATTATGAAATGGTGTACAGATGCCTCTGGGCATTAAACTCAGTTGGTCTTGGTGACCCGGCGCCACAAGTTGCTGCCTCGGTTCTTGAGGGACTTGAGCGAAGAAGTAGACGCGGAAGCCTCCGAGTCCTCGCTGTGGACGGAGGAAGCGTCCGAAGCGCGCCTGGTGACGTTGCCGGCGCCACCGATACCGACGTGGCCGACGGCGGCGCGATCGCGGACCTCCTGGCGGTCAAAGTCTTCGTCGAAGCTGCGGACGGGGCGCTCGGGGGCCTCATGGCGGTTGCCGGCTCCGCCGATGCCAGAGTAGAAGCGGCGGGTTACGCTCCCGTTGCCGGCCGGGGTGGGCGCGGGCTTGAGGGGTGTGGTGATGCCGGTGGCTGGGGTGACGACTTGGGGCGCCTTGCGGATGTTGCCGAAACCGCCTCTGCCGGAGTAGATGTAGGTGTTGGGTGCCACGGTGGGGTGAGGCTCGGTGACGAAGATTTGGGAAGGCATCTTGATGGTTGTGTGTCGTGTTATTTTTTGGTCTTTGTGTTGGTGTTGGTGGTGAGCTTTGAGGTTGGTAGAGGTGGAAGTGGGTGTAAGTGGGATGTCAACTGAGGTGTCGTCTGAACTTTCAGATGAGAAGCGTGGGTAAGCAGTCGAGAATGTGCGAGATGTGTCTTGAATAAGTCAATGATAGGAAAGGGGAATCCACGTAAGGAACGAGAGAGGTGACCAAGGTTATTATAGGTTTGTCCTTGGAAGGGGAGGAGGTGGTGGAGGGCTAGCCTCGCCCAGTGGGAGAGACACACCAAGGGGAAGACGAACAGACTTTGCAATGTCCTCCTGACAAGCAAAAGTTTCTCCCATGCCCCATGGACTGAGTGACGGCGTTGCACTCGCAACGAACATGGTGTGCTCTCACACTCGAGGGAAGAGGTAGGTACGTAGCTACGTACTGCTACGCAAGACTTTTCTTTCTGTGGTAGCGTTAGTCAGGGTAAGAGAGAAAGAAAGAAAGAAATGATTAACACCAGAGAGCCCACATTAGGAAAAGTTTTGTCAGAGAGGCGGCTCTCGAGCAAGTCACAAGTGAGGAGGCGGAGAGATCTTGATGTGCAAAATTAGCATGGCCCCGAGGCCCCGAAACAACGGGAGCGGAGCTACGCTAGCTACCCTAGGCTGGGCCCAGGCTCATGGGTAGCTTGGCCTTGGCTTCTTCCAGGTTTGCTGTCGTTGGAGCCGGTGGAGAGAGTGAGCAGAGAGAAGAACGTGCATGTCGTGATGCAGTGAGTGAATGACAAGACAAAGTCAGATGTGTGTGAGACATGGGTCTTTACCGGAGGCATGCTGCATATGCCGTCTGCCTCTCCGGGTTGCTATTCTACCACCACCAACACCTTCTCACCCTTGTCATATATCGCAAATTTCTGGGCAGTGCAGTTTGTTGTAACCGGACAGAAGAGGTCTTATCATCAATAAGCAAACCTACACTAGAATCCAAGTTTAGATATTTGGTTGCACTCAATATCGCACTGATAAGAGTTGCAGAAAAGCAACGAGTTACGCCCGTTCAGTTGTTTGTTATTCCCAAGCAATCATCCCCAAGCACCGGACAAACCCTTGCGAAGTTGCGTTGCAGCCATCATCGGCAGGAGGCGGCGAGCTCAATCATCCGCCATGGAAATGATCAAATTTTCTCTCTCTTGCTCGCTACTTGGTGGACCTCGTGACTCTTCAAAGCCTCCAGTTGTCAAATTCTCGCTGTGAAAATCAAAAGACGCCATTCTGGAGCAAACGATGGGGTAACGTTTTGCTAATAGGTTACCGCTTTCGGCTGTAGCGCGGCCTCGGGAGGGCCCACTGGCTGGTCAGACGCTCCTCATTCAACAAGCCTGAAGGGCTGGGAGCTGGGGAAAATGGGGTTAATGCAAGGAACGTGGAACATGCTGGGCGGAAATCGCAGTGACTCTGGCAAGTCTGGCAGCGTCTGGCTGGCAGAGTTTTCTCTCTCTGTCTCTCTCTCCTCTTCGTTTCTGGCGCTCGGGAAGCGCTGATCCGGATCGCTGCTGGCATGCTTTAGCTGGTCTCGAGAGAGAAGTGGATAGCCGCTATTAAACACGTCCCTTGCTAGGGCCAACAGCTTTGTCGACGACGTCAAGGAGCCCCGCCGCTCGAACATTACGCCTCCGCCAACTTACGGTAGCCCTGCCGTTGACCAGTCATCAGTTTCCTGGGGGTAATGGGAACCCGTTTGCCGCGTCTCTAAGGGTCAGCAGACCTTTTCTGAGCCCATGCCTGATGCCACGATTCCGTTGCAGGTTTGAGGAAATTCTTCTTGACTAAAGCTCGTCTAGGTTTCGAGGCGGTCTCTGTGACAAAACGTGCTCGCTTGACAGCATTCGGTTTGCCGGTCTGGCGCCGCCCCCCGTTGACGTGAGTTCCTGGTTATATTTCGCCTTGGATTGTGCAGCAATCATTGAGTCACGACTCTGCGAATAAGCTCCAATGTCTGGCCCTGGAATCGAGGTCAAGGGAACGAGTATCACGAAATTTCATGTTCGGTGCACGTCGGGTCGCCGTGGTGACTGTGAGACATTGAGTAACATTGAATTTGCCGTGAGGGAGGACTGTAGAGAAGTCCACGAGCCGTACTGCACGTATAGGTAGGTACTCGATGCCCATCTGTCACTTACACCCCGCATCTCGAACCAAAATCGCGAAACCGCCTTTTTGAACCTCTCAACAAACGGAGCGGCCCGCGAAGCTGTCATCCGATCTGATCATCGCGTATTTAGACCATCCAGAGAACGCGCTTTCTCTCTTTAATCAAACCCCATCTCAGCTTTTGGAGCAAAGGGCCGCCATACTTACCCCCTCCGCGATCCCTCCTCCAAAAGCCACAACGCCATCGTCAAGTTTGGCTTACATCTAGCTAAGCTCTGGGCTTGGAATGAGATTGGCGCTCTCCTCAAACCGTGGCGTCTCCATCACGTACAAAAGCCAGGGCAAAGCCAGGACCTTTCCCCAGGCGCCCGGCGAGCGCCATCGTTCTCTTACACACACATCCTTTGCTTACCCCGCGTTTTGCTAAACCTGGGTCCTCCGGATGAGGCAAGCCCCGGACCAGAGCTTGGAGGTGCCATCTGATCCGTGTGATCACAAGCTTCTTCCCCATCAATTTCCAGATGAGCAGGGGGGAGGTGAAAAAAAGGGGGCGCTTCCGGTCATTAAGTAGCGGTCCACTCCTTCAAGGCTGAGCGCCCGCAACAACGTGGTTGAGGCCGTCGGTGCGGGAATATCTTTGTCCTGAGGACTTTGTGGGTAGAGCGAAGGAGCGAGGTGATGAGTGTCGGCCGTTTCAATGTCGTGTTGAAAACGGACTGCTTTGTGGTTTGGTTTAATGACGTTTCAACGTTTGGATGCTTTGATATGTTTGCCACCACATCCATTGGAGCCTAGCATCGCTGCTCCGCAATGATTCATACGACATGACTATAGAGTCAGATCTTGAGTTGTCGTTGTTCTCAAAGCCTCGTATTGTATTTCGACGTCTCGTTGCAACTCGCTACTGCCAGAATCCCAGCAGGTTTGACTTACCTGATTCTCGCTGATGAAACTATACACAGCATCGGGCTGGTGGCACTCCTAGCAGCTGTACATGATCTTTTGACTTGTCCGAGAATGAGAAGGCAAGGCTCCCCAAGAAGATTACCGGAATTATAATCAGCAGCTCAGTGGAAGGTTTGTCATTGGGCTAATGACCTCGTGTAGACAAGATCTTCAGACTGAGAGAGCCGGGCCACGTATGTCATATAAACATCGCGGTCTCGAAGGAGACAATAGAGCTGTCCCTTGGTGCCCTGAACACCATTCTGAGGCGCCCAAAATTGCGGATCTACCTTAGAGAAACGAAAGCGTTCAATTTCCGTTTCTCAGCAAGCGCTTTCGAGATGCAAATTCCCAAGATTATGCAGCCATAGCTGAAATAGGCGGGCTTGATAAAAGAGACTGGGGACAATGTTGCTTAAGTAACTTCGCTTACGCCGAGACGTATCAAATCAAACACCAAAAAGCCCTAGCCTAGCATCTCACCTCAAAGACCCCCCGGTCGCGATGTCATGATTAGTTTTGTAAATGTCGTAGAAGATGGACTGCGCAGTCTGCTCCAACCTAGGCGCGGAGGAGATCAAGGACCAGAAGCTCAGCGCGAACCAGCGCATGGCCAAGTTCATCCAGCTTCACGACCTCAAGCGATCCGCGAAAAGGGCATCATGCCAGCCGTGCCGGCTCCTCTGGGCTGTGTTGTGTCTGCGGAAGGACATCGATGAGACGTCAGGTGAGGAGGTATCCGGCCTGCTGCAGATGCGCTTCGCACCGGGCACCCCGCTCCAGCTTTCTGTGTCCGGCTGGGGACAAGAGAACATTGCTCTGGAGCTCTTCTCGCGGCGAGGTTAGATTTCAAACGTTTCACGCCTCCAGCGTCATCACCGAGATATTTCTTGACAGCTTACACCCACAAACAGAGGACCATGGCCTATGCCACCCGACAATCGGCCCGGCCCAGGAAGTCGAGAGCCACTCATCCTCCCCCGCCAGTCTCACACTCGCTTCAACATGGCTCCAGGACTGCCTCGAAAGCCACCCGTCCTGCAGACAAGCAGCAACAGCCTCACAACTTCCGACCCGGGTAATCGACGTCGGCACCGCAGGCCTCCGTGAGCCACATCTCGTCGAGTCCCGCGGAGCCTCCGGCGCATATGCGGCGTTGAGCTACTGCTGGGGCGACCCGGCAGCTCACCCAGCCTTCAAGACGACCCGTCTCAACTTGGGCGCCCATCAAGAGGCCATACCGTGCGACAGCATGCCCCCGACGCTGCGAGACGCCGTCGCAATCACCCGGAACCTCGGGCTGCGGTACCTGTGGATCGACGCCCTCTGCATCATCCAAGGCGACGCCGAAGACTGGGCCCGGGAGGCCGGCCGGATGTGCGAGGTCTACTCCAACGCGACGGTGACGATATCCGTGGACCACGCAGACGGGAGCTCCGTCGGCGTCTTCGCACCCCAGGCGTTTGGCGTCCCGCCGCAGCGTCTGGATGAGCTCGGCGGCGGCGCGCAGCCAGTCTATGTCCGGGATGAGCTGAAGAGGAAGCACAACGACATCACCGTCCTCCTCCGGACGATCGAGGCGGAGGGCGCGCACGGGGAACCCATCAATAAGCGCGCGTGGACCCTCCAGGAGGCCATCCTGTCCAACAGGACGCTCCACTACACAACCAACGAGCTCGTCTGGGAGTGCAACACGCTCCGCTCCTGCGCCTGCCGCCGCGACCAGCCCGTCGAGCTGGACGAGGAGTCCGTCCGGTGTTTCCGCTCGCCGGGGCTGTTTCGGACGCTGTCGTCGGCGGGGAGGGCGTACCTTCAGTGGCGGCAGGTCGTGCAGTTGTTCTCGGAGCGGTCCATCAGCTTCGACGCGGACCGTCTGCCGGCCTTGTCTGGGATGGCGAAGCAGTTTCGGATGATGCACGAGGAGGTGTATGGAAAACAAGGACAACAACACCAGCAGCAGCAGCAGCAGCAGCAGCAACGAAGCCGGTATATTGCCGGCTTATGGGAGGGAGATTTCGCGACGCAACTGCTCTGGACTGCGGACGACGATTACTGGCGGAACCCGGAGACCGTCTCGCGACGGCCTGGAAAGTGGAGGGCGCCGAGCTGGAGCTGGGCGGCCATCGAAGGGCCCATCATGTTCCACCCAATGTCGCACTTCAAAGGTGACTTGGAGGTGTTGGATGTCCAGGTAGAGCCTCTAATGGCGGAGGACATTTACGGCCAAGTCTGCGAGGACGCCAAGATCGTGGTTCGAGGGGCCGTAGTACACGGCCTCAAGATCACAACAACGCAGATACAGAACGGGGATTCAATGATGGGGTTCACGGAAGGCGTCCGGTATGACCTCGTAGATGCGGAGGCGAATCGATACACCATGATCTGCGACTATGCAGGCTCGGTTGCCCGGGGTGAACGATACTCTTGCCTGTTGGTGGGAAAGACGTGGAATAAGGGCGATGCTCATCCGTATCACGGCTTCATCGTTCTCCAGAGGGTAGAACCTGCAACTGACATGTTCAGGCGGGTTGGCGTCTCGTTTCGAGCTGGGGCTTTGAAAGACACGAACGAGGTGAAGTTGTTCGATGGCGCAGCGCGCGAGGTTATCACCCTCATCTAAATACTAGTTACCCACCATACCACCACATTGAACAAAAGGAAGCGATGATCACTTTGATGTGTGAAGTTTTGTCCTGAAGGAAAAAGAGTTGGACGATCAGGGGATTGAACCCTGGGCCTCCCGCAGACACAGAAGGAATGCAAAGCGGGCGCTCTACCACTGAGCTAAACGCCCGGTATTAAACCGGAAACTTTCCTGTTGCTGGGATTTCCTGCTTCGGAGTGAAGCCATCAATCCTTTCGCTTGCCGCTGTTTGTCCTGCGCCTCTCATTTTTTGGCCATGGCCAAATCGTCTTTACAAGCTGCTTTGACGTGGAAACCCGTCCTGGAGTGGAGGCCTAAAAACTTTCCAGATCCAAAGCTTCTTCTACTTCTCAACAAGGGATAAAGTAAGGCAGTGGGGTGCTCTCGGTAGTTTGTGTACTTTGGTGTAAGTGGACGGTGCTTGAAAAAACCCGCAAGTCCATTCGATCAGGACATCTTTCACATGAGTTGACTGAGGCCAGGTCTAGGGGCGGTCAAGATTCAACAGAGTATGTAGGGGCATTGAGAACTCCGTATACGGCATTTGTCCCCTCGACATGGTTGATGCTCCATAGACTCGCGCTCGACAGTGATGAGCGAAAAACTATGGAGAGCGACCGGTTGAACTAGTTGTGAGAACCTAACTTTTGGGAAAATTAACCTTATTTATCTACCTTGCCAGAACACACTTGCATAAGCTGAGCAATTATTCACCACAACCTGCCGGGGTTTACTGTATTTGACGACACAAGAAACCCCTAGTAAGTGAAGCAACTACACCGAAACTCATAGCGATGAGATGCTCGCGTCGTAGACTCTGTTTCCACGCTATCAGGATATGGCATTGTGAATCTTGGTTGAACGAAAACCACCTGCGCCTCAGTCAATGCGAGCTACTGAGAAAGTCTCAGTCGATTCAGGTTTGAATCTTGCCGAGGGGACGGGGAGGAGATAATGAAAGACGCTTGATCGAGCGACCAGTCTTCTTGTTGAAGCATGAAAAATATTGATCATTACAAGGGCAATCACACCACATCGTACATCATACGCACAGCTGCGACTCTAGCAAGGTCCATTTTTAAATCATTTTCTCTTCTGTGATGAGGTACACGCCCTCACTGCTCTAGAATATCCCGGAAAGAAGAATGACGTTGCGGGATGAATATAATCGTCGGAAATTTTAATCTTCACCTCTTTTCGCCTTTTTGTTACAACAAAACCCAATACAAGAGAAAAAGAAACATACAGAAAGCCGCGCAGGAAGAAAAGTTCATCGCCCAGATTCTTTTTTAGACCCCCAAATCAAGCAAGTCATTTGACCAAAATACTCTTCCTAAGCTTGGTTACGCTTGGCAAGCATGCTCAAAGCGCTACCTGCGAGGATGAATCCAGCCTGGTCCTTGGTAACGGCGTGAGCAGTCGGGATAAGCACCTCGGAGCCGTCCTTCTTCTTGACGAGCAGCTGCACTTTACCCTGCCCGCCGTTCTGCAGCATCTCGTACAGGCCGACGGTGCTGACCTCGTCGCACGCCGCAATCTTGTCGTAGTCAGCCTCGTTCTCAAACGTCAGGGGCACGACACCCTGCTTCTTGAGGTTGGTCTCGTGGATGCGCGCAAATGACTTTGTCAGCACGACGCGGGCGCCGAGGTACCGCGGCTGCAAGGCGGCGTGCTCGCGCGCGCTGCCCTCGCCGTAGTTGTGCTCGGCGACGACGAGCCACTCCTGGCCGCGCTCCTTCCACTTCTGCGCGAGCTCGGGGATGGTGTGCTTGGAGCCGTCGACGTCGTAGGCGGCGTTGACCTCGCCCGTCTCCTTGTTTACGGCCGTGTTGAGCGTGTTTGTGCTGATGTTGGGGAGGTGGCCCTTGTACTTGAGCCAGGGGCCTGCCGCCGAGATGGTGTCGGTAGTGCACTTTCCAGTGACCTTGACTAGGACCTTGAGGCCGCTCAGGTCGCTCTCGGGGAAGGGCGCAAAGGGCTCGAGGAAGGCAAGGCGCTCCGAGGTCGGGGCGATGGCGATCTTGACGTCGGCGTCGGGCTCGTCTGGCGAGATGGACTGGAGAGACGGGACGCCGGACTCGAAGGGGGCCTTGGGGTTCTCCAGGCCGCGGGGGGCCTCGAACTTGAACTCCTTCCCGTCGGGGGTCTGCAGCTTGTCCGTCATGGGGTTGAATGTGGTCGCGCCGGCGTAGGCCATAGCGGTGACGATCTCAGGGGAGGCAAGGAAATTCATGGTGCCGGGGTTGCCATCGTTACGGCCCTTGAAGTTACGGTTGTACGATGTCAGGATGGCGTTCAGCTGGCCTTTGGGGATGTCGTCCTGGCGCTTCCACTGGCCAATGCATGGACCGCAAGCGTTCGAGAGAACGATGCCCCCAGCACCCTCCAGGGTCTTGAGAGTGCCATCGCGCTCGAGAGTCGCGCGGATTTGCTCGCTGCCGGGAGTGATGTAGAAGGGAGCCTTGGGCTTCAGGCCGGCCTTCTCGGCCTGCTTGACCATGCTCTCGACCTTGGTCATGTCCTCGTAAGAGCTGTTAGTGCAGCTGCCAATGAGACCGGCGGACAAGACTTCGGGCCATTGCTCAGTCTGAATGGTCTCCTTGAAGGCAGACAGGGGAGTAGCCAGGTCGGGAGTGAAAGGGCCATTGATGTGGGGCTCGAGCTCCGAAAGGTTGATCTCGATGACCTGATCATACTGAGCACCCTCATCAGCTCTGAAGTTGAAGCTTCCCCAGTTCTTGTACGCGTCGAGCGCCTTATGTTCGGCTTGTCTGCGGGTTTGGAGAAGGTAGCGTTCAGAGGCGGCAGTGTAGGGGAAGATGGAGGTCGTAGCGCCGACTTCGGCACCCATGTTGCAAATGGTGGCCATTCCGGTGGCGCTAAGAGTCTCAACGCCGTCGCCAAAATATTCGACGATGAATCCGGTTCCGCCGCGCACAGTCAACTTGCCGGCCAGGTTAAGAATGACGTCCTTGGGGGACACCCAGTCGTTGAGCTTGCCGGTCAGCTTGACACCGAGCACGCGAGGGGCCTTGAGCTCCCAAGGAGCGCCGACAAGCGCCTCCACAGCATCGGCACCACCAACTCCAATTGTAATGGTAGACAGACCACCGGCGTTGGGGCTATGGCTGTCGGTTCCCAACATCATGATACCCGGAAGGGCGTAGACCTCCAAAACCGTCTGGTGAATGATACCTGCACCAGGGGGCCAGAAGTCCATTCCGTACTTGCGCCCGGCCGACTCAAGGAAGTCAAACACCTCTTTGTTCACACTAATACCGTCCGACAAGTCGCGCTCGGCGCCCTTGGATCCCACAATCAAGTGGTCACAGTGGATGCTGGCTGGAATGGCAGGTTTGGCAAGGTTGCAGGACATGAATTGCAGCAGCGCCATCTGCGCCGACGCGTCTTGCATGTTGACTCGATCCGGGTTAAGCTTGAGGTTGGCACTGCCGCGGATATTACGTCCATTGTCCGTATTTGTAAGGAGTGAATCCTCGACATTGTCCAGATGACTGTACAGGATCTTCTCGGCGAGGGTGAGGCGCTGCTGTCCGAGGACGTGACGGACCTTGAGGAGATTGTCGTGGAGTCTGCGGTATGTGTTGGGCTTGATAGACTTGGGAAGAAGCTTGCGCATATCAGTGTCTTGCTGCTCGATGTCCTGGGCCGTTGCGAATGTTCTCCTGATCGGCAGGCTGGAGGATGCGGGCAGGCATGGTCGTGTGCGACTAAGGAGCCGCTGCAGTCTCGTTCCGTTAGTTATGATAATCTTGTCTCATCGTTTGAATGGTGAATATTCCTCACCCTCGCGGCGCCTCCTGATCGACTGGCAAGCTCAATTGGTGCCATCGTCACTGCGCAGCTCCCACCGGATGCTGTGAGTCGAACTTGATGGCGGGGTGTGATGTGGAATTTTTTGGGTTGAGTATTGGCGACATCGGCATATCGGATCCAATTGGAAAGACCCAATTGAAAAGCCGGTGCGCGAGTCCGGGGGAAGTTTACACCTGGTGGAGGTCAAAGGCTCCATCCCTGCACTGCCGGCTTCGCTCCGAAAACCACACCGGTAATAGCTGCGCCGAGGTAATCCCCCTGTAAGGTCAACCTGCACGGTCAACCTGGGAGGGTCAGCTCGGGGCCGGCTCGCCGCGCCGCGCAGTTTACTAGGTTGCCACCAAGGCGGTTGTGGTAGCAATGCTACTCGCTGGGACCAAGCTTGCAATGAAGTTCTGTTATGTCGCCTTTTCTGCTGGCTTTTATTCCCACAACTTGAACGATGCAAAGAAACAATTTACCCTATCCCAGATGCTTATCTATACACAACCCTTGAACTCCTATGTCACATTGTTCCCATCTGTCGATGTCCCTCGCTGTTCTACTGGTCATACTCTGAGCTCTTTGTGCCAATGAAGCCCTCACTTCTCTCCCTTCTCCGCCGGCCCAAGACCTCCTTGTACCACTCAGTGAGGGTATAGCCCCAGTGTCCAGCAACGAGCACACCGCTAATAACGTTGACAATCTTCATCAAGAACTGGAGGAAGCCGTCTCTAGACTCTTCCACGGATAGCAGAATAGGCTCGATGTCGTACTTGAAGAAGATGCCGGGAATATTATGGTCATCGGTCTCCTTACTCTGTTCCGTGACGGCGTACTGGTTCGTGGAGATGAGGTTGGACGACGAATGACCGACAGAGTAGACGGTGGGAACCACAGACAAGTAATATTGGAACTTGTGGAAGTTGATCCTGGCGAGGTTCACCGTGCGATCCAGGGGGTTTACCAGCGAGGGGTAGAATGGACCGAAGGACATCTCCGAGATGATGTGCGAGAAGTTGAAAGCTGCGTGAACTTGTAAGCCAATGCGCCGAGATTGAAGCCCGAGATGATGACCAACTCACCGGCATGATCCAAGTGCTCTCCAAACTCCATATAGCCATGGCCCCTGGCAGTAATGTGGAAGTCACCCTGCACTCTGTTCACATCCAAGTTGCCGTAGATGCGGCAGCTGTCGCCGTCGCCCCAGAGCCTGGGCGTCTTTGCCCATTTGGCCCTCTTCTTGCTGAGCGATACAATGTCGTGGACATGCTCCTCCCCGAAACCCTCCTCCTCCTGCCAGCCGGCGCCGGTGTCAATCTTGCCCTTGCTGTCTCTTCCCAAGCGGTGGATGCCCTTGTTGTCGACCCACTGCAACCAATTCGTCTTGTCGCGCTTGAGCATGCTGCTTGCGAGGATACGGTCACCCGCCGCATCTTGAACGTTGATGTGCAGGTCGTCGCAGTGCATGCGCACAACGATATCCATGTTGATCTGCATCTCGTGCAGAACGCCCTTTTCGACGGCGAAGGTGTGCGTCTCTGTACCGCGCCACCAGCGACCGAGTTCAGACCAGAAGAGGAAGACTGATATGACCGTCATCGCGACAGTCCACTTTCCGCCGCCCGCCGTACGTGTCACGTATTGAGGTTTCGCCTTGGCTATGGAGACAGGACTGTTAGTCAATGACTACTTCGCTGATGTTGCCCACAAACTTGATAGGCCAGCTGCGCTATAGAAGAAACCTGCGGTTGGAAAGTTGGCGACTCACGAAAGGCATCGAAGGCGCTGACGATGGTCCCCTTAGCCCCAAAGGCATCGTCGTCCAGGTGCTGCTTCTCATCCCAGCCGTTCATCATGGCGGTCTCAAATAAAGCGAATTGAGAACGCGGTATAGGTGCAGTATTTTCAAAAAGAAACGGCCGTCAAGTATTCGCCTGTGTGTGTGTGACTGGGTGCTCGGATTCGTCGCTGATGAATGGGGTCGCGATGCCAGTGACGGCTCCTCGGTGCGAGTCCTTTCGGCTTGTTGCAAATGCCCGCCGTCAGAAACCAAGTTCCGCTACCGCATGCCTCGTTTTCCAGAATCACAATTTTGAAAGGAAGTCGTCAGGGCCAAAAGATGACAAGTTCGTCGAGTATTGCCTTTGCGCAAGCTGGTCAGACCTCTCGGCGCAACTCGTGAAGTGGGAGAGCCTGCTGCAGAAAGCCTTGAGGACACTCTATCCAAAAGATGTCCGCAGTTCGGGCCCCCTGTCCAGGGGTCCCAGAATGATTGGTGCTGGTAGTAGCGTTGGTGGGCTGAGAGGGGCGGCGTGCATTGTAGCTTGTGACAAGGGTGCGACTTGCTCCTGCGGAGACATTGTGCTAAGGTAAGGTAGGTGGGTAGTTAGCCGGACACAACGGTTACGGCGACTAGCACATTGCCAGGGTTTTTTTTTTGTTTTTGTTTTTTGGGCTGGCTGGCTGGCTGGCTCACTCAGTATCAATATTAAGTAAAAGTCATGTTCGAGAGAGCTGTTAAAGCTACGGTCCATTGCTTCCTAAAACCTACAAGTACCAATCTGTAATCTGTCATGAAGAATCATGAAACGAGCGTCACCTCAACCTAACCTGATAAACAAGCAACCGGTAGCTCGCTTTTTCCGCTGGTGAGGAGGCTCGCGGGCTTTGCTTACGCCACCTCAAGCTACCGATTCACTCTCTTTGAACCAAGTTCCAAATGAAATCAAATAACCCCAGGCCTGATGAAATGAGACATTGAAAGGAAACCCAAACCTCCAGATAGACCACTGATCACTCCAATTCTAGTGGTCAAGCGCAACTACAGAGGCTGCAGACAGTTCACTTTCTGAGTCTCCGCTGCTGCTCCTCGAGGAACTCCTCGTCAGAAGCATCAAGGATGTCGTACTCCTCGTCAGTCATGAAGCCATCATCAGAAGCATCCCAATCCTCTTCCTCACCGCAGTCCTCGAACTCCTCAGTCTCAGAGCTGGTCGCACGAACAGACTCGGGCATGATTTCCTGGTGAATGCTAGAAACCGGGGATTCTTTCTCAAGTTTGGGGAAGATCATGGTGCTGCTCTGCATCTCGGCTGGAATTTCCTTGGACTCCTCGTTGGGCTCCTCAGCAATCGGCTGGGTGGTTTGGACGCCAACATCACACCAGAGTCGGTGACCAAACTTCAGACCATCCTTGGTCGTCAGGCGCCAGTAGGAAATGATCTTGCCCTCGCGGGCAGGTGTACGGAGAAGAACGTTGAAAGAGAACTCCTGACCAGGCGCGAGTGGTGCATAGCAAACAGTGGACTCAGAGGCAGAAACAAGCTCGGAGATACCGGCGGGGTGGTTCGAGTCAACGTGACCCATGTAGTCACCGCCGACAAACTTGACTGAGCACCCAGCAGGCCACGCAACATCGCCGTCGTTGCGGAGCACCCAGGTTTGTTCGAAGACGTGGTTGGGCGGCAGGAGAGTACCGTCAGCGACGGTATCGCGAACAAACACAGCTTGGAGGTCCTGCTCGGTGAGAGGCTTCTCGACAATCGGCGCGACCTTCTCCTCAGCCACTTCCTCCTTCACATCTGCCTCCAAAATTTCCTTGGCAATTGGCTTGATTTCGGGCTCAGACATCTCCTCAACAACCTCCTCCTTGACAGCAGGCTCTGAGGGCTTCACATCAACAACGGTCTGGGGCACATTGATGGAAGCGTTGGCCGTAGTCTCGGTAGAGCGAGAGCTGGTTCGGCGAAGGTTGCGGTCACCCATCTGCTGCATACGTTGTCCATCTCCCCGCTCGCCAGTGGTGGTAACAGTGACGTGACGAACTGGCGTCTTGAACTTGACAAGGGGGTGGGTCTTGTTGTGAGTGTTAGCAGGGCTAGCCTCACAGTTTGCGCAGAAGTCGGTGTCGTGGCAGACGGTGCACTTGTATCGGACGCCGGAGATGTAAGCGGGCGCGTTGTGGGTGCGGGCACACAGAGGGCCATCGCAACAGATACCAAAGTGTACAGAGCGGCTGACGGCACGGCTGCGAACCTCCTCGAGAGGCTCGTAGATGGGAACGAAGCGATGGTTAGGGTGAACAAACTTGGAGTTCACGATGCAGTCAGCGCAGTAGTCCCAGTCAGGACAGTCAAGACACTTGTGGCGGACGCCAGCAATGTACTTGTCGCATCCATCGCAAATAGCGTTGTGGCTTTGGTTGCGGCCAGGGGCCAACTTGATTTGGATGTGGCTGGGAACGTGGGCGCCCTCGACGGCGGGGACGAAGGAGTGCTTCGGGTTGTGGCCATGCGAATCCTTCTCGAAGCATGCGTGGCACAGGTCGAAATCTTCACAAGCGGCGCAGTGAAGGAAGCTTGACTCCGGGAGCTCCGTCACGCAGCAGTTGCAGGTGCGCATGCTGTACAGCGCAGTGTTGAAGACTGGACGGAGAAGCTCACTGATATTGGCGGGCGCCCTGGGAGGCTCTGGGATTGGCTCCTCGACCTTGGCCCTGATTTTGGGCGCAATCGTCTCCGTAGTGCTGTTGATGATCTGGCCATTCTTGACGATTCTCTTGATGAGCCAGTGGTCAGCGCCGTAACATGTAATACCCTGGTCGACGCAGTTTTGGCAAAGATCGAAATCACCATCGTCGCATGTGGAGCAGTGGTAGTGAGCCTCGGGGACTGTCTGGTCGCAGCTGTTGCAGCACACCGCAAAGTTGGTGTTTGGGTGCATCAGTGCGGGGCAGCGACCCCAAGAAGCTCGCGACGGAGTAGTCTCAGTGGCGGCAGCATTAGCAAACCACTGGTCTCGAGCAGTGATACCCTCGGAAACAGGGATATCTGCAGAAGCTGCGGGCGATTCTTCGTCGTTGATCTTTGCGTGTCTTCTAAGCAGGGATGCGAGAATGGAGGCCTCGAAATCAAGACCAGTGTCACTCGTGGGCAGCTCCTTCTTGGCCTCATTATCAACGTCATAGATGTGACTCAGGTCAACAAGGGGTTGCATCGCGGGGTCTTCCGTCTTCTGCTCCTCTTCAACCTTGACAGCGAGAGGAGTGCTGGACTCCGGCACATCCTCCACTGACACTGGCCTGGGGGATATCTTTTCCTCGGACAGCTTAGTGATACGGAGCTTGAGCTTTTGCTTGGCCTTGGCGGCTCGGTAAAGTTGTTTGTAGACGGAGATGTTTTGCTTATCGAGGGTGATGTACGAACCAGCCGAGTCGGAGTACCTCTCGAGAGTGACGTTGGCATCAGAGCTGACGCCCAACAGAGACCTCACCTGCAAAGAGTGAATTAGCGTCCACCTTCGAAGAACAGAGCCTCAAACGCCTTGCAGCCAAAACGATGATGTATCACCGTTTCGCGTTGTACTGGAGCTCGGATTGAGATTGTTGCGCCCTGGCGAAGGGCGGAGTGAGGGCAATGACGTACCTTATCTTCGAGAGTGCTGGGTCCCATATCGCGCAGTGGGAGTTTGTGGCGGCGTGTCATGCCGTCGAAATTGATCTTCAGGGTGACCTGAGTGTCTGGCGATGTTGCTGAAGAGGACGCCATTTTGAAGTATGGAAAGTAGATCCAAGTATGGATGAAGAGGAAACTCGCGGTCGGCCGGGCGGGGAGGGGACGACGGCTCTTGCGGATGTTTCACTGCTCAGCGGCCAAGCACGGTGCACGAGGTTCGCTCGGTCGGGGTAAAAGGTGCGTCTTCCTTTTCAAGCTGGGGATTTGACAGATACCAGATGGATATAAGGTATCGTTGATTGTTGTAAATGACTGATAGCAGAGGCGGAGTGGTGAAAGGGAAGGAAAAGTAAATCGGACAAAGCAAGCTGCCCGGGTAGATTGCGAAAGAGGGATAAGTGGTCGAAGGGACGGGGAGTGGGAAAGATAAGTGAGTTGGAGGATGATGGGGGTCGGCGGTCGGTGGCCGGGTGGAGTAAGTAAGGTGAACAGACGAGGAAGGAGAGGCCGGAGGCACAGATGGGACACTGGAGTGGGCGGGTGGAGGTGGTGGAGGTGGAGACGGCTAGGCGGATGATGCGTGTGCGTCTCGTTCTCTCTATGGCGGAAGGTGTCGACCCTCGGAGCTGTGTGTGAGACGGGACTTGTTCAAGTGCGGCAGACCAACAGCTTTGCTCTCCGCAGGTGACTTTGGGGGTGAGAGGAATAGTACCAGGGGGACCAGGAGCCACTTATGTACCAAGAGCCAGGCGAAAGAGGAGGAGGCCGAAACCGTGGTGGCCCGAAAAGGGACCAAGGTGGTGGGAAAGTGAGGGATGGGAAAGGAAGGCGGGCAAGCCGCGAGGCAGAAGGCGGTAGCGTCAGTCGTCAGTCTCGCAACTGCCTTCAGGTTCTCACGGTTCACTTCTTGCCTCTTGCCCACAGTATGGGTGGAAGTGGAGGGCGTGGCATGGCATGGCATGTCGGTGACGGGGATCCGTCAATGGGTGGACCTGTGAAGGGCGAGGGGTCGCGACATTGCTGGCCTCTTCCCCAGGTAAGCTTGGTTGGTGCTTTTGCACCCTAAGGAAGGTACTTAGCTCAGGTATCCGTATCTGTACACTAATGTATCCCAGGTATCTACCTAGGTAGGTTCCGAAGAAAAATAGAGGGGCAAGGAAGACTAAGGTAGCAGGATCTGGTTGGCTGGCTGGGAGCACCACGGAAAAGGAACGTATCTTTTCAAGCTGCTTCCACGCTGTTAGGCGAGAGCGAATGGTGCGAGCTTCACAGGTGCAAACTGCCTGTTCCGCTCACTACTGAACTTTGCCTTCGTGAGCGCGGGAAGGCATGTCTTGACTGAGGCGGCTGGGAGCTCGAGTACTGGGGCAGCTAAGTCCTTAGTGTACGCTTGCAGACATAGGCTTTGCCGTGGGAAAGCCGAGACACCGCTAACCTTGGTCCATGTCAAAGTGTCAAATCTACGTAGTGCATCTCCCAATGACCCAGGTTCAGGTGCCAAATTCCACAGTCCACATTCGCGCCTCTGCTTTGCTTAGCAAGCCGGGCCTCTTGTCGCCATCCATGTTCCTTGGATTGCTCTTCGGGAACCACAACTGCTCACATGTCACTGCAGGCAGAGACAGCAAGACCAGGCAAACCAGTCAGCCAGCCGAGCCAGGCTACCAGGCTGCCTACGACACCTCAGCTCGCCTCTGCGACTTCACATTCACACCATCACAGTGGGCGAGAAGCGGCAAAAAAAAAAAAAAAAAAAAAAAAAAGGTAAAACATAGCTATGGAAGAAGCGCGAAAGAGGCGGTCAACAGCCACCACCACGAGATAGCGACCCGGCAGCTTACAATACCATCAATGGAAGCTGCTCCAACCTTCTTCGCCCCAATCCACCACATGGCCACGGCCACAACCACTTCTCGCAGCCTCGACTCTATCTTCACCTCTCGTGCCGTCCAAGATTTTCCTTTCTGGACTGGACGAACCGGCCGAGTCATCGCCTTCGCGTTCGCCTCCACCTTTCGCCCTTTCGCCTTTTCAGGGTATTAGTCGAGGAACTGACGAGGTCTCGGCGCTACGACTCCATCCGCATGTCGATTTCCTTTCTAGTCTTTGCCTCCTGCTCTTTCCCACCCGTCGTCCACCAGGATTCCCACCCACAATCCCCCCGGCAATGACTCTCTCCTTCAACCACTGCGAGCGACCCAGGGCAAAGACGCAATAACCACTGCCCATTGGCACATGACGGGGGACTGCCCTGCAAACACCAGACTCGAAATGAGGCGAACTGGAGCCTCGCCGCGAATTGTTCCTATGTTCACTCACTTCAACTATGCAAAACGTGGACAATAAGCAGTCATAGGGGTTGGCTTGGTCATTGACCTCTCCTGGGCTCCTTAAATTTCTCACAAATCATTCTGCTTGAACTCGCATCTGGCGTTCAGACGTGCCATGTCACCATGGTGGCCTGCCCCTTGGACTACAGACAACTGGTCGATCTAGGTCTTCATGCAACGAATCGCGATGCCGGAGCACCAACTTGCTGCATAGTTGCATAGCCGGTCAGTCGGACAGTCGGTCATCCTCATCAGCGATGGAGCGATAAGACAAGGAATACAACCCCGGACTTGCCCGTCTGCCAGACCCGGTGCCTGGATTGGTCCAGGGGTGTCCAGTGCTGTGCTTGCCCAGAAGGCGAGAGTGTCTCGCAGCTAGCTATGCGTTTGGCGCAAACAATAACTGGTGCGCCGCAGAAGGGAAACCAAAAACCTCGAGAAGGACACTACAGTTGATGCGTTATTCAACGCTCGGTAAAATCCAACCTCATGGAGCTACCGCATCCGATGTTAGCGAGCCCGGCAGCGTGGTCGCTCGAGGTCGGAATGGGAGGAGGAGCGGGTCGACCGACGACCACGGGAGAGTGTCTGCTCTCTGTCACATGAGCCCCTGCTCCTTACTCGAAGCAGCAATCACTGCCGCAAGTCACGCAGCACGCAATCCTCCAGTATCCAGTCTTACTGGGACTTATCGGAGTAGCTGGAGTCGGACAAGACAAAGAGCTGAGGTCGAACAGGAAGAATCCGACGGCGCTTGACTTGTTCACGTGGGGACCCTTTCATCTGTCCTGAACCAAGGCAGAGCCTCCTCCGCGAACACTATGGGGAGCAGAACAAACTGGCAGTCGTCAGCGAGGCATGCTGATCCAGCCTTAGTCAGCGAGCAACTGATAGTCCCTTTCTTTTAGAAGCTCTTCATGTTCAATCTCGTCGTCGAGGCCTCTATGCGTGTCTCGGACCATCAAGATCGACGGATGGCAACCTCGCATCAAACCTTCTCTGACAAGTGTCTGTGGGATGAAATAAGGATGGATGCTTCATAGCTAGTTTACACCGAAAGGAATAGCCACCGGAGACGCCCACGGGGGCGAAGTTCGAAATGACAGCTCATCGTCTAGACGGAAATCTGCAGCAATGGCGCCGGCGAACCAGCAACAGCGCTGTGACAAAGGCGGGGGAGGCGGGGAAGCTCTCGGTGAGCAAAGCAAGCAAGTAAGCCAGCAGTCGCCAGCAGTCGCCAGCAAATATCTCACAGCTTACTCTGGCTGGTCGGCTGGTTGTTCATTTGGTTCAGATCGACAAATGGCGGGAATAGCGAACAGTCGAGGAGTCATCCTTCCAGGTCCGAGAGCGCTGCTTGCTTGCCTGGGCCGTCCCCAACAGGCAAAGACGATACAGTTATCACAACGCTACGGTGCATGTCACCATTCTAGTGTCCAGCCATCCAGGCTGCTAGTCATGCGAACTCAACCCCCGCCTTTCCCAAGGTTCTCATCAAACTTAACCAAACCACCGCTGCCTATGCCGCCAAGAAAATATGTTTTGTCACTCGCATTGCAGACGTTGGTTCTCCACTGGCAAGCTCGGCCATTCAAGTGTAAAGCAGAACGTGAGAAAGCAAAGTGGCCGGATCAGGGGTCTGCCCCAAGAGGCAAGCCGGACAAGACCAGTCGCTCTCCGGACCCGAAGCCCCATTGCGTCCGGGTCGAAGCCGACCACCCGATCTCTACCTGAAAGGCTCAACCACTTCACAGACCTTGCAGGAAGATGGTGACTTTCCATCTCATCACCCCCGCCGCCTCCTCCTTAACCGTCTAATGTTTGTTCAAGGCACCAAAGCTACGTCTGGCAAATTGCAAGAAGAAAGGTGAAAATTCAACGCATGCACACCTAATTATCGTTAAGCTTCCACACTCGTCCCATCAAATTGCCCACGGCGCCGCCTCCAATCGAGGACCTTGAAGGTCTAGTACGGAACATTGCTCCCCGTCTTTCCTTGGAGAAGGTTGAGGTAAGCCCGGTAGGCCTCTCGCCTCTCCTCCTCCAAGGACCCCAAAGGCGAAGCAAACAAAGGGAGGGCCCAGAACTTCACAATACGTCATGTTTCCCCCCTCCTCTGCCTTTGAGGTTTTCTCTCCTTACCTCCAACACCATCAGAGACAAAAGTCATCCGGTTCTCGACTGGCTTGTTTCAGGATTGCAGGGCTTGGCGAGGGGCCGCAGCAACTCGACAAAGAATAAGACGAGGCAGCGCGGATGCGCGTTGTCCTGTCGTGCCTGCTCTGCCCGCTCGTTAGCCCCACGGGACCTCAATCCTTCGCTGCCTACAGTTAGGCACGCTACGAGCCTACGTATTACTTACCCGTCTACAGAGTATAATCCAGAGAATGAAAAAAGAGGAAGAAAACGGGAGGGGTGAAAGACGGTAGGGCGCTGAGTTTCAACATTGGCTTTCCGTCCTTGTTGGGTTTCTCCGCCGCACAGGTTTCGCAAACGACGGACGACAGTAGCCTCAAAGTAGTACTGGCCTCTATTTCACCGCTCCTGATAGGGGGTTTACGTGTACACACGTCTCGTATTTTGCATGCATATCCTACCTACGTACCCAACGTCGGACATTCCCGCGGCTTACACGTCGCAGATCTACCTTGGCCGAGATTTCCCTGCTTTTCCTCTGTAGGAATCCTTTCTCTGTTGTGGTGTCTGTGCGACTAGCTATTGATGCGGTAGGACAGGAAATGAACGATTGTGGCATGGGAAGGCAATAAGGCCGGCCCATCGTATCTGCAGTAATCGCGCGACTTTTCCAGAGTCACAGCTTGTTTAATTCCGGAGCTGTTGATATTCGGTGATGATCAAACATGCTGGAATTCAATACAGACCGCCTTCTTGGTTCTAGCTTGAGGGGTTGTTAGTCAGATTCGTGCACTTGACCAAAGGAACGCGGCAGGCAAAGAGAAAAAAGGGAACGAAAGCTTCAGACAACCGAGGGTAACTATGCAGAGGAATACCATGACTCTTAGTAGCGTCGACCAGGCACTAAAGAAGAAACCCCAGCTCTTCTCCGTAGGACGTTGGGAAATGCCGCTCAGTCATCCGCCCATCCCCCCTTTAGGCTTTCCGATTCCTCCCCTCCGTTGAAGAAGTTTAAGCGTCGTCGCAGCTGTAGCAAGTATGGCAAGAGATGAAATGTTGAAGAGGACACGACTGAGGTTCAACGGCATCAAACCACCATTTCTAGGCAAACACTAACGTCTCAAGCCGGCGAGGCTCAAGGTTGAGGTACACTCGTAAACAGGTATCGATAGCTACACCAACCATCGTGGGAGATCAGGATTTGATCGCAAAATTTGAAAGAATATTTGGATCTACTGACCCCATTCCATGCCGGTCCTCTCCTTCTCTCTTTCTCCTCTTCTTCTGTTATTCCATGTAGCGCTCGATACCAACTCCATTCTCACTCCTACTCCCAATCCTTCTTTCTGTCTTTCTGTTTCTCTCTCTTTCTTTCTCTCCTTGCCTCCTGATGAGAAGCCTTGAGAACGCTCTCAAACCAACGGACCCTTTCTTGCCTTCACGTCTCCAAAATTGACATCAAAACAATGTCAGAACTTTTCCACCGCGCAACACTCTTCCAATACACACACTGAAATGATGAGCAAGAAACCAAAAATACCGTCCAGCTTCCCAGATAAGAAATAGGAAAGAATTGATTATCTTGATGGGGAACAAAAAAGAAATCTAGGCTTTCATTGGGTCGTGAACGAGCATAAGGGGAAGGAGGTTTGGGGGGGAAAGACCCGTCGAACGAGACCAAAAAGGAGGGAAAGCACGAGACAATATCAGGGGGGGCAGCAGACTTTGAGTGCCGACTTGCCCTCAGTTGTGTGTAAGAATTGTGAAAAGAATGTTCAAGTAAACTCGGCCGTCGTCGAATAACACGAAGAAAGGAGAAAAAGGGGGAGTGGAAGTAACTGTTTCGACGCTCAAGAGACCAACCAGACTACGCGAAAAAAAACCTCCCCTAAACACACCATAACTCATCCGTCTGGAAACCCAGCAAAAGCAGACCCAGTGACTAAGTGACAACTCGGAAACGCCAGAAAAGCCTGAGAACGTGGGCAAAGAAGCCCGGGAAGTGGATGGATGGAGGATGGCCGGAAAATAGACGGTAGAATATGGTAGAGACAGATGTGAGGAACTTCTTGAATTCGAGAAAAAGGCGAGGTTGTAGGAACCAGGGAGGGGCTCTCCCTCACTGTCGACCATCTTTCGCTCGCCCTCCACCAATTCTGTAGGAATCATTCCTCCCTCTTCCAAGGACATGCCTGTAAGCATGCGTTGGAACAGAAGAAGAAGTGAAGTAAAACCTCAAAGGCCAGCGACAGCACCTCGCAAACCCAACCCCCAACAGTGTACCGATTCAACCCAGATCAAGAGCGCTCATTCCTATCAATACTATAATCATAGAGTTCAAACACCGCATAGTTTTTTGTGGATTTCCTCCTGCCCTTTGCCCCCGTCCGGCCGTCCGACGAGATGAGGGTATAGCGACGGCTAGAGAGCCGACAATGACAATTACAAGGATTACAAGGAAGGCGATAGGACGTGCGGGGAAACCTGGTAAGACGTTTGCCCGTATCCCTATTGCGAGTAGTACACCACCCCAGGAGCTGGCTGTTGGTAGTAGAAAGCGTCCGGACTCGGCGTCACCATGCCGCCCATACCGCTGACACCGGGGCCGAACTGCGGGGGAGGCTGGTAGCCCTGCTGATAGTTGTTCATGGAGGGCATCTGGGTGGCATCGTAATAGTATACCATGCCGTTGACTTCTTGAGCTACCAAATTGGGCCCGGTCGGTCCTTGGCCGTTTGCTTGTGCAGCCGCGGGGTCTGCCTGGGCTTGAGGTGGGAACCCCTGACCTTGGCCTGGCTGTCCCGAAGGCACGAAAGACGGGGCTGCGGCAGAGGGCCCCATGTTGTTACCATTGTATTGTCCGGGGTAGTAATACGGCTGCTGAGGCTGCATCATAGGGTAAGGCTGGTTGTAGAAGTTTTGCTGCTGCTGGAAGGTGTTTGGCTGGAACGGAGCCGCGTGAATTGCCCTCTCGGGAATCTGGGACAGAGGCGTGCCGGTAGAGTGTTGAGTGGGGTACGACGGCTGTCGCGAGTGGGCTTCCTGCGGCAAGCCGTTGGACACCTGAAGAGGAACCTGCTGATGGAAAGCTTGCTGGAAGGCTTGCGGTCCTTGATTGAGGGTCGGGGATTCAATGTTGGTGACCGAGACGGCCTTTTGGGGACGGGGTTGGTGCATAGGGATCGGATTCGGGCGGCTCTCTTGGAACGCTGGCTTCTGTGGCAACGGATGCGTCTGTGGTTGCGGCAAGTCATTGATAGAAGTCTCGTTTGGCTGCATAGGGTAACCGTCCTGTCCAACAAATGGCTGGTTAGGGTGGACCGCAGGCGGGAGACGGACAACTGGCCGAGGGTTCTCGACGGGAATCGGGGCTCGCGACATGACAGAACCCGTGGGCGAAAACAAGTAGTCACGCCCGTCAGGGGCGAGAGAGGAGCGCCTGCTGAGAGCAATGCTAGGGGAGTAGGCGCTGCCGTAGTAGCTTCCGCCGAAGACGCTGGTCCGCCGAGAGAAACCTCCCATGGAGCCAAGACCAGAGCGAGGTTTGCCTCGAGTGCGCTGTTGGTTGGGCCGCATCGCCCGAGGGATAAAGATGAAAGATCGGTCCACAGCCGGGAAGATATACTTGGGTGGGTTGTCGGGCAGGGAGATGCGGACAGGCTTATCGCGCCGGAGGGGTGGACGATGATCCGGAAGCTTAGTGTACTGTTTGACTGGCATGCCAAAGGCGGCGGCAGCTTTGCCAACAACGGGAAGAGACACCCTGACCTGCACGTTGCCGATGTGTCGCTCGGTCGACAAAGTCCGGTTGATCGGGGTGGGGTTGGACGGACACGTTGGGATGAAGCCGTTGCCGTTGGCCGGGCCTTCAGTATCCACGGGCATATGCCTTGGCTGTCTCGAGGGAGGCGGTTCGGTCACGGCCTCGTGCATATCATGCGCCCATTGGCCGCTCGTGAGAGGATCGGTCGGACTGTGCAGTTGGCTGCGCGGGTTAGCCGGGACACGAGCTGAGTCTTGCAGGGAAGCGTACTTGATGGGTGCGTAGGGGCCCCCGATGCCTCCGCCACGGCCGCCGCGACCTCGTCCTCTGCCAAAGGGTCTGAAGCCATTGGCAGAGGGTCCGGCATGGCGATGGTCGTGCATGAAGAAGGCCCCTCTGTTGGGAACGAAGGCGGGGTCCTCATCCCTTCTCCGCTTGTATTCTTCGTGTTCCCGACGACGACGCTCATTGACAGGCTCGGCCGGGCGGGACGAGTGGGAGCTCACGACGAGGGGCGCAGATGACTTTGGGGGAGATGCGGCGCCGTCGAGTTGTGCCTCTTGTTGAACGGGCTCGGACTGGTCGTTACGAGATAGCTCCTCGGCATCGGATGCGGCCCTGTTGGTGGTCGAGGGGGCCAGGGCCGAGTGGCTCCGGCCAGCATGCTTTGCGTTCCCATTCCCAGCCGACTTCCTAGGGTTGAGGGTAACGGGAGAAGCCTCATCAATGTTGCTGGTATCGCTGTCATTGCCGTGATCGTGGTCGTCGCTGATGATGGAACCGTCGGTCAGAGAGTCATCATCGAGTTCGAGCTGGTCGGGTCCACCTTCTCCGTCTTCCTCATCCTCGATGCGTCTTCTGTGGCCAATCTTTCTACGTCGAGGGGCGGCCATGTTGAAGCTTGCTTGGAGCTACCTGTGACAGACTCTGGGGGTGGATGAGCCGGCTACGAGGTCGAGCGAGGGGCGATGCTCAGGTTGACGGGTAGGGCAGGCTCGAGGAGCGGAGGCGGCGGCGGAAAGATGTCGAGACAATCATGCGATGCTTGCGGATGATGGATGAATGGAAGAGGGGGGGAAAGCAAGTACCGCCCTGCGGTTGGCGAAGAATGAGGGCGATGGAGCAAACAGACAGCCAAGAAAGACGTATTAAATAAAATACAGCAGCTGCAGCAGCTGCGGCAGCACCGTTTCGTCGGGCCGTGGGGTGAGCAGCGGAGCAGAGCGGGAGGGGGATAAACGCAATGCTGCAGACGAGCTGGAGCTGAGCCCGTGTCGTCTCCTCTGACCTCTCTGCTTCTAATGAAAGAGCAGATGAAGGGGAAGCCTGGGAATAGGAGGAGGGTTGGGGTGCGAGGAGGAATCGCAGGGGTGGAGATGGTGATGATGTTAGAAGGGAGAGAGGGATTTCGGCCAGACGACAAAACCAAGACAGATGGGCGACGGAGACGGAGCCACCTCACAGACAGCTGGTGCAGGTGCAGGTGCAGGCGTAGGTGCTGGCGCTGGTGCACGCCCAGGTGGTGCAGTCCATCCTTCCGACCCGTTCGTTACTCGGCCTGGCAAAGAAAAAAAAAAAAATTGTGGTGTTATTTTTATTTCTCGTCTCTTGTGGCTGGAGCTGCCTGCTCCCACGCCGGCTCTGTTGGCAGAAGGTTCCTTACCTTAAGGTACTCTGCACCCAAGGAAGGTACAGAGCATCTTTAGCTGAAGTACCTGGGTTAATGTACCTTACCTTGGTGCACCCTCAGCCAGTAGGATTGCCTCCTTGGGCCGGCTCACCACGCCAGGCTTGGGACGTTGCTTGGGGCCGTTTGGGGCCTGGACCAGCTGGACGTGCCCGCTGTGGAGACCAGAGCTGTCCACTAAAGTCCCCTCGAAAGCTGTGAGGTATGAAGGATTCTGAGTCCAAGACTCCAAGCTACCGTACCGGAACCTTGGTAAGGTCGGGATACTAGCTAACTTTTGAGCCCGGCCGCCAATTAGATATTGTTACAGCGTCAGAATCGATCCACTTTGATGTCAGTTTCATCACGTCCGAGTCGTTCTCGCGTTGCTATCAGATGTCTGCCTGTCTATACAACCTCCAACTATCAACAACCTATACACGTCACTCAATCTCCTCGTTACACAACATGGAATCTCAGCAATCTAATCCATCAGGCACTTGACTAATCTCCGCCAGAAAGTCTGACCCTCTTCAAAAGACCCCAGCGTGATGCGCCGGCATGCCGTTTCAAGTCCCAAACGCTGGGACGGCCCAGGATCTACCTCGATCTGGCACCGAACCTTATTACTTCGTCGTGCTCACCATGTGCCTTGCCCGCAAGCCTTGGGATGAGATGACAACTGTTTGACTCCCAATAAGAACGAACCTAGCTATGAGCCAAGAGTCAAGGAACATACACCGCACTGGTCTTGTCAAAACAGATTGACCGTCTCATTCGCCAGGGGAATCAGAGAGCAGGTAAGCTGCTGACATGGTTTCCAGCTTGGCTTTTGTGTTGTTTCTTTTTCAACCTTGTCAAGTTGCCGAAATACAGGGTCCGTGGGCGATGGCGATGTTGGGTGTAGCAGGACCTTATTGAAGATGGCAATGCCAAAAGGTTTACAGAATGAACCCAGACAGCTGTTGGCGTCTCAAGCATTGATTTTCAAGTTGCGAAGATTCTTGAGCTCATGGCTTCGTCACAGCCAATCAGAGCGTCACAAATAGCTTGCACATTGAAATACAGTAAGAAGCGTAGTTGACCGAGCTAGGCAAGCTCTCTCGAAAAGCCAATCAACTTTTGTCTTACTGCTTAGCCTTTCGAAGGAGCTCGACTCAGACTAGTCCGGTTCCTTAAGGCGTAGCCACATGCAAACTAGATGTCAGTCTCACTGAGGTCATGACGATTATATATCACACATATTGTCAAGCTGGTAGCTGAATCTCCAGAACAAGAGAAGTGGCTAGAGTCACGAAAGGTATTCCATTTACCTACTGCCTGATCAGAGACTGATATTTACTTCTCGGGGCGCGGTAAGGTCTTAGCACCTATAAGTATTGGGCTTCCAGCAACTCTATCCTCTATTATTCAGGAGGAGAAGGTATTTGATGAAATATTGTATATTCATTGTCATTCGTATCTAGTCCCACTAGAGGAACATCCCGCTCAAGACACTTCATCCGGATACCCTATTACACATGTGTGCTTTAAGAGGGCGGTGTAAGGTTCTGAGTTTTCTCAATCTTAGGGACGCTGCCAAATCGCGTGTTTCCTTGATCCCAGATCTGCCCCAGAAAGTCAGCTTCATCTCATCACATTGTAGATCATCGGGATTATCATCGCCACTTACCGCATAAATCGATTTCAGGAACGCATCACCCAAGATGTCAAACTCGTTGGAGCCCCTCGACTGCACACCTCCGTACCAGAACCCGTCGCTCGCCGGCGCGAACGCCAGGTCCTCCTTCTGGATCACAAACTCCTTGTCGCCGACGGCGACCTTGAACTCAGGCAGGTCCTCCGCCTTGGTGCTGGTCGGGAACACGTACCCCTGCTGCTGGTCGTCGTACTTGGAACCCGGGATCGCCTTGTACAGCGCGTCGCACACCTCGTCCGAGACGAGCGCCAGCGTGGTGCCCGTGTCCGCGATGGCCTTATTCCCGCTCTGCGTCACGGTCTTGCCGTTGACGCTCGCGGACCCGGACTCGAACATCCAGAAGCCCTGCGAGTTGTCAATGTCGGTCCAGTGGATGTCCTCCCCGGAAGCCGAGACGAGGTCCGTGTCGATCCAGCCAAACGTGTAGAAAGACCTCGGCTTCGCCTCGTCCCGCTCGCTGTAGAAAGCCGAGGTGAAGAGCTCCGCGTCCTTGGGGATGTCCTGCTGCGCAATCATGTTCTCGACGGGTGTGGCCACGGGGTCGCGGAAATTGCCGTCGCGCATGACCGTGTTGATGGACCCGAAGGCGAGGCCGAGAAGCCCGTCTCCCGTGCCCTGGGAGAACTGGTCCGCGAGCTGCGAGGCAAGCTCGACGGCTTGGTTCTCGACCGTCAGCCCGCCGAGGACAAGGTTGTCAGTGCCAACGTCGCCTGACGCTGAGCTACCGTCGCCATATGAGATCTTCCACGTCTTACCGTCGAGCTTCTTGAAACTCGAGGACTTGGAGGCGTCGAAGATGTTGTGGTTCTTCTGCAGGGCACTGCTGAGCTCGGTCGAGAAGACCTGTAGTGAGATGTTAGTGAAGAGCAGAAGGGAGGGAATTTGTTTAAGATACCCAAAGGTCGGAGGAGCCCGTGTCAAAGTCCAACTTGAACTTCTGCGGTGGGGTGCCGATTGAGACTTCGCAAAGGTACATGGAGTCGTATTGCTGGTCTTCGGCCGTAACATCCCCGTGTTGGTCTTCGGCGACCTTCTTAGAAAGAACTTTGCCCAAGGACACACGACCGCCGACAGCGGCATTGAATCCGGGGGCTGCGAGCCCTCTCTGGGCCACTCGTCGTGTCTGGACATAGGGGCCTGGTTTCGTTGGCTCAAACTTGAACTTGTTCAGTAGGTAGACGTAGGATTTCGTGCCATGACGCTGGTAATTCTTGTTGGCGATCACGGGGATCTTGGAGAGACCCTTATCGGCCTTGAACTTGGCTTGAGCTTTGAGGAATGCCTCCATCTTGTATGTTTGAGTAAATGGGCTTTTGATTTGTATGTGTAGGTCAGATAGGTTAGGTCAAGTGGCTGGATAAGTCAAGGAAAGCTCGAGCGCTAGCTTGACGGATCAGGTTGATGAGTTAAATACCTGCCCGTTACGGTAAACAAGTGACAATGACGACTCGGAGGGACGGCAGCGGATGAACATGGACTGATTGGATTGAACGCGCGATGGCAGGCAGTAAACCTGTTTGGCCAGCGCTTGCAATGTGACGAGGGGCAGATATTAACCAGGAGATAGATAGCATGTCAATCATGCACTGGCCCATCGGGACTTCTTGTAAGACAACAAGCTATTGTTTCGCTGACGACGGCCCTCAGCTGACCTAGACCGAGATCGAGTTATGCGTTTTGTCATGGCAGGCCAGGGGAGAGCCCAATGCCGGCAGTGTGTGAGTGTGACAGCTCTCAGCAAGACAAGGGACGGTGAGGCGATGCAACTGCAGGCTTGAAACCGAGCTTTTGCGACTGCACGCACATTCGGACCTTCTGACCGTGCTCTTGAGCTGTGTGAGGGGGGGTTGGAAACAAGCCGGCCCTCGGGCCAACCCGATGAGGCAGTTGATAAGGGAGAAGAGGGGCGCAACTTGTTGGTGGAGTCTGCGTTGAGCCAACTCGAGCCAAATGAGGAGTTGGTTGAGAGGGGAAAAGGAAACGCAATGAAAATCGCGAGTTGCGGAGCAGTCTTTCGATGTCAAGCTGCCTATCTCTGAGTCAAAGCTCCGTCCGCCTGAACTCTTCAACAACCTGCTCTTGGCTTTCCGGTCCAGAAAGCTGCCGAGACTCAGCATGACGACTGACACGTGCGAAACCAGGCACAAGTCGAACCAAGGTTAAAGCTCCCAAAGGCCAGTCAGGAGAAGTGATTTCATCGAACGAACAAATCAAGCCAAGAGATGAGGTCTTCCCTCGCCGCCGATGATGTAACGAACTGCCGCACGGTGATTCCGGGACAGGGATCAGCTTAGCGGGCCATGTCCCGTCTTGGCGGCGATCGACTCCAGACTCCTGGGTACCCTGCCAAGCACGATGCAAGAGCCGAGAAGCAGATGAGGCCTCCTGTTCATGTCTATGCCACTGCTGGAGATGAACCGGTTTTTCCGTAAATGTAATCCTACCCGCCGGCTCTTATCACGATGTTCCATTCCGCTGTGCCGCGGCAGCATACACGAACTTAGACCAGGCAAAGATGCTCTAGCACCAGAAGGATGATGATGTGGTTTGTCTCAAATGCCAAAGGAAGCTCAAGGCCAAGGTACAAGGGCGTGTCATCTATTCCGAGACTCTGTCGACTTCGACTGACGGAATTTGGACTTTCAATGTTGTGATGTTCTCCTACTTAGACTGGACTGTGAATCCATTCCAACTCGAGAGCCTTAGGCGTTATTGAGCTTGATAATGCCAAAAGTGAAGCCTCGTACACCATTGCTGACCCAGCATGGCTCCCCATCGAAGAGGCTGTCGCTTTTGACTTCTTCTTCCACGGCCAAACCACTGATTTAGTTAGTCGAACGCTCGTCCCACGTTAGCAGGGAATGGCGAAATCTTGACTTGCCGTTCAAGTGCCCATCTACGGGTGGTCCCGTCTTGGCCACCGCTCCCATCTTCGGGACTGTACTTAGCAGCTACAGGCGGGGTGACCCATCTGCCGTTTCTATAAAAGAATGGGGTCGTCAGGCTACCCTCCATGACAGATCCGTCTTTCGAGTTGACGAGGAGGGTTTCCTTGCGATCTACCGGACTAATGCTCGCACGACTTCGGGCATTATCGTACATAGCTCGCTCCGTGGTCTTGTAATGCGTATATTCGGATTGCGAGGTCTTTGCGTCATCAATCACTACTGTCATGGGGTTATCCCCCGAAGGATACCCCGCCTCTTTTGATTTGCCTGGTGAGGGGAGTCGTTCTGGAAAGAGGTTTTCAAGTGGCACCGCTGGGATCTGTGATGCCTCGCAGCTGAGATGTCCTTCCGAGCTCAGCAAGACCTTGACTCTCAGCGGTTTCTCTCTCCCATGCTGGGTCAAGAAAGTCTCAATCGCCTCAGTCAGTCTTTGGAGGCCGTCCGATCCCGAGATGGCCTCGACGGCAGAGGTCCATTTCCAATGGGTAGCAGCCCGCAGCATCCGATCCCGGTGCAGGTCTAGCATGTAGAAAGGTGAGGTCATTTTGGCGTTCCATCCTGCATTGGCTAGGCGCCGTTTGGGTACGCCTATTAAGCCAGGGTCGTATCGAAGGGACGTGAATAGCTGGAAGTTGGCCATCGTGCTGGGCCCGTTATAGCAATTTCGGTGTTTGTTGCAGAAGGACCAGTGGTCAAAGTTGACGATGGAACGCGTCTCTAGCAGTCGAAGCGGAGGAAGTTATCCTCTGAAGTTTACAGGAAGTTGAATGACGTCTTTCGGAGAGCTGAAAAGAAGCGCAAAAGTGTCGGCTTTTGAGTTCCAGAGAGCACGGTTGAGAAACTGCAAGTACCACCTTGGTTGGAGAATGGTTCCCGGGGTCGTAGTGGGAGATAATTGCGGCGCAGTGATCTCCCGCGCATTTACGTAAGCAAACCAAGCCCAGTTCCTTGCCAGCAAGTCCAGCCATCAACCAGCACCGCAAATTTGAACAACTCAGCCCTTTAGAATCAAAGTTGCGTCAGAAATGGAGGCTAACAACTTCGGCCCGGACTGACTAGTTTGTTTTGTCATAAGCAAGAGGCGATCCGAGGCATTGGCAGCGAAGTACAAGATTGTTATCGAACCGGATACAAGCTAGGGTGATCAAGTGGTTCTGAATTTGTAGGAAATGAACATTTAAAGGAACTCAAGTTTCGTCCGTATCATCACCTGAGCTCACCACGGGCTCAATATCAAGTTCTTGATCTGCTATGGCAAAGGAGAGGCCTACAGTGATACTGAAACACTGTCCAGGAAGTGGGCTGAGTTCCACCGTGGCCCCGTTAGCCTTCGTCGTAGTCGAGGATCCATTTGTTCGTTGTTCTCATCAGTCACCCAAAGCATTCTGGGAACAACCGCCCATCTTAAAGGGGCACCGGCCAAAAGCCGCAAATTACCCTTCTCTCACAATACGAGGTACTAGGAGAATGCCAGAATGGCCATACCTGAGAATACGGGAGAACGAGACGAGAATATTATCGACCCCGTCAAGAGCTGCGAGGGAGGATTTGCAGGGCGACAAATGGATTCATGCAAGAGATGGACGTTTCTCTTAATCTCTCTAGCAGAGACTTCTAATGGTTGTCTGTTGGGGAGTATTTGCTCCAGAATTATCACAATGCGATGGAAATGCGTACACCCTCGCATGCCGCCCTTGAACCAGATGGCGGATGGTGCAGCAGTAAGGCTCACATGATATAATTTCCTCCACACATGAAGATAATTCACATGCCGACCCCGAATTCGATGGCAGAGAATCCAGCATTAATGCCCACAGGTCCTAACTTCATCCACTGTGAGGAGAGAATCCCGCATGGGTCCAAGGCGGCAACGACTTTGCTGTAGGACGTTCCTTTGATACCACGCTCAACTCGTTGGGCCCGTTCTCGAGAAATGGCTAACTAAACATCGAAGCTTTCAACAGGTACCTCAGTGCTTTAGCTGTTCTATTTCCTCTCTTTCTTTGCCCTGTAAGCGGTCATTCACAGAACTGCGAGTCCGATGTCGGGAGTAGACTTCTAATAGATACTCCATGGACTGTCTTTGGCGGCACCCATACCTGCCTCACAGTAGAACATGGCTCCTGTACGACGTCGCAGCGGCCTGTGACTAGTTGAACATCACAGGTCGCAGACATTACGGGCTCGGTGAGTATCACGCCGCTGTTGGCACCAAAAGGATGCGAACAACTTGATCACGGACAGATTTGCCTGAGTCGATGACCGCCCATTTCCAGTGGTATTCAGGCGTCTTCGGCACTGTCTGAACTTGTTGGACCTTGCTCTTCCATGAGTTGAAAGCTTCGCTGAGTGGGTGCATCCTGTGCAAGTTATCGGCATCTATGGTCAACCCAGCAAACTCGGCGACACGGGGTTACAACACAACCACGGGCAACTTTGATGACTATTAACCACGCCCTAATGAACCTCGCCGGCAGCCTAAAATACCGCCTGGATCTGCCTTTTAGCGCTGTAAACAAGGCTCAGAGTTGTTATACATCACTAATTATAACAATGGCGCAACATTGAGTACCAGTACGACCGATATCGATCCTTCGTCTGGCAACATGAAATTAGTCCCGGAAAGTGTGGTAAGTTCATCATGTTCATTGGATCTATGCAGTCGATTGAACAGTTCAATTAAAGTGGCTTTAGCCTGTGATGATAACATAACCTATTGTTGAAGCAGACTGATGGACCGCCATGCCTGCTTGATACTAGATTCTCAGAGTTCGGCGAGAATATAGCTCTCCGCGAGCTGCTAGGTCGGAGACATTGACACTATTCTTATGGCCGTCATCTTTTTTGAGCTCTAGGTCATCGCTGTCGAGAGCTGGGGCTCCAGCGAAGACTTCGGAATGGTATTCGTCTTATGATCGGCAATGGCGAAAGTTTACCCGCAAAGATGATCCTTGTGTGCCTGTGAGGGCAATTTATAACCCTGATTCGCCTTCACTTCTACGACTAGTTACAGCTGATTGTCCACAGTCAAACGGAGAGCGCAACTGCCGGACATTTGGCATCTGTCTTCTTACTTATGGTGAGTTACTTTGACCTTTCAAAAAGACAAACAGGCCGTGAATCAACTCAACTCACAATTGCCAGTGTGCAACATCTTTTCGACCCTCGTGATCACTTGAGTGGCACCAATCTGATGCCGGACCTCAAAAGAAATATGGCCTCACCAGGATTTGACTCAAACAGTGATAAGTCTGGGCTGATATCATCTTCATTGTATTCTTCCCACCATACCCTATGTTAAATCATAAGCAACGATTTCTCGAGCTGGATTAGACCTTGTTTGGTAGAATTTGCTATTTGCGTACGGATTTTTATCAAGACAAGGAGAGAGTACGACTAACAATGTAAAAGGTGGTACGGCACTTGACTCTTGGTGTTGCCTGTATTCAACTGCGGCCGAGAAGAGGAAAAAAGACAGATGATCAGCCATAGAGGATATGGTATAATATGGCAGACAATGCGGTTTTACTGGTTTGAAATAGTGAGCGGACCCAGTCACCATGCTTGGCCAAACAAACACACGCCATGCCAACAGTGACATATTTTAAGACGCACTAGAAAGGAGTGCGGTGGGACATATTGACTCATTGTAAAACCGCTTTGGTTCCATGAGACTGTAAAAGTCGATGGAGAACAGACCAAAGAGAATGATATGGAGGGAACCCAGTGAGTTTATCTCTCTCTACTTATCCGTACTGCAGGTGGTATTCGTGCAGTCCTGAGTCCAGGCGGTGACGACGTTTTATCTTGTCAAGGTACTCAGGTACCTCCCCTGTTTGCTTGCATGCTGCTCTGGCTCTGGCTGACCAACGAACCCTTGCCTTAAGGACAACCGTGACCCTCTTTGGTTACGTAGTGTGCAGATTTATAGGCGGTCCTCCCTTGCGCCCCCACTCTTAATCGCCTGAGGCCAAGCTGATTTGATGAATGACAGCACCAAGCAGAGGCAATTGCCCGGAAAAACTCCTCACGAGCTTCCCCGTCGCGCAATAATTTTTCGAGAACGGTTACTGAACGGAAGCTCCTAGCCCAGCGCAAGTGCAACAGCAACAGCAACAGCAACAACACCTGCAGCTCCTGCACCCTCTACATCATCGACCACGCTGGTCAGCCCATTAATTACATTCCTTTCGACCTCGCGGCTTTTCCTCCTAAACCACCCCTGATACGTTTCTTCACTTTTCTTCCCAATTGCTCTGGCCCATCGCCACAATGTCGAATCCCCTGCCGTCCGTGCCTCCCATGGCTAGTCCTCCGACTGTCATTCCCGTGGATTCGTCTTCTGGCCTCTGGGATCGCATCACCTCTTGGGCTTCGGACAACAAGGCCATTGTCTACACTGCTGCTGGTGTCGCCGTCGTCGCTACTGGTGCCGGTGTTATCTACTTCCTCAACAGCGATTCTGTACGTCATGCTTTCCATCTTATCCTCGCAAACCTCGTCATCATGCGATCCGATTTTTTCACCCGTTGCTACCGAGATCTTGGCGTCCTCTGCTGGCGCCAGATCGTTCGTCATAACTATTGAAGCTAACACAAGGGCGACTGAAGAAGACGGACTCGACACCAAAGCTCAGCAAGAAGGAGCGTAGGAAAAGAAAGGAAGCCGAGCGGAAAGCTGCAGCAGATGCCGAAAAGCAGCCCACACCTGCGGAGGCCGCAGCCCCTGCGCCGTCCCAAGTAGCCAGCGTCGAATCCGCCGACGAGCTTCCCGAGATCACCGAGACGACTGTTGCGACCTTCACCATCGAGGAGCGCGAAAAATACGCCGCCAAGCTTAAGGACGTCGGAAACCAAGCGTACGGTGGTAAGGACTACAACAAGGCCATCGACCTTTACTCGAAGGCTATTCTTTGCAAGGCCAACCCCATCTTTTACTCCAACCGCGCCGCCTGCTACAATGCCCTGGGCAACTGGGACAAGGTCGTTGAAGACACGACTGCCGCCATCAACCTTGACCCCGAATACGTCAAGGCTCTGAACCGCCGTGCTAATGCCTACGAGCACCTGAAGATGTACGGCGAGGCTCTTCTCGACTTCACTGCTTCTTGCATCATCGATAGCTTCAAGAATGAGAGCAGCGCTCAATCAGTCGAGCGCCTACTTAAGAAGTTTGCCGAGCAGAAGGCTCAGGAGATGATGGCCAGCCGACCCAACAAGCTCCCTAGTCACACTTTCGTGGGCAACTACCTCCAGAGCTTCCGCGTCAAGCCTCGTCCGGCTGGTCTTGAAGACTCTGTGGTGTTGTCCGAGGAGACCGGCAAGGGACAGCTCCAAATCGGCCTGAGCGCTCTGGAGAAGAAGACGGGCGAGGGCTACGAGGAGGCCAGAGCGGCCTTTGAGAAGGCACTGGAATTGGGTGATCTGGGCGACTTCGAGGCCCTGGCTTACAACTTGCGCGGTACTTTTAGCTGCCTGCTCGGAAAGCACGACGATGCCATGGTCGACCTGACAAAGAGCATCGAGTTGGACCCTTCCATGACCCAGAGCTACATCAAGCGCGCCAGCATGAACCTTGAGCTCGGCGCACCGGAGAAGGCTGCTGACGACTTTGAGAAAGCCATGGAGCAGAATACCGAAGACCCCGATATTTACTACCACCGCGCTCAGCTCCACTTCATCAAGGGCGAGTTCTCCGATGCCGCCAAGGACTACCAGAAGTCGATCGACCTGGACCGCGACTTCATCTTCTCCCACATCCAGCTTGGAGTGACCCAGTACAAGATGGGGTCCATCGCATCATCCATGTCGACCTTCCGGCGCTGCATCAAGAACTTCAAGGAGGTTCCTGATGTCTACAACTACTACGGCGAGCTGCTCCTGGACCAGGGCAACTTCCAGGAGGCGATTGAGAAGTTCGATAGCGCCATTGAAATGGAGTCGAAGACGAAGCCCATGGCGATGAACGTGCTTCCGCTCATCAACAAGGCTCTCACCCTCTTCCAATGGAAGCAGGACTTTGGAGAAGCCGAGAAGCTCTGCCAGAAGGCGCTAATCAGTAAGTTTATAGACAATTACCTAACAACGGAATGTGTTTGCTGACCCTTGATAGTCGACCCCGAATGTGATATTGCTGTCGCGACAATGGCCCAGCTTCTTTTGCAGCAGGGCAAGGTTACCGAGGCGCTCAAGTACTTTGAGCGCGCTGCAGAGCTTGCCCGCACCGAGGGCGAGATTGTCAATGCTCTCTCCTATGCCGAGGCTACGCGCACGCAGCTCCAGGTCCAGGAGAAGTACCCCAAGCTGGCGGCAAAGCTCCAGGGCATCGGCCCGGGTGGCATGCCCCGGTAAAGGATTGATATTATCCAGGACATGAAACGTGTAAAACCTACCTGTCGGCGTCGTGTAAGAAGAGAATAGCAGATCCCTTAGCATACGGGGGAGCGGACGGCCAAGACAAAAGGGGCTCTTGGTTGGTGATAGGGGAAAATATCAAGGCGGGCAAGTCGCTCGTCTCGTTTGTATGGTGTTTTTTTTTGTTGGCCCGTGAGGGAAGCTTTGGGAAAGGAGCACGAAATTCAAGGCTACGTACGTACGGCTGGGGAGGCAATGGTTGAAACCCTTACGTTGTACATAATCCGACTTCCCTCACTCTACGTACATTGGTGAGAGCATTGTAGAACTAGTCCACTGTCTATCATCTGTAACCCTCTCTGTTCCGCGACCCATGCGTGTCTCAATCCACTTTTGTCTATACATCCGCCTGTGATTCTTTGCAGAACATGTTCGAAGCAGAGAATGGCTTATAATTCGTGGAGGTCCGTCCGTACGCACAATCACGATATAGCTGTGAACAACTGCTTGTCAGGCCAAGAAAACAGCTCCAGCCCGTGCATGTGCATTTGGTGGGAGTGTGCAGGCTCCTTGCATTCAAGTAGAGAGTCGTGATCTGGACCACCCAAAGCGTCCATATAACAAAACTACAACACAAGAATAGAACATCACAACAACCTCGATTAGCACACAAGGCAAAACAAAAGTTAATGGACGATCTGGGAATCGAACCCAGGACCTACCGCATGCTAAGCGGTCATTATACCACTAAACCAATCGCCCAAGTGGAATGATCTAGCCCGGACTTGAACCGGAGACCTTCAGTGTGCCAGACGAGAGAGGCGAGGCTCTCAAGGGACTGTTAGACTGACGTGATAACCAACTACACCACCAGACCATGTTTGTTGGACTCGGAGGAACGAAAGGGTGACTAGGTACGTTTGGGAACGGCAGGTTGCGGACGCTTGGGCTGGGTCAGGCCTACGGCGTGGGCGTTGCTGTGGAATGTGCAAAGTGGATGCCTGTGGTCAAGTGGCATCGTGAGTGCAAATTTCGTTACTTAGTAAGACGGGGGGAGGAGGGGGGGGGGCGGGGACCCTCACGAACGACAGGGGTGCGCCGTGTTGATGGAAAAATCCGACAGGCCTGGACCGGCCGGGTTCTCGCGTGGCTGCCATGGCTTGCACGGCTTGAAAGCGATGAGATGCTGTTAGGCAGACCGGGTGGGCCGGAGTAGACGCGGTTGCAGACTTTGGGGAACGACACACCAAAGGTCATAGGACATTGGCAGGACTACCTGCTCATTACCTTAGGACGGGCAGATGTCATGGGGTGAGGTAGGTTCATAACTGTTCGCTATTGTGCGATACGTACAAGAGGAGAAAAATGGTGGCCTCACTTCTCCCCCGTTCACTCACTACGTCCAAAGGACTGCAGAGCTACGGGGGAAAGAGATGCAAAATAAATACAGAAAAAATAGTCCACTCCGTAACCCCCAACCCGTCCGATCGTATGAAGAGTATGCGTGCGTACAATAAATCAATCGTTGGTGGGGAATCAAGAGCCCGCCGTGTCCTATACGCGGCAGCTGGAAAAGAAAATCGTGGCTTCGTCGGAAAAGAGCTGGGTTTTTTTTTTTGGGCAAGAGGCAGTGCGCGCGCTTGCTTCGCCGTCTTTGCATGTTGCCCCCCATTAGTACCGTCCATTCGTCCGAGCCATGGTCATGAAATCTAAACAATCGTAGTGCTGCTCTTTTAAAAGTGCTGTCCCATTCCATCATACGGGGAGGCGCCGCGTTTTCTCCCCTTCCAATTACCTGCTCCGAATCGTCGTAGTGTATTTCCGCACACGGTTGTCCAATTGCTTAATTACCCGTCGAAACTGGGAAGATTATCTCGGGCAGGTGCTTTATGACCTCGATGGCCTCAAACTTGGTGTTGGAGCTGGAGAGGTTTACTTCTTAGTGAGGGCGACGCCCAATCCCACACCGAGTGCGATGGCGAGGATGATGAGTACGACAACGAGGAAGCACCACCACTTGAGCTTTCTGCGTCTGCGAGCGTGCTGATTGGCCACCTTGACCTCTTCGTTACCCTTTTGGATGTTCTCGACGGTTTGTTGGGCGTTTTGCTCGGCGGCTTCGACGACGGGCTCCTGTTGCTCGACCAGAGTGGCCATTTCCTGGAAGAGTTGTGCCAATTCGATAATGGTCTGTTCAATGCGCTGCAACTCGTTGTGGCGGGCTCTGACGTTGCCCAAAATAGAGTTGGCTTGGCCTGTCCGGTTGGATTTGAGCTGGTCACGCCGTTAGTATACGGTGCCGGCGGGCCGAGAGAACTGGCAACAAAAACCATGCTAAAACATACCGCTGTTTGGAATACACCTTCGTCGCCCCAGTCCAACTGTGTTGCCTGCTCGACCTCATCTTCCGTCGCTTCCGGGTTCACGATACGGTACTGGCGGGCAATCTGGTCACGGTACCGCTTCTGGTAATCACGTTCGATTTGCTGGTACTTTTCGAGTTCCGACTTGAACGTGTTCTTCAAGGAGTTGAGCTGGGCGGTCTTTGTTGCGCGCGATACGTCCTGCGTCTTGGCCAGATCTCTCTCGAGGGCCTTGATGCCATCCTTGACAGCGGTGTTGCGGAGTTGCGTCGCGGAGACGGCCTGCTCCAGTTGGTAGCTGGCGCTGCCGTCGGGAGAGCCGAGCGAGCGCTGGTGAAGCTGGGCAATGCCCTCGACGTCGGAAGTCAGGCCCTGGATCTCTGAGCGCAGGTACTGAACTCGCTGGAGGAATTCCTGTTGGCTCAGAATGGTGGGAGCGGGTTGCTCGGGGTACTTGTCCGCCTCTCCGTACGGCTGCATTTCGTATTGACCTTGGCCATATTGAGGCTATTGTAAAGGCAGTTAGCAATATGGTATTGACAAGACATGCGCGGGCGGCATTGGAGGGCGACAGACCTGCTGGTTGTCATAGCCGTATCCGCCCTCGGCCTGGGGGCCCTGGGCGTAGGGATTTTGGTTATACTGCTGGTACGACATGTCTGACTATAAGCAGCAGTCGATGTCGATGGCACACAGCGCGATTCGAATTGCGTAATTCAACGACCGAAAGGAATTGACGTTGAGAGTCCGACGGCGAATATGGGGTGATTGAGTCGGCGCTCTCGTGCGTTTGTTGTGGTGGTGCAAGGTGAGGACCTTTCGGCTGATGTTTGGTTGTTAAATGACGTTGGACGTCCGGCCGCTGACAGGAACTGGGAAGTGCTGGAGAGGCGCTGAAATGACAGTGAGGACGGACCCAATCAGGCACTGGGACCTGTCAGAGCGGATACCCCGGGCTGTGTCTATGGTTGGATGGAGTCGCTCGTGAACGGGGCGAAAGTGGGCAGGATTGGCCGATCTGCTTTCGGGGGTCCCTTTTTTTTTTTTGGTCCCTTCTTCTTAAAACTTGACGAAAAAGAAACAAACAAACAAGCTTTACGAAGGAAATTCCTTTGGTTTTTAAAATGAAGGCAGAGACTTTCGCGCCTGTCCACCAAACTTTTCAGACCTTAGTAAGAGTCGGACTCAGTACCTCGTGCCTCGAGTCCCAAGACGTCGGCCGGGAACACAGAGACTGGATGAAGCGAACACTAGGTCAGTGACATCAGAACCTGTTGCGCCGACTGGCGGGGCGAAGCTTATTATACTCGGGAAGCATGCTCTTCTCTGTGGCAACTTGCGGCAAGGTAGGAACGGACGGACGGTCTCACACACCACCCCCCAGCAAGTCCTTGGGTCGTTTCCTCACTCCTCACTCCTCACTCCTCACTCACGCTCACGCGCGCACATGGACCTGAGTGACTGCGCTCTTTTGGGTGCTCTTTTCTGCATCTGCCCACCGCCGTCCGACGGGCCTTTGGTGCTGGTGGGAGGCTGGAGCTGCCCCTCGTTCGCTCCGGGGGTCCGACAAGGCCTGTCCGTTTTTTTTTTCCATTCCCGTCCTTTCCTGTTCTCGTTTGGTGAGGAGTGCCCAGCCACCCGGCTACGGAAAAGGTGACGATTGACAGCTGAGAATCGCAATGGAACGAGCATGGGCATATGCGCTGCTGAGTGGCGGGCGGATGTTAATCGTGTCTAAGCACCAAAAATAGACCTTAAGAATACGGACTGCGGCTACAGACTGCTTGGGATTTGAGGTTTCCAATGACCGACCAATCGACTCGCGGCCATCGCGTATAGAAAGAACCCTTCTCTCAGACGCAACGCCGAGAAAGCGACAGGCAGACACTCCAGGTCCGCATGCTTCGGCTCAGGTCGCTGACCATGCCGGTCCCTAGCCCGGATAATCGTCACCATTGTGTGGCTGTACGGACACTCACATTTGATGTCCTAAGCCTCCACTCCCTCCTCGTCTTCCTACGGATTAGAACTTAAGCAGACATTCTCAGGGCAGTGCTCATTGCTGTACCGCCGCTATACCCACTTCGCCTCTCTCGTACCCCTGCCCTCCAAACAATCTACGGCGATGAAAGGAGGGAACACTGTGAGAATCTACAGAGCGGCGGCCACTGGTTAGTGAGGGCGCCGACCTGTGTGCTCTCTCCGTACTTTTCGACCTGTACCCATGTTGCGCATTTGTCCCTGGCGGGTCTTCCTTGGACACTGAATTCTGTAAATCGCTGGCGCCATCTGTTTCTCCCGTCCAATGTTCAACCGTCGTCCATAGAGCTCTTGGCATGGTCACCGCCATGGACTGCTACTGCTGGCTGCCCATTGGCTCGTAGTAGCTGTCGCAAAGAAGCTGCCGTCTCGAGGCATCACCTGCTCCTCGGGGAATGGAGCCACAACCATTGAGCCGCGGCCAATTTAGAGGTGGTTTTAAACTCAATTAGTGATCATGAGCGCGCGGACCCCGAAAGGGGGGGGCGGGCGACTGGGTGACTGTTCCTGTTAGAGGCATTGAAAGCGGAACTTGAGCAAATCAACAATTGCAGTCTCCGTTTTCCAACTCGCACAATCGAGTAATACCCACGGCAATCAGGTAAACGTAGTCATTGTTGATCAACGCTGTGATTCGTTTCATTGTCTTTAGTCATCTCCCCGCTTGAAGCTTCGACAAGCGCTTATTCCCCCCTCCTCCAATTTCACCACCTTACTTTTATAAGCCGCCCACAACTCTTGAGCGTTCTAATCTGGATATCTTCTAATCCAACACCAATTTTGTCACCGAATTCACGCGGCTCCACGAAAGCCACCGGTAGGGCTCTCTTCTCTTCGAATTTGTCGAGGGCGCTTGAGCGGCGCTGGGTATAATGACCTCATCGAAAACCGAGTCCTTGTCAGCCCCCAAAATCTTCTTCATGAAATTTCGGTTGACAACTCCTTTGCGTGGTTGCTGCTATTCGCACACGCAAACGGGCCGATTTCCTGAGCGCCGACCGTATTATGCGTGCCCCATGATTTTTCTCACAGCAGCAACGCCTTGAGTCTTCGGCAACTCCTGCGATAAGGCTTCTATCCTGTGGTCTTTCTTCATAGATATTCCTTCTTTCTACCAGTACGAGTGTACTGTGTAAGATGCCATTCAGTGTCGCCGTCCTTATTTTCCAAAGTGCCACCACGGATCTCGAACGGACGCATTGTCATCCGAGGTCCGACCTCAGCAAGCTCGACAGAATCGTATGAAGTCCGTACAAAGACGTGACTATCAGGGTGTTAGCAAGGATCTAGTGGGGGGTTGAGCCAAGAATGAGCTTACTGTCTCACTTCTATGGAATCCTCTGGAAGTCTGTTAATGATCATTCTGGATGAAAGGTCAGGCTTTAGCGGAGTACATACCATTGTTCACAAATGTCACTACTCTTGATCCTATCTTGGCCTTGGTGGTAATTGGATCGCGAGGAGGGAAAAGATGCTTCAGGATCTTTACGATCCGCTGGCCAAGCCGACTAGAATGGTTGTTTGCGGTTAGTGATCGTCGACCAACTTCTGAAGAAGATATGGGTGGCTGACATACCTCTTGAACCCCTCAAAAATCAGATGGGGGTACGCCTCTGAGACGGAACCTCTGATGCTCCCAGGGATATCGTGCCGCAACACAACGTTGTGTAGAGAGAACGAAGCCGTAGGTCCGTGAGGAAGGTGAGAAATACTTGAGACGAGAAACGTCAGCATGCGGTTCAACGTGGATTCAAGAGACAGTAACGTACGTCATGGCAGTTGGTACACCTCGATGTTCGTGAAGGAGTACGATGTCTGAGAGACCATTTGATTTGCTAGACTGCACAAGATCGGGGAGAATCAGGTTTCCACGATTAAGCCTAACGGATGTCGGCAATAGCAATCTGATTTCCTTGGAAAATGCCGACAGGCGCGAGGACGGTTCTCTTGAAGTCGAGACAAGAATTCGAGGTTCGGAAATCCCCGAAAGCTGAGAGTACTCGTCGTCAAGGTCCATCTCCTCCTCCACGCTACGATCGGGTCGCGATTCGTCATACTGGTAGTCTTTCCGCAGCGCCTTGTTCTTTGCGATTTCTGGGTCGATAGGCTTGCCAGAAGCAAGGGCAGATCGCAGCTGGGCGCGTTTCTCGGTCGTCTCTGCCTCTTTCAGTATAAGGGCCTTGCGATAGAGGTAGTCGCGCCGTTGTCGAGCCTGTTTCCGAATCATGCTGGGCAATTGCGTCGAGCAACGTTGATTTGGGATGGTCGGTTGTTCCTTATTACTGGAGTTTGGCGATTCCTTCCCCCCAGGTAGACAGGCTGATAGAAAAAAACCTTATCAGGTGGCAGGTATCCACTTTCAAGCACTCCAGTATGCCGATCACGTGGCGATAAGCTACATCCCACCAAAACACCACCCTTTCGCCGCTGCTCTGTCGGGCTTTGGATCTTTTTGATACAGCTGGGTGCTTGGATTCACCAACGAAAAGGCACACAACCGCTCACGACAGGTTCTTACCCCGTTGGTGTACCTTTGAGGTTTCCGCACGAATCCCCCAACCTCACACACCGATATGATGTGACCTTCCCCATCCCCGATCCACCTCGAATCCCCCTTCCGTACGACCTGAGCCTACTGAGGCTCTGCGACGCCGAACCATTCGAGAACCATTAAGAAGCTGAAGTAAGTTGCGCTTCCCCATGGCACCCGAATAGATTTCTCTGACACTGCCACAAGCGCATATACCGAAATTTCTACATTCATATCGTTTGCGACAGCCGACTAATCCTTTCTCAAGGTAGATCAGCAGAGAGAAGCAGAAATCCGGAACATCGCGAATATGGAAAGCGCCTTCAAAAATCTCGGGAACCACCTGGTTTCCGACAGCGCTGCTGCAATAAAGGCAGGCGACGATGTCTTGACCGGTATCGATGCCGACGAGAGCCTCCTCTACGGCAAATTCGGCGGCCGCGACGGTCGCCGCCGGGCCGACGATGACGACAACCAAACCGAGCTATACGATGACGATGATGTCGACAGCCTGACCAGCATGCCTGTTGGGGCTATGAAGGATCTCAATATCGGAAGACCCAAGGAGGAAGATAGGAAGCTTCCCCCTCACGCTTGCGCGTATGTCTTGCTTCCGAACTTCCTACCTTCCTTTCAAAGCTGACACTGGCTCAGGTATTGTGGAATTCATTCCCCTAGCTCCGTTGTCAAGTGCCTTGGCTGCAACAAGTGGTTTTGCAGTGCCCGTGGAAATGCAACCTCCAGCCACATCGTGTCCCATCTCGTCCGGGCGAGACACAAGGAAGTCCAGCTTCATCCGGAGTCCACCTTGGGTGATACTGTGCTGGAGTGCTACAACTGCGGAACCAAGAACGTTTTTCTCCTGGGATTCATCCCTGCCAAGTCAGACACCGTTGTTGTGCTTCTTTGTCGTCAGCCTTGTGCTGCGAATACCTCTTCCAAGGACATGAGCTGGGATACCTCTCGATGGCAGCCCCTCATTGAGGAAAGAGCCTTCCTGACCTGGCTTGTTGCGACACCATCCGATGCCGAGCAACTCCGCGCTAGACATCTCACCCCGCCCATGATCGCTAAGCTGGAGGAGATGTGGAAGGAAAATGCGACTGCAACGGTTGCCGACCTTGAGAAGGCTGCTAGCATCGACGACGACCCTCATCCTGTCCTGCTCAAGTACGATGACCCCTACCACTACCAGAACATTTTCGGCCCGCTTGTCAAGATGGAATCCGACTACGACAAGAAGCTCAAGGAAGCGCAGTCTGAGGATGGACTTACGGTTCGCTGGGATTACGGTCTCAACAACAAGCACCTGGTCAGCTTTGAACTGCACAAGATAGAGTCGGGTGATGTTAAACTGGCCGTGGGCGACGAAATGCGACTGCGGTACAAGGGCGAGCTCCGCCCAGCCTGGGAGGGAGTCGGCTATGTCATCAAGATCCCCAACAACCAGTCTGACGAAGTCACTCTCGAGCTGCGTAAGGCCGGCAACGAGAAGACCGTCCCGACCGAGTGCACCCACAACTTCTCCGCAGACTATGTCTGGAAGGCTACTTCGTACGATCGCATGCAGTATGCTATGAAGACTTTCGCCGTGGACGACATGAGTGTCTCGGGCTACATCTTCCACAAGCTCCTGGGCCACGACGTCGCCGTCGCGCCGATGAAGACGACTATGCCTAAGAAGTATAGTGTCCCCGGCCTCCCCGACCTCAACACCAGCCAGATCGCCGCCATTAAGGCTGTGCTGTCGACCCCGCTCAGCTTGATCCAGGGACCACCGGGCACTGGCAAAACTGTTACTTCGGCGACCATCATCTACCACCTGTGCAAGATGAACAACGGACAGGTCCTTGTGTGCGCGCCCTCCAACGTTGCCGTCGACCAGCTCTGTGAGCGTATCCACCGTACCGGTCTCAAGGTCGTTCGCCTTACGGCCAAGTCCCGCGAGGATGTTGAGTCATCCGTGAGCTTCCTTGCTCTTCATGAGCAGGTTCGCATGAATGACAGCAACGGTGAGCTTGTTAAGCTGGCGCAGCTCAAGACCGAGCTCGGCGAACTTTCTAGCCAGGACGAGAAGAAGTTCAAGCAGCTCACCAAGGCGGCCGAGAGAGACATTCTACACAATGCTGACGTCGTCTGCTGCACTTGCGTCGGTGCCGGTGATCCCCGCCTGTCAAAGATGAAGTTCCGCAACGTTCTCATCGACGAGTCGACTCAATCGGCTGAGCCCGAGTGTATGATTCCTCTCGTTCTCGGATGCAAGCAGGTTGTCCTGGTCGGTGATCACAAGCAGTTGGGCCCTGTCATCATGAACAAGAAGGCTGCAAAGGCTGGTCTCAACCAGTCCCTGTTTGAACGTCTCGTCAACTTGCGCTTGGTTCCCATCCGCCTCAACATCCAGTATCGCATGCACCCCTGCTTGTCTGAGTTCCCTTCCAACATGTTCTATGATGGATCTCTCCAGAACGGTGTGACTGTCAAGGATCGTGTTCGACGCGATGTCGACTTCCCTTGGCCTGTCGTGGATATGCCGATGATGTTCTGGTCCAATCTCGGCAATGAGGAAATTTCGGCATCCGGAACGTCCTACCTCAACCGCACCGAAGCCTCCAACGTGGAGAAGGTAGTCACCCGCTTCTTCAAGGCCGGAGTCAAGCCTTTGGACATTGGTGTCATCACTCCGTACGAAGGTCAACGAAGCTACATTGTTAGCACCATGCAGAACACCGGCACCTTCAAGAAGGAGAGCTACAAGGAGGTCGAGGTTGCCTCAGTCGACGCCTTCCAGGGCCGTGAGAAGGACTTTATTGTTCTGTCCTGCGTTCGATCCAACGACAACCAGGGTATTGGTTTCCTTTCGGACCCCCGCCGTCTGAACGTCGCCTTGACCCGTGCCAAGTATGGTCTTGTCATCATCGGTAACCCCAAGGTCCTTTCCAAGCATGAGTTGTGGCACCACCTCCTTGTCCACTTCAAGGACCGCAAGTGTTTGGTTGAGGGTCCTTTGACCAACTTGCAAACCTCGCTGCTACAGTTTGGAAAGCCCAAGACAGCATATCGCCAGAAGATGAGCCAGCCCCCTCAATTCAACACCAGCGGCGGATTTCCCAATGGCGGCGGCAACCGCTTTAACGGTGCTGGATCTACGCGCGATTTTGACTCGGGGTCTATGATGTCTTACATTCCCGACGACGTCTCCTCGATCCACAGCTCTCTAGGCGGTGCTGGCCTGAACACCACTTACCCTCCCATATTTTCGAGCTTCACCCCTGATCAGTGGCCTGGCCTCCCCGGAGTGCCCGGATCCAGCCGCTCCGGCGTCAAGAGAGGAGGTCGCGCCACCGAGAGCGTTGCGGGCGAGAGTGTCGCAAATTCCGAGTACACGGATGCCAGCGCCAGCGTCATTGGTGCCAAGGGTGTCGGACAGGGCGGTGTCAGCCTCGGCGCCGGTCTCCAGGACGCCATCCACGGCATGCGCCCTGCGTCCTACAGCCACAGCGACCGCTTGAAGCATTATGTTGAGAGCGGTGGTCGCATGGGAGCCGGCAATGGCTTCGGCCGTCGCTACGACGACGATGAAAAGAGCGTCAGTACCGCCTTCCACAGCCAAATTGGTGGCGGCTTCGACTGAGTGCCGAGATGGATTGGGACAGGGACTTGCTTTACCAAACCAAGGGTTATTCATACCTCATCCTCCGAAGGCTTAAGCCCTCGCCGCACCATGCTCGGTGCTGTACCGAGGAACAGGCAGCACGCCTGAGCCTAGAGGCGTCTCAGAATACCGGCACCGGTCATCGAGAATCACTCTACGCGGCCGACCATTCGGCTTCCAACGACGACGACGTGCCGCAGGCGGGTCATGGCCCGGCCAGCGAGAGCTGCAACCGACGGAGGGGGTCGCACGCGCGCCCTCAACGGCCCGTACTTTGCAGATTGCCAATCAGAGAGATGTCGAGTGTTAGCAAGGGGAGGAGATCTGGCGGGATAAGAGATCATGCTCGGGCGGAGGACACGGATCTGCGTCTGAGGAGGCAACTCAAAATACGGTCGAGCACGCGTAGAAGCGACAAGTCTTCTATGGCACACTGCATTTACTTCGAGGAAGCCCACGACAGATGTTATGCAGTTCTGTGCTGCACGCTTTCCCAGAAAGCCGCACTACGAGATCCAGCTTAGAGTTTAGCTTCTTAGTCTAATCACCGTCTTTATTTGCACCTTGTCCACTGCCCCAGATTGCGCCAATCATCGTGAGACCACTTTCCCACAGTATCCTGATCCACAGGCCTGGCCGGACAAATGAATTTATCAATGTGGCACACGCGGACCCTGTGTTTTCAAGTGTGGGATAATGTAGACTCCGAACTACCTCAAGTGCCTTGCTTGCTTGTTCGGATTCCATCATTGCAAGGTTCGTATCCTCTTTTTTCCTTGCTGAGGGCGTAGCATCGGCCAATCCACTGATAGACAGGGGCCGGGCCCAGGTACCCCGTAAACTTTTGAAATAGATTGTCAGCGACGGGGGGGCACCCATGTCCGGGCGCGGGAGCCTCACCCAATCTGACAATGACAAACTGATCAGTAACCCCCCTGACGCAGATGCTCGTTGCGAGACCGGGCCATCTGAAGGGAGGTCCACTTTGACGATCCATCCGATTCTTGGCGTCGCAAAACGTTCGGCGAGCGGTTACGAATTTCGACTTGCATCAATCAGCCAGCAGCCACCGGGCGGCAATGTTCGGGGGAAAAGGGTGAACGCCAAGATGGGAAAGGTGGAATTGGCTTCTTGGCATTTGGTTTGGACGTACACCACACGCGTGCGCATCAATCCCTTGCCGTCTTTTGGCGCGGGAAAGGCGCGGGAAAGCAAAACCCGTTGTTTCCTCAACCCCCTTTTGACCGCCTAGGATGTTTGTTCACTGGCTTTGGGAAGAAGTTCTGGCGCTTCGGCTTCTTCCTTCCAACCTTCTTCCAATGCCAAGTTTCGTCCCTTGACCCAAAAAGGTTGGTACTTGGACCTCGCTTTTAATCGGAGCGTTGGTTTTTCCCCGACGGAGTTGATCCTCTTTGCTGGGTGAATTGACGGATTTCTCCCTCGACACCGGGGTCTTTTCCCCCTCGTCTCGACGGGGAAACGACATGAGCAACGAGGTGCGCCGAGAAATGCTGCCGCTGCTGCCTCTCTCACCTTACCTCGAGTCGCCAACATGATCACCATACGACGCCGCCGCCCCGCGAGGCCTTTAATTTATCTGGGCATCGCCCTTACACTGCTGTTTTTCTGGCATACCGGTCTTCCCGCCGGCTGGGCCGCCGGCACCATCAGCTACAACGGCATCCGCTACCGCAAGTCCAGCTACGACTGGGCGGGCCTAAAACTCGAATATCCGCTCGAGAAGCCACTGCGTACGCCTCCGAGAGGCACACCCGTCGAACTACCAAAAGTTCAGTACGATTTCGGCGGCAGCGAGAAGCGAAGGGGGAACAAGGCGATCAAGAAACTTTCTCACGACGAGAACGGCGACAGCGATCGGGAGAAGCAGAGCGAGTCGAGACGGGCCGCGGTGGTCCACGCTTTCCGGCGCAGCTGGGCGAGCTACAAGGAGAATGCGTGGACGTGGGACGAGCTGACTCCCGTATCGGGCCATGGCAGAACCACGTTTGGCGGCTGGTCGGCCAGTCTGGTCGATGGCCTCGACACCCTGTGGATCATGGGAATGCACGACGAATTCCGCCGGGCCGTCCGCACCGTTGCGCTGATTGACTGGTCCAATACTACGGAGACGGCCGCCAACATGTTTGAGACGACGATTCGCCACCTGGGTGGTCTCATCAGCGCTTATGACTTGAGCGGCGAGCCGGCTTTGCTAGCCAAGGCCGTTGAGCTGGGTGACATGTTGTATGTGGGCTTTGATACCCCGAATCGCATGCCGCCTTTCTGGTTCAAATTCTCCGACGCCAAGTACGGCACGCAAAAGGTGGGCGAGCGCGAGTCCTCGGCTGCGGGGTGCTCGCTCTCCCTGGAGTTTACCCGCCTGTCCCAGCTGACGGGCGATGCGAAATACTACGACGCCACGGAGCGAGTGAAGGAGTTCCTCGTCATGACGCAGAAGCGAAGCAAGCTGCCCGGCATGTGGCCAATGTACATGAACTACCGCGACGAAACGGTGGAAGACGGTTCCTTTACAATCGGCGCCCAGGCTGACTCCCTCTACGAGTATCTGCCAAAGATGCATGCCCTGCTTGGCGGTCTCGACAGCGAGTACGGGAAGCTCACAGTCGACTCTTTTGATATCATTGGCAAACACATCCTCTTCAGGCCCATCCTTCCTAATAATACAGACATCCTCATCCCGGGCAACGCCTTTGCCCACGGCGACAACGTCGAACTGACGCCCGAGGCGCAGCACCTGGGCTGCTTCGCCGGCGGCATGTACGGCCTCGCCGGCAAGCTCCTGGGCCGGGACTCGTATGTCACCATCGGCGAGAAGATCTCCCGCGGCTGTGCCTGGGCGTACGAGGTCTTCCCGACGGGTATCATGCCCGAGATTATGACCTTTTACCCTTGCAACGAGCCGGACCACGGCCCCTGCGAGTGGGACCAGAAGTCGCACGGCAGCAAGAGCGACGTTCCCGGCGGCGTGAAACAGGTCCGCGACGGCCGGTACATGCTCCGCCCGGAGGCCATTGAGAGCATCTTTTACATGTACCGCATCACTGGCGACGACGAGTGGCGCGAAGTTGCTTGGACAATGTTCCAGAGCATCCGGCGCGCGACTGAGACGCCGCTGGCGTATTCGGCCATTGCCGACGTGAATGTCCAACCCGCGCAGACGACCAAGACGGACTCGATGGAGAGCTTTTGGTTCGCTGAGACGCTCAAGTATTTTTACCTCATCTTCTCGCCGCCCGACGTTATCAATCTCGATGAGTGGGTGCTCAACACCGAGGCGCACCCCTTTAAGCGGCCCAGGAAGACGGACCGCTTCGAGACGGATGCGGAGTCTCGGGGCCATTTAAAGTAGACATGCAGGCGGAGTACAAGAAAGGTCATTACGAATGGGTGGTTGGAATGCATAGGACCGCGGGGGAACAGGTGCATTTTAGATTAGGTCTTGCATGGGGGACATCTCATCTGTTCTCTAGTATAGACAAAAAAGGTGGTGCGCAGGTTGCATGCGATCGACTTTTTAGAAGCTAGGAAACGTTACAGTGTTAGTTCATGGGCTTTGCCCTCTGGTTCAATACCGACCGTTCGGCCAACGCTGCGACTCCTTTCTTCCTCGGCGGTGCCATGCTATGTCAAGTGTCGTGTCGCGTTGACATGATGGCTCGTCTCGTTGCGCATTGGAAAGATGATGGGCAGATGTGACCGTCTGTCTTCTGAGATGTTTGCCCTTTGGACAGTTGGCTCGACTAAGTGGCGAGGCAATGGACATATTCCACAGCAGACGAAGAAGTAGACGTTATTTCAAAATAAAAGTACAACGCCAACCATTGATGACTTTTTCTACAACTACCTGTCCCATAGCGAAACAGAATGCGCTCAGAGCCTAAAAAGGTATCGCTCAAATACATAATCCACAACAGCTGTCTCAATACATCAACAAGTGACAGAATCGAAAAGGCAAAGGGAAGCTGTCACCGCAGACGCAGCCTCGGGCACGTGTGCGTACCATCAAGCAGAGTGCTCGACAAGTTGTGCCCATCTCGGCTGCCTCGTTCTTCATCGTCGCTACTACCTATTTACTACGCAAGTTGGGGCATGAACAAAGAGATGTCGTTGAGGAACGCCCACCGACGGGGGCTCTCAACCCTCTTGGGGAAGCTAGAAGCTTTTCCCATCATTGTTCAGCCTGGACTTGGACTCTGCCCAAGCCTTCACCGTCCATCACCCTATTCGAGGAGTTTCTCTTCTCTTTTCCTAAAAGGGCATTCCCAAGTCCTGCCAGCGGTGTGGCTGTATAGCGACTTGACGTAGGATTGCCTGCACCTCAATTGAGTTTTACAGAAGGCATAGAAACATACCACTCGTGGGAACCATGACGGCAACCGCGCAGTCGCCTCAAGTCGTGGGCCCATCGCATCCTCCACAGTCGGCACAAATCTGCTCTTGTCCTTCAGCTGCTTGAAAAAGCAAGCAAAACTTCGCTAGCATTCGGCCTCTAAGGCTTCAACCCCCGGATTCACAGCGGCTGCTGCGGACTTGCAGAATATTCTCAGCCGCAAGAACCAGTCCGCAAGTCATGCGGCGAACAGGAAGTCCAGCGAGTATTGAGCAGCATTTTGAAACATGGCTTGCAAAGAAGAAAGGAAAGCAGGCCTGCCGGATCTCAGCTTGGCGGTTGAAAAAGACCAAGAGTGGTTATTGGATCTTCAGAGTCCCGACTCGGGCAGCTAACGAGCGGAGAGGGGGATTGAATAAGGCGTTTCCACAAGCAAAGGAAAAGCAAACGGTGACAGCAAGGGTCTCGTTCGAATTCGTCCTGTCGTTTCATCCATCCTTGCCAGATTACCGTTGATGACCCCACAGCAGCACGGGATTGCCCAGGGTCCTTATCGTGAAGCCGCTGTACAGAGCTTTCTTTTCCGCTCACCGACGAACGGTTAGAAGACGAAATGATCACGAGGATTGAATCCGTTTTCGCCGATCGGCCCGCCTAGGAAAGACGATTTACTTTTCCTCACGTCCCGCACTTTGCTGTAAAAACTTTGCCTATTTCGCAATACAAGGCAGGAAAAGGAAAATCACCAAACTCCTGGTGATGGATACTCTCAAGTGCATGGGATAGTGTAGTGATCGTCTGTGCGATGGCCGCGGGTCCTAACCGGATATATGTCTCCTATCTTCTCTTTTTGCGAAAGAAAACAGGGCGCTAGTGGTCAAGGTGATCAGCAAACGCCGTTTCTGGATCTCGAGGCAGTAAGAGACCGATATAATGATCCACCATCTCCGGAAGGTGGAGTTAGGGCCCGAGTGTTCACCTTGCAGGAACGAGTGCCGGGCTGCTGTGTCCATCCGTAGTCACGGGGCATATATCGTGAGTTTGTATCTGGCGGCGGGTCTTTGTGCAACCATCGGTACCGAGCGGCCGCACAGAGCCACCCTCCCCAGCAGCGTAGTTTTTAGGAAACGATCTTTAGGTATAACGGTAGATGGAAGAAATATCCGTCACAGTTGGACAGATAAAAAGAGCGATTTTTGTGACCGATTCTGGCGCAAGGCCAATGGGTCAGGAGACTGACTCGGCAAGGTGAATATTGCGTAAATAATTCCCGTGTCTGAGATTTATCGTCGTACTGTGCCGCTTTGTGCTGCGTTACAGCTTACTTTATTCATCGGAGGATTTTCGTTTGAAAATATGTAGTCGATATTGGTTCTCCAGGTCCCGCTTGATGATACATGGGTGGACATTGATTGCGACTGCGTTGCGTACCCCGTCATATGCCGGTGTTACAATCTGGCGCCCGCGCGTGAATGAACAATTTGGGGGACCATGTGGGGTTCCAGTTCGCTTATGTTTGACTAGCAGAACTGAATCCTTCGTATCGTTGCACTTGACTTGTTGCTGATCAGTCTAGGCTTGAAGAAGCGTGGGCCGTTGTTCTGGCCATCTACTGTGCTGGGGGGATGATGCGTTGACGAGAGACGAGTGAGGAAAACGAGATGGACCGCGGAGGACGTTGTCCAAAATGAGAAGTTGAGACCGGTTACCAACGAGGCTACGTGGATGGGCGTGACGGACTGATGATGCCTACCGCGAGTACATGTAGAGAAGCGTCGTGATAGCTTTGTTCTGGACCAACGTGCCTTGCGCTACTTCCGCGCTTAGGATGGTAGAAACATAAACGGACGCAGGTACCGAGCGCCCCGTGCCCCCGTCCCTCATCCGGACATGTCTGTTTAGTCGATGACTCGAGTTCGTTCGAGGCTCCCTTGGGGGCCGGTTGATGGGCGATGGGTGCCGAGGGAATGGATCAGTGCACAAGGCCGCCGCAGCTTGCATCCTTGCGCTGCATGGCGTGGGCCAGCGGGCTGGGTTTCTTTTGTCTTAGCCTCAAGGTAGTAAGCTCCCCAGGCGGCGGTTGGAGTGTTTTAGGTGCTGGCTGGATCAGCGCCAAAATGGATCTTGGTAATGGTTCCTGGCGGCGAGCCGAGAAGAGCAAACATTGCTGAGCGATGCTTACGGGCCGAGCTGGGATGAGGTAGCTTGGCGTCGTTCCGTTGCCAGGTAGGCGGCCGACTACTACGTAACGTACCTCTCCAGCCCATCTTTCGTCATGGCTAGGCTGGGGTTAAGGAGGAAATGCTCCTGCAGCATTTGCTGTCGGTGTTGCTGCTGCGCTGTCCTGTAGGTATTTTCAAAGCTAGGGGAAGGAAGATCGAGGGGAGGAATGAGAATGAATACTTGGAAAAGAACCGACAAAGTTTTCGTGATGAGTGTTGCTTTGTCGACAGCTCAGATGGAGCGAGGAAGGGTTGGATAGAATAAGCCAACGGGGCTCGGCCATCGCATCCAGAGCACTGAAAGTCGTCGTGTTGTGGGGTGCGGGGTGGGCGGGATGGATGGATGAACCAGACAGAGGGGTCTTTGGGCATGGCAGACGGTAGGTAGACAGGCTGATGGGATGGGATGGGATCAAATGGAAGGAGGCCGGGAAGTGTCATTGGGATGAAAGCAGGAACAAAGTGGTGTCGCTCCTGTGTCTGCCCATCATCGGGCTGACAATGGGACGAAGTCAAGGCCGCGAGATGAGACACGCATAATATATATACTTTACCTAGCTACCTCAAGTACCTACCCACCTTACGAATACTTTGCCTTAGTTAGGTAGGTATCCGTCCGGATGGGATGGATAGATACTTGGTAGGCACGAGGCATTTGTAGAAATCCGGGGTTTTAGTTCGTCCCATTGATTATGCTCCACCGAGCAAAAATAACACACCCATTCGTAGACAGACCACGTTCCAGAAGATTCAAGTCGAGGCTCATTTGTTGGTGGCCGGTTCCTTTCCGCCATGGTAAGGATGAAGTCAATGCCACCAAGGCTTCAATCGCTGATTGCCTTTAATTGGCAACTTGGACCGGTTCCAGTCCCGTGGCCATTGAGCTTCGTCACATTCCCCTGCCCGAGAGCTTCCGTATAAAAGCAACTTGGGATGATCCTTGATGCGCCGTATTCTGCGCAGAGCAAGCCTCAAGGCACGGTGCCGTAGAACTTCAAGACAAGACATGCGAACGCAGTCGAGGGAAAAGCAAGCACAAACAGCCACGGCTTGTTCCTTGGATCTTGGACCGTTGAGCGGTCAGTCCGGGCAAGGTCAAAAGCAGAAAGGGCGGCACCTGATGCTCTTCACCGTCACTGTCCGTGCCTCGCGCGCCTCAAGGGATGAGATTGAACCAATTATGCTTCTTGCGCTTGAGCTCGACGCTCGGCGCAGTCTGGTCTCCGACGTCTTGCAGCAAGGCTATCGTCACAATGCAAGGTCACGCGCCTCTGTCGATGGCCACAATGACCAAAGTGAAGTGAGAAGGCGGGCATCTGGAGTCGAGGAACGGACAGGGAGACACGGCCGAGGCAGGGAGGTCGACTTGTCCTTGTTCGCAAAGATGCCATTCAGCCAGCGCGAGATGATGCATGGTCGCAGATACGTGGTGGCATGGTGATGCGAGAAGAAAGACTGCCCGACAAGAGACATGAAGAAGTTGGCGCACGAAGGTAGGCAAGCACCAAGCCAGACATCGAACAGGCTTGGTCCCTTGGAGTACCGGTAGCCGTCCCTTAATATGCACATCCAAGGAGGGTTCCAAAGTATGCATGTACCTTCCGTCGAACTTTACTGCTTAAGGCGAGGTACGGAGCGTGCTAAGACATTGCCCAAAACAATGGAACATGTACAAGTGGAAATAGGAACAGCAAGGTACCTTGCCTTAGGTTGGGAAGCAAGCAGCAGGCAAGCGGCAAGCGGCAAGCACCAACCGGCACGCACCAAGCAAGCAGGCACGAATGACTTCCAAGTGGGCAACAGCAAATAAGGTAGCAACAGCTATAGCAACGCTCCTGCCTTGCTTGGTTTGACCACAGCACCGCCTAAGGTACAACAACACTGTCCCGTCTTCATCCTATTCCCTCTTGCCCACCCTGCCTTAGACTCTTTCTGCTTCCCTCACATCGCCAATTCAACCACGACTGCCCCCATTCCGCTTGACGAATCACACGACATCCTGCCGATAATCCGCCCGCTTCACTCCAACTACCGGCGCCTTATCGTAGTCACCGGCGGATCGTTCGGCCAACCAACCCCCATCGGCGGACTGCAGACTGCAGCCTGCAGACGATATCTTGCCTCTCCTCTCCTCCGTCTCCTCTCCAGGCCCTCCTCTCGCCCGGGGTGCACAACTGCAACTGCAAGAAAGAACCCATGGGGCCTTGTCTCACCGACAGCCACCACCATTACCACCACCACCTCTTTGCTGGCTCGATATAGTCTCGTTGCATCTGCGTGCCCTGCAGCAGCGCCGTTGGGTTCCTATTGGTAGTGGCACCTGGTCCGGTAGCGTCATCTTCCTGTGTCCTGCCAGGGCGTCGTCCTCCTCGGAATTGACGGACGCGCAAAGACAACACCAGCTATCTCTCTCTCTCTCGGTAAGTCACGTCTCTTGTTGCTCCATTGCTTGTTCCCATTGTCTCTTTTGCCATCGCGCATATCTCCCCGTCCCCCCCTTGCCTGGCTGGATTCCTGCTTCCGTAACAGTTGTTGCAAATATCACCTCGTCCTCTCTCATCTTATACCCTCCACGCAAGCCATTGCAACAACTGCAACAGACCGACCCCTGGCCTCCATTGTAACCCGAATACTACTATACCTCTTCCGCCACCTTGGCTTCAGTCTCCCTCGACAAATTGCAGCATTGGATTCGTCTACGAGCGGCAGGCAAACTTCTTTGCCTTCCAGGCATTGCCCACCAATTCGATCCCTTCCCTCCAACACATCACCCTCATCTGCCCTTTCTCTTCCACCCAGCCATCCAATTCTCTCTCCATACCCCCCTCATCCATGCCGTCTTCTCGCTTGCTTTTCCCAGCACATGGCCGAACCCTCCCTCCGCTGACATTGGGTATCTCGCTTGCCAACTAGCCCCGTCCCCAGTCTTCGCCATCTTCCCTGCCCTGATCCTCCGTGGTTCCACAGGCCCTGCCCGATTGCCTGTTCTACCCTGGAGCTTGAAGCAGCCTTAATATGCAAGCCGTGGCAGCACACTGGCCGACCAAGTCCATGGACAAGCAGCAACATCCCTGATGATCGATTCCACCTCGCCGAATACATAATCAGCAATAATACTTAGCTCCCCGGCTCCATCTCCGTTCTGGGTCCCCAAGATTTTGCAACGAAACGACGAAGAGTGAAAAAAAAAAGAAGTGGAAAGAGGAAGAGAAAGGGAGAAGAGCAATTAGTACCACTAGATCCCCTTTCAAAGCGCCATCGCTGCATTTACCATCGCCGCGTCCCTCTCCGCCCCATTGCCGACTTTCCTCGCTTCTTGTCTTCGCGCGCCGTTCTCGTCTCACTCAGACATCCCCAACTCCCTCCCCCGCGTTAGACGTCTCCTCTTTACCGCTTCCGTCGCCGCCTCCCGACACCCGTTGCTGCCACTTCCATTGGGACGAAACTTTCTTTCCATCCGTCACCTCTGCCACTCTGACAGCACCCAGCAAACACCGTACGAAGCCGAACTGTCACCGTCGTCGCCCCCGAGCTCAAACGGCCGCTCTTCGTTGCAACCCTGCATCATCCCACCTTGGACCTGTGGATCTACCACCGAAATCCCCCGCTCTCAACCTCTCATCCCGCCGCTGATCCATTTCTGCGTCTCTGCCCGCTCGCTCGTTCGCCCGTCGCCCTGCTTTGCCCAGGGCTGGCGTATCAGTTGGTCGCCACAGCTCCGTGTCGCATTGCGAAGCCCGCCGAAATTCCTGTTGGAGCAACTTTGCTGCGCACCAACTTTTCTCGTTGCAGGAGCTGAAAGTCGTCCACCTCCAGCGTCACTGCCGGCCAACGGGCTTCGCGACTCGACTTCCACCTGTGAGACCCGACTTGCGATTTTCTGTTTTACCGCCCAGCAACTAGTATGCTTGCTGTTGCGTGGTGGCACACACATCACTCTCGGAAGCAGAATCCAATCGGCCATCCGTCAACTTTGAAAGAGGCAGCGAGGCGTGCTGGCTAGTTTTCGGAAGACAAGACGTGGTGGGACGTTCAGGTGCAGCTTTGGAAGAGACGACAAATTCCGGGGACGCACATAAAATCACCAAACCTCAGATGCGGGCGGACCCCAAATGTGGACAAACCATGGAATGAGCATGGCACCACCGGGAATGGATGGACGAACCTACCAGAACGGGGTTCACAACGTTACGCCGCGCCACGACTGGCAGCAATCCCAGAACCAGACGTTGTCCGCAGACTCGTCGTCTCGCGGCATGGAACGCGTCTCAATTTCCAACCTACGCACCTCATTCCGCTCTAACCATCCGTCGAATCCCACGATCCGCGCCGTGACACCCGAGTACCATCACCCGGACCTCTCGCCAACGCCGTCCGCGAACGCCGTCTTCGATCCGACTGCCCCTATGCAGATACCCCGCGGCATCACGTCGAACTCCCCTCAAACCTCCCCGAGATCCATTCCGGGAGATTTCTCCAGACGACAGGGCATGGTGTTTAACGACACTTATGGTGGTAGTTACGATAACAACTCGACCAGCCCGCCTCTGAGGCAACAAAGTAGCTTTCGGCCTAGGACACACACCATGGACGGCGCACTACGGCAGCAATTTATGAATGCTGCCTCTCGAGAGGGCCGACAGCGTGTAGGGTCTTTTTCTTCCTCCGGATCTCAGCCCTTGTACGACGACGCTCGCTCTCTACCGCCTCCCATTGAGTCCCTAGGGTTTCCGTCAGTCATCCCCGCCCGACACTCGGAGATCCCCCTAGGTGTCGCAAATAGCTTGAAAGAAAAAAAGTTGTCAACGAAACGTTTGATCAAGCGCCAATCTTCCCGGCCAACTTCCCCGCCAACAAGCTCAACGCCGTCCGTTGACTCCCTGCCTATTCCTGTTCCGACTGAAAATGCGAATAACATTCTGCTTATGATGAAAAATCTGGCCGGGCGTATGAGGGGCGAAATCGAGTTCCAAGCTGATCCTCGAGGTCCCTGGCAGCTTGGTATCGCGTATGTGGACGAAGAGAAGGGGAGTTTGATGTTCGACTCGGGCCATGATGGACCATTTCATATCCCCCTTATTTCCGACCTCCGCGGATGTCGAGTGGCGCCAGTCACAACACCTGACGGGAAAAGATGCCTGGAGGTCTCATGTCCCATCCAACCCCCGTTGGATCTTCTATTGCATCCACTGTTGGCGGAAGAAAGAGATCTTTGGCTTGCGGCCCTACTCTGCTGGCAACAACTTCGGCCCCCGAAAGTGAAGCTTTCGAACAGTAATCGGAGTCCGGCGCCTACCGCCCTGCGTCCAGCAGTTAGAAGGCGTGGCTCTGAGAATGGAAGTACGAAGACTACGACTGCGTTCATCAAGGTCGGGCAAGTGAGGCTTTGGGATAAGGGGCTGGCAAATTCGCCGAGGGCCATTGTCAAAAGACCCTCCACGCGAGATTTGAGGTCGCCAACTACTTCTTGGCGGGTAGTTTCCCTACTTCTTCAAGAAAACGGGGAGGTCCGGCTCACAACAAGGGACGGCGAGGCTGTCATAGCCGTGGTCGAGCTATCTCAATTATCTCGATGCGCTATTCAACAGCTGAACCGGTCAGTCTTGGACGAGGAGTACTGCATTGGCATCTTTCCCCACTACTCCCCAATATCTACACAGCTATCCATATTCCGTCCTGTGTACATCGCCCTGGATAACCGTCTTTTGTTCGAAGTGTGGTTTGTCCTTCTACGAGCTTTCGCCCTACCCGACATATTCCGACTAGATTCACCTGCGGCAGAAGGAGCCTTGGAAGTTACGGACTTGGAGTCGGAGCTTTCTGGCGAGATATTCAGGATCGAAAAGACAATAAGTCTGCGGGTGACGGAGGCAAAACTGAAACCCAAGACATGTCCGCCCGACGTTGGCTTCATCGACCGACAGCCCAAAGACGCGGACCCTTTGACAGGCAACTATCTGGCGGAGGTCATCCTGGACGGCGAGGTCCGCGCTCGATCGACGATCAAGACTGGAACCAAAAATCCTTTCTGGCGAGAGGATTACCAGTTTTCGGATCTCCCGCCAACTATGCCATTCCTCTCCATCATTCTGAAAAGAGTGGATGGGAACCTAGAAAGTTTCAGTCACCAGCTTCAAGCATCACTTGGCTTGCCCAAGACTGGGAATTTGACGGAAGTTCTTTGCGGCTCTGTCGACATTCCCCTGGATCACGTTGAACCCGGCAAAGATTTTGAGAGGTGGCTTGAGATATACGACGAGCGACAACAAGTAACGGGCACAATGCTCGTGAAGCTTCATCATGAGGAGCTTGTCGTCCTCCATTCTAAAGAATACCAGGCGCTATCAACGTTGCTTCATAGCTTTCCGACCGGTCTCACTGCCCAGATCGCCGATGCCCTTCCTGGCAATCTGCGTCGGCTTTCCGAAATTTTTCTGAATATCTTTCAAGTGTCAGGTCATGCCAATGAATGGTTGCAAACACTCGTCGAAGACGAGATTGATGGTATTGGCGGTAGCCAAACCCAGATGAAGAAGTACCGATTCAGCAGTCGCTTGAAGTCAAATGAGTCCATGGAGTCATCGAGTGACAGAGAGCAGATTCTTCGCGATATGGGTAAATCTCTTGCGGGAGAAGCCAATTTGTTATTCCGAGGCAACACTCTGCTGACGCAAGCTCTCGAGTTTCACATGAGGCGCTCAGGAAAGGAGTATCTTGAGCAGATGTTGCAAGCCAAAATCTTTGAGATCAACGAGGCCAATCCGAACTGCGAGGTCGATCCGAGCAAGCTCAAACCTGGTGAAAACATCCAGGAACATTGGACACGACTCATCCAGCTAACAATGGAGGTTTGGCAATGCATTTGCAAGGAGCCCACGAAATGCCCACCGGAGCTTCGGTCAATCCTCAAATATGTACGAGCCGTTGCTGAAGATCGCTACGGCGACTGGCTACGGACCGTCACTTACACAAGCGTATCGGGCTTCTTGTTCCTCCGCTTCATTTGCCCTGCGATTTTGAGTCCCAAGCTCTTCGGTCTGTTGAGGGATCACCCTAGACCTCGGGCACAGCGAACCCTCACATTGGTCGCCAAGGCACTCCAGGCCCTTGGCAACCTTTCTACGTTTGGCAAGAAGGAAGAATGGATGGAGCCAATGAACAAGTTTCTGGGCTCTAACCGTCAATCCGTCAAGGACTATATCGACACGATCTGCGCCATTCCCGTGGAACGCAACAAGGTCGCTCTGGGTCCATCCTACTCAACCCCCATTGCCATTCTTGGACGGCTAACGCCGACGGCACGAGAGGGTTTCCCTGCACTGCCTCACTTGATCGACCACGCTCGTAATTTCGCGGCACTTGTCAAGATGTGGACCGAGGCCAACCCTATCGGGAATGGCGAGTTCATCAAACCTGTAGGCGGCGAGGACGACATTCTCATTTTCAATGAGATGTGCTTGGTCCTGCAGGAGCGCGCAGAGTTGTGCTACTCGAAGATGGATGGCTCTTCTCAAGAGACTGCATCTCTTCCTGCATCCGATTTCGCCGACGCAATGGACCACAACTCCGCCATTTTGGATTCCATGAGCCTTTCCACGCATCACAACAACCACTCAGAACCGACCTCAGTGAATACCTCCACAGTTTGGCTTGACCAAGACAATTACCAGCCTCCTGGGTCTGCTGGTAGCGACGTATTGATTGATGTGCCTGCGCGAAGAAGCCGTGAGCATCGCCGTGGCCGAGACTTCAACTCCCTGCGGCAAGCTCCTGGACACTCAGAGCACGCGTCTTCGCATCTAGCTACGCTCAAGCGGAATGGCAGGGCTACTCGCCAGATTCTGTCTGGCATTATGAAGCCATTCGCGCGGAGTGACTCGCCCGAGTCGTCTCCGTCGACGACGCGAGGCAAAAACATCGACCGATCCTGGAACACTGGTTATTGATAAAGCTCCCTTCCCCTCTACTTTTCTTTGTCTACAACTACTTGAACACATACGAACACGGATCAAACCCAAAAAAAGTCAATGGCTGAATGACGAAACAAAGTCTTTGCATTCTTACGATGAGGAGGATATCTGGATACGCCCAGCTTGGAGCGTCGAGAAGCGTGCGGGAGGGGCACTACTGCATTACTTTTACCTGCGCTGGAATCGAAGGCAGGATTGGGTGGGCAAGGATCGACTGAACTACCTCTGGCGTTTCTCCATTTGAAATGTTCAACAACGGAGCCTGCTTGCAAGGTTTCCTTTCCACATATTGAGGCATTTGGTTGGAGGGGGTCGGCCCTATTTGTCTTTTTTTTTTTCGTTTTCCTTTCTGCCAACCCACCCCATGTTCGTCTTCTTTCCCTCGCCAATTCTCCGAGTTGGTTGTAGGGTAGGTAGCCGTCGCAACATGGGCCACGAATGAATATACCCAGACATATCATGACTAGCATTTACGTGTCTTACCTCAGACTCACCCCGCAAGACTCGTCACAGCATGTATCATTTTTCCCTTGGAACAAAACGACACGAGCAATGTGTATAATATAATGATATTGAACTTTCAGTCGCGGTATCTACCCGTGAATTTTCTGTGTTTTCCAGTGCCTGCTTCTCTGTACGCCCTATCGTTTCAATGAATTAAGAGATTCCCCTTGTTTTTAGTCGCCCAGATCATAGAATCGTCATCCACCTGTCTTCTTTCTGCACCTGCCTCGTGCTGTCACAACATCACAGCATCACAGCGCCTTTGCAAGATTTTCTGATGCCCGATACGGTACGTGCTGGGCTCTTGCTGACTGGTTCCATTTATTGGAAGAACTTCTTGTAAGCCGCCTTCTCCTTGGCCGCACGGGCTGCCGCCTTCTGCTTGACGGCATTGAGCTCGTGGAGAATGACCTTATCATCCGGCACGAGCTTGTGCGCCTCTTCGAGATCCTTTACAGCATTCTCCTCATCCTTGAGCCGAACATTGGCGAAACCGCGGCGGTAGAGAGCCTTGGCGCGGTCGGTGTCCTTGGTTCCGGAAACATCGAGGGCGTACGTAGCAGTCTTCGCAGCATCATCCCAGGACTCGAGCTTAATATTGAGCAGGGCTGAGTTGTTGTTGAGAGTGAAGCGGAGGGCCTGTAGTTCCGTCTTGGTAGAAGCGGGCTCCTTCTCCAAGTCAGGCTCCTCGTTGAGGTAGCGCAGACCCTTTTGGTATTTCTCAAGGCCGAGGTTGAAGTCGCCGGCCTTGAAGGCCTTGTTGCCATATTCCTTGCAGGCGGTAGCAATCTTGATGACCTCCTGAGCATCGGGCGGGGTCGCACAATCCTCGGGGAAGTCCTCGTAGGTGTCGCCCATGGCGTCAGGAGCCTTGACGTCAGCTGCGAGGGCAGCGTCCCCAGTAAGTTCGCCACAGTCTGCAATGACGGCGTCTTTAAGGGGCTTATCACCCGACTCGGTCTGGAGGTTCTCGATCTGGCGGACAACGGACTTGCCGTTGAGGACTTCGCCAAAGACGACGTGCTTGTTGTCGAGGTGGGGCGTCGGGACGGTGGTCAGGAAGAACTGGGAGCCGTTGGTGTCTGTACGCAGCACCATCAGTGAGAAGGCTCTCCAATCCAAGTCGTCGCATAGCTACTTACTGGGTCCTGCATTGGCCATGGACAGGAGGAAAGGACGGTCGTGCTTCTTAGGGAAAGCCTCGTCTTCGAACTTCGCGCCGTAGATGGACTCGCCGCCTGTGCCATTGCCTTCGGTGAAATCACCGCCCTGGATCATGAATTGCTTGATGACGCGGTGGAAGATGGAGCCCTTGTAGTGCAGGGCCTTGCCGGACTTGCCCAGACCCTTCTCGCCAGTGCAGAGGCAGCGGAAGTTCTCGGCCGTCTTCGGGACGAGGTCGTTATAGAGCTCCATGGTAATACGGCCTGCGGACTTACCGCCGACTGTAATATCAAAGAACACGCGAGAGCGCGCCGACTTATTCTCGGTCCCCTCGGTGGCCATTGTGACTGGGTTCTGAAGTGCAAATTGAGCTCCTTGAAGTTGATCAGGCTGGGACTCTGTGCTCAATCGAGAAATGCGGGGTAGGTGTCGTCGCCGCAGAAGAATGTCTGGAGGTTAGAAAGCTGTGGAAAACGGCGGGATAGACGCTCGCAAGAAGCTGTATTCGATACAGCTTGGACGTGGGAAGTATTGCTGACAAGATTGAGTCGAGGATACGCCTAGGGACTTGATCTTGGGGACTCTGGTGGTGGAGGTGAACGATAAATGCTCTAGCACATAGCTCACCTGGAAGGTGGGGGAGGTACGATGGAACTTTCTGGTAGCTCTGACGCCTGTGCGCGGGGCAGTCCGCTGCATCCTAATGCTTGCATGCTTCGTCGGGAAGGAGCAACAACTTTTTCAAATGGGCCAATCAAAGGGTGCTATTTTACCAATGTCTCTTTTCTCAGAAGTACCTATGGATACAGCTGGAGCAGGCAGCGAGTGGTTGACTTCCTGTCTTGATGCAACTGAGCTGCAATGTCTGAACTGCCTGCGTTCTGAATCATAATCAAGGACAGCTTGCCCATCGCAGCCGCCTCTACGTGCAGTATTCTATGTCGTAGGCAAGGAACTGCCAATATATAGATCTATCTTAGGCCACAACAGACCGTCGGGCAGGTCATTTTCTGTGTGCTATCGCCTCGAAGCGTCTTATAGACAGTTTTCAAATTACATTCATCATTTATAGAGCAATTCCGTTCATGCCAATTCCCGACGTACACCAATGGCAGTTATTAGGGTATGGAATGTGGTATTCAGAAGGCTCTAGGGAAATTCAAGGCTTCGGAGACGACTCTGTGTTCAGCTCAAATGTAACCTGGAGATTCGAATCAGCACAGAATCACCAGTGATGGTTGGCTTCAGAGGGCACAAACCGGTCCATCGTTGACGGAAGCCACGGCCATCATAGCCTGAAAGCGACCGTCCTTGACTTTATCGGCGGCGTAGTTATCCTGCAACTTTTGCAAGAAGTAATGATAGAGCCTCTTGGCGTCTTCGGCGCCTGCGCTGAGGCGGAAATCCGGTTTGTTCTTGACGATCTTGGCGAAAAGTGTGAATTGAGACACTGTGAGGTTTGTCAGTTATATTTGGGAGGGCCAGTCGGGAACCCAGCACGGCAGCCTACATACCGCAGAGGATTTCTCCGTCAATATCCGGGACAGTCTTCCTCCACTGAGACAAGATTAGTTGGAGGTATTGGAATGGTCAGGATCAGTTCAAGCGCACCCTTGCGCCGGCATCGTCGTCCCACATTTTCAGCTTCAGCACCTTGTTTGCAAGGCTCTCGGCATCTTTCTCTGTATCGTCGGGGGCGACAGCAGCAAGGACAAGCAGTCCCTTTCCGATGGAGGAAATCACCTCGTTGTCCACCGTCACTGATCCGGAGAGTACCCGCTGCACGATGGCTAGGAGAAATCAGAACCTTGCATCACCATACATGAACGCAGGAAAAAGAGAGCAGCCGAACCTTTCATTTTGACGGTACCACTGCCTATGTTAGAGCCGACGCACAAGAATGACCGGAAGATGAGGTACCGAGAATAGCAAAACTGGTGTCGGGGCTGAGCTCTTCAAACGCGATTGATAGACCGGGACGTGGATCCCTCCGACACCGTTACGCGGAGGAGAGTGAAGTCAAACCACAAACGGAGCAGCTAAAAAGCGCTAAGGTGTCTGTATTGCCTGGGGAGGTGTAAGCCACAAGTCGAGTGCGTCGGGAGCATACAGACAAACCGGCAGCAAACTACACGGAAGGGAGGCAATCAACCCGATCCGTAACCGGCTTGGCAAGCTTCAAGCGCTACAGGTCCCACGATACTGCTTGAAAACCTTGGGCTCAGGGCAGAACCGATGCCCTTAGCACATAGCCTTCCCTGATTTCAATTACCGATATCTCAGAGAGTGGCCGGTCTCGCATATCTGAACACGACGGAAAATGGCAGCTGGCAAGGCTGGGCTCAGCAGTGGTCCGTGTCATCCTCAGTGACGACGTGAAAGTAGCTTAAACTTCATCCAGATAAGCATTTCAAAACATGTACTCACTTCATATGCTCTCATACACTCTCAATAGCGCTACTTCAATTCTTTAACGGGCTATAATGAATAAGAAAATATATATTAGGTCATCTACGGATTTAATTTCTACACAGACCTCTTTTTGGCTCTGATACTCCCTCTCTACAACCTCTTCCATATTCTACCTTCTATCGCCTTTGCGGTACCCATGACCTTCACCTCCCGAACAGCATCCTCGATCCAGCTTTGTCTTCTACATGCGCGCATCCTCATCCCATCAAACGCCTCACTCCCGGCAAGCAAACCTGCATTGCGCAACCAACGAACGCCTGTCGACACGGCGTACCAGTCGTAACGCGAGGGACAACCCCCCCAAAACATCCACCCATATCGCGCCCATCAACCCTTCGACGGCCGCCTGCGACACGAGCACGACTCACTGAAAACCAGCGTCAATCACGACACACCTGACACAACCGACAAACCCAACCCGTCGGTATCGAGACACGTAATTAGGCTCAGCATTTTCATCTCTGCCACACGCAACCCGACAAGATGGCGGCACGCAAACTCCAACAAGAAGTCGACAAGTGCTTCAAAAAAGTGGCAGAAGGCGTCGCTGAATTCGAGGCCATTTACGAAAAGATTGAGCAGTCCAACAATATCTCCCAAAAAGAGAAGCTGGAGGACAACCTCAAGCGCGAAATCAAGAAACTCCAGAGACTTCGCGATCAGATCAAGACATGGGCAGCAAGCAACGACATCAAGGACAAGTCTCCTTTGCTGGAGCATCGAAGGTTGATCGAAACGGTTGGTCTACCGCCTCCCCGGTCGCAGCTCTCCCCCGCGGTCCCGCTAACCCCCCTCGCAGCAAATGGAAAAGTTCAAGGCCGTCGAGAAGGCTATGAAGACCAAGGCATACTCCAAGGAAGGGTTAGCCTCTTCTGCCAAGCTCGATCCCCAAGAACAGGCAAAAGCGGAGGCAAGCGACTTCCTAAATAACATGGTTGACGAGCTGGAACAACAAATCGAAACCCTGGAAGCTGAGGCCGAAGCGATACAAGCAACGATGAAGAAGGGCAAGAGCCAAACCGCAAAGGCGGAACGAATGGCTGAGATTGAGCGCATCATCGAACGTCATAAGTGGCATCAAGGCAAATTAGAGCTTATTCGAAGATCTTTAGAGAATGGCGGAGTCGACACGGATCAGGTCACCGACCTCGAAGAGACCATTCGATATTATGTCTCGGATGGCATGAATGACGACTTCGTCGAGGACGAGGAGATGTACGAAGAGCTCGCCCTGGACGAGGAGGAGGGCGCATTCGGCATACCCCAAGATGGCGACAAGGGCTCATCGCAAGACGCTCAGTCAATAGCGGAGGAACCGACACCGGAACCAGAAATCATCAAAGCTCCCCCGAAACCCAAGGCTGTGGCAGAGGCATCTGCTTCAGGACGCAGGTCCAGCTCACAGAACAAGTCTCCATTGCCTGCGCTCGCCACCTTGCATATGCCGACTATTATTGGCAATGGCGCAGCAACTGGTCCGACGATGAAGCCAGCGGTGGCTCCCGCAAGACCTGCGGAAGGCCTCAAGTATGCATCTGCGGCGGCGGCGGCGGCAGCGTCAGACAAGATCGGCATCTCTCCCTTGCCTCCTCCACCAGGCGCAACACCAGTCACTTCCAATACGCCAGGTACGCAGGCAAAAACCAGCGCAACAAGCTCACCTGCGACGACCTCAGCACATCCTGTCGCAGTAAAGGAGTCCGAACCCAAGCAGCCACCAGTACCCTCAACAATTACAAGCGAACCACCAATCGCAGGCGCAAGCGCAAGCGCAAGTACAAGCACAAGCACAAGCACAAGCGCAAAGGCTGTCTCAGCCCCTACCAAGACAGAAAAGCGTGCGAAGAAGGAGCAGGCTGCGGCGAGTGCCTCAGGGGCAGCCAAAGGTAAGTCTGTTCGACAACATGGCTAGTAGCATGGTTTACTAATGTTCTCTAGTATCTCAAACAAACGGTGCCACGAACGGGGTCAAGCCTACAGCAGAGGAGGAGGAAGAGTCCATATATCACCTCCCGTCATCCTTGCAAGACCTCGTCGAGTCTTTCGAAGCTTCCCGTAAGCGCCCGGCGGCTTTCTCTTCGCCATCCACGCAGCGCATGCTCCAGACAAGTCAGGCCACGTGCCCCGACATCATGGATGCGGACGTCCCTAGAACGTATCGTCCCGATCTGCGTTTGACGTCTACCGGCGTCGGCTTTCCTCAGGAGCCACTTCCGTTATTTGATGACCCGCGGCTCTACTCCCGCATCGACCCGGACACGCTCTTCTACGTCTTCTACTATAAGCAAGGCACGCCTCAGCAATATCTTGCCGCCAAGGCCTTGAAGGACCAGAGCTGGCGGTTTCACAAGCAATACCAAACCTGGTTTCAGCGTCACGAAGAGCCAAAGAACATCACCGAGGAATTTGAGCAGGGTACATACCGCTTCTTCGACTATGAGAGCACATGGTAAGTTATCTACATAAAGAGGCGAGAATGAGGTAATTTAGCTAACACGACGGGCAGGATGAACCGTAGAAAGGCGGATTTCAAGTTCGCGTACAAATTCCTTGAGGACGATGTATGAATAGGCAGCAAGGTTCACAGGGTTTCATGCCAGGCGGAGCCTCGGATTGGGACGGGGGGCCTCGAACCATCGGTATGGGGAGGAACGGCGTTGCCTCATTTTGCGGAAACATACAGCCAAGGTCTATCTGGCTCATCTTTGTTGAAGTACACTGACCATTGACTGGCTATGAAAAGGGGAGGCTACTGGCCGCCTCAATTCGGCATTTGCACATAAGACAGCCCCTTCGCGATGCGCGTGACCATTAATTGAGCACTTTCGGCATCGCTAAGGCCGCATGCCCTGTCATGATATGTCGAACCCTGTTATCGGCGGTCGACTTCAAGGAAAAATAAGATCCCGGTAGGTGCAGCGTGTCCTGGGCCCTGTCGGGCATGGCCTGTCCAACTGCTGGACGGTGCGAGAGCTGGGGAACCTAAGTCGATGACGGCTTGCATCCCGGCGCCCCGGATCCAGGGTCGGCCGAGAAAAGTTGAGAGACGACATCCGGCCACCCCGACAGTTGCCCCGTGTGGATCCGTCTCCGTCTCTGCGTGACACAAATGATAGCCGCCTGCGGGTCGGTTAGCGAATATCCCCCGCGATTCTCCAAGTCATTTCTGACCCAGAACGAATTGGGTTTATGGATGTGCCGGTGGGCGTTCCGAATGGCCAACACAACGCCAGGGCTGAGGCGACAATGACGAAGCCCGGAGCTCAGGAGGGTTGCAATCAAGCTTTCCGATCAGCGCAAAGCATCAATGTGCGGCAATAAACCACTCCGCCACTTCTCTTATCACAAACCGGGCGAAGACGGCCAGGAGGTATGAGGCGCGTCAATGTTGAAGCGAAATGACTGGACGGGTCAGGGCCAGTAAGGGCAGCCAGTGGTGTTGAAGCGTCCCGTCGACAGATGTAGGTGCAGGGAAGAGCGACGACGTATGAGAGTTATCGGCGGCAAGAAGGCAGTCTCTCATGTGGTGGACTTGCCAGTGCCTGGCTGACCAGGTGTGAAGGGTAAGGTAGGTACAGGCGCGGTACAGGTACGGTGTACCTCTTATCCAGAGCGTGTCGAGACTCGGAGATAGTCACCATTGTGGAACGTGAGAAGAAGGTAAGGTTAGTGGGGCGTTCATCATGCATCACCACCACCCGACATGAACAGGGCCTTGCACAAGCAATGGAAGACTTCTAGAAGGCTGTCAGGGCCCACTTTGCCTTTCCCCCGGGCGCATCGCGGACCAGCTAAGTTGCCTCCTTCCCAGCTAGCAACCGTGAACCCAGTCGAGTGTCAAGGGTAGGTAGGACCCAGGAAACGTAACGAAGGCCCGTTTTGGCAGTGCGGTTTATTCAGTTCACCACCTTGCCTTGACTCCCTTCTGGCCACCCACGGGGCTCGTAGAACCCTCCAACTCGTCGGAAGGAACCCACTTGTCGACATTCTCAACCTTCCAACGGTATCGCGTACCCAGGCCTTTGTGTTTTGTTACGCCAGAAAATGGCTCGTCCGAACAGAGGGCCCATCGAAATGGACCCTGCTACCACTCGATATGCGCCTTTTTGAAGATCCAACAGACACTGAGTTACAACGGCCGGACAAAAAAAGACACCCTTTCGTCTCCTCTCTGACTTGCTTCACCGAACCAAACCTGCATCGACCGTCAGCCGGACATGAAGCCCGCCCGCGCTATCCCCCTACATGGTTCCTCTAAAGCCTGGAAGCAGGGCACCTACCTATGTTGCCAAAGACACCTGACCTTTCAGCTAGGTGTCGATTGCGCGAAAAACCAAATCTCCATCATCTTCCACAGTCACCATGACTGTCACCGCCTGTGCTACCCACCCCCATCCCGGGTCGGCGGGCGCTCAGAGGGGGCAACCTGTCCGAGGAGACAAGACATCGGATCTCGAATCAACCCGGAACCGGTTGGCCCTCACTCATCAATCATTCTGGGTTCCAGGCTTTTCCGGTGGGCGACATGCAGCTTTGCGGCGGATCCAGCGGGTTGGCCCCCGATGAAATCCAGTACCTTGACGTGACAATGGTTGCACTGCAACTACGCTGCGCAGCACCACACAATCCATCCATCGCAGCAGCTCTCATGGAAGCAACCGAGGTACAACGGTGCTCCGTACCCAATGCCTGCCCCAGAGGGGAATCGCTTCGCTGGGCAGAGAGACGGTCCTGTATCAGAGACCCCATTGGAATCCAAAACCCCCTCCGAGGCTTACTATGGCCTCATCTATCCGGTTACGATTGGACCAGTGAGGGCTTCATGATTTGCGGCACCATAGTTCCTTGGCTGATTCCACTCTACCTAGCATTTGGACCCTGCACAGCAGCAAGGACTGGGACTGCAAGCGTTCACGCGCACGCTAGTGTGGCAGTGCGGGGCCAGGCAACGAGATATTCTACCAGTCAAGCCTCTCCTCCGCGATTCCGATCTTCAGTCCATCTCGACAGCCGCATCGCGTCCTGCCAAGTCCACCCCGAGCCCGAGCCCTACAACGCCCTAATTGCCACCATCCATTCGCCATGCCTCTGAGAGCGCCAATCCCTCGCCGTGTCATGATTCACCTCGCACTCTTCGGTCTCATAGCTAACTGGCTCTTTTTCGAACCCCTTGTCCGGCCCTGCACTAGACGCGGTACCTCGACACCTCGAGTCCCCAACTCCGGGTTGAGTGACCTTGACCCTGCCGTGCCGTACAAACCGACCACCAGAAACATTTCCGTAATGGGGCCTTTCCCTGCCCCGGTTTATCTTTTGGGTCTGCTAGACATGTCTTGGGTCGCCAGTACCTTTGCCAATGAAGTCGGCCCAAAAATACTCAGGGTAACTCAGAGCTGACTGCCCAGCCGGAACTGGTCCCCCCTTCGGATTTCAATGTCAACGGTCTTTGAGGCCCCCTCGACTGCACCGCGCACTTCAACCACCCTTCCGCCAGCCCTGTCGAGTGATAGGTGGGCACATCGTCATGGGAATATCTGGCGGGTCTTGGGCTGACCTGATCTTGAATCTTGCCAGTTTGTATTCAGACCAAGTCACTAGTTATGCATGGCTTCTCGCATGAATCCATCGACTTGGTGGCTGGCGACTTCTAAGCCCCCTTCTAGAAGCATTTTACTCACCGAGGACCGCCTCTCACTCGATCAGACATCCAAGTTGGTGGGGAAACCCTAGCACTTGCAGTTGTTTCCTCGCTTCGCGCCGTACGGCCAAGACAACTCTATCCCATCTTCACCCTTCGCGGCAATGGGCCGGGGGCTGATGTAGCTTTTGCGACATTTGATATGCCCGCTCTTTGGAGGCTCCCCATGGCCAAGGCCGTCTTACGGAGGTGAAGCCTTGTGCTGGTGGGCTGCCATGGCCCCATTCTATCGCCTGCTCGTGTATCCGTGCCGCTTGACGTATCGCTGCCACCTGTATTCCTTCCAGCTCCAAGGCGGTGAAACTTGAATAGGCCTTGTCCCGCTAATACTTGAACCGCCCACTTCCCCCTCCAATTCGTGAGCTCGTAGACTGGGAATCACTACAACAAACCTTCCATGTGCTCGTAATCCATCTCTGTTTAATATTGCACTTTGCGAGCACACGCCCTGTTGATGAACAGGTTTCCACTCCTTTCTGGCTTTCTGGACTATAAACCCCACGGCGAGGAGAAATCTTCCCTGTATTCTCTACTTACCCACAGTCTAAGCTACCTTATTTCCATGGGAATTTGCGTGTGAGCCACGTTTTTGACTCTCCGAAACCAGACTCCCCTAACAAGTCTGACAGTGGCATCGTATTAATGTAAGTTGATACATTTTCGTGGCTCCCAGCAGTCCTCGTTACTGCTTACTCTCCTTTCCTTAACTATTATATCCCCCCTCCCAACCTTACTAGGCCACCCTTCCCTTACTGAAATGCTATCCAGAAGCCGGGATACAAACGGTTTAGACAGCACGACAATTTCACTTGTAAAGTCAGAAACGATGGACAGCCACTACTACCGCGGAGCAAGCTATCAAGTTAACGCAACGTCCCCAGTGTCGGCAGGAGACTACCTTGACTCCCCCACGTTTCTAGAGGCACCGGAACTGGCTCGTCAGCCCTCCGACATCAGTTCCCGAGGGCCTCTCACACCATCTTCATACGGCTCTTCGCCTGGTATGTCATACTCATATTCGCACAACATGGGCCACTCTCCTACAGGTGACTATGGCGATGGCTACGACGAAAGCTATGGAGGATACTACGCGGACGAATATGCGAGCACTGCGTCTTCGTCGACACAACAAGCGTCTGAATCCTACTACGGAAACGTTGACTGGTCGCAATATGACTACGTTCCCACCGAAGACGGAGGTTACTGGCAGATGAAACCACGATATGTTCCTGCAGGGCAGTATCCAACAGTGATACCACATCAAGGGTCAGTCAATGCGGAGGCCTCTGACAGAGATCCTCAAGCGATGCTAATAATGCTATGCACAGGGGTCAAGAGCAGCAGGAAGTCGTGGACTACAAATTCCCCTGCCTGGAGGCGGGATGCACGGCAAACCCGTTCAAGCGCAAGGCGGACCTCGAGAGACACTATAGACAAGTCCACCAGGACCCGGCCAAGAAGGAAGCTCACAAGTGCGATTATCCAAAGTGTTCGCGGAGGAGCGAGCCGTTCGGACGACGGGACCACTTCAGAGACCATTTGCGAGACTATCACAACGAAGACATCTTCAAGCGGGGTACCCACGTGGACGACAGCTGGCTCCAAGGACGCAATCTCTCGTCGCGATGGTGGCGGTGCTCAAAGTGCTTGATAAGGGTTGATGTGAATTCGTATCCGGACCACGTCTGTCCCAAATGCAAAAACCCGTGTGAAGACAAACGCAAGCGTGCGCGAGGTTGGCATTGAGGGTCATCGTTAGCACTGCCCCATCGTCGGAGGCGGATCACCATCACCATTGGGCCACAGGTAAAGCTGATGCCTAGAGGTGAAGACGCACCTGCAGGAGCTTGGACAACGACGCCCCGGTTGCCTTTTCCCCACAGGAACACGGCGGTAAACATTTACGGCGAAACGAAGCCAGGTTCGGAGCACAGGAGCCAGGGCCGTCGCCTGACACGACATGCTGGCTGCTAGCGACCCGGCAACACATCTGTCTCTCTTTCTCTCTCTCTCTCTCTCTCTTTTTGGTCTGGTCCACTGACAAGAGTGCGGCTGAGGCAACACAAGCTTATGACGTTGGCAACCAGAGGGTCGGGTTGCATGACCAATCACGTCGGGACGACTCGGCCTTGTTGCAGCTCATTTTCTCCTTTGGAACTGGCGGCCAGCAAAAGTCGCAGCGAAGTCAGTCCGTCCTAAGGTCGCCAGGCCATGATGTTGCCTGCTGAGTCTAGATACTATTGGGCATAGACTGCATAGTCCCAGGCGGTCATGTGGAGCGGCAGGGTGTGAAGTTCGCGGAAGAGGTGTTGTTCGACGACGGGCTTTACCCGAGTGGGAAGCCTTCGAGAAGAAGTCTATGCAGGCTGTGTGGCTTTGGCCACTGCACATCTGACGATGTTGGGCCCTGGGAACCTTTTGCTCACTTGGCTAGCCATTCGCTCTTCTGTATGGGCAAAAAAAGAAAGGGCAACCAGGGAACACATGGCCGGGGGATGCAAGGGTGGTTGGGCCTAGCCGTCTTAGTGGTCATGGTGTGTTACCACAAGGTGTGTGGTGATCGATAGACAGGCTGTGCGTCGCGAGACGCTTTCCCTATGTTTTCTGCATGGCAGTGGGGCTGTGTCTATTTTTCCAGTCTTGTTATGGCTCAATTGTCTTGGGACTGGGGGGATGGGAACGAGAGAATGGATTGATACGATGATTGGGGCAGCTTGCAGGTGTGGCGCAAGGCATATTCGGGACGATGAGAGGTGGTTGTAATGGTTAATATGGGGCGGGCATCTCGGTCTCCTCGCATTGCGGCACGGGGCCTTACTGGGCTGATCGGATGGGGAGAGGTATCGAACCGGATGGATGCGGACGACAGCTTACTTTTTTTTGGAGGAAGAGGGGGGGACGGACTACGATGACCATTACGACAAACTACACTATACGACGATAACGATTCGGCGAAAGGAACACGAAGACTTGATCACCGAGGAAAGGCAGAAACAAGACGAGAAGACAAAGATACCCCATTTGGAAATGCATCTGCATCCCGCGGCTGACGGGAGCGGGAAGCTAAGCACATCAGATGAGCCCACCCTACAGAGGTCCTCGCTTAGGATGACGGAAGAAAGCTTTTTGTTGCGCGGAAGGAAGCTACACGACTGTGCCGTGGCGAGCTTTATCTTGACCATCCTGCCGAATCGAACGGTAGCTTAGGGTAAGGTAAGGTGAGCAGACGGCGTTATGGTGGGAGGGGGGGGAGTGGAGGACGGGGATGAGGACGACGAAGAAGGATGTGGTGAAACGAGGCTTCTGGGTATCCGTGGTTCTGTATGGTGACACCGTGTCACCGAGACAGCCTTGTGGGAACGGGTGATGATGATGATGGGCAGGGCTTTCTCGGTGCTTTTTTTTTTTTTTTTTTTTTGGGGTGGGGGGGGGGGGGGGGGGGGGGGGGGGGGGGTGGGGGGGGTGGGGGGGGGGGGGGGGGGGGGGGGGGGGGTGGGGGGGGGGGGGGGGGGGGGGGGGGGGGGGGGGGGGGGGGGGGGGGGGGGGGGGGGGGGGGGGGGGGGGGGGGGGGGTGGGGGGGGGGGGGGGGGGGGGGGGGGTGTGGGAGGGGGGAGGGGGGGGGGGGTGGGGTGGTGGTGGCTTAGAATCGACAGATTACCGTACATACGCTGACGGTG